TCTAAAAATACTTTATTTTTATTTATAGTATTTTTCTATATTTAGATAGTATCACTGAAAAATTGCTGATTTTGGTGGGAAAAGGTGGCCCGGGGGGGGGTGGTCCAACTTGTGGGGCTCTGTCTTACTCTCCTGGAACAATGTCAAGTCCGGAGGCGGGCATTTGGTTCCCCGGCCGCCTGCACCTCTTTGCAGTCAGGCGCAGCTTAATATATGTGATCATTCAGCATGCACGTGGTCAGGACGGTCCGTTTGAAGCGCGCCGACATATCTGTCAGTCGCAGACTGTCAGAGATATTCACTTTATCTCCATTCATGACCACCTTCATCAAACTGGAGTCCTTATCACATGGAGGGCATCCGGAGGTCTGAGCAACTAGGAAGGATGAAACACTCTCTCGAGTTCGGGAAGCAGAAAGGGGCTCTCGGTTGTTCGGCTTGCATGATGGGGCTCACGCAAACTCGTGTCTCTCACATCGAGATGGCCATCCGGAAAAGCACCAACGCAGGGCACTCCTGGCCTCCAATCAAGGTGCATCTCCTCAGTATCAGTACTCCTGCAGAAATGGGGCAACTTGGGCAACAAATGCTGCCTGGACTTCATCACCCGTAGATCTGGGGAGAGCATGTTGAACTGAAGTCGTTCCGCATTTCAAGTGTGCGTCCAGAGGGATTACGTGCGCCAAGCCTTCTGCTCTTTACTGGATTCTCGCCCGAGAGCATGCCACTGGTTCGTACAGGTGGGGAGATCAGCGCATGCCTTTATTACCTAGGTAGGCTGTGCTCCAACAACAATCAGAGACGACTGGTCCGGCTGTCATCCAGCCCAACTGTCCAACGGCGCGAGTTGTCCAAATACTACCCCACGGCCCACGGCGCCCGAGATACTGGAAAATGGGCGGGAAAAGTTGGCCCGATTGACATCACATTGCATTGGACAAGTACAGCGACTGGGTCTCGCGATCTCGCCAATGGCTGTGCCGCTTTGCGACCAAGGAATCCGTTTCCGAGGATTGCTTCATGTTGTCAGTCCTCCGTAAGCTGTGCATGCTTGTGTAACAAGAAGCTAGCAGGGGGGGGGCATGAGTTGCCAGCCTCAGCATTTATTCAAAGAGCAGTGCATCTGTCGCCCCAGAGATCCGGTGGTCGTACAACAGCAACCAGCCGCGTCTCTCACGACCTGCTTCTGTTTCCTCTTACTTGGTAAACCCGACGCTCGGTCTGCACTCTTGTCCTCTTTGCCGGATCGCCTCCAAATCTCCAACGATGGTCGTCACTACCACGCCCGTCTTCCTCTGGTCCATACTCAACCTGGGGCCTGTGACGGAGACCTTCACGGCGGCCCCATCGTGCGCGACCAAGACGGATGGGGTCATGATCGCTTCCAAGCTGGCGAGCAGCAATGAGACCGTACTGGTTGCCAACTACCCGGGCACGTGCGGCAAGTTCATCCAGGTGGGCGACTGCATGCCCCTGGGCAGCAAGAGGGATGAGCACTTCAAGAGCAAGGACCCCCTCCAGTACGACACGGAGAACTACTTGAGGCTGTGGGTCTACTCGCCGGGCTTGTTCTGCCCTTCCGGGTGGACCACCGCCGGCGCCGTCACGAGGCAAGCCGACGGCAGCATCGCGTCCCCGACGGGCTTCTTCGCCCCGGAGCCCTCGGTCAATTTGTCCGTGGCGCTGCTCACGAACGGCATGATCCCGCCCGCCACCGTCATCGCGACAGCTCTCGAGCCGGGCGAGACCGCCGCGGCGTGCTGCCCGGAGTCGTGGCCCGTTCTCCGCAACGGCGAGTGCTACTCGCCCATGCCCACCGACAAGTTCCCTGCCACGGCCGGCTGCGCCACCAGGCCGGTCGAGGCGTCGGGCTTCTACTCGACCATCACCACGACGATCGACGTCGGCAGCCTCACGTCGGCCTCGGCCGAGCTGATCACTCCGACGTACACCGGCAAGGGGTCCCTCGTCACGACGACCTGGACAGGCACAGCCGCTAAGCACTCCGCCGTGACGGTCATGCCGGCCGTGGTCCTGGTGCACAAGTCCGAGGACGCGGCCAAGACGACGGGTGGTGGCAGTAGCGGCGGAGCTGGCGGCGGCGGTACCGGAACCAATGCCGCCGTCGCGATGAGGCCTGGCGGGCCGGATCCAAAGGCTCTCGGCGGCCTGGCGCTGGTTGTAATGACGGCTGTGATGGCCGGCGCGGCCGTCATGATGCCGTGGTAGAGACATAGTATTTACAGGGGTTGAAAGTTTCGGCAGGGTGTTTTTGGCTTATTTGTTTGTTGCTCCTAGTCTTTCGATTCTGTACACGCGGGAATCAGTTGAGGGATAATACCCTATTGGGTTTGTATGTCCACAGAGGCTCGGGTATGTGGAGCGAATCTAGTGGACATCTTTGGACCTTGTCTCATAACAAGTCAGAGTATATATACATCTCTTGATGCATAATTATTGATATCCTTCGACTCGCTCTGTGAATAGAGCGGAAGAAGAGGTCATCTCATTTTACGATGAGCTAGTGATTGTAGAAAAGGTCCTATCATTTGGGCCGTGCATCTTTGACCATGTTGCTTTTATCAAGGCACATAGCATGAGTCTGTGACGAATAGTTTTCAAAATCACATACCTATACCGCTATAACATCTCTGGCCAACACTGTAACTTACACGCCCTAACTAGCAACTACCTCGCTCGTTTTGAACGATAGCCCAAATGCCTCCCCAAACGGAGGTCAGACTCGTCTCCTGTCTGTCTCTCACGTGGCAATGGCGACTTGACGTATACTCTAATAACCTCCTTTCGCGGTCTCATGGGATCGGCAAACCTGACAGTGCGTCGTCGTGGAGAGGAGAGACCCGACGTGGCGGTTCGATGTTCGTGTTTGCCTGAGAGGCTGAGGGGCGGGGGTCTGCAAGCCTTGGGAAGCCGGTCGTCTCGCGCCCGTGACGATGGCCTCGACGAGGACGGCGGCTTGGGCGGCGGGTGTCTTGCTGGTCGCTCGCCACGACTGGCCTTGGAGGCGCCTGTCGTCTGTTGTCGGACCATATCTAAGTGAACCCAAATCTTCTTGAGCCCAGTGACTGCAGGGTACTGTCAGAACGGGGCGCTAATGACTTGTTCACGGGGAAGGATTATGGAGTAATACCATCGTTGATAGCAAGAGATGTGAGGAACCTGTCATACCACTCGTCGTACTCGTGCTTTGACATGTCGCCGCACAGGTAGGCATTGGTGAGCGTCTCGAGGAGGAGGTCCGAGTCCCGGACGAGCGACTTTTCGAGCTTCTTGCGTTTGAGCATGCGTGACAGTTCCCAGCTGGACTTGATGGAGGTTACGATGCTGCCGCAGGCGACGAGCACGGAAATCGGGGGCAATGGCATCCTTGCTGAGTGGAGGTTGAGGATTCGCGAGTGAACAGTCGCGAGTGAACAGTCGCGAGTGAACAGTCAGTCCTTGAGATCTCGTTGTGGGCGATGTTCAATTTGAATTTGAATTGAGAACAAACAACACGATTGAGGAATAGGTCCTTGATAAAGATATAGATCAAGCATGCATCGGGATATTGGACAATGAGCTCTTGTAGAAGCCGCAACCGGCCAGTCTGGCGCCGCATGGAAGGCCTTTTTATAGACTGTGTGCCTCAACCATGGCGATATGACGGCTTCGCCATGATCCGGTCAGCAGGCCAACTCCCAACTACAAAGGCCAGACAGTTGGAACTCTGTGCTGTGCCTCGGGCACAGGCCGTTGGCTCATTGAGCACTGGTTACTTCCTGCCAGGAGCCTTCTTTGTCATGACATTTCGCGAGGAGCCGGCCCTTTGGACCAAGGTGTGGTGTGCTAGTCGACGAATCATATCCGTTGGTCCGCATGTTGACCTTGAGAGCATACACTGAGGTCTCGTTGTGGACAGCTGCGAGTTGTTTCACACGTGGTTGGGAAACAGGCCGTTGGGACAAACAATTTTGGAAACATCAGCGTGGAGGTGTGTGCTGCGTTTCACCATATTCCAGAGAGCCAAATTGGCGTTTAAGATTCCATATCTGGATTGACGTTGGCCATTATTGCCGGACCTAACTGTGGCCGCGGCGTCTGGCAGGGCGTCTCTCTGGCGCTTAGCATACCTCAGTTTAGAAGAGTTGGTTTCTCCCTCGCCATGCCGTGCTCGCTGTGCAGCGAATCGAGGCGGAGGAGGCCAGCTAGCTGTGCAGGGCAACCCGCCGAAGGATCGGTGCCTATCGTCGCCAGACCAGCCGTGTCGCGTTACCAGGATGCCCGTGTGTGTTCTGCAAGACTTGGCCTTGGACTTGGGGTGTGCGATGGCCGACAATAGCAACGGATGAGGGCCGGTCCGGGGTTAATGGCCGGCAGGAAAGCTACGTAGATTCCCTAGGTCTGCACTTAGCTACCTGTCCGCGAATAGACGAAACAAGCGATGCCCCAAGTTTGGGTGACGGGGGTGAGTTGCATCCATGGATGGTAGCGGCGCGGATGGAAAGCGGCGGTTGGACATGTGTCGCGTGGCAGTCCACACCAGCCCGCCGTCCGTTTCGTGGCGGACAGTGGCCCAACAGTGGCTTGTGGGTGGGTCCCAAGCACTGCTGGCCACTGAAGCCCGCTGTTTGATGGTCCGATTGGCGCCGTCTGCTAGGGCTGGGAGGCCTGTGGCCTTACCTGGCTCGCCTGGCCGGAGGACATGACGCACACACGGATCGATGGATCCAATGGATGATTGCTGAATTTAGCGGCTTGGCAGTCCAAGTTTAATGACGCAATGAAACTGCCAGTGCAAGCGTCGACGCACTGTCCTAGGGCGAGCTCAGGGCACCTCCAGGCTCCAGTGGAGTGGAAAAAAGGAAAAACAAGGCCGCAAATCCACTGTGAGTTGAGGCAACGCGCGCTGTCTGTGGTTTGCGCCCGCCCACGGCCAAGCAAGAAAAAGGACAGCGGCGCACCGTCACCTTGGCTCACAATCATTCCCGTCCCGATTCCCTTTTCCCCTTTTTCCCTTTTCCTCCATTGCTCTCAGTCGACGAGAGAGCCCGGTGTTTCGTTCTCGTGCTGACACCCAATTCGACTTGAGCCCTGTTGATCTGATCTGACCCTGAGGCGTAGTCGCGAGCAGGCCTTCTGATCCTCGCTGCTTCGCTCCTGAAATAGCACGCACCCACCCCGTAACGCGCCTCACTACTGCACGCGCCAAGGTCTCGACCTCCCACTGGGCCCAACAGTTATGCGTGAGTCTGCCCACCAAGCTTTTGCAGTCTCTCTTGGCCTCTCTTGGCCCATTGGCAAGACCTAGCCTAGGAAGCAGTCGAACGTCGAACGTGGTACTCTCATAGGAGAAGCTGCTGACTTGCCGCACCCAGACCGCATCCGCACATGGGCGCGGAGTAAGGCCCGTGGCACACCACTGACCACTGTCAATTCACACACCCGACACGCCAACGCCTCCGGCCCTTCGAGAACCTCGCGCGACGGCGCCGCTGCCGCCCCGGCACCCAACGATGGCGCCGCCGACAGCAAGCCCGGCACCGCGCCGGCCACCGCCAACGGCGAGGCAACCGCTGCCGCCCAGGGCGTGACCGACGAGAAGCCGCCCCGGGAGAAGAAGAACGTCGCCGTGCGCTTCTTTGTCACCATCAAGAACATCCTGCTCTCCAGCTGGATCAACCTCATGCTCGTCTTTGTCCCCGTCGCCATCGCCGTCGAGGCCACCCACCAGTCCGCCGGCATCATCTTTGCCATGAACGCCATCGCCATCATCCCCCTCGCTGGCCTGCTCAGCCACGCTACCGAGAGTGTTGCCAGGCGCATGGGTGACACTGTCGGCGCCCTCATGAACGTCACCTTTGGCAACGCTGTCGAGCTCATCATCTTCATCATCGCCCTGGTCAAGGACGAGATCCGCATTGTGCAGGCCTCGCTCCTGGGTTCCATTCTGGCCAACCTGCTGCTCATCCTGGGCATGTGCTTCTTGTTTGGCGGTCTGCGCTTCCGCGAGCAGATCTACAACAGCACTGTCACCCAGATGAGTGCCTGTCTGCTCAGTCTGAGCGTCACGAGCCTGCTGCTACCGGTAAGTCATCCACCGGCTGGTAACCACCCACGACACATGTGCTAATACTCTTTGCCCCTCCAGACCGCATTCCACGCCTCGTTCAGCAGCAACGACGACGCCGACGACAAGGTCTTGCCTGTCAGCCGCGGAACATCCGTCATCCTGCTGCTTGTCTACGGGCTCTACCTGCTCTTCCAGCTCAACTCGCACGCCTACATGTACGAGTCGACGCCTCAGCACATCATCGAGCGCGAGATGGTCCCCGGCCCGGCTGCCCACTATTTCGACTCGTCCAGCAGCTCCGACACCTCTTCGTCTTCCAGCTCCGACTCGGACGACTCTGGCAAGTCGCGCAGCACCGCCAAGAAGATCAAGCGCGCCGTCAAGCGGAGGATGAGCTACAAGCACAGCTCTTCGTCTTCGAGCGACGAGGAGAAGGAAGTCGCCAAGAAGGCCATCGCCGACGCGGCACTGGTGCCCGGCGAGTCTCCCGCCAACGGCTCGTCCAAGCCCGAGATCCTCGTGCCCGCCAACGGAGTCCAGGAGGCTCTGGACACCAATGCCATCGCCGATGACGAGGCCGACGAGAAGCCCAAGGCCAAGACCCATCGCAAGAAGCACAAGCACCACAAGAAGAAGAAGAGCAGCTCCGCAGAGAACGTCGTCGCTCAGCCTGCCGGCAGCCCCACCCACCCTGCCGATGAGTCGGAGCCTCGCCGCGTCGACTTTGCTCTGGCTCCGGACATTGAGGCCCAGACCGACACCCGCCCCAAGCCCTTCTCCCTGCGTTCTATCCGGCCCCAGATCCCCAAGACGATCTCACAGAACGTCTTTACTAAGAACCCCTACAGCGCCACCGACGGCGCAGGAGCCGAGGCCGCCGGCCCCGCTGCTCCTACCCGCCCCAACTACGACCTGCGCCGCGCCAACTCGCTCCCCGTCGACCACCGCAGCTACCGCGCCCAGCCGGGCGCCATCCCGCCCATCGTCCCTGTGATTGTTAACGGCACTCCCAAGACGCAGGCCGCCGATGACGACGAGGAGGACGAGAAGGAGATCTCGCGCACCACCGCCGTCCTGCTGCTCCTCGTCTCGACGGGCCTCGTCGCCGTCTGCGCCGAGTTCATGGTCGACAGCATCAACGAGGTCGTCGGCGACGGCAACAACGGCCTGTCCGAAGCCTTTATCGGTCTCATCCTGCTGCCCATTGTCGGCAACGCCGCCGAGCACGTCACGGCCGTCACGGTCGCCATGAAGAACAAGATGGACCTGGCCATCGGCGTCGCCCTGGGCTCGTCGATCCAGATCGCCATCTTTGTCACGCCACTCGTCGTCATCCTCGGCTGGTGCATGGGCAAGGAGATGACGCTCTACTTTACCCTCTTTGAGACGGTGAGCATGTTTGTCAGCGCCTTCATCGTCAACTTCCTGGTGCTCGACGGCCGGAGTAACTACCTCGAGGGCGCGCTGCTGTGCTGCTCCTACGTCATCATCGCGGTCGCTGCCTTCTACTACCCGGCTTCTGGTGACGCCAACCAGCTCGGTGGCGGGACGGGCAACCACACGACCGGCGGCAACTCGACGCAGACAGAGGTCGTGGTCAATGCGGCGAGGATGTTGGCCAGGAATGCTGGCGTGACGTTGTGGTGATAGTTGTCTGAGTTTGTGCGTAGTAACAACATGGAAGAAGATTGAAGGGAGGAGGAAAGTTGAGGACTTGGGGCAACATAGAGGAAGGGAAAAAAAGGCAACAAAGATACCACTTGATGAAATATACGATAGCATAAGCTTTCGGTCAAAACTGTTTTTATTTTGTTTTACTCTGTAATTTGCAGGCGTCACGCATAGGTGCATACACTGTGTTCGACCTTGTCAGTCTTTTTGTCATGATGTGGCCAGTCGACTATACAGGTCTGGAGCAATGTACTACCTATTAATTATCTTGCACATACCTATGTAAAAGAGAGATCAACCGATGTAAGCTGCTCGTTCGCTTTGTCGGGCGATAGAGATCGATAAAGCCCGTCATTCATTCCAAAAGTGACAACTAGGACACCGCCTCCATCAACGTCATCTCGTCTCATCAACCGTCTGCTCCCTCGCCCGCCGCACGCTCTTGTCCAAGCACCGCGTCGACAAGACGTGATAGCACAAGAGCGAGAACCACACGGCCCACACTGCCCCGATGCCCAGGAACGCCGCGCCCATGGCCATCAGCACCAGGCCCGAGCTGAGCCCGTTGAACGCCTCGCTGGCGCCCAGGGACCGCGTGCCGAGCCCGACCTGCAGCGCCGACAGGATGACGCTGACAAAGACAAAGGCGGCGAGCAGCCACGAGAAGTTGCGCTCGAAGAAGGCCTGGTACCAGGTCGAGCGCGACAGGTACCCGCCGACGAACCGGCGGCGCGTCCACATGGCCGGCAGGAAGCGCACGAGCGAGTCGAGCCGCGACAACCGCAGCTCGCCGTAGTGGTAGCGCCGGTCGACCTGCCGCAGGCTGCCGAGGTCGAGGTTGTCCGGATGCACAAAGTCGCGCATCAGGGCCGTCCAGCGCGGCCAGCTCACGTCCTCGGGCAGCAGGCCCGACTGCTGCGCGAGGGCAAAGTCGGACTCGTGGCCTACGAGCCAGGCGTAGCTGAGCAACAGGCCCATGGCGCTGCGGTGCAAGCCAAGGTCGCCGCAGAGGTGCTCCGTCCAGAAGGTGTGGCAGAGAAGGAAGGCTGGCAAGGGTTTCAGGAGCAGCTTGGTCTGGTGCCAGACGAGATGTTCATCGGGCCGCTCCGTCAGGAAGATGGAGCGGCCCATCATGCGCTGGCGCTGCAGGGGTCGCGCGGGCAGGGGCAGACCGGCTAGCCAGAGGTGGCGGTGGAGTTGGTCGAGCTTGTGCGTGCGGAGCTCAGCTGAGAGGAACCGCCGCATGTCCTGCTCGGGTCGGTAGAGGTTGCGCGTGCCCTCATCCTGGACAGCGACGGGGAAGACGAGGCTGGAGTATTCTGTGATGTTGTTATAAGGCGAGAAAGGAGGGTCGAGGCCTGTAGCCTTTGGGGAGGCCGGGGACCCCTTGCTGTCGTAGATGCTGGTCGTACTGCGTCGCTCAAGCCGGTGGTCTTGATGATACTCGATGGCGTTTGATTTCTTCATTATCATTCCGCCCATGCGGGGCAACTGTCAATTGTCCTTTCTTTTGTGACTCTGTGGAAGAAACGTCACGAGGAATGAGGCTTCCAAATTTGAGGCGGATCAAAATCTGCCTCGTTGGCCTTCAGGCTCGAGGGCAGTTTTGGTTGGCTGGGAGGTGCATCAGCGAGTGGCGCTTATGCAACATCTGTGCCGGGGCTGACTAGGGATCTTCCTCGATATAAAGCTGGCCATCCTGTGACCTGCAGCCTGGTCGCCCGACCAAATATCGGGCACGAATCCTTCCCTCGATTGCGTAGTGGTTCAACAGCTTGCTTCGGTCATCTTGATATCCCGCTTGGAGAGCCCTTGAGCTTGCGTTCACCCACTCCCACCAAGATTCGGGAATGACCAGATATGGTTCGACATGGTAGCGGACGGCGATCTCAATTTTCGGGTGCGGGGCATCCCAAATGCGTATGAGAACAAGTCGGGCGTGAGAAAGCTCATCATGGAAGTCCTCTCGATCCAGCCGGGCACCAGTGTATCTGTCCGCTCCCTTGCAGCCAGCCCTATCGACGCCAATACCAGAGTCGCCACTGTGGTATTTCATAGGCTTCCCACCCCTATATCAGACAGGGACAAAGATGAATGGTCTTTCAGCCTACCAGTGCGCGAAGATGTAGACGAAGACGACATAGACTGGCCTCTACCAATCATCTTTGATACTCACTTTATTGGGTTTACGCCGCTGGATCATGCGAGCCAGAGTGAATCTCACGTTGAGTCCGTCTTAGAAGACAGTTCTAGTCTGATTGGACACGAAGCTGACCAAACTCTTCAGTGTTATCGCCATTTCAGGTCTTGGCGGTCATGCATTCGGATCTTTCAAGGATCGGGATGGGCCCTTTATGTGGCTGCGAGATGCTCTCCCGTTAGATTTCCCCGGCTCGAGAATCCTGGTTTACGGATACAACACCCGGCTCCATCAAAGCCATTCATTCCAGAACTTGATAGATCTTAGTAGAGCGCTTCTGGGAGACCTACAGGGACTGAGGGTAAGAAACCAATAACTATCCTTTCCCAATATGGACAGTAATGCTGAGCTGACCTCACTTCTTCCAAGGGGCGTGACCATGATCATCCTACAGTCTTCATCGGACACAGTCTTGGGGGGCTGGTAATCAAAGAGGTTAGTTTCCAACGACGTACCATCTTTATGTCCAATGCTGACGGGTCGGTCTGCAGGCAGTAGTCAATGATCAGAACGTCTTGACGCTAGAAGGCGTCCTAGGGTTTGTTTTCTTCGGTGTTCCTCATCTGGGAATGGCGACGAGGTCATTGGTGCCTCTTGTCAACAACCAGCCAAATAGGTGCCTAGTTGAGTCCCTAAATAAGAACTCAGCATTTCTCCAGCATCTTGACAACGATTTCAATAAGATGATCTCGGGGAAAGGCCCCAAAGTCGTCTCTTTCTACGAAACCGAGGAGTCTCCTACTGCCGCACGAGTAAGGTTTGAATCCCTTTTCAGCTTGATACATATTAATACTAGCTCTAGAATCACAACGGCGAATGGCGCCTCTCAGGACCTGCCGAGATTTTGGTGGATGTCTCATCAGCCACTTGCGGTCCTCAACACAGTTATCCAATTGATCGCAATCATTCCGAGATGGTAAAATTTCGCAACCATTACGATGAGTTCTATATCCGTGTCAGGAGTGTGCTTCAGCCGTTGCTCGTGAGGCGTAATGTGACGAATGCGTTCATTTACACGGAAGCAAGCATTGGTACGTTGTGCGCGATCGATACAATGATCTCATGTGCTGACTGACGGTCTCATATAGCTTCGACAAGAACTCCGGACGCGCAGTATCGTACGTTATACCAAGTATGATATCTCGAATGCTACTCAGCTAACTAGCCTTCAGAGTGTCTTAGGTCGCTTTCTTTTCAGGAACAGGAATCCAGACACATCAATATCCTTTGCGCAAAGGACACTTGCGGATGGATCCTCGAAGATCCGCAGTATCGCGCTTGGATGAGGAGCTCAAGTGGACTGTTCTGGGTCAAAGGGAATCCAGGTGCTGGAAAGTCCGTCCTCATGAAGTTTGCATGCCAGACGATGTCGATGCAGCAGAGAAAGGAAGATGGGCTGGTTGTGTCATTCTTCGTCCATGGGCAGGGCAACACCCTCCAGAAGACGCCATTTGGCATGTTTCGAGCACTGCTCAATTCACTACTTTTGAAATTCCCGGAGCCTCTCTCGCGGCTCACTGAGCGATTCGAAGACCGTGAAAGGCGCTACGGTTCTTACGAGCAAGGAAGATGGAAGTGGGAAGAAAATGAGTTGCGGGACTTTCTGTCGGACCTTCTCATTCAGAGGACTGGAGCCCTCCCAGTAACGATCTTTGTTGACGCACTCGACGAGTGTGGGGAGTCTCAAGCCAAGACCTTGCTGGCATACTTCAAGACCGTGGTCCAGACTGCCGAGCTAGAAAATGGGCAGGTAAGAGTCTGTGTGTCGTCTAGGCACTACCCAATCCTGGGTCGAAAGTCAATCCCTACAATATCTGTGGAAGAGCGCAACCATCGAGACATTAGACTCTATGTTCAGCAGAGTCTCCGAGAGATTGAGCCTGGGTCAGAACGACACAGTATCGAAAGTGAGATTCTATTGAAGGCACAGGGCGGGTTTCAGTGGGTGGTCTTGGTCACCACTAAGGTTCTTGAAGGGAGTACGAGAGGGATACGGGCCGATCATTTGCACGAATATCTCAAGAGCATACCGGAAGACCTCGACGAGCTGTACGCCAACCTCGTCTACACTGCCACTGGAGTTGAAGAATGTGAGATGGCCAAGTTATTCCTGTGGATCCTCTGTGCAACTCGGCCCTTGTCCGCGCATGAGCTTCGTGAGGCCCTCGCCTCCGATAAAGATATGGAACACACGACCACCTTCGATTTGAGGCGTCACCGCAGCTGGATCAGCAACATTGCCCAATTTGAAGTGTACATCCAACATATCTCCAGAGGCTTGGTTGAGTTCCAGACACGCGATGTTTGGGAGAAATACGACGTGGACGGAGGGTATGATGAGGAATGGGACCGGGAAGCACAATTTGTACATCAATCTGTCGCTGATTTCCTTCTCAAAAGCTTCCCCCAGTGTTCTGAACTTGCGCCATACAGCTCCTGGACCACCACCGGCCTCGGCAACTTCGAAATATCAAGATCTTGCCTCAAATATCTGATGCTGCAGGATGTATTGCAAGGCGCACAGCTCCCGCGTGTGGCTTACTGTACCAGGTTCCCACTGCTACAATATGCTGTTAGCTCCGTCTTTGATCACATTTGGCAACTCGATGAGGAAGGAATCCCCCAGACTGACCTCCTAAATCTATTTGGCTGGGATGAAGATGCAAAGTCATTCACGAAGATTGCAAGCGTATGGAAAGTTTTGGATCCTGATGGCGGTCATGCTCCCGCAGGGTGGCCCTTTACAGGAGCGACTCCTCTTCACGCGCTTGCTGCGTTTGGTGTCAAGAGCGCGTTCGATTCGTACCTCGACGAGAACGTCCTGGTTGATAGCGTCGACAGCGACGGAAACACACCGTTCCTTCTGGCCATCTGGCATAGAAAACAGGATATGGCACTGGCGCTTCTGGACCGATCGATCGAATGGGAACAACGACTCGAATTAGCAGACTGCCCACTTACCGTCCAAGCCGAGATTCAACGACGGGCAAGCTATCAAGTGAATTTCAAGGCCGAGAACTACGAAGGGGACACAGCATTGACTATTGCGTTGGACCAAGACGCTGACAAGGTTGTCCTAAAGCTTCTGGATATGAAAGACCACTTTGACATTAGCGGCTTGGACGTCGAATTGGTTACTTGTGCTGTACGGGGTAGAAATCCCGACCTCCTCAAGAAGCTGATTGGAATGAACATCTCGCTTGACGGTGTCATTTATTTTGCGGTACACGAGCTATCCTGGGCTGGAGATGATGAGTTTCTTGATGCCACCATATACAACTGTCTGAAGGCTGGTGCCAACATACTCAAGTCGGCGGAATTCGGGCTGACTGCGGAGCGCCAACGCAGCACGGAGAGTGAACCGTCCACTGATTCTTCAAGAAGTGAAGACCTTGAAGACGAATTTGATGACGCTCTTTCACTCGCAATTTTGAAAGGCTGTGCGAACACAGTTAGATGTCTCTTGTCCCACGGCGTGTCAGCTAGCGTTCGGACTCAAGAGGGCCGCCCACCACTTTTATTTGCTGCTTCACATGGCCACGCGACAATTGTGCAAATGCTGCTCAACACAGGCCAAGTCAACCCTAATACAAAAGACCCTTTTGGACGGTCAGCACTTTCAGTTGCTGCTTGGTTTGGGCATGCGGCAGTTGCCCAAGCATTGCTTGATACAGGCGAAATCGACCCTGATACCAAAGACGAGGTTGCCGGGTCACCACTTTCATATGCTGCTGAATATGGCCATATGACAGTCGTCCAGATGTTGCTCGATACAGGCCAAGTAAAGGCTGATGCAACAGATGTCTATGGCCGATCACCACTTTCATATGCTGCTGAATATGGCCATATGACAGTCATCCAGATGTTGCTCGATACAGGCCAAGTAAAGGCTGATGCAACAGATGTCTATGGCCGGACACCGCTATCGTATGCAGCTCAGCAAGGATTTGAGTTAATGGTAAGATTGCTCTGGGAGAAGGAGCGAGTTGATCTCAACTTGCGAGATAAAGCTGGACGGTCACCACTTTCATACGCTGCCGAGCGTGGTAATGCAGCAAGATTCGTCGAAGTAGGGCAACACACGCGAATGATCGATATCCCTTCGACAGACTTGTGGAGTTGCCCGCCGTTCTGGTATCTCACGCAGGATAAAGTCTCGGCCATTGTCAACCAACCCTCGGAGGAGCCTTTCGGCCACCTGCATCGCGTCGGCCTCGCCCTGGACTTCTACGGCCGTGACTCGCCTGTGTCGACTATCAGCGTCGCCGTCTTCACCGCGCGTGGCTACACCGTCATTTTCACCTTCTCGTGTGGCACATTCGGCTCCGATGGGATTTTCGTCCCAGGTATGTGTGAGCAGGCCGACAGCTATGGGGTCGTGGCTTGGGTGCGTAGGCAAAGATGGTTTCCGGGCAGATTTGACGCCTTTGGCTCGAGCTACCTGGTCTACACGCAATGGGGGCTCCTGCGCAACCCGCCGCCTTACCTCGCGTGCTCTACCGTTCTCGGAGCGCCGAATGACCACACCGTGTTCAACTGGACCGGGGAGGCTTACCGCCTCAACCGGCTCAGGTGGAGCAACGCAACTCCATCGCCACGCGAGAAGCCTCCAAGGGCGGGACGTCGGCCGTGATGATGCAGCCTAGCCGTCATGCGGGCCACGCCATTGGCCAACGCCCGACGGCGCCGCGAGGCACTTTGGCGACACGGCGCCATACATACGACAAGCGATCATGACGACGCCGGACCTGGGTGACCCGCTGTGGGCGTCCGTCCGGCACCGCGGCGTGTCGGTAAAAGTCAAAGCACCGGTGCTCCTGACGAGCGGGTGGTACGGCACCTTTGCGTACTGATCGACGGAGCAGTATAGCCGCCCGCACGTACGGGCGACTACGATGCCAGCCTTAAAGTACGACGCAAGATATGCTAAGTGCGACCTCGCTGGCAGGAGTTTCCCGCTCATGGTGCGGTATTAGGGGGTGGAGGAACTCCGGACCTTGGCTGGGGTGTTGAGGATTGAAGAGCCTCACGCATAGTGTACGGCATGAGGGTGGGGTGTCCAGGGTGGTCTTGTGTTGAGAGAGCGGATATCTCGAGCAAAAGTGTGAAAGGTCCGGAAGAAAAAGGCAAACTGTCTCATCTCGTATTGCATACGCACGGCAGGCTAGTAGACTCTAAAAGACAGAACGCAGGCTGGAGCTCATGGAATTGAATTGCCCCTCGGAAAGAGCACGTCAACCTGGAAAGTATCAATATCAATTGGGACCAAGTGAACCAAAGTGAGTTCTTTACAAGTGATTAAGCCGGACGGCTGAAACACGTACTATGCTGCAGGCGTGTGTCATGTTGCGCTCCTTTGCAACAGTCTCGAGGGATGAACGGGAGGTGACATGATTGTTGTGGAGGGAGGTAGAGACCGAAGAGAGGCATGGCGATGGTTGCCCAAGTGAGAAGGGAGGTAGCGATTAAATGGCCGCGCATCAAAAGGCCTCAAGCTTGGCACAGATCGCCCTATCTGTAAAGTATTACGGGCAAAGGCAGTGATGTTGGCCTGGACCCAAGTCGAGAAGGCGGTTGAGAGAAGACCAGAACTCCGCACAGGGGGGACAAAGCATCGTCATCCAGATGGACGGACCGCGGGAAGGGAGAGATGGAATTGGCAACCAGCCACCTCAAACCCACGAGGTGCTGTTGGAGTTGGTCATTGAGTACGTTGCAAGTAGTTGTTACATGTCGCCCGGCCCTGATTCCCTCCCCAAAAGCAGTGAGTGCCCTGAATCATTCTCGCGCGCCTTCTGCGCCAGTTCACATCCCCTACCTTTGCGTGCGCGCACGCCCTTCCTTTTGCAGTGATTCCTACAGAACCACAATGGTCATTTATTAAAACCAAATAGAAACACTCCTCGTTACGCCTTCCCCATTGTAGGGTGGTATCATTCTTTGATGCTCTTCTTTTTTTCTGATTTCGGTTGCGGATGCATTTTTTGTTGATTATTCATCAGGCCCCTCTCAGGCAGTGGCCTCGGCGGCCTTGGGGATGGCCTTGGCAGTGCCGGCGAGATTTGAGGCGGTGATGCCGGGGTTCTTGGTGTGGTAGTCGGCGATGGCGGCCTTGATGGCGTCCTCGGCGAGCATGGAGCAGTGGACTGTGGCGTGGGAAGGGTGGTTAGTTTGGATGGGTGTTTCTTGGAGAGGGTGGGACGGTAGACTCACGCTTGACGGGGGGCAAGCACAGCTCCTTTGAGATATCGACGTTCTTAATCTTGGCTGCGTCCTCCACTGTAGGTTTGCCGGTCAGTAGGGGTGTCTTTGATGATGATATCGGCCGTGGGTATGCCAATATCAGATATCTCCGAGGGGGTATGGGGGGACACTACGCACATCGCATGCCCTTGACAAGAGTGGTCAGGTAGCTCGAGGAGGCGATGGCCGAGCCGCAGCCAAAGGTCTTGAACTTTGCGTCGGTGATTGTGCCGCTCTCGTCGACCTTGATCTGGAGCTTCATGACATCGCCGCAGGCAGGGGCGCCGACGAGGCCGGTGCCGACGGCAGGGTCGGACTTGTCGAGGGAGCCCGGATTTCGGGGCCGGCTGTAGTGGTCGATCAGTGCATGGCGCGTTAGCCTTTAGTGGAGAGGAAGAAGGAGCAGAAGGGAGGGACATATCTTTCTCGTGGTAGAACCGCCGTGCGGCGGGAGGAGTGACGCGGGCGGTGGTCAGGAAAGCTGTCGCGGGCCGAGCGCGGAATGCTGTGCGTAGGGGCAGCATTTTGACGAGGAAAAGCTGCGGTGTCTTGAGGTGGTCTGGGTAGGTTGAGATCGACGTCGCTTGATGAGAGAGTCGTCGCAGGATTGAGGTCGATGGTCTGTCGTGATGTGTTTTCCAAAGGATGGTTGTGTTGGTAATGGTTGAGGGTCGATGGCAAATATTCGCTGGAGGAGGGAGAGGAGGGAATTTGGGAAATGGGAATGACGGCCCAGCTCGGTGATAATGATGGATGATGAAAGGCAGGGGCAGAAAAAGAGGAGTGAACAGCCCGAGCGGCCAATCAGCGAGCACCCCTCAGAGGCGAAAAAAGAATTAAAGAGGGTCCGATGCGCGGGCTGGGCCAGTCAGATAATCTCTTGCTTATCAGATGCCGGCTCCCCCACACAAAAGGATGCGATTTCGCCTTGGCATTGCCGCTTTCCGCTTACGTCACGAATCACCGGGACCTCGGTCTTGCGACCTGCATCTCCGACCTGCTGGTTTGCTGGGTTAAATCACTGCAAAATGCCCATAAATTGATTATTTGGACTACCGTATATCTACCAAGTTATCCTCGATTTTGCGTGAGCCTGATAGCTCCAGTGCTGCGGAATGGAGAGCTCTCCTCGAGCTGAGGGAGTCAGCGTTGCCGGATTACATGTACCTAGCTCTCACTGGAAATTCCAAATGAGGCCCGTGCGCTTACCTCCGAGCGACGGGCTGACACTTCGGGGATTTCACGGCACTCATCGCCAGGCACCCAAAATGCCGTCCGAACACGATTCGAGTTTTCCGGACGCATACAAATACAACTGCAGGAGCAAATCCACACAGCGGCGGCAGCAAAGAGAACCCCAAACAGAGGTTCATGCTCGACAGACGCAGCTCTTCGTACGTTCTGTTCCGTAGAGTATGCCCGCCGGTTGCAACTGCTGGGCGACGAAGAAATCGTAGAGCATCTGCATATTGACATGACATGAGTAGAAGACTTGCTTACGGTCGGGGGAGTGCTTGATTAGTCCACGATAACCTTTGTGCCCTTACTACTGGTCACTAGGAACGTTCATAGGGGCTCTGGAACACGTGTACTGTATTCGTTGCGTTCATTCTGTCGTCTCCTCAACTACCTCGAGATAACAATCTAACTCGGCTTGCACCTCACAGAGATTGACTGGTATTGAACGAGTATTGAACCGAGAAATGATTATCACTTATGGCCTGCTGAGGAGGCACTGTTCAATACAACAGGCATGAACATGCGTGGTCAGAGGCCAGGGGAAACTGCGAGAACCACAGCCACCCATTGTCGTATGCAAGGGGCACCTCTATTGCAAGTCGGGTCCTCTAAACCAATTCTGGGATATACATTCCCCCAATTTTAACTACAATGGATAGTAAAGAGGCAAGCAAATTGTTAAGGAGCTGGTGTGTCTCATCGGTGACCCCCACATGGGACCCGACCCGACCTGCGGTGGACACAATGGACCCGGGCGCGGCGACCAGGTGTCTCTGGAGACTGGAGAGAGCGTCGAGGAGGATGTGACATAGACCCAAGCAGTCGGTTGCTTTACGGACCCCGTGAAAGCCCGTCTGGCCGGGTAGGGCCAGCACGGACATCTCAATCATAGTGATCCCCAAGAGGAGGTAGGTATGGTAACATGCGCATGGTTTGCGTTGCATCCCATAACTCTTTGGTAGCATTGCACCGCCTTAACAATGCTGGTCAACATGACATTGGACTTGGCGTACCCAGACCTCAGGTCAATTCTCTAGACATCTGCTGGAAAATGTTTGATATTCAGAGTCAGTCTCGTGCTCTTGGACGTGATCGGCCGGTCCTGTTAAGGAATGATCGTGAAATCAATATCAATGTTCGCAGGCATTCCTAAGCGCAAAGCGCACCAAAAGTTTTTCTCCATTCATTGTTTTTTTCTCGACCCGGCTCTAATAACCGTCTAGGTCTGCAGATGCAGACTGTTCCTGCTCTTTTTCGTAGTCATATCACTATTACGTGCTTCGCAACGGCCTCGCTGGCATGAACTCTACTCCCTTCGCACCCTTGCCACATAGACGGCAATTATATCGTGATAGCATGACTACATAGAGATCAATCACTATTTCACTAGCGGCTGAAAGATACCTTCTTTGATACCGCAATGCCTTACCCAACTGGGCAGCATGACGGAGTCTATGCTAGCAAGGGAATAGGGAGAATGATTCGATTAGGACTGGACATGCCTAGCGCTCGAGACACGAGATCACAGGGGCGCGGCAGGCAGCGACATCAGCGCCGCGTAGCAATGTTCGTTTCAATCATTCCTGTGGTATTGGTTGTTTACGATTTATGCATTCTCCGTGACTTGAAAGGGTTTAGGCCGGCAATATCGTACTGACAGACCAGGGGTCCCGGGCCGGGCAATACACCCAGGTTACCATCAGATCTGAGCCTCACAGAACGAATAACAGTGTGGCATGATGGAGTCGGCTTGAAGTTGAAGGACGAATGCCGTGATATAAGGCGCTTTGGAATGCTGAAAATCATTGTCGGCTGGCGGTTGTCCTCGAGTCATGGCAAGAGGTCAGAGAGCTGACCTAATCCAACTCACGCCCTGCAGGTGTGCTCTGGGGAGAAAGGTTAAAAGCAGAGAGAATTCGAGGTCTTTTTTTAACTTCTGGGGTTGGGGGGCTCTGGGGTTCTCGGTCGGCATCTGCGGGTTCGGTTTCTCCAAGGAACCCGAAGACAGAGGGGTGGATCCGCGGCAAGCCAACAGCCGGCATGCCAGCTCGACCACTTTGTGCAAGGCTCGACCCACATAGCCAGCATCGCTTTGCCAGTAAATGTGGAACGGGCAGCCACTTACAAGCTCTCGAGACGCTTCGTCCGCGTCAAGAGGGCTCCTTGGCCCTACGTCACGGCAGATAGCAGCGGCCGTACCGGACCTTCCGGGCTTGGGCCGTCCACGATGCCAGGATCGTCGGGGTCGTAGAGTGGTGCGCCCCGGGAAGGGAGCGCAATCTCTGATCTGAGTACCGGCGAACCCGGGGGTTGCAATGTTGTTTATAAGTCTTTCGTCCTTGGGCTTGGGTCTGGCTGTGTGAATTATATGGTAATGTAGCCCATCTTTAATAATCTTATTGAACATCTTCACCTTGTCTTGTTTACTTCCTATCACTCGCCACTTGGCTCTGTTGTCGCCTGGTCCAAGGTTTGGTCAACTGTCCTCTCCTCCCGCAACCCGCCTCCTTGCTGCTGCCGACCATGGCCTCTGAAGCAGAAAAGCAGGGAGCTGCCGGCCACTCACCGCATGGCAGCCAGCAGACCTTTGTCAACACTGACGACAGGGACACTCTCCGGAGCAGTCAGGTGGCTCAGGCAGAGTCCGAAAAGAAGCCCGCCGCAACCCCGGCCGAGGATCCGTCGGTCCCCGGCAGCGAAGACGATGATGCAGACCTGGTCGAGATGGAGAGGCGGCAGTCCATTGTGCAGGAGCTGGCGCGCCAGTACACCCAGCAATCGGTGGCCGACGGCAACCCCCAGTCGATCTTTGGGAATGTCAGTGACCCCAACTCGCCACTCAACCCCCAGAGCGAGAACTTCAGCGCTCGCTCGTGGGCCAAGTCGGTCGCCAAGATGGCCCAGGAGCACGGCGCCGGCTTTCGAACTGCCGGTATATGCTTTGAGAACATGAACGTATACGGCTACGGCAGCGAGACCGACTACCAGAAGGACGTGGGCAATGTGTGGCTCGAGCTTCCCAATCTGGCCAAGCAGCTGGCATCTCGCAAGGGCACAAACCGACGTATTGATATCCTGCGGAATTTCGACGGCGTTGTTGCTGCGGGAGAGATGCTTGTTGTTCTTGGCCCCCCTGGAGCCGGCTGTTCGACCTTTTTGAAGAGTATTTCTGGCGAGACCAACGGCCTGTACATCGACAAGAACACCTATTTCAACTACCAAGGCCTCAGTGCCCACGAGATGCACAAGCACAATAGCGGCGACGCGATATATACGGCCGAGGTGGACGTCCATTTCCCCAGGTTGTCGGTCGGTGATACGCTGAGCTTTGCCTCGCGAGCGCGCTGCCCAAGTCGGCTGCCTCCCGGAGTGTCGCGCCTGGACTTCTGTCATCACTACCGCGACGTGGTCATGGCCATGTACGGTATTAGCCATACGATCAATACGCGTGTTGGTAACGAATACGTTCGCGGCGTCTCCGGAGGTGAGCGCAAGCGTGTGACGATCGCCGAGGCCACTCTTTCACACGCTCCATTCCAGTGTTGGGACAACTCGACACGTGGACTGGACTCTGCCAACGCTGTCGAATTCTGTAAGACCCTCCGGCTCCAGTCCGAACTATTCCATCAGACCTGTGCTGTGTCCATCTATCAGGCTCCGCAAAGCGCCTACGACCTGTTTGACAAGGTCCTGCTCATTTACGAGGGCCGGCAGATCTTCTTTGGCCGTACAGATGAAGCTAAGCAGTACTTCCTTGATCTTGGGTTCGACTGCCCCGACCGTCAGACGACCCCCGATTTCCTCACCTCAATGACGGCAGCGTCGGAACGTGTTGTGCGCGTTGGCTGGGAGAATCGTGTGCCCCGTACCCCAGACGAATTCGCCGCCTGCTGGAAGAACAGTCAGAACTACAAGGACTTAAAGGCCGAGATGGAGCAGTTTAAAGCGGCCCACCCGATCGGTGGTAGCAACGCGGATGAGTTCCGGGCACTGAAGAAGAGGGTGCAGGCCAAGGGCCAGCGCCTCAGCTCGCCTTATATCATCTCATATGGCCAGCAGGTGCGGCTGTGTTTGTGGAGAGGCTGGAAGAGATTAATAGGAGATCCGGGCCTGACCATCTTTGCGCTGACAGCCAACACTGTCATGGGTCTCATCATCTCGTCCCTGTTTTACAACATGCAACCCACAACGGGCAGCTTCTACAGTCGGGCTGCTATTCTCTTTGTCGCCATCTTGACTAATGCGTTCTCGAGTGCCCTGTAAGTTCTCAATCCATCAAGATCTGGCTTATCTGATATTCACTGATCCATCATTACACAGAGAAATTCTCACCCAGTACGCGCAGCGGCCCATTGTAGAAAAGCATGTCCGCTACGCATTTTACCACGCTTCTGCCGAATCTTTTGCCTCGGTCCTCGTCGATATGCCATACAAAATCACAAACACGATATGCTACGATCTCGTCATTTATTTCATGACGAACTTGCACAGGGATGCAGGAGCATTCTTTTTCTTCCTGCTGACTACATTCCTCATGGTGTTGGCCATGTCTGGTATCTTCAGGTCCATCTCTTCGCTGTCACGTACCTTGTCCCAGGCCATGGTTCCAGCGTCTATTCTGATCCTGGCTCTGGTAATCTTCACAGGCTTTGTCGTCCCTGTGGACTACATGCTCGGCTGGTGCCGATGGATCAACTACGTGGACCCCGTCGCGTACGGCTTCGAGGCGCTGATGATCAATGAGTTCCACGATAGAGAGTTTGAGTGCACGGCATATGTGCCCAGCCCGGCCCTGGCTGCCTACAAGAACGCCACCTCGGACCACATCGCCTGCTCTGCCGTCGGCGCCAAGCCCGGGCGCAGCTTTGTCCTCGGTGACGACTACATTGGCTCCAACTACAAGTACTACCACTCGCACAAGTGGCGCAACATTGGCATCATGATCGCCTTCATTATCTTCTTCCATGGGGTCTATTTTGTTGCAACCGAGTATATCACGGCCAAGAAGTCCAAGGGTGAAGTCCTTGTTTTCCGACGCGGCTTTACCAGCGCCCCCCGCCCAAACAAGAGTGACGATGTCGAGGCGTCACTCTCGGGACCAATCACCGCAGCACAGGGCAATATCTCCGATGACTCCAGCGGGCAGGGCGTCATCCAGGCCTCCACGAGTGTCTTCCACTGGAAGAATGTCTGCTACGATATCAAGATCAAGGGCGAACCTCGTCGTATCCTGGACCACGTGGACGGATGGGTGAAGCCTGGTACACTTACTGCCTTGATGGGTGTTTCCGGAGCCGGCAAGACGACACTGCTGGACTGCCTCGCCGACCGTGTGTCTATGGGCGTTATTACGGGAGAAATGCTCGTCGACGGCCACCTCAGAGACGATTCATTCCAACGCAAAACGGGGTATGTGCAACAGCAGGACCTTCATCTCGAGACGAGCACTGTGCGTGAAGCCCTAGAGTTCAGCGCACTGCTCCGTCAACCGGCCAGCACCCCGAGGGCTGAGAAGATGGCGTATGTGGACGAGGTCATCCGCCTCTTGGACATGCAGGAGTATGCCGACGCAATTGTTGGTGTGCTTGGTGAGGGTCTGAACGTAGAACAGCGGAAGCGCCTAACTATCGGTGTCGAGTTGGCGGCCAAGCCGCCGCTCTTGCTTTTCGTCGACGAGCCGACATCTGGACTGGATTCGCAGACAAGTTGGGCTATTTTGGATCTGCTTGAGAAGCTATCCAAGGCCGGCCAGTCGATCCTGTGCACTATCCATCAACCCTCCGCCATGTTGTTCCAACGCTTTGATCGTCTCCTCTTCTTAGCCAAAGGTGGAAAGACTGTCTATTTTGGTGAAATCGGCGAGAATTCGGAGACGCTCACCTCGTATTTTGCGCGCAATGGCGCCCCGCCCTGTCCCAAGGAGGCCAACCCTGCAGAGTGGATGTTGGAAGCCATTGGAGCAGCACCCGGTTCGCACAGCGAGGTCGATTGGCACGAGGCATGGCGCAACAGCCCAGAGTACCAAGACGTCCAGGACGAGCTTCAGCGCCTTAAGGACAGCGGCGCTGGTGCTGGACAGGAGAAGCCGTCCCATCACAACGACACGGCCGCCTACCGCGAATTTGCCGCGCCCTTCTGGCAGCAACTCGTTATCGTCACCCACCGCGTGTTTCAACAGCTCTGGAGAACCCCGTCGTACATCTATTCGAAATTCATCCTTTGCTGTTCCGTTGCGCTCTTCATCGGCTTGGTGTTCCTCAACGCCCCGCGCAGTATCCAGGGCATGCAGAACCAGATGTTTGCCATTTTCAATATCCTAACCATTTTCGGTCAGCTCGTCCAGCAGCAGATGCCGCACTTCGTCACGCAACGAGCGCTCTATGAGGTGCGGGAGAGGCCTTCCAAAACTTACAGCTGGAAGATCTTTATGTTGTCACAGATCATCACCGAGATCCCCTGGAATTCCCTCATGTCCGTCTTTATGTTTATCTGTGTCTACTGGCCGGTCGGCTTGAACAAGAACGCCGAAGCGGCCGGGCAGACGGCGGAGCGCGGCGGTCTTATGTGGCTCCTATTCTGGCAGTTCCTCATCTTTACCTGCACTTTCGCCCATGCTTGCATCGCTATCACGGACACGGCAGAGTCTGGCGGTAACCTGGCTAACGTCTTGTTCATGATGTGCTTGATGTTCTGTGGTGTTATTGCGGGCCCCGATCAGATGCCTGGCTTCTGGGTTTTCATGTACCGCGTGTCGCCATTCACCTATCTCGTGTCCTCGATGCTTTCGACGGGTCTAGCGGGCAACGTCGCCGAGTGCGCGGCCAACGAACTGGTGCACGTCAACCCGCCCGTTGGCCAGACCTGTGGGGAGTACATGAGTGATTACATGAGCCATTTTGGTGGCTATCTTGTCGACAAAGCCGCCACTTCGGACTGCCGTTTCTGCCCCGTTGCAACAACCGACGTCTACCTCAAGCAGATCCACGCCAACTTTGACAACAGGTGGCGTGACTTTGGCATTGGCATGGTCTACATCGTCTTCAACATTGCCGCCGCGCTCGCACTCTACTGGCTTGTGCGCATGCCCAAGGGGAAGAAGATGAAGAAGGAGTGAGCTGTCCTCCATCCTACCCGACAAAATACCGGGCGTCAGAACTTGAAAGAGACGTCTCCGGCAATTCAACTACAGACAACTTCGTCAATTTAATATTTCCTTTCCCTTTGCTTGCTTGCTCCTTTATTAATTTGCCTCTTTTCTTCACACACTCAAGCATAGATCTGCAGGGTTACGGCTTGTACTATCTTGACTGCCGGTTAATATGTATTTCGCATTCTGCGTTTTTGGGCCTTTCAAAAGAGGGAACCTCATAGATATAGACTTGTAGTCGCCGAATAGACGCGTTACCAACACCACTTTTCGCTTGGTGATATTATGCTCGCGCCCCAGCCTTCTATCTACCTCGCCTAAACAGCATGTTGCTAAAGTCTGGCGCTAGGTTAAGAAACGACTCGCGAGAGTGAGCTCCGAGATGAAAGCCTCACAGATCAGAGGCCCTATTCGTAAGGCATGCAGAACAGTCGATCTCGCCCATGATCCGGATTTTCAGAGACCCCGGCTGTCTCCTATTGGCTGTGCGGGACTCGAAAATTACCGAAGACTAGACGTCCCCCCATTTCTCAAACCCCCTCTTCCCTCAGTAAATTCTCCACCCAATTTCAGCCCCGTTAATACCGATCACCAGGCATCACACCGTCTTCTACTTCCACCATGTCGTGCAATGAGTATTGGTTAGGGAGATCAGTTCCCAAGCTGTCTGTAGCAATACTCGTTGGTCTCCTGGTCTTTGGCATCGATAACACCTTTGGTCAGCTTTCACGCAATGGCTTCAGTGAGTACATCAGCAGCACGCTGGCTGGCCACGGACCCCAGTATCTTCCCGACACTGGAGACGTTCTCGTGACGCGTTATGTTGGGATTCCGTTCATCGACAGATTGTGCATACGGGCCAACATATTGCTCTCTGGGTTTGCCACCCAGCTTCACCCCGAGGTGACACTGTACTGTCTGTCCCATTGTGGCGATCTCGTTGCTGGTTGCCTGCTCCTCGTCATCGAGAGCCACCGCAAGGGCAATGCGCATCACGTCTTGTCGCTGTAAGCAACGTGCCGCCCACTCTTTGCTGAGCCTCAAACTGACGATATGCAAGCACGGGCCTCTGGCTCACTCTCATCATCCTCTTTGATTTCGCCAGCATCACGCCCATATTCGCCATCATTCACCTACTTAAGATGTCCAGGTCGAGAGACTTGTCAAGCGCCGTGCACCTCAACGACCCCTTCAAACTTGTGGCGGTCGTGCCGGCTCTATTTCCTGGCCTGATTCTGCCTTTGATACTGACCGTGTCTCCCTTCCGAGACGCATCCTTCCGCCAGTGGCTCACGGCCCTCTGCATGCTATTTCCTCTTTATCTCGGGTTCTGGCAGTTTCTCGCCGCCAAGGTACTGCGGAGGATGCACGCCGGCCAATACGTCGGGGCACGCCAGGCCGAGATCGATTCGGCAGCGCTACGCATCGTTTACGACTTTGCGTTAGGGATTGCTACCTTCACGCAGATTCTGTCGTATGCCATCCTCTACGTCACGCGGCTCAGCTTTGCGCGTGTGTACATTCCGGCAGTACCGCACCAGGTAGATCCATGGGCGTCTGGGGCGCAGATCATGCACGAATTTTACAAGTACGATCATCTGGTTGGCTCCCTCGTTGGGGTCGTCTGGGCTGCAACCCTGCTTGGCGGTTTCTGCCCGGATGCGTTCGCGAAGGGGCAGAGGGCTCGGACCGTGATGCATATGGCTGGGAGGACGTTAATCTCCGGCCCAGTGGGCGTGACGTTGTGGCTCATGCGTCAGAGAGACGAAAGTGTACTTGCAGAGGAACTGGCGAGGATGGAGTGACGGTCCGAGACTGCACGACTGACAGGGTTATCATGAGGAAAGAAGGGTGTTGATCAGTTAAGCTAGAGAAAGTAGTGTCGACTCCTGTCTGAGGCTCACAAACATAGCTTCCACCCCGGCAATGCCGACACTGCCCAGCCCTCACCGGAACAGGTTGGTGGCCGCCTTGCTGATGGCATCTCCTTCGAGTTTCAGGGCAGGAATGTTTTGTCCAAGCGAAAACGGTGTTGCTGGCCACTTCGACGGCGAACTGCAGGGCCAGTGAAGCTGATCTCCAGACAGCTCAATACCAAACCTATCGAACCGTTGAAGATGACACTTTTCCCTGACATATACGGGTTTAGCTAGCGAAAGGGTGCCCTGAGCAACAGTAGCGAGAGATATTCATATCGTGGGCCCAGATCGCGTCCTTCATGGACTTCTGCTATAAAGCAGACTGTGATCAAGCTTAGGTATCGGTGCGAATTTATCGGTAGATAGCTGAACACCATCCGAGGAAAAGCATGATAAAACGTAATTAGTGCCCCGACTGCGCCCCCATTCATCCTTGAGCGGCTTGGGATTGAAACGCACGGTATCTAAAGTGTTGATAGACTCTGGCTGTTATCGAGGGCTTTTGTCTTTAGCCGATCGAGCCGACCGAGCCGGTCAAAAAGACTAGATCTGGTGTGGCCGCAAATTGCTACTCGAGACGCTACTTCAAAGGACTTTCTTTACTCATTTGTGATAGGAAAATGCTGGACTATTTTCGGTGTCAGGGAGACGAAACGTACTTCCACCTTGTATTTATCGGATAAGTGACGCTGCATAGTGTCGGGTAAGGAATCATCGCCTCCAGTATCGCTGCACAGGATTTAACAAAGGGGCGTACATGCCCGGAGCAAAGCCAATTCTCATTCTTGTTGGAGCATTAGAGAGGCCTTGAGAATCTTGGAAACATCAAACCCAATAGTCCAAGTCAGCCTGACCAGATTCTAAGATTTTTTGCGCAAGATACAAAGGATCATGGCTTCGAACTCGATCCTCGACAACCCCACACGATGGGAGCGCCTGGGCGAGCCTGATGGTGAGCTGGAGCAAGTATGGCGATCTGGAACCAATTCGGTGTCCGATATTACGAGGCTGACAAGTATTTGATAGATGCTCAAAGACGGGGCCAAGCCACGATTCACAGGTACTCATGACGCCTCCAAGATCCACGAAATGCGTAAGAGATGGCACCCCTTGTTCAAGGCAGGCGCAGACGACGTGCTCCGGGAGACTGGGGGCGAGGTGATAGAGACCGAGATCTTCATCCCAACCCGGGATGGATATCAGCTTCGGGGTCTCCTCTATCGCTCGCGGAAGACGCCGGTATCGGGCGCTCCCCTCGTGCTCCTATTCCACGGCGGTGGCTTTTGTGCAGGCAATGCCGAGGCGGAGGCACCAGGGTGTATCACCTCTGCACAGGCTCATGGATGCGTATCGATTAGTCTGGAATATCGGATGGCGCCCGAGATTAAGTTCCCGACGCCGTGGGATGATTGTTGGGATGCTCTTGTCTGGGTTGGTTGTCCCCAAAAACATAGCTCTTGAGATGGTCACATACTAAATCATACAGATCTGTGCCAACGCCTCGAAGCTCGGAGCCGATCTATCCCTGGGCTTCGTGATTGGTGGCACATCCGCAGGAGGCCATCTCGCCATACCGCTGGTTCACAAGGCTAGAGATGAAAAGCTTTCCCCTCCGGTGACTGGGGTTTACCTCAATGCATCTCCAGCCTTGGCACCCCAGGCAGTTACAGAGGAGTACAAGGCTCTTTATCGGAGCCGGGAGACTCTTAGCAGTGGTCTCTCGCTGACAGCTGAGTCTATCAGTCTGTATGACCGCGTGATGGAACCCGAGTTTTCCTCACCGTACTGGAGTCCGTTACTCTGGCCGACGGGACACGCGAACCTGCCACCGCACTTCTTCCAAGTGTGTGGTGCCGATATGCTTCGAGACGAGGCCCTCATCTATGCCCGTCAGCTCAAACAGAATGGGGTTCCGACAGAGGTTGTTGTCTACCAGGGAATGCCGCACGTTTTCTGGTATGACTACCCTAGCCATCCGCGGTCTAAGCAATTCGCTCGGGATACTACCGCAGGGATTGGCCAACTCCTGGCTTCATCGAGGCGACGAAATGTTTGTACATAGACAGACGGTAGAAGTTTCGAGTCACTATCGCGGCTCAATAGAACTTAGATCTTGTCACTGCACAGTACTCAATACAAGCTGCAACAATCTCCCGCCTCCGGTCAACTAGCCAACTAGGCAGTCTATTTCATTATCACGCCGCAATTCTAGCCTTGTGCCTGCGTGCCTGTGTGTCACGGCCTTGCATGATTTACGGTTGAACACTGCCCCTTGCTCGTCTTGGCAAGTATAGATGGCATGGGCCCGTGGGGGTATTGACGTGGATGACTCTCGTGCCGCAGCTGGTGATGGGATGGGTTCCCAACCTTTTGCACAGTCCTAGTCTTAGGTACCTAAGTTAAGTTAATAGTGACCAGATGCAAAATCGATGCATAATAGCCTGCATCACTGGCATGACTGCGCCTGGTTCTATCAATTGAGGTGCAGTTCCGGTGACTAAGAGTGCAGAGTCGGTTGCGACCCTCGTTACCCCGCCTCTTCTCTTCAGGGTCCAGGGTGTAGTAAATGAGACGTGATCCCAATGATGAGATACCAAAATAACCGACCGTGCCGACCTACTCGTTCGCCACCAACAAGTCAGTGGAGTAGGATGCCAATGGTAGGAAAGGTGGCTAGCTTGCTTAACTAGTCTAGCTAGTGCTGGGGCGGTTGAATCAGCCAGCCTATCTCTCTTGAATCTAGATTCTCCGTTTGAGAGCACTTTTGCTTGTTTCCAATTCCAAACTCATGACCCCTTCCCCGCGCACGCACCAGATCTGGGACAATCTGGGGTCAGGGACCTGGAGCGGATCTGGAGCGGAACTTCAATGTTGGAGGTATCCATTCTCGGTACTGCGCAGATAAGCCAGCCTGGCCTGGCATCGGAAGCGGCTACGAGTTCGTATATAAAAATCGCCAGTGTCGTCGATCAGGAATTATCTTTGTCGGTCAGAACTATCTTTTGCACATTTCCCTCCTCGTTCGCTCTACACAGCCCTGTGGTTCGTGGCCCTCTAACAAGAGATCCTGATCTGCTTGTCCTGGACTCTTCAACAACCAGCCAGCCGACACAAGCCAAATAGCCCACGCCATGCATTTCTTCGAGGAACTGACAGGGCCGACTTTGGTTGTTGCTTTGTTTTGCTCCGTAAGTGTTCTGCGTGCATCTTACATACCCCCGCAGTCCGCATGATTTGGACTAACTCTCTTGTCCAGCTTGGCGGATTGTCCTTTGGCATCGGTACGCTTGTTTTCAACTGCCGTCTCCCCCTTGACTCACCCGCTCTAGACGCTGATTGCTCGTGCCTATAGACTTCGGCTATTGGTCTGGGGTACTCGGCATGGAACAGTTTGCGAAAGTGTTTGGGACTTACAATGCTTCGGAAGATAATTACCATATCCCTTCCAGTTGGAAGTCTGCTGGGAGCGGCTTACCTATGGCCGGATTGGCAATGGGCGCGCTGCTCTCGGGCTTCGTCGGCAGGCCTCTTGGCCGAGTTCGTACCCTGCAGCTATCCTATGTGATCGCTCTCGTCGGTGTCGTCATTCAGAGTACAGCCATTACTTCTTACTGGCAGATCACTGTTGGTCGCATCATTACCGCTGTCGCTCTTGGTATTCTGGCCAATACCGTTCCAGCATACCTGGCAGAGGTTGCTCCTCTTTCGGTTCGTGGCACGCTGGTCAACTTTTACCAATTCTCCATTGGAGTCGGTGCAGTCCTCGTGGCTACGTGTAACTGGGGTCTGTATCAGCGAACGGACCAGTGGGCATATCGCACGCCGATCATCCTACAGGCTGTCCTGCCTCTTGTCTTTCTTGCCGGCTCTTTCTTCATGCCTGAGAGCCCCCGCTGGCTGCTGGGTATTGGAAAGGCTGATGAGGCTAGAAGAGAGCTGGAGAGACTTCGTCCTCGAGCTGACCGGGATATCATTGATCAAGAAATCCAACTTATTGCAGCTGCTGAGGAGGAGAATAAGGCACTGAGCCATGGTACATGGCTCGACTGCTTTAGGTATGTGAGGGAGTTTTGCTTCTTGTTAGAGCTCGGTTCCCACGATTCGCCTAAATCTACTAATGATCTCTATTCTCTAGCAATACCAATCTTCGTCGTACACTGATCATGATTGGAGTACAGTCCTTTCAACAGGCTCAAGGCATCTCGTTCATGAGTCAATACTCAGTTGTCTTCTTTCAGGCCATCGGCTTTGAGGATGCATACATGATCAACGTGCTGATGAGTATGTGTATGGCTATCTCCAGTGCCTTCGCGTTCTATCTCCCTGACCGTTTCGGCCGTCGCTGGATCATGATTGTTTCGGCTATCATCATGGCCGCAAGCCTATGCTCTGTTGCTGGAATCACAGGGTTTGGTCCGCAAGCGACCAGCAAGAGCACGCTGAACGGAGCTATGGCAGCCATCTTTCTCTGGCAGATCTTTACCTCGATCGGATGGAGTAGCTGGTAAGACCTTTACCTGGACCCTTCTTGCTTATTTCCAGATTGGCATCTTGGGCTCCCTAACCTTCCACCGGCAATCGGACTTTTGCTAACTTGTCCGACTGCCCAGTGTCTGGATCATCACAGCGGAGGTGCCAACCCTCGTGCTCCGCGAAAAGTCAATCACAATTGCCACAGTCTGCGGCTTCTGCGTTAGCGTATTAATCTCTTTCGTCAGCCCTTACATTCAAGACAAGGGCTACGGTGGCCTGGAGGGGCGGATCGGCCTTCTTTATGGCGGTATGTCTGTCGCTGCCGCGGTGTGGGCCTTTTTGTTTGTGCCCGAAACTGGCTCCCGGGGTCTCGAGGAGTTGGACGAGTTGTTCCGAAACCAGGTGTCCGTCTTCAAATTCAACCGTTACGAGACGAGCGGCATTGGCGCCCAGATCCATATTGTCGAGGGTATGCCCCATCAGAGACAACTGGCTGACAAGGAGGCTATGGAGGAGAAGGCTGCTGAGGCGGCTCAGATGTCCTAATCCTCTTTTCTGGAAGTCTTGGAATGGCAAAATCAAGTGGACGGAATGGGAAATCATAGCGGCAGAAGTTGAAACCTCTGGATTTCAAAGGTGTAGCGCTCACCACATGTATTTTATTTCATGTTATTTCAGCGTCGAATAATTTGGCCATATCACCAATCTCGATTTGGTTAAAAGATCATGTTGATAAACACCATCTGGTCTGTCAGGTTGAGCTTCTTTATTGGATTTAGAAGCTATAGCGGAATGCATTGCCGCCTGCTGCATTATCAATCTTTGACACTTTCAGGCTACAGAAGCTTTTGGATCCCAGACACTACTTGATTTCCATATGTTTACCAGCTATAGCGCGTACATTGTCCACACTGCTGTTAGTCGGCGGAGCCGTCATATTCCCTTTGAACGCCGACATTGGCAGCGTCTCAGATCTACTTTCATCTCAACTTCCACCTACACGAAGTAGAGTCTGTCTCCTTCATATTGCCTTCTCCTCTCTTAAGCCAAAACGAAATGATCGGGGTATTGCAAGAGCATTCAAAATAGAAGGCCGTAGTCTGTACAATGCTTCTCATCGTAGATGTCTGCGTTCGATGCCGTATCACAGTTCAGGACACGCGCTCCGTGGCAAGACCCTTATCAAGGCTAGCTCGGTCTTGATTGACTTAGCAAGTACTAGGCAAAACATGTCTGTCGACATCAGCTGAAGAAGTATGACAGGTCAATACGCTTACTGGGTGGTCCTCGCCTGAATAGCCGAATTGTAGATAAGGCAACACGGATAGAATCGCACCAATACCGTTAGCTAGCTTGTAGAAATTTCCATACGACTGAGTGTAAACATCACCCCGTGATTAGCTGGAGAACACCCATTTTGTCTTGCGTTGAGGAGTTGAGGAGTTGAGGAGGAACACATCCGACAGCAAAGAGAGGCCTATCCATCAAGGTTCAACAATAATCCTCAGTTCCGGCTGGATGGCCACACAACCGCGTGAGGTACTAGATGCAAGCTAATGAAACCAAGTCAAGCCTCGTGCGGGGGACATGATCGACTAGGAATCGGCTAAGGTGCCTGCTCTCGGGCCGATCGGCAATTTGCGGACAATCAACTATTGAACAACAATTGAATCAACCACAAAAGAATCTAAGAAAGCCGCGGCCCGACCTGGAAGTCAGCGACCACATCCACCTCGACGACGCCTTTCTGGTCAGACTTTTTGTTTCCCAGCCACAAATTCCCAGTCCTGGAGATGGATTCTTCCGACCAAGAGGCTTCCCCCCCCGGATTAGACACAGGGTTTCTTCGCAATCCTTGGCGCACGCGGGATTTGCGATCGCGACGGGGATGCTGGACGTGTCGCGACAAGAAGGTCAAGTGTGACGAAGCGAGGCCGAGGTGCGACCGATGCACCCGCCTAGAGAGGGTTTGTGACTATGGCGAGCGGCCGCGCAAGCCATACGTTCGCCGGAAGCGGGCGGCGGCAGGTCCTCCAGCGCCGACATCGAATGCGCAGCTGAGGGACACCGAGCCATCTTCAGCACCCCCACCAGCAAATGGCGAGCTCACCCGACCTAACGTCACCACCCCTGGCAGCCTCAGCTCGGAGGTGCTCCTCAGCTACGGCTCGACCCCGGCACTGGAGCCGCCAGCTTCGTCGGCTAGCATTGCAACTTCTGTCACGCCCGCCTGCGCCTTGATCCTGTCACCGTCCGACACTGAGGCTATCCACCATTTTCGACACACCATTTCAGTCGAGGTGGACCCCAGAGCCGTCGACTTCTCAGGCCCGGCGCTCATCTGGGAACGGGCACGCAGCAGCTCGCTCGTACTACACATGGTATGCGCTCTGGGCGGACAACGACGATCGTACGAGGAGTGTGCCCCCGGCGGGGAGGCCCAGAAGTGCCGGTCACAGGCGATGGAGCACTACGGAGCAGCCCTCGCGCTACTTGCAGACATTACAGCGCAGACCGTCACCGATTCCATGTTCGATGACATCCTTGCCGCGCTGTGGCTCATGATCTCCTATGAACAGCGGTTTGGTGACGGGTGTGGCACCGGCCTCATTGCTCACTTCCAGGGAGCGGCAGTCTTTCTTCGAGACAGGCTGCAGTATATCCAGGACATTACGGAGGAGTACCAGCCGAGATGCGCTGGCGCGACCGGCACTTCTCCTGACTCCCAGCGGACTCTGGGACACCTCTCTCCCTTCAGTTGCCTCATGATCTGCTGGATCGCACTGACAGATGGGGGCGCTTCCTTCCATGGACTGGGCGGTGGCTTCAATGATCTCTTGGGTGATGTAACCCTCGGACATGATCGCCACGCTGTATGCTCACGGCTTCGGACCATCGTGGCACTACAGAGACATTCCAACCTAGTGTACCAAGGCTCATGGGGGCCTGCCTACCCCCAGCATCAAGTGCTTGAAGATCTTGTCACGATGCGGCTCTGGAGCCTGCAGTCCGAGACGGGCCAGCTGCGGTTTCTTATCTCACGACTCCCAGCGTCTACTCACAACCAGTGGGAAAACCAGCCCGAGCTAGATCCCTTCGTGCAGATTGGAGACGCTCTTCGAGATGTACGAAAGCAGTATACAGAATATTTCGAGGCAGGTCGCGTGTTGGCCTTTGATGATACCCGGGCCAACTGGAGACTAATAAGGAATATTCGGTACATCCTACCGCTCTTCCTGGCCGTCACTCTCTGCTTTCACCGGATTACCAACAAGTCAGGCAGGCTGAACAGTGAGCAGCGCGATGCGCTACGAGACATCATGGATCTCGCGTACAAAACCCTGAGTGATGAGGGAGAAGGAGCCGTGGCGAGGATAGCATGGCCTCTCTTCGTTGCAGCGCTTGAGACCGACGATCCTATCCACCGGGCGTGGATCATAGATAGGTACTCTCGCTTCCGCAAGAGGGGGGAGAACTATCAGAGGGCGTACGATGCGTTATCAGTTGCTCTGGAGGACCACAAATCAGGACAGCCCCTTGTCGGAGTTGTGCAATTGCTGCAGGATAGCCGAGTTGACAAGTTTGTACTGTCACAGTAGTGAGAGACGTAATAAATCATCTAGGTAGAATGTACGTCTGGAGAGAGATAACATCTCCCTCTCCGAAAGGATATCCCCACAAAGGATCCCTCTAGCCATCTAACTAACGTCCTCCACTCAAACCAAATACGGGGTGAAAAGGACTGCCTGACATAGCATGGTGCGTTCACAGGGAGAACGGGTGTGCAGGCGAGACTAACAGTTGCCCCCACTGGCCACTGGGTCACCGTTTCATGGCTTTTACCATACCGTGGTCGGCTCGGTCGGCAAAATGAGACTCTGAGAATGATTAGTTCTTGGCCGCGAAACTGTACGGCGGGCGATCCGAACCTCATCCGCTTCTTTCAGATGCAGTTACCAAGCTCTAGAGTCAGAGTGTACTCGCCATTTAAAGGGGCGCAGAGGATATGCAGCGAAAGCAGTCCAGAAATTAAACGGCTGCGTAGCCATCCAGTCTCGTCCCTCACGTTGTCCCACGCTACTCCGTCGTAGAGAGCAGAGAAGCAGAAATGGAAATCTTATTACAAGAATCCGTCAGGTGTGTTTATTCATTGTCGTGGGAGATCAAGCAGCACCTTGGCGGGCTAATCAATCCATTGTTGTAGCATCCCCTTGCTTGATCAGCGATTCTCTGAGCTCAAGCAGTCTTTAGTCAAGGCAGAGCATAAACAGGACGTCATCCAGTCCTATGAAAGGCTTATCAATCTCCTCAAGTCCGAAGTCGATTTCATTGCCAAACATGGGCCTGCTATGGTGCCGGAGATCTCCTTTGCAGATGTGCTGGAGAATGGTAGGAGATCAAGTCACCTTTTGCGCACCCCTCGCCCATCCATGCTAATGAGCTGTCTTCTGCTCTTAGGTGGCGAGCTACCGAAGGACTTTGCAAATCTTGTCCGTGACCGTGGGTGTGTGATTCTACGCAACGTGGTGCCGGAGGATGTGGCAAGTGGCTGGGAGGCATCGTTGAAGGACTACGTGCATCGGCACCCTGGCGTTGGCGGCTATCCGAAAGCTCGGCCGGCAGGATGGAACGTGTTCTGGACAAAGGCACAAGTAGAAATGCGCTCTCACCCTGTAGTCATGAAAGCAATGCGCTCCGTGTCCAGGCTCTGGCACGTATCCGACCCCTCCATCCCGATCGACCTCGACAGCCAAATAGTTTACCCAGACCGCATTCGTATCCGATACCCGACAAACGATCCGGGCCAATTCCCACTACCACCACACCTAGACAGTGGCGGGACGGAGCGATGGGAAGACGAAGAGTACCGGAAGAACTTTGCATCGATATTCGAGGGCAATTGGCCTGAGTGGGATGCTTGGGCGGCCGATCACCGGATCAATGCCAAAAGCCAACTCTACGAGCAGGATCGCATCTCCTGCTCCGCATGGAGGAGTTTGCAGGGTTGGCTTTCGCTCTCGCACACCAACACTGGCGAGGGCACATTGCGACTTCTTCCGTCTCTCAAGTTATCGATGGCCTACATCATGCTCCACCCGCTGTTCCACACAGGAGAGTACAACGACACCCTTCCGACCTTCCCCGGGGCGACACCTGGTGAGACACAGTTCTTCCCTACGGCCGAGAACCATCCGCATCTGGACCTAGAGCGCGCCATCATCGGAATCCCCCCCGTGAAGCCTGGAGACTATGTCTTTTGGCATTGCGATCTTGTCCATGGCGTCGATCCGACCAATCCTGGCAAAAACGATTCTGTCGTCTTCTATAACGCATGCAACCCTCTCACGCCCTACAACATCGAGTCCCTAGTGCACACCAAAGCGGAATTCCTCCGGGGTGACACACCTTCAGATTTTGCACGCAGCCACGACGGCGAAAGGGAGTACACACACGAAGACTGCGGTGCCAGGATCGAGAATGTCCTTTCGGCGGACGGCCAGAGAGCGCTTGGACTCCGCCGGTTTGATGAAGAGGAACCAGGCCTGACGGAGGGACAGCGATTGGTTCGCAAACTTGCCAATGAACGATTGCAACAATAGAGACTGGTGGCTGTGACACCAGAGACAAGGTACGGAGGTTCGCTTCGCTACCCAGCCTTTTGAGGTTCAAGACATGTAGGACAGTAAACATGACCTGTAAAAGCTACTTAGAACTTAGAGACACCAGTACACTATGGATATGAAAGTCCTTGAATGTTGTTGAACTTTGAAAATAAGTAAAGTGAGGCCCTTGTATTGATTCGCGTGGTTTATTGGACGTGTAAACCGAATGCCATGGTAAAGTTGTGCACTCGAAGGGTCTTCTTTTCAATCCAATACAATCAGAGCTTGAAAAGGACTATCAATCTAATTAATAGTTCGAAGACGCTTCTTTAGAACTATTGTCATTCTGCGGTTCGACCTCTATCAAGCTGGCAAGACTGAAAGCTTCTGCCTTGCTAGAAACTCCGCACTGAGGGGATAATCCAGATATCCCACTGTCACCGGGTCACTGGAATAGAAAGTGCGTCGGTCGTATGCGTTGAACTCCACGCCTTCCTTAATCCTGAAGACAAGATCTGGGTTCGACAAGAAATATCTCCCAAACATCACAACAATGTCTTTGTTTGGATAACTTTCATCCACAAGCTTCCGCGCATTGGCAGCCTTGTAGCCACCAGCAACGAGGAGGGGCCCGTCCCAGAGCTTGTACGCAAAGTCGAGGCTTTCTGTATTCCCATGGCAATCTTCAGACCCGGAGATGCGCGACTCCACCAGGTGAAGGTAAGCAAGCTTTAGAGCCTTGGCTTTGCCGATAATGTCGGAGAACTGCGGGATCGGGTCCTTCATCTTCATGCCCTGGAACGTACTGAAGGGGCTCAGACGAAGGCCGACGCGCTCCGAGCCCACGGCATCAGCCATGGCCTGCATGACCTCGTGGATAAACCGCGACCTGTTCTCCACACTGCCGCCGTAGTCGTCATCGCGGATGTTGCTCGTGTCCTGGATGAACTGGTCGAGCAGGTAGCCATTGGCGCCATGGCATTCGACGCCGTCAAACCCGGCATCGATCGCGTTCCGCGAAGCAACAGCAAAGTCTCGCGTCATTTCCTGGATGTCCTGGACGCTCATGGCCCGCGGAACCGGGGAGTTCTCATCAATTGGAAGGGCGCTGGGCGCGATGATGTCAATGCCTTCTTTTTCGGCAACCTCGACCTGGCCGGCGCGGCCCAATGCGAAGAGCTGGCAGAAGATGAAACAACCCCTGGCATGGACCGCGTCAGTTATCTCCCTCCACGCGGCAATTTGTGCCCTGCTCCACAGGCCCGGGGCGCCGGGCCAGCCACCGCAGGCTGCTGGTGAGACGCATGTGCCTTCGGCGAGGATAAGGGTGCCAGGGACGGCGGCGCGCTGTGCGTAGTACTCCTTCATCATTGGCGTCGGTACACGGTCCTGGTCTGCCCTGAGGCGTGTGAGTGATGGCATTCCTATGCGGTGCTTGACTTCCACATTGCCAATCTTGAGGGGCTTAAAGAGACGAGACTCGGCCATGGTTTAGATCGGGAGAGAGAAAAGACTTGACTTTTGCGATGATCTAATATGTGCTGAAGACGATAACTGTCCAGCCTGACCGTTGATTTGAACGACGAGAGACCCTAGGACCCTTATGTATCAGTGACCACTGAACGTTGCCGGCTTACACGGTCCTCCTGCCCTGAAATGTAGATGCTTAGAAATGTGATGTGGAACCATCAACAACCAGAATTATTAATCTCGCCATAGTAGAATCAGAAAAGAAGAATAGAGATATTGCATCCTTGTTCAAGATTCCCTCTCGATTATTAGTTAAGTACCTTTTCTCCCAAGTATTACAAACACTTGCAATGTCATGTCTAAAGTGAGTAATGAGATTATTCCTGTTGCGGAAAGTGGGTACTTCCCAATCCGTCGGGGAGATTTTCCCCAAAAGAGACATGACATACTTCCTGAAACGGTTTAGTTAGTTGATTTCGCATCATCCGAGGCGACAAAACTCAAACATCATCATATTTCCATGGTAATATTTGAGAACGACGTTAGTATTTAGTTAAGACACAAAGTGCATATTTTTTATGACCCGGAAGCCGTGATGCCAGAACGCCTCGCTCAAAGCATAATTAGAGATCCAGCCTCCTCAATCTACACTGACACCTCCTTCCAGAACGTCTTGACATGCGGTATGAACGCATCGTCCGACCAGATGAACTGCTTCATAATCTGGAGCACCTTCTGCCAAGACGTGGAGCGGCTTGTATACCGAGAGCTATGTCTCTCCCGCAGCGCTCGTACGTAACCCGAGCGCGTCACTGCATCTGATGCGAACGCCCCTCCGATGTACAGAAGCCAGAGGAGCAATTCAGGATGCTTGTCCCATACCGGATCTTTCTCTGCTAGCTCAAGTGTAAAGAGCAGTTTTGATGAAATATGAGACTATTATTGCAGGGGATAGTTAGCAAGGTCCTTATAAAATTATAAAAGGTGTTCTAGCCCAGGGGACCATGACTGGGGACTTACAGGTATCACCAGGGCACACCAAACCTTGCAGCATAGCATGCTTGAGCATAAATATGCCGCAAGATAGCAACATTCGACGACCAGCGATGCTTTGTACAAACCCTTGAGCCGAGACTGAATCGATGCCTGGTGGTTGTTGATATGTGCCATTGAGATAAGGTAGCCACTCGAAGGACGGGCAAACTCCCGTATACATTGCAGTGCATTGATATCTTCAAGCACATCGATGAAGTCTTGGGTGAGCAGATGTGATAGTTTCCGAAATCCGGGTGGTAGCTCAAAGAACGTGGGCAAAAATGGATCCCGTTTCCATTGCAGCTCGGCGAATGTTGTGTGGTTGACCACCCGGCTCGATCCTGTCATTACCGAGGCGTTCAGGTCTTGCCTATGCGAATGAATGAGAACAGTTTATTTGGAGTATTCCTTGACCTCCAATCTTACCAGAAGATGGCTCGTTTGATTCCGTCCGTCAGATACAACCCGCCCACCCTGCAAATATCCAGCAACTGCTGCACTGCTCTCATGTGTAGCTGAACTTGATTTTGCATCCCCAGTCGAGCCTATGTCAGAAGAAAGTCAGTCACCAAAATCTAGAAGCATACAGCGGAGGATTGTGTACGTACGTCTACCCCAGCGAGAAGTAAGATGGCTCCGATCGTCGATGTTGAAGTAGCCCTATCAAGGGAGTCCATTCTCTCGCGAATGTACCCGATGGCTTGGCTCTGATACCAGAGGCACTCTCCGTCAATGCTTCCTCCGGTTGCGGCAAATGCCAAGGTCAGCATGATGGCGTTTGCCAGTGCCGGATCATCCAATCCACCCTGGAACACTGCGCAGAAGTTCTGATACGCAAGCTTGTCGGAAACACTAAAGACTGGCTCCGTGGCCTGCCTAACCTTGGCTGTATTGTTCCCTGTCAGGCACGTTCATCGTTGCAATGGCAAAGGGGAGAGTCCTTACAGTCGCCGAGTAATGCTTGCAACCTCGAAGAGTCCACCGCAAGAGACTGAAAAGGGTCAAGCTTGCTTGCGGATAGGGAACGTGGTGGCACAACGAGATTTCGAGCATCTCTCTTGGTGACCACTCCCCGCGAATAGTCGGTTGCAGATGATAATCGAAAGTTGTCGCCAGACTGTTGCTGCGCCCTTCGCTTCCTCTCTACCGCTTGCTTGAGAGCATGCGATCGAGCCTTCCGCCTGATCCTTCGATCTTTTCCATCATTCGGATGAGATACCGTGACGAAGTGAAAATTGGCACCTGGGTACGAGTCAGCGGCCGAATTGAAGTAACAATGTGTAGGGCGCAACGCACTCGTTTCGGCGAGGCCGTCGCTTTCCACCGAGTGGGAGCCCATCTACCTCGTCGGAAAAGAATCACTCATTCGTGGGAATTCGCTCCTTTCAAAAAGCTTATGGCTGTCAAGGGCAATGAACTGTGGTCGCCATCTTCGAGGTTGTCTCGCCTGTTGGGGGGGGGGGGGGGGGGGGGGGGGGGGGGGACGCACATTTACGAAGGCATGGGGAGCTAACGAAGGATGATGACAAATCCGAAATGTCAAGCTGCTGATCCCCCCAAAACACAACTCCCGTTCTACTCATGTCGCGATTGGGCCCTTTCTCAGAGAGCCTAGTCATTTCTGTCATCATTCCTAACTGTGTCGAGAAACGTGAGCACCTTGCGGAAGTATTACATGGGTTCAGCTACTGTCAATGGCGTTCCTGCACAGGATGCCAGCCAACCCGGCCCCGCACTGCGTTTCGCAGATGTAAGTTGGGCTATGCTTCACAGGTGACCTCCTGGAGACCAGTTGAGAGCCTAATGCACCGTGCCTTGACTAGGTCGCGGTAACAGCAACAGCAAAGGAGTTTGCCGGCATCTACCGAAACAAGCAGTACCATGAGCCCGACTTCTCTGCGGTGCTTGACAGGGCGCTGGAGGCAGGCGTCATGAAGGTCATGTTGACTGGCATGTCACTAAGTGACGTCGAGTTCAATATGGCCATTGCACGGTCACGGCCCCAACAAGTCCGTACCACCATCGGGATACACCCATACCACGCCTCCGAGCCGTACTCTGAAGAAGGCCATTTCGACCGGCTAGCAGGTGCTGTCCACGATGCTTTAAAGGCTAAGCCAAGCCTCCTCGCTGCATTTGGAGAGCTGGGGCTCGACTATGACCGAACAGACCGCTGTCCCAGGGAGAAGCAGATCGAGACTTTCAAAGGCCAATTAGACCTGTTTGTGGCAAACAAGTTCGACCTGCCGCTCTTCTTGCACTGTCGCGCTGCGTTCGACGACTTTGTTGAAATCATCAAGGAGTACTTGCCACATCTTCCCCGGCGCGGCCTTGTGCACTCGTTTGTTGGCACCACGGGTCAGATGCAGACTCTCACGAGCTTGGGGTTCGACGTGAGCGTTAACGGCTTCAGCTTCCAGGATGCCGATAGCCTTGAGATGGTCCGCAATATCCCTATGGACTACCTACAGATCGAAACGGATGCACCTTGGGGAGAGATTACGGCGAACTCGGAAGTAGCCAAAAGGTATCTTGGCGATGCACCGCCACTGCCTGCCAGCAAGAAGCGGGACAAATTTGAGATGGGTGTCATGGTCAAGGGTCGGAATGAGAGCTGTTGCATCAATCGAGTAGCACTTGCAGTCGCAGGAATCAAGGGAATAAGTGTTGAGAAGGTCCGCGAAGCCGCATGGGCAAACAGTTCAAGGATGTTCGGCTTAGAGGAGAAGGACAGAGATGGAACGTCTACTTAGAATGAATCTGGTTCTGAGGACCGCCAATATCCTGTACTCTACGACATCTCTAGACCAACTTGTTGTAAAGATCAAGGCTGGATATCCTCCAAAGTCAAGTCTGTCCCATAGACCATGCTCATCAAGGCAGGATTACTGCTGTACCAGTCGTCCAGCATCCATAAAGTTGAAGTCGGTCCCGCGGTTCCCTGCGCCGAGCCTGGGCTCATGAAGGCATTCTGTGTTAACTGTCCCGGTAATGCCTGGGGACATCCAAGGATTGGATCGAGCAACGTGTTTGGGTCCTGGTCAGCATCACGCGGCATGAACCCGAGAGCTGTGAGGTGCGCGTTCATCTGCACGTTGGCGTGCACGTTATTGAGCTGCACCTGCGACTGGCTTAGGTCGATGTAGTGACAAGCCACATTGTACAGGGTCTGAAAGAGATGGTGTATCTTGCTGGCGCCCTCGCTGACCGCTGGCGCTTTTTGTATGGACGTCACGAATCCCTGCATCAACACCAAGTCTGACTGGTTTCGCGTTTCGATTACCTGGCAGAAGAGGATGATAAATGGGATGAAGGGGGAGAAGAGAATTGTCCAGTAGAGATACAGGGGAAAGTAGAAGTCGGCTTTTACACCCATGGCCGCCATGCAGGCGTGGTGCCGCTCCAGCGTGTTCCGCGCGGCCTGGACGCAGCTTGAGCTGAAAGTGGTCGCAGAGTCGGGGCTTCGCGGCTCGGCACGGTAGACAAGCGTGATCAGAGAAAGACGGAGCACATCGTCCCAGAGCGCACAAAAGTCCAAAGCCTCGCTTCCAGCAAAGGTGTCGGCCTGTTTGCTCCAGTGCTCCTAAAAGAGATAGCTCATCAGTTTGCAGGTTGGATCAGAAGGGGCGGTATAACTCACATTCGTCAGCCGAATGGCATCGCCCAATTGATTGAGCTCGGCAGCGAGGCTTTGAACACGCGTCTGCATTACGTGAGCCGGTTGGGAACAGGCCTCGGGGCTATAGAGCAACTCGTAGATGTTTCCGTGACACCGGGCGAATCTGACCCATAATCTAAAGTAACTGAAGACTGGTTCCGTCTGCGGATCGAGCGTTGATGGCTCTGACACGGTAATGCTCCAATCTGGAATCTTGGACGGCCTGCCTAGCCGAAGTGAGAAACCCTTGTCCAGGAGGTAGGCGCTCCAGAAGAGGACCTTCTTGTATTCTATGACGTCCGGTGTGTCACCTTCCATAGATGAGGCATTGTGATAGCCGAGTACTTGGCACAGTTCAATGGCCTTGGAACTCAGGGTCCAGGCTAGTGACGGCTTGGAGATCTCGACTGCATGATAACTCTGTGGCGCCATCTGTTAGCATCGCCTCGACACTTTTACTTTGCTATGCTTACTCCGAGTAAGACCGCAACAATAACATCAGGTCGCGCTGGAAGGTGGAGAGGTAGCTTGGACAGCGCAGTTTCAAGGTTGGTGCGGCACAACTTGGCGTAGCTGAGTTGTTCCTCCCTCTCCTTTCCTGACACATCTTGGGAGTAGACTTTGAACAAAAAGAGGAGTCCACACATGGCCGTGATGAAGTCGAATTCGGATTGCGACTCGTCAAAATAGACCTGGTGGCAAAGCAGAGAGAATCGCTTCAGGGTGTAGAAGTCGTATGCCCAAAACGACATCTCGAGGTTTTTGGACTTCCCTGGGGGTGCGACACACGTTAGACAATAGCAGCATGGGTCGGCGTCGGCTTGTAATTACCTTTAGTAGACATCAGGAGCCCCATCGTCTTCTCGATGGGGGGCAGATCACAATGCCGAGGACGTGATCGCTTGACTGTAGGAGCTTGTGGCCAGGCCATTTCGCTAGCCGCGGTGGGCCTCTTGAGTGTGGTGACAATGCTGGAGAGGGCGTCCAAAGTCTGACGCATGTCCTCACTGGGGCTGAGGGATGAGCCATTTTCGACAAAGTTCTTGAGCAGGTCATTTGCGAATACGGAATGGGCCGCGATGGACGTGTCCCCCTCCACGAGGGTCTCACAGTCGATATCGCGCTGTCGCCCAGCACCCACAGAAGCAGGCGCTGGCTGTTCCGCCCGGTGGGCTGCTGCATCGGCATTGCCACTAGATGTTGACTTGCGAGCAAGGTCTTCCAGGAGACCAATGGCGACGTCTAGCCGCCGCTCCAGGGTGTCGATCTTCTGCTCACTGCGCAATGGTTAGGTTCGTGTTAATAGCACAGTGGGCTTCGACAGTGAGTTCCAGGTCTAGACAAGGCGACGTACTACTGCGTCGTCAAGAGGATGCGCGTCTTCTTCTCTGTCGGTCTTGCTTGATTTGTGCATTTGATTTTCGCCTGGACACAGTGTGAACAGGGGCGCTCTCGGTTGCATCACACCTGTTCTCAGATGAGTGTCACGAAGCAGTCGTGTAGACATATAGATGGGTGTACTTTTCTTGTACGGCAGGCGTCGCACTGTTTGAATCTTAGCTATTGACGCAGGTGAAAGTGCCAAGGTATTGCTTGACTTGGATGGGCAGTGTAGGAAGCTACTTACAGCTCGACTGACTCCCCTTGGCTGCGAGGACGACGGCGCGCGGTCGCTAGCATAACCGTTGTCAATAGCTGAGGCTTCCATGTTGCCAGCCCGATAGCGGATGGCTTTCAGTGAAACCACCTAGCTAGCGCATGGAGCCTTTCATTGGCTCCTATCACGGAAAGGCAAAATCAAATCCAGGTTGTGCTGCTTCAGGGGCTTTCGGAACAGCCACATGCAGCTAGGTCTTGAATGTGTATGTTTGGGGACGAGCCGGAGCGCAGCCCGCGGGATCCGCGAATGGCGATTTGTGCTTTAGGGAGGCGGTCAAAGTGCCAAGACTGGGGGCTTGCATGTGGAGCCCGGCAACATCCGATGTCCAGGAGCATCTAGTCCAGAACCCCGAGCGGCTGAACTCAGCCGCACGCAATGCTCGAGGTGAGGTTGCAAGGTAGGGACTGGAGTTATCTACCCGCCTGACCCGGGCGAGAGTCGGCAACCCCCTTCTGCTCCCTTGCCCTCGATGTCCTTTCCGGAATACTCACAGTTCGTCCCTACCGATGGTGTTCTTCTACTTCGGGCGGGATGATTCCTCGTGGGCGTTGGGTAACGATATCTTTTGCATGCAGCAAGTCTTCCATGGGCGGATTCATTGCTACCTGAATTGTTGTACTGATTAGTATTTAGGAGGAACCTCGGATCTTTTCAACGTTCATGGGGTCAAATCGAGGCTGCACGTCCGCGTGATCCAGATGTTGGAACGAAAATCGAGTGGTTGAGCACAGCACCAAACGGCGACTACTGCGTGTTGCTCAAGGATGAATCCTGTAGGGCCTGTCCCAGGAATTGTATTGGTTCTGCGTGAACCTGATTCTAGACGTGGAACTGACGTGCTTCCTAGTGTTGACGAATCGTGATGACCTGGTCAGCGCGATCCAGCAGCAACAGCAGCGCGACCCGGATACTTGCGTCGAGCATGTGAGCTTCTCTCACCAGGGCGCCTGGCTGATGCGGTTTAGCGATGACACGATCCAGCTCTCTCGACAGGGAAGTTTCCCTGACACCTTCTACAGCGACCTCGGACCTTATCTTGACCTCAGCACTGTTGCGCCTTACGATAGACAAGTGTCGGTGATCAAGAATGCATGGTTTGGGTACAATGACTCGGTCATTATCCAGACAGAACGGAAGATTCTCTGGGTCAATCTGTCAGATAATTTGGAAAAGCTTCTCACCCAGATCGAGACAAACGGGTATTCGCTTGGTCGCGGGACCACGCTATGCCCATACAACAGTGACCGTTTCTTCTTTGAAGTCTTAGCTTTACACACCGAGGAGCCACAATATCCATTCTCGGTGTCCGAGACTCAGTTCAGTTCGGAGTTCCTGATGGAGGTTGTTCGCAACAGAAGACCATCTCTTCAGACTATCCAACAGCTGCCTTCCCACGCGACCAGCAATGAAGCCGATCCTCCCTCCGGTGCCGAACGATCAGGCACACCGCCGCCTCCCTATCCTGGCTCTGCACAGACACAACCCTCAACGGACGCAACGCCATCAATCCAAGAAGAGGGGCTCGATCCTGGTGCGTCCGCAACAGAAATACCAGAGGCAGCGAAGCAGGAATACAAGAGCCAGTTCGCGAAGCACGCCTCCGGGAAGCCGTATTTGTCCGGAATGATGGCAGCCGTCATATTCATGGAGACGGGTGCCAGCCAAGACTTCCTGGATAGGATATGGGACGAAACTGATGCTGACCAGAACGGGCGTTTTGACGAGGCCGAGTTTGTCAACGCGATGTGGTTGATCAAGCTCCATCTCGCCACCACAATCCTAGTCGAGACAGATCGGAGACATCAGCACGGCAGTACTGCAGTAGCGACGGGGGTTCAAGCTGCTAGTGTCAAGGAGCTCGAAACCGACATGCAATGCACCTGCGACGCATGCGGGCAGCTGATCAAGTACGATTCCTTCCTGTACCATTGCCCAGTGTGCAATGGTGGAAATCTTGACTACTGCGAAGTCTGCTATTCTGGAGGCAACAGATGCCCGCATGGAATGGAGAAGGGTATCATAAGACCTGCCGATGTGCAGGACTACCTCGTCTTTGACGAGGTGCCTTGTGATCTCTGCGGCTATCCGTGTGGTTTCGGAAGCTATATGTTCCAGTGTGGGCAATTTGATGACTATGGGGAATCAAGACAGATTTGCGAGGAGTGTCTTGGTCACTATGGTGGAGATTGCGGGCACAAGCAGCAAATTCTGCGAATTACAGACGCTTTTAGTTCGACTCGACCCGAGGCGACAGGATCGCAGTCCGCCTTTGTGTCTCAGCAAAGGAAACCCGCCAATATCATCGATATTTCGTGGGAACAAGAGTCTAACAATGTGCCTGAGTACCCTTGGAACCATGAGCCCGATGATCAAGACAAGCCCAGCCGCAAGTTCCAGGACATGAAGCTTCGGGAGTCACTGATGAGTTCCATCGTCTCGGAAAAGCCTAATGTCAAGTGGGAAGACGTGGCTGGGCTTGAGTCAGCCAAGACTGAACTTCAAGAAGCCATCATCTTTCCGCTACGTTTCCCACAGATGTTCAAGGGTAAGCGCAAGGCAAGAAGGGCGATTCTACTCTACGGCCCCCCAGGAACCGGCAAAAGCTATCTCGCCAAGGCGATCGCCACCGAGGTGGAATACACGCTATTTAGAATCAGTAGCAGCGATGTGATGTCCAAATGGTATGGAGAAAGCGAAACGTAGGTCTTGGATCGCCCCCCCGGCCGGGTTTCATTGAGCCTGTACTTACAGAATGACCAGACTTGTTCGACAGCTGTTTAAACTAGCCCGAGAGAAGAAGCCCTCAATAATCTTCATTGATGAAATCGATGCCATCTGCGCTAATCGAGAAGGTGGTGCGAACGGCGGCAACGAAGACACGGCCCGGATGAAGACGGAGTTTCTCGTTCAGATGGATGGGGTCGGTAACGATAACGAGGGCGTGCTAATACTTGCTGCCACCAATTTGCCCTGGTCTCTGGACCCTGCAGTCCGACGCCGCTTCCAAAAACGTATCCATATCCCTTTGCCGGACGAGAATGCACGCAGGGCGCTTTTCAAGATCCATTCCGGAGAGTTGTGCCAGGGGTTTACGGAGCAAAAATTTGCCGAGCTGTCTCGCAGGACTGATGGCTTTTCCGGCAGCGACATCGCCAATATTGTCCAGGACGCGTTGATGGTCCCGGTCAAAAAGGTCCATAGTGCAACTCACTTCCGGAGAGTAGGTTGCTTTGTACCGATCTTCCTTCTCGATGCTAGATGCTAGACTGACATGCATTCGCAGCTGCCTGCGTCCAAGGGAGCGTGGTTCACTCCCTGCTCGCCATATGAGCCTGGTGCGATGCCCATGACGTGGAAGCAGGTCCCTGCCGACCAAGTGAAAGAGCCGTCGATAACGGCAGAGGATGTCTTTCAGTGCTTAGGAGATGGGAAGTCGTCAGTTGCGCCGGAGGAGCTCACAAAGTACACACAATGGACGCAGCAATATGGGTCAGAGGGCGCTTAGTTGGTAGCACACTCAGTGGGATTGTTTGTTCTAATTATGTACTTAGCTTGAACTGGAGCTAATATCTCTCTGCCTTGCCCACACACTGCTTTCTCACGAGTACGGAATTGTCTCCAGCAAGAGTCCTGTTCCACGCTGGATACTCAGATGATTGATCTAATATCGACTGTTCATTAGAATCCAGGCCCCCCCGCTTCCACCTCGACCAGGAGGGAGAAAGTATTGGTCCCCGCATCTGATAACCCCTCACACTTGCATGCACCCCGTTCTCTGTTTTCCCTCAACTCACACCACTTGCTTTGTGCGGTCAAGGGTGCCGCTGTGATTATTTGCTTTTCCCTCCCAGGCGCCTATTCCACGTAGACCTTCAGTAGATCAGCAGCCAATCGCCCCTCGATAAACATGGCCGAGACTGACAACCCTGTCGCCCCTGGCCAGACGGTGCTGCCACCAACGGCTGGTGCGGAGCCCATCCCCGCCGACGACGACCCCGACTTTGACAACGATGTGGATTCCGCCTTCGGTGGGGACGCGATGAGCTCGACTGCGTCCGTATCCTCGTCGATCCTCAAGTACAGGACCATCCATGGCAGGACGTACCACAGCGAACAGGGCAATGCGAAATACTGGTCAGTGTATCCCCAGCCTACGGCGTGCCAGTGGCAAACAAATGCATTTAGTCGTAGTTTCTGAAGTTCTCTCAAATCTAGGGGATCTAATGATGAGCGCCAGAGCGAGTCGATGGACATCCTGTAGGCTCGATCTAATCAACTGGCTGGCGAACTTTGCTGATCTGGTGACAGCGGCCATCTCATGACCCTCACCATGGATGGCCGGTTGTATCTGGCTCCCCTACAGCGGGAGAAGCTACAGGTACGTGAAGCCTTTTCCGCAACTGAAGTTATTTAAGTAGTTGTGAGCTGACATCTAATTGTAATTATCTGTAGAAAGTTCTGGACATCGGTACAGGCACTGGTAAGCCTTAATTCCAGGATTGTTGAAACTGCACTGCAGGTAATGGACTAACCATCTGATAGGTCTTTGGGCTATGTGAGGAGCTTGCTATGATTGTGAGCGTGAGCACATACTAATAGTTACGAAGTGACTTTGCGGACCAGTATCCCAATTGCGAAGTCATCGGCACCGACATCTCGCCGATTCAGCCTAGCTGGGTTCCGCCGAACCTGAAATTGTAAGACATCCTTGCGATAGGCAGAGAAACTGAAGAACAGATTGACAAGCTGTAGCGAGATTGAAGACTGCACACAAGACTGGACCTTCCCCGCCAACTCCTTCGACTATGTCCATATCCGCTACCTCGTCGGCAGCATCGCCGACTGGCCTGAACTTTTCAAGCAGGCCTACAAGGTCCTCAAGCCGGGTGCCTGGCTCGAGAGCTACGACGGCTCGCCCGTGCTCGAGACCGACGACGACACCCTGGGCGAGAGCATGGCCAAGTGGGGTACTTTCTTCGTCGAAGGTGGTAAGAAGATCGGGCGTAGCTTTACCGTCCTCGAGGACGGCACGCAGAGGAAGTCAATGGAGGAGGCTGGGTTTGTGGATATTCAGGAATGGGACTTCAAGGCATGCAGCAACGCTGATCCAACCACATCCAAGAGCACCGCTAACCATGCCGACTGCTGTAGGTGCCCCTGGGACGTTGGCCAAAAGAGCAAAAGCTCAAGGAGATTGGCGCCTTTGGCCACCTCGCCGTCATGTCCGACACCGAGGGCTTCGTGTTGTTTATGGCCAACGTGCTCGGCTGGACCATGGACGAGATCCAAGTCTACATCGCCCACCTACGACGCGAGTTCACTAGCGGCAAACACCACCCCTACTTTAGGATCAAGTGCGTCTGGGCCCGCAAGCCGTGATTGTCACGATGCTACGGTGTTTACATTCCGTTCGGAGACGGAAAATTACTATATGTCACAAGCTTGGGTTATTCTCAAGTATCAAAGGTCTAGCGAAGATCATATCTGGGTTTATATTCACTGCCTTTAAGTAAAGCGGATAATTGGACCAAGCCAGCTATCATAATCACCTAGCTGCCCCGGATCACCTCCCATTCGCAACACACTGAAGTACCATCGGTAATCGCCCGGTCCCAAAGTTCGCTGCTGACCCGCGTCGTCAGTGACGGTGAATCCGCTTCCACTAGGGAACACCCGAGTGCCCGGGTCCTCTAAGCCCGTCCGGGTAAAGAGGTTGCCATAGCTGGTGTAAGAAAAGAGTCGAGCTGCCAGAGGATCCGCGGATCCTTCATAGACATAATCTCCCGGGACAGTAATGTTGGCACCGTAACGATGAGCCGGGATGGTGGTATTAGCAGGAAGAATGTCGACGCGCCAGAGCGTAGTCCATTGGATGCGGTTGAGCAAGGAGCCGTATTGGGCAGTGCGGTTGACCTCTACGAAGCCGATGTCGTAAAAGCGCTCTCCATTAGTGTCGTTGACAAAGTAAATTGCCGGTTGGCCTCGTTCTCCGTTCGCGTCCGCTGGGATGTACGTGATGTAGTCGGTGTTGAAAGGCGAAAACGCAGGACCCGAGTAAGGAATACTCAGGTTCGCGCCTGTCGCAGGAACAATGTCGATGTAGCCTCCAAAGATAGGCCGCTTCTGGGCGTCGGCTTCGGCAGGCGGGATCACCGTCGCAAAGATCTGCGTCGCTGCCCCGGGAGCTAGGTCAAATGTAGGGGTGGGGAAATCGGCCGAACCGTACACGGGTCTCTGCACCATCTCCATGAAGTTCAGCAAGTCGTTTATGAAGCCGGCCCCCCTGTGACCCAGGGTGTACGTTTGTGTGCTGTCACCCCGGTTCTCGACGGTAAAGTTAACCACACCAAAGGTCGTGCGGTTGTTATCCGAGACGACGAGCTGGCCTGGAGAGACGCGAGACTGGGCCATGATCGCGTCGTAGGCATTGACGAGCCCGGCCCCTTGCTGTGCAGTTGTCGCGAGCATTGCCTCGTTGTATGGCCAGGTGACAGGACTGGCTGTGGTCTGAAGCAGCACAAGGATCTCATCAACAGACAGGGTCGGGAACCGAGATTTGACAAGGGCGTAGCACCCAGCGATGTACGGGGTGGCCATTGAAGTTCCAGAAATGATGCCATATCCCCCTAAAGGCAAAGGGAAAGTGGATAGTATGTGTCCTCCGGGTGCTGAGATCTGCGGCTTCAGCTCGTAGGTATGCCAGATCGGTCCATAGGACGTGAACCAATCTGGCTCGCCCCCCACGCGCTGTTTCGGATGGAGCGTATTGTTGCTGCTGAAGAACAGCTTGTAGTTTCCGAAGCCGCCTGCGGCCTGGTAGTTGCTCAGGAGGGTCACGGAGTCGGGTGGGATCATTGTATATGCTTTGGTCGCGCCGTCATTAAATCGATCCGGAAGGGGGGATTCGTAATCCATGTTGTATACGTTGGTGTTGTTGCCATCCGCTGCCAGAATGTATGGTGGTGCTGCAGTTTCCCGACAGCATGGGGCTTCCTGGGGCCGGCAGCTGTCGGTTGTTTGGTAGACGATAATAGTATTGTTAAGCGTGCCGTTTGCCTGCACGAAATTCACCGCATTCTCCCATGCACTGCTGTCGCAACCATCCCCTTCGATGACATACACATCTAGACCATCTGGCCTGTTGATCGGCCATATAGATGCATAGTGCAATTCTGCGCCGCTCGAGTCTGTATTGCTGTACACCAGAGGGAACCGTATATTGGCGATTGAGCCGACAGAGATGACAGTTGACAGCTCGCTAGGCAGCGTCTGGGTATGCAGCTCATGGCTGTAGGCGTTGGGAGAGCCTGTATTACCCATGGCCACAGAGACAGCGATGCCGGCATCGTGAAGCTTTTGCGCAATCCCAGCGACAGGATCCGATTTGGGAATGGGGGATACCTGACCATCGTTGAGGGAAAGGGACATGCTAAGGATGTCAACTTGGTCATCGAGTGCCTTCATCATTGCCTTCATGATCATCTCATTCGTTCCTCCCCGACCTCCGTTTCCAGGGCTTTGGCAGCTAAATACGCGGTAGACGTAAAGTGACGCCTCTGGGGCTACACCAGTGATTGGGAAACCCTCGGGAAATTCAAGAGGCTCCATACCAACAATCCCTGATTTTGGTCAGTTTGAATTATTGGTCCTGTTGTCTGAGGAATACTGACCTGCCACATGAGTAGCATGATGCGCCTCCGAGCAGTTGGCAAAAGGATCAGGGCCTTCGACCAGGGTGCCATCGTCGGCTATGAATGTATAACCTCCCGCAATCTTCTTCCCAGGTCCATAGCCCGCGCCAAGAGCTGGATGGTTGTAGTCGATTCCAGTGTCAACAAACCCAACCTTGATGCCATTGCCCTTGATGTTTACCTCATGAAGTTTGTCAACGCCTCCCATGGCAAGGGTAAAGTCAAAGTTGCCAGGATCATCCTGGCGTTTCATCAAAGATCGGGCGACTTGATGATCGAGCGACGAGACTTGTTTGACAGGCTCAACTGGAACTTCATATTGCACGACTTGTGAAACAGTGTTCACGCCGGGGATACTAGCAAGCCGCTCCTCCTGGTCTGAGGGACTATCTCTCTCGCTGAGGGTGACTGAAAGACCAACGAAGATACCTGGCTTGTCGAAGGTGTGCCGAATCGTGTATTTCAAGTCCTTTGCATTGTCATGGAATGACTGAAGCGAGAAACCATCTGCAAGCTCAATAATGAACGCGCCAGTGACAGCACCAGCGGTGGTGCAGAGAGACCATGAAAAAAGTAGAAAGAGAGTATAGAATAAAACAGGCATGGCGGTGCTAAAGCCGTAAGACAAGTTGCAGTAGTTTGTTTTGGAAAAAGAAATGGCAACCTGGGAGATCTTTAGATCAATATATAGTCCATGTCATATTAACGCACCGATATCATTGACGAGGAAGTTTAGAACGCCATTCCACACTCTTAGTCATAGCATTTTCTCCAACAGGCAGGTCAGCACATTGATTGTGAGTTAGTCCCCTGTCAAGGTTCCAAAACAGTCATCAAAAGTTGCACTGACGCTATGTCTTACCGTGGGGGGAGGCGTAAGCGACCACAAACCTATGCTCATGCTTCCAGTGAAATCCTCCACTGGACCGCCGAGAGAGGTGGTGGACACTGCGAGAGATATTCGAGAGCTCAGGTGACAGATCGTTTATCGCGGTGTTTAGACCCAGGCGTATGGGAGAGCACCGGCGGGGGAGCCAGACGCAAGGTCGGTGGAAGTTGATGTAACGTCAGCAGCAATGCTACCCCTGGCAAGGGCCTAGCTGCAAATTCGGCTAGCGGCACATGTGTCACAGGTCGGACAGTTCCTGTTCAGAATAAGCTCAGCTTCGAAAGAGGAAGCAGCTTGGCTCGAGCCCCAAGATGCCAGTTCTTTCACAGTCTCCCGTGGCCATGGTCAGACCCAGGGGTCGTGATAAGAGGAAGGATTCTTAGGGCTTGATGAGGAAGGTGGTGCGTATTGATCCCGGTAGATAACAACCCGATCAATCAAGGTCTCGGGACCGGAAATGAAGGTGACCACGTATGGCCCTGATATCTCAAGCCATCTCAACGACACCGACAACCAATTTCACATTGTCACGCACACGGCACCTCTGTACACCAACTGGATGTGTTGTAATTACATGAGATTTTAGATATCGTTGCCTTCGCGGCGGATACAGCGAAGAGATGACATGAGTGGGCATGTGAGCCTCCTCGTCGATCCGTCAGGGGACCACCTTTTGGTTCTGGTCTTGGGGCAAGGCGTATGAAGTCAAGATACGATCATCATTGAGATTGTCGAACCATCTGAAACAGCATGAAATTTGCTCGTGACCGTGCTTCATTGTTTGATTTTTACGAGAAATACTTGGCACTCAGACGAGGCCGTGTTGTAATCTCAAGTATGGTCATAGTTCTTGGTCAGGTCTTTCCGGAAGGGTTACCGAAGCCAAGATTCCAAGATACCAGGTTGTTGAACGGGTAGATAAATCTTGAAAGTGATGCATAGTGGGTTCTACACTGGTTGGAGATATGGCTTGCTTGCTTATGCGATACGGCAACCAGGACCGACGAAGCGAAGTTGCCGGACCAATCCCTGAGCTGTGACAACGGGCTTGGAACCCTTGCAAGGCTGACTATTCCAGAGAATAGAAGAATGGCCATCATAACACGGAATACAGATGAGGCAGTCACAACATACCTGTCATGCGACCGTGTAGAAATCTTCAAGGAGGAGTATTGGACGCAGTCGGAACGTGTTCCGCATCTCACATAAGGCGGCCTGATTGCAAGGCCGTCACGTCGCCGTTTAAGTTCATAGGCGATCCATGGTTCCTGTCGGGAATTCGGGAGAGCTTACCGCATCAGATACTCCGGCATAGAATGCCCGACTCGATGCTGACACCGAGGAATGCAGCCACTTTGACACAACAACTTTGCAATCCACGAGGAGTCAGAAGGATTATCATCAAATGCGACTATGCCAAATGGCGTATGAAAAATGCGCAACTATTATCGCCCTGACCAAGAGTCTTCAGTTGATCAAACCGGGCTATCTCCTTATTACGTTTGGTAAGGGCTTCAAGTCCGAGTTGGTGAAGATAGTGCGAGCTTTTATGCTCTCCCACAAGGGCGCTGAGTAATACTCCTTCCACGCCGACCCGGAGAGCCCCGACCTTTCTTTGAACTCTGCAAACGTCATCGCCGAGACGGGGTGGGAGGCCTCCCCTTCGGTGCCCCGTCCAGTTCCTGCAAGAGAGCCCAAGGCAGCAGTGGCAAGCTGGATCCAGAAATATGCTTGTGTCTCAGAGTAGGGGGATACAGTCTGGCTCACTGCCCTGCGACGTATAGTGGACACCTCGAGCGTTTCCAGAGCCTGCTTGACGACTTTTCCACGGCGGACACCTGATCTAGCCGCGCTCTGAGCAACAGTGAATCCGAACTCGAGCAGGTGTTCGTCGTTGCTTGAAGACTCATTGGTAGCAGCGCTTGAGTCCATGGCTCCAATCGTCGGTGGGAACGGCCGAAGATCCGGCGGAAGCCAGGACTCCTTTGCTTCTGGGGAGAACATGAGATCCTTGGAATAATACCGTTTCCAAATACTGGAATCCATCAAGGTTGGTTCGTTGGAGAGTACAGCACCGAACTGCTCCGGTGTTGGGGGACCAGGTAAGCCTTTGTCGAGGTGATATTTACTTGCGGCTCTGAAGATTTGGAGAACCCAAAAAACTGTCATTGTTCTGCGGAGGACGCAGTATTAGACTTGATCTCTGTCACAACGTGAGGGACTTACCTGTGAGTGGTGTTCTTGAATCTCTGCGGATTCGTCGCTCTGAGCCGTTCTAGGTGTGTAATGAAAGCGTCCGAGCTATGAAACACGCCATTTGCTGAAGGATACTGCTTGAGAATGACTAGATACCCAGCTCTTAGATGTGAATAGTGATCCCATGCTTCAAGTTGGCCGGTCAGGAATGCATCCCAAAAAGTACCGGCATCTAGTGAGAGCGAATTTGCCTTCTGGATCCGATCGAGCAGCTCCTCGTTGGAAATTCCTTGCGACGGGGGTGGGTTACTTTCGGATGAGCCGTTGGATACTGACGGAGCTGTGTTGAGTGAACTAGATAACGTTGTTTGTATCTCGTCCAACATCGCGTTGGTCTGCGTGCCGTGCTCCGCGCTGAAGCCGGGAAGATTCAAGACTGTGAGGCAAATGTGTTCCCTGTATGGGATCGCTGCATGTTGCAGTTTGGCAGTGACTCTCTCCTGGTCGTTCGCATTATTGCTCGATTGGGAAATGTCTTGCTTGTTGAATACAACCCAAACATATTGAGACCCTATCAGTTTGATCATCTCCAGTGCGGATGTGAAATCAGCTAGTGCTTCATCCATGCGCTCTTTATCAGAGAGGTCAAAGATGTAGACTATGAAGGATTCCGGGGTGATGTAATGTTTGACCAGCGGTCGCATCTGGTCGCATCCTGAGACAGAGGATGAAGGATTCAGCATAACTACATCACAACCTGGGAAGGGGTTATTATGGCCTGCGTAGCACTTACCACCGACTTCTAACAGCTCAAATTTAGAACCGCTGTGGTGCACAATTGTCTCGATATTGAATCCTATAGTGGGTATCGTCCTGACTGCCTTTCCCAGCTTCAACTGGTACAGCAGAGTCGTTTTCCCGCTGCAGTCTAGCCCCAGGAACACACCGCGGTACTGCTGGCCCTTGCCAAATAGCCAACTACCCAGACCTAGCGTGAGTCAGCCAGAGCCAACGACGGGCCTTTTCCACTCAGCACGGGGACTCAACTCACCCATCCTGATCGTGAATGCAATTGGTTCGGGAGCACTAGATCTTCTGATTAAGAGGATCTGCCAGCGAGGATGGTCTACTGAGACAATATCGGCTCAGCCCTTTCTTCGGGTTAGGAATGAAGACACGTAAAAAGCAACGATGCAAAACCAAACTTACCTACCACGCATTTTAGAGGGCCCTCTATGGAGTAAGGTCCATTTCGCTTTCCACGTGATCCACACCTGAGGGCCGAGGCCAAAACAAGGCCCCCGCCAACTCTCTCACGACGACGCGTGACCCTCAATGACCTAGATATGTCCAGATCACAATGTGCACCTGGTGGGTTCTCACAATGCCATTCATTACCGCACCATGAGGCCCTCTATAGCATGTGCAAACTGCAGGTCAGTGACCCATCTTCGATGCCAGTTGCAGTTGATGGCCTCTTTCCTGACTAGCGATCCAGGGCCAAGAAAGTCAAGTGCGTGGTCGACCGCGAAGGTGTCAGCTGTCACTATTGTTCGGTCCGCAAGACTTCTTGCTCCTATGTAAGAAAGTCAGCATGGGAGATCGCTCCAGGCACACCCAGTGCTGCGCCTGACCGCGGTTTTATCGTTCGTCCCGGCTTTGACAGCGGCTCATCCCACCCCTCGCCCAACTACCGTCTGACGGATGATGAGGGCAAGATCGACATCGGTCTCGGGCGGCCACAAGACGTCTTGAGAGAGCGGGAGCTAGCGCAGTCTCTCCTCCTGCTCTATTTTGATCACTTTGCCGATGTGCATTTCATGTTTGATGAAGAGCTTTTTCTCAGACAGTTCCTTCTCGGGGAGGCCCCCGAAGTATTGCTCTACTCTATAATGGCGTTAAGTATCAGGTCTGTCAGAAGGTTTGCCTTGTCAATCCCGGAACCACTCTGACCCTCACAAGATTCTCTCACGCCCCCTTTCAGGACGAGTCGGCGCCGTGCAACAGGGGAGAGCTTTTCTTTGATCATGCGAGGCAGCTCCTCGAGCCAAATTTTGATAGCCCCTCTATTACCAATGCTCAAGCCTTGGTGCTTTTGAGTACTTACAAGATTACCTACGGAGGATCAAGGCAGGCCTATGTTTTGCTGAGTATGTTTTGTTGTCCCTACTCACGGCAGATTATCTCACTGACTGTCCTAGGTCTTGCCGTAACCATGATGCAAGTCCTTCGACTCGACGAGCAGCAAGAGCCAGACACTGTTTCTACAGAATTGAACCGGAGGCTTGTCTGCACAGTCCTGCTCATGGACCAGCTTTTGAGCCTCCCGCTTCGGCTACCGACACTGTTGCCAGACGACTTTCCCATCCCATCAACCATGGGCGAGGATGAATTTTGGGCATTGAAGCACCGGACGCAAGCGCAAGCCCCGTTAGAATCGAACCACGGAAGGATCTATAATCTTCTAGTTCAGTTGTCCAGGATCATCCACGAGATCGGTCTGGTCTACCGAAACGGCGGCTCAATAACAGAACTCGAACGAAGCAAGACAGAGCTAGACGTTGTCTTTTCCACCCTGAACTCGTACTATAGGTATGACACGGCAAATCTGATCGCAAACAAGGACCGGGGGACACTTCGGCGGTTTGCCTTTTTGCATCTCCTCTATCATCACGCTGGACAGCTTGTGACTTTCTGCTCGCTACGGGGTCTGGAGAAGTCCGTTTGCGAACCATTTTGTCATCCAGAATGGGAGGGTCACTGCTACGAGCATGCACAATCAATCACAGGCATCATACAGTACACATTCGAACAGGCTGGCTTTGACCTGCATAATCTTCAGATGGGGCAGATACTCACAGTTGCCACTATCGTTCATGCTCATGCTCGCATGAAGGCATCATCACGCCACGACATAGAAAGACTTGGCATCGAAATCGCAACGCTCCAGAACTGTGTGGACCGGCTGAAGGTCCGCACAAGAATGTACAACTGGGTGGTAAGTGTCTCCCGCCGTCATCGTGGGAGACTGAAAATGGACTAACCGAGTCAAGATTGAGCACCTGGAGGGCTTCTGGGAGGCTTTCAACCAGAACCACGAATGCCCAGGAGAAATCTTCGATCAGAATAGCCGGCTTGTGAGTGAGGTTTTGTGCATAGGCAGCCAATGGGGAACAATGTCTCTTCGAGCAGCAGGTACGAAGTCGCAAGCCCTCGTCCTCAATGTTATTGGGTTCTCTCGCTAACTCTCTGGTAGGCCGGGTTCGGATGATGGGGGTATTAGCCAAGTAGAATGCGGAGAATCTGATGTAGTCATGTCTATAATAAATGCCTTGTGAGGAATCTATCTCCGGAAAATACATCAGACGCCTTGCCAAGTGAATGAATCCGGCAGGGAGAAGTTGATCCTGTGTGCAATATCCACACTTGACAGCCCTACCAACACTTGATAGGCGCCTTTCTCAGCTAACCAACAAGAGTTGTCCTTGTCGTACGAGCTCACAGCATATTTATCGAGCTGAACAACGGCCTCTTGGGTCTCGCTAGGCTCGACATGAACCTTGGCAACACCTTCGAGCCGTTTGAGAGGTGCAAGAGTGACATAGCCTTTGTCTGAAGGCGTCCTGGCCACATAGAATTGCACCAGGCATTTTCCAGCTCTCATCCCGGTGTTCTTGACTGTGGCTTTGACAGTAATGTATCCGTTCTTATCAGAAATGGCATCCTGCCCGAGAATGGAAGCACTTTCAAGACTGAAAGTAGTGTATGACAGACCAAATCCGAAGGGAAACAGCGGTTCGGGCGCATCAGGTCGATCGTACCATTTGTAGCCCACATCAAGGCCCTCCTCGTAGCGAAGGATGTCGTGTGAGTCTACGGGGAAGTTGCCGAACGAGGAATTGTCCTCAATTCTCTTGGGCCAGGATAGGGGCAGTCTGCCACTGGGGTTGACATTCCCAGAGAGGACGGCGGCAACCGAGTCACCCGCCTCCTGGCCTGGGAACCAGGCTTGGACAATGGCTGGTGCCGTGTCGACAAACTGAGTCATGGCCACTGGGGCTCCGGTGAAATTGACAACCACCGACTTGGGGTTTGCTGAGATGACTGACTGTATCAGCTTGTATTGCTCCCCGGGCAGATCCATGGTCTCGCGGTCGAAGCCCTCTGACTCAACCTCATTGACGTTACCGACGCAGACAACCGCATAGTCACACGACTTGGCGATATTAGCAGCCTCTTCAAGCCGTTGGGGGATGTCGATATGCTCGTGGAACCGGATAGCGCTTCCCTGAAACATCTTCCAGTCCAATGCCGCTAGGAGATGCTCTTCTGTAGCCCACGATTCGAGCCGGATGGAATACCGCTGGCCGGCGGTCATGCTGTAGGTGAAACGCTTCTCTAGTTGTCGCTTGAAGAAGTAGAACGACTCCAGCCGCAAGTCTTTTTCTTGTTCTCGAGTGAAGACGAGTTGGTCGTTGACATAGCACAGGGCTCTTCCCGTGCTGATCACCGAAAGGATGTGGTCTCCCGTGCTGGGAGCAACGAGGTCAAACGTGATCCTGGTGCAGCAATCTCTCTCAAGATAGGACGGCCACTTCTCCTTGATCATGTATTCTGCTTGTGGCCTCCTCTCTTCATGTGCGAGATTCTCCCCAATGACAGATCCGTTGAACCACTCGAGTTTCACGGGGTTTGCGGTAAGCTCCTGCTTGCCGGTCTCAAACACGATTGCGGGGTCGGCATGAGGGACTATTTTGCTCTGTGTCAGTAGATCGGGCAGAAACAAGATGTCGCATCAAGTGTGAGTGAAAGGCTTACCTGCGCCAAAGACGGGTACTCCGGCTGCAACCTTGGTCGTGTAGCCCAGCTTCTCAAACCCTGTAGGGACGTTGACAGTGTGCAGCGCATCCACACGAGCGCTTCCGCCCCCACCCAGGACAATCGACGTAGCGTGCTGGCCGATGACAGCCACTGTGGACCCCTCGGGGATGGGCAGGACTTGCTCGTTCTTCAAGACTGTGAGGCCGTTGGCTCCGACAACCTTGATGAGCTCGTCTCTTGCCGCATCTTCAACAGCTCGCTCCGGTGGCTCATCCGGATACTCAAAGCACCCCAGCCTCTTTGCGAGCTCCAAGACTCGTCTTGCGCTAGCATCAACCTTGGCTTGGCTGAGTGTGCCCGCCTCGACGGCCTTGGTGACTGCGTCCTTGGTGCGCCACTTTGGAGGGCCAGGCATCTCGATATCCACGCCCGCTTCTATACCTGGCGCTGTCGAGTATGTGCCCGCCCAGTCGGAGACCACAGTGCCCTTGAATCCCCACTCTTCTCGGAGCACATCTTGAACCAGCCGCCGGCTGTCGGGAACATAGGTTCCATTGACCTTGTTGTAACTGGATCTTGGTTAACGGATGTTTCTCTCAGGATACCTTTTGGGGGAGGGATTGGCTATACCTCGTCATGAAACACCACGGGTCAGACAGCTTCATGACCATCTGAAAGGGCCGTAAATAAATCTCGCGCAAGGTCTGCTCGTCTACCTCCACTGAGAGCTTGGTTCTCCGATTCTCGGCGTCGTTTGCGACGAAGTGCTTGGGCGTCGCGGCGATGCCCTCCGCCTGGCAGCCGCGCACGTAGGCAGCACCGAGGATGCCGAGCATGAAAGGGTCCTCGGAAAAGGTCTCATAGTTCCGACCGCCTAGAGGAGAGCGGATGACGTTCATGGTCGGTCCAAGGAGCGCGACGGCAGACTTTGTCTTTGCTTCTTTGGCAACGGCTCCTCCGACCCGGTACGCAAGGTCGGCATCAAATGTCGCTCCTACGCAGGTGCCGCATGGGAAGCACGCTGCCTTGATGCCGCTCACATAACTTTCGCCTCGCGCGCCATTTGGCCCGTCGGTGAACTGTCGAAGATTCCTAGTCAGCATAACAATCCCACTACTTTCATGCCCTGCCATTTCACTGACCTTGATGTGTGGTACGAATACTGACGGCCTTTTGATGACAGGCGTCCGCCACCAATCGACTCCGGCCAGAAGAGAGACCTTCTCTTCCAGCGTCAACTTGGTAAGAAGTTCCGAGACATCGACATCGCCTGGATTTGACCCCATTGTAGAAGCTGACGCACAGGGGCAAGACACTATGAAGCACGAGGGGAAGCTAAGAGGTATGAATTGTGTTGGGAAAGAATAATGGCTGTTTGTTCGATTTTCACTCCTTTCGCCCTGGATGGGCCCGGAGATCCAGAACTCCATACGCATTAGTGGGTGTGGGGTTGCACCGCGTCCATCACGCATCTCGTCCAAGCGAGCTTTTGCACCTCCGGCCGGCGAGAAGCAACTCTCATTTGTTCATTCCCCGGACCCCTGGTATTCGTGGCCGGCATGCCCGGCCCACTCCCATGTTTTGTCCCATATCGACTGGGGAAGAGAAGAATTGCCTGAGTTGGAAGCCGAGAGGTCGAGAGGTCCCGTGATGGTGTGCCGTGGAGATGCAGCGGGTCCTTCGGTCTATTTCGGCAGTATTGCATTGTGATTGGTTTATCCTCCGCGATTCCGGGGCGAACCCGGCGAACACCACTCCCCAGTGGCTCCTCCAGCTTTGCTTCAAGCAGGCAAAAATTGTTGGTTCCTGGGGATGTGTGCGCCACCCGAAGAAAATTACCACTTAGACCCAGAATCTCGCGAGACGGGGGGCGCCTTGGGGTTGGCGTGAGGAGGTAGGATTTTCAACAACACTGCACATCAGACTACCCCGGACTCCTGACCAGGGAGGCCAGCTGATGTAACCATTGTAGCATGCGATCTGGAGGGGGAATGGGCCATTCGATATCCATGGGGGAAAAAATATAAGAAGACAGACGGCGCCCGCGACCATAGACCATTTGAGAGTCTGCAGCCTTTGACATCCAAGGATTCTCCTTCCCTTTCCCGACTGTTTCCAGCGTACTCAACACAATGCGGACGAGCGTGGATAACAAGCAACCGGCGTCCAACGTCGAGGATCCTCGATCCGAGACAGCGATGCTGCACACGCTAGACGAGCGAATCCTTGAGCTCTCGCACCAGTCGCCGCCGTTCTACCGAAATCGCAACCTTCTCAGGCTGTATCTCCTCATCATCCCCGGCTGCTTGGTGCCTGCCATTACCCTTGGCTTCGACAGTGCCATGATGAATGGTCTTCAGGCAGTCCCAACCTGGGACACCTGTGAGTGGACATCCCTTCTCCTTATCCATGCCCATCAGTCTCTGACTTGAGATGCTCTCCTCTGTACAGATTTTGGAAAACCACGAGGAGCCATTCTCGGCATCTTGAACGCCATCATCGCACTGGGCTGCATCTGTGCCACGCCCTTCATCAGCATGGTTGGAGACCGTCACGGAAGGCGGATGGGCATCTTTACCGGCGCGATCATCATGCTGATCGGAGGTATCATCCAGGGTGCATCGGTTCACAGTCAGTATCATCCTTCTCCTCATGATGCCCGGCCCAAGGCTAATCAGGTTGTTCAACACAGTCGGCATGTTCCTCGTATCGCGGTTTATCTTGGGCTTTGGTCTAGTCTTCGCCAATGCCTACGCGCCCATGCTGATCGCCGAGCTGTCTCATCCCAAAGACCGGCAGGTTGCTACCTCTCTATATCAGACATCCTGGTACCTGGGTGCGGTGTTTGCCGCCTGGACTACGTTTGGAACGTTCCGGATCCCCAATGAGTGGGCATGGAGGATCCCCTCCTACCTCCAGGGGTTCCCGGCGCTGATCCAGGCTGTGGGCGTCTGGTTCTTGCCTGAATCGCCTCGTTGGCAGATTGCCCGAGGCAAGCCAGAGATGGCGCACGACTTCCTGGTAAAGTATCATGCAAATGGCGACGCTGCCTCGGAGCTCGTCAACCTCGAGTACAAGGCCATGCGGGCGGTCATCGAGGCCGAGGTCAACAACGAGACTGGCTGGAAAACGCTCCTCGCGACGCCTGGCAACCGCCGCCGTGTCCTGACTCTGGTGCTCCTCGGTCTGTTCTCGCAGTGGTCCGGCAACGGCCTTGTATCATACTACCTGGCTCGTGTCCTCGAAACCGTCGGCATCAAGGACGCGAGCACCCAGAACATCATCAATGGATGCCTCATGATTTTCAACTGGATGACTTCGGTTTGCTCTGCCTTTGCCACAGCCAAGCTCAAGCGGCGCACGCAGTTCCTCACCTCTGCTATCGGCATGCTCGCGGTGTTCTCGGTACAGACGCTCTGCGCCGGCCTGTTCAACGAGCGTGGGAACCGTGCGGCGGCTCACGCCGTCATCGCCATGCTCTTCATCTTCTACTTCTTCTACAACCTGGCCTTCAACGCCCTGCTCTACTCATACCCCGTTGAGATCCTGCCGTATCCGATCAGAGCCAAGGGCTTCTCCATCCTCATGTTCTTTGGCAAGGCGGCCGTCTTTGTCAATGTGTTCCTCAACCCCATCGGTATGCAGGCGCTTGGCTGGAAGTACTACGGTGTTTACGTTGGCGTGCTGGCGGTCGAGGTTGTACTCATCTGGAAGCTCTTTGTTGAGACCAAAGGCCCGAGTCTGGAGGCCATCGCGGCGCGTTTTGATGGGGACAAGACCGCAGTCGACTCGGAGACGCTGACCAAGGACCTGACGCGAGATGAGAAGGAGACTGCGTAGACCGGGGAACACACGAGGGAATCGCACGAGAGGCGACGTACAACTGTGCTGTTCTCGTCTTGTAGGATAGATAGGTCTTGAAAGGAAATTGGGGTAGAAATTGTTTATCTCGTCCCGAAATTCTACCTACGTAAGGACCCTAGCTGTGTCCCTTTTCCGAACGAGTTTCCCGCATCATCCCAACCGATGGCATGTTGGGATGTGTCCTTCGGGTTCGTCGCTCTGGGCCCCCACTGACATCACAAGATGTAGCACACGATTAGCTGGACTCATCTTCCCCGCATCTCAAGACCCCGCCCGGGTCCATCTGTAGGTAAGCTGTCCCATTTCGGCATCCCTATGGGGGGCCATCGATCGCCTGCTGCAGTCACGTAAGTCCGAAGATCCAACCCAAGCACAGCCAGACGGTTGTCCTCCCTCGCGTGTCCTGTCTGAACAGCACCGTGATCTCAGAACCGCCTTCAAGCCCGTTCTGCTAGAGCACGGACAGCGTTCGCACGTCCAAATAACCGCATTTTCCCCCCTCAATCATGCCAGGAAGACTGGAGGGCAAGGTTGCCATCGTCACCGGCGGAGCTTCCGGTTTCGGCAAGGGCGTGGCGACCAAGTTCGCCGCCGAGGGCGCCAGGGTCATCATCGCGGACCTCTCGCAGGAGGCCGGCGAGGCGGCCGCCAAGGAGCTGGGTTGCGACTTTGCCGTCGCCGACGTGACGAACCGGGAGCACTGGAAGCAGCTGCTGCAGACGGCGCTGGACAAGCACGGCCAGCTCGACATTGTGGTCAACAACGCCGGCGCCACGTACGCCAACAAGGCGACCGAGACGGTGACGGAGCACGACTTTGATCTGTGCTTCAACGTCAACGTCAAGTCGGTGTACCTGTCGGCCAGCGTCATCGTGCAGTACTTCCTCAACAATAAGCGGCCAGGGTGCTTCATCCAGATGGCCTCGACGGCGGGTATACGGCCCCGGCCTGGACTGACGTGGTATAACGCGTCCAAGGCGGCGGTGATCAACGCGACCAAGACGATGGCGGTCGAGTACGGGCCCAAGCAGATCCGTTTCAACTCGGTGAGCCCAGTCGTGGGCAGTACGGGCATGTAAGTGCAGAGAACCACTTGCGTTTGCTGGATCATGGCAAACTAATCACAGAATATCGCAGGACACACCTATTTCTTGGAAAGCCAGACACTGAGGAGAACCGGGCAGGGTTTGTGTCTACGATCCCTATGGGACGGCCGTCAACGCCCAAGGACATTGCGAACGCGTGCTGTTACCTGGCCAGCGACGAGGCCGAGTTCATCACGGGCGTCAACCTGGAGGTAGGCTACGCACTCTTATCTCCCAGTGATCTTGAGCAAAATATGGTCTTATGGTCCAATACTGACGATGTCCTTTCTACAAAGGTTGATGGGGGACGCTGTGTCTAGGATGATATGATCGTGACGATTGCCTGGGTCGGAGCCCTCGTGGGACAACCTCAGCATTTTGCAATCGTTGACGTCAGAGTAATGCAGTGTGTAACACATCTAAAGACTAGATCGACTGTTCAATGCAAAGTGTGCATTGAGCATCTTGCAAATGGAATTGCAAACAAGCAGCCCTCTACCAGCTTGTCATGCCATTTTCGCCCAGACAGATTCCCCGATCTTCGTGCCGAAACAAGCCGGGAGCTGGGGCCGCCGAAGCCGGCCATCCTCAGCGGACTGCTCGCCGTGCTGGGTGTTCCTTTTAGCGGTCGCAAGCCTGTCTAGTTGCTGCCGCTCCACTAAAGAGCCACCGACCCCGCACCGTCAGCGCCCCCAACGTCGGGGAAGCTCGTGAGGTCGGTTGAGCCCGTCCCCCACAACATCATCTGCTCGGAGAGTCCAGACACAGGCAAAGGCCAAGCCAAGATACACCAGCAGAAGCCCTCACGCATAGCATAGGTCCCAGAGACCCTAGATCAATACCTGCCGTGAATCCTCCAGATTGTTCTTCGTTTTTTCGTACAAGCATCCAAGCAAGCAATGCCGTCCACCATCCACTCCGTGGAGCCCGTCCCTCCCTTCGAGCTCCAAGACCCGAGTTTGCTCAAGACGCAGTGCCACGTCAACGGCAACTGGGTCCCTGCCAAATCCAAAAAGAACTTCCATGTCATCGACCCCGGCACGGGCAAGCCCTGGGCTCTCTGCCCGGACTGCGGCGCCGAAGACGTCGAGCCCGCCGTCCAGGCCGCCCACGCCGCTTTCAAGTCCTATTCGCGCACGACGCCCCGCCGCCGCGCGCAGCTCGTGCTCGAGTGGCACCGCCTGATCCAAGCCTCGCGTGAGGACATCGCTCGCATCCTCGTCCACGAGACTGGCAAGCCGCTCGCCGAGGCGCTCGGCGAGGTTGACTATGCCCTGACCTTTGTGTGGTGGTTCGCTGGCGAGGCTGAGAGGGCGCATCAGGGCACTACCGTTGTGTCGGCCATCCCCGGCAGGAGGGCCATGGTCATCAAGCAGCCCATCGGCGTCGTGGCGGCACTGGTGCCCTGGAACTTCCCCGTCGCGCTGATGCTGCGCAAGGCGGCTGCCGCGCTTGCGGCCGGGTGCACCATGGTGATCAAGCCGTCGCCTGAGACGCCGCTGACATCGCTTGCGCTGGTCGAGCTGGCTGTGCGTGCCGGCATCCCCACGGGCGCCCTGGGTGTGTTGACGACGAGCTTGGAGAACACACCTGCCGTGGCCGAGGCGTTGAGCCTCCATGACCTCGTCAAGGTGGTGAGCTTCACCGGCAGCACCAGGGTCGGCAAGTTGATCTCTCAGCTATGCGCCAAGAACCTGAAGCGGACGGTCCTCGAGCTCGGTGGCAACTGCCCCTTCATCGTGTTCGACGACGCCAACATGGACCAAGCCATCGAGCAGCTTATGGCGCTGAAGTGGAGACACGCCGGGCAGGCATGTGTCTCGGCCAACCGACTCTATGTGCAGAGCGGCATCTACGACACCTTCGTCGAGAAGGTCGTGGAGAAGACTCGTCAGCTCAAGGTTGGGCACGGGATGCAGGACGGGGTCACGATGGGCGCCCTCACAACTCCGCAGGCTCTGGACCGAGCCGAAGAGATGTTTGCCGATGCAGTCGCCAAGGGTGCAAAGGTAGTACTCGGCAACGGGAAGAGGGAAGCGTCGGAGGGTTACTTCTATGCCCCCACGATCGTGGTCAATGCCCAGGACAGCATGAGGATCGGTCAAGAGGAGATCTTCACCCCGCTGCTCGGCATCTCCAGATTCGAGACGGAAGAGGAAGTAGTCGAGAGGGCCAACAACACGCCCCTAGGGCTGACGAGCTACGTCTTCACCAAGAATGTAGATCGGCTGTGGCGGATGTTCGAGAACCTGCAAGCGGGCATGATAGGTCTGGTAAGTCTGTTATTACTCCTGACCCCCGCGCAAGGGCAGCTTCTGACATGGTGCATCGGGCAGAATACCGGCAACAACTCTGCTGCCGAATCGCCATTTGGGGGTATCAAAGAGAGTGGACATGGCAAGGAGAGTGGCAAAGACATTGCGCTCGACGAGTTCTTTGTCACCAAGACGGGAACCCTGACTGTCGAAGGACACTTCTGACGATCCCCGCTATAAGAGTGCCAGCACCATCTGCAAAGTATTACAAGCTGGGAAGGTGTCTGTCGGTGATTCTGTAAATAGCTTTAGTAAAGGTAGCATGGGCATTGGTGGACACTGGTCTTGGGGATTGTCTTCGAGCTCCCAGCATCAATCTAACCCCCCTTTTGGTAACATCACCCACCGGAGAATGCCCGATGAGCCCCGATGAGATATTTCTGGGACGGCCGCCCGAGGTCGGAAACGGCAAAAGATCAGGAGACAGATGCCCCCTCTTGATGCCGATGGAACAAGTTTAGGTAACCCGGGTCCCTCCAAGCTGTAATTTATTACGTGGTTGTCCTGACTGCCGTGCGGGGTGAGAGGCCCATCTCACGACACCAGTCCACAATCCAGCATCCTGCGGCCTGCTGGGTGTGAAAGGAGCGGCTTATCCAAGGGAGTCCGCCCTCCCCCAGTGGAGTTTGCCCCATAACCTTAGCCTCATCGCTTCACCCCAAGCTTCTCTCGTAAACCGGGTTTGCGGAGTGGTCGGTTACCTGACTCGGCCCAGTCTAGGATCCTAGCGTGGGGGTCACATTTTCGAGAGGAGGCTCATCTTTTGTCAAGCACACACACTCCAGCACCCACACACCTGCCTCCCTCCTCTACTCCTCTAGGGGTTTTTGAGGGGCGGTGCGGACCACACAGTGGCGAAGGGTCCGGCCGGCCACCGTCACGACTCTTTTAGCTGGTGTTAGTCTCTGAGGAACCAGCGTAAAAGGCCGCGGGAAGTATAAAGCTAGTCGAGAACTGATCCGCTCCCCGCCAGAGACTTGAAAGGATGGGTCTGGCGTGGGACGAACTCTCTCTTTCTCTCTTACTGATCTGGCGGGATCCAGAGTTGAGAAAAAAGGTCTAGATATCTACGATGCCTCCCTCCGCTTCAGGCTACGGCAACGGCAACGGCACCGCCAGCAACATGACTCTCGCGACCTCCTCCGCACCCAGGCCCCTTGAGCGGGGCGTCTACGTACCCACCGTCGCCTTCTTCACGCCCGAGGACACAATCGACGAGCAGACCACCCGGACACACGCCGTCAACCTCGCAAGGGCCGGCGTCGCCGGCATCGTCACCCACGGCTCCAACGGCGAGGCCGTGCACCTCGACCACGCCGAGCGCATTCTGGTCACGCGAATAACCCGCGAAGCACTCGACGAGGCCGGCTACACTCACCTGCCCGTCGTCGTCGGCTGCGGCGCCCAGAGCACCCGAGAGACGGTCCAGCTGTGCCGCGAGGCCGCGCAGGCCGGCGGATCCGCTGTCCTGGTCCTGCCGCCGTCCTACTACGGTGGCCTGCTGACCACGGAGCTCATACTAGCGCACTTCCGCGCCGTGGCCGACGCATCCCCGCTCCCCGTGCTGATCTACAACTACCCGGGGGCGTGCTCCGGGCTCGACCTGTCGTCCGATGTCATCCTGGCGCTGGCGGAGCACCCCAACATCCAGGGTGTGAAACTCACGTGCGGGAACACGGGAAAGCTGGCGCGCGTGGTCGACGGCGTGAAGAGGATGGCGGGAGGCGGCAGCGGCGGTGGCAAGACGTGGAGGACATTCGGCGGCAGCGCCGACTTTACGATCCAGGGGCTGGCCGCGGGCGGGGACGGCATCATCGCGGGCAGCGCGAACCTGGCGCCGCGGGCGTGTGTCGAGGTCATGCGGCTCTGGGACGCGGGCAAGCTGGCGCAGGCGCGCGACATGCAGGGCGTGGTGGCGCGGGGCGACTGGACCATGATCCAGGGCGGCTTCGTCTCGGTGAAGGTCGGCCTGCAAAAGTACTTTGGCTACGGCGGGGAGCCGCGGCCGCCGTGCGCGCTGCCCCAGGGCAAGGCGCTGGCCAAGCAGGAGGAAGGGTTTGCGGAGATGATGGCGTTGGAGAAGAGGTTGTCGGGGGCGGCGTGAGGAGGTCGAAGTTCCAAAACAATACGTTTCCTTCCCTTCCTGTTGTACTCTGGCCGCGACGGCTGGGTTATAATAGATAATTCTGGAATTAATCCATACGTTCTCTGCTTTGGCCAATGGGGTGGTTTGCTCCAGTCCGTCAAGAACAACTGCGCGTGATGAGGTAGGTGGTCATATCATCGAGGATAGAGGTCAGACGGCTGCGGAACACAATATCTAGCCTTACGCCACAGGGGCTGTTCGAATGTGGTGCAAGAGTTCGAGGAAGGGTCTTGGATGGTCAGCCAATCACGCACCTGGCGACTGCGGGATGTTGTCTACACTACGCGTAACGGCCATTACGAGATAGTCAGTACCGGCAGAGGCTTGTCGAAGCTTGAATTTCGACCAATCGTAGAAAGACTCCCGGGGACCTTCGTAAAAGCCGACTCTGGACGACTTTACCCCGGTGGACCTTAGCCTGATCATATCGACGGAATTAGCCAGCGATCTTATAAGAACGAGATATAGAGAATTTGCATAAAGCGATTGGCGTCGGCCACCTGGGAGACATCTGCCGATATGAACCTTCTGGGGAAGCGCTGAGCCCAATGTCGTCAAATTTGAGGGGTGATGCTACATGGCTTGCATCCTTACCAATATGCGAAAGAGGTCGGGCGCAGTTCCGAAGGCCGTTTCGATACGCCACGGTGTGTTTTCGCCCCTGATAATCTATTTAGGGATTCGCGGGCGTTCCGCAGCTGGACCTCCGACAACCAGGGCTAGAGTATTGGGTCATCTAGTCATATATAGCAGAGTCTGTCCTGCCTGCATGACTGCCCAGAAAACGCAGTACTGACACCGCCGCTCCACTCTGACCTGCGTAGCCACAGAACCGCCCAACATGTTGACCTCCTCTCTCCTGATGCTCGCTCTCGCTGCAACGGGCTTGGCCCAGGCCCCCGAGGGATACCGAACTGTGTACATCACCTCGATGGTGAACAAGAAGTTTGTGGTGCAGCCAAAGACGGCCACTGCCGGCAGCACACTCGTGGTGTATGTATCGGTGCCCCGAAGTGCGCGATGTCTCTGGCTGACAAGGACCAACTTGCAATTGAATAGGCAGACGCTAAGCAACAAACCCGAGCAGCAGTGGTATCTGACCACCGGCAAGAGCAAGATCCAGCTCGCAGGCACTAAGCTCTGCATGGATGCAGGCACCAAGAGTGAGAACACCTAAGGACGGAAATCTCTTTGATGCTCTGGGACTCTAAACATGTATCAATCATAGGCAACTGGAAGGACATGGCCAACATCAGCCTCAAAGATTGTTCCGACACCGAGGACGGCCAGAAGTGGAACGTCATGGCCGACGGTCGCATCGCTCTAGAGCTGTCAAGTCCCCGTAAGTCAAGTTCAGGGGTATTTTGCGTTGAAGATACTGAGTTAGTATACAGAGGAGTGCATCGATCTCCAATACATGCGGGCCACTGCCAACAACCCTGTCGGTCTCTATGCATGCGCGGGTCTGGGCAATATTGGAGCAGCGGACAAGGGAATCAATTGGCCTCTTGTCGATGCCACTGCTGGTGCTTAAATGGGAAAGAGTTTGCCAGTGGTACGATGAGAATGTTTGGGTAAGAATGGCAGCTGGTTCCTCCTTGATACTGGACCTGCAGCAATGAAAGTAACTTTTGATCTCATGGAAGGGGACTGCAACAGTAAGTTTATCATTAGTATTCGTGTTAGTGTCCGCAATCTGTGCTCTTAAAGGCTGCGGAGATTGGGTTAAAGTTCAATCTTTGTGTCATTTTGCAATGTCGCTTCGGGGACTTTCAGTCGCATGGAACTCAAGGCATCTCAACCAATTTTAGATAGTAAAAAGCCCTGAGGTATCTATAATTAGCACGTCTCGCTATCTCTATGGCAGACTCGAGTCTGTTGTCTTTGACGGTACTCTCTATCCAGGACTCGTGCCTGGGCAACCGCGTTGAGCGCGCACATCGAGAGGGGGATGGCTTTCCAGCCTAGCAAGTGTTTCTCGGAATGCAAGGTGTGTAGAAACAGCCTACAATTAATAACAGCCTTGCCCGTTGACTCACTCGCCCACTTTGGCTGGGTAGTCAGTGCCCGCGAAGCGCTTGGATCAGAGCGAGCGCTGAGGGGCCTCAGCCGAGATGGTCGGCGAAAAGCGAGGCGGACGGTGCTGTACGCTGTAGACTGGCCTCCTTCAACAAACTGGCTGTTCGATGAGCCCTCTTCCGCCAAGGAAAGAGAAGAGGGTGGGGCTTGCAGGCGGGCCGGATGGTGACAACATAGCGACGAGCCACGCCACACACAGTCTGCAGTGGATTGTGGCAGCTCCACGTACTGTTGGTGGCAACTGAAGTCGCTATTTAGCCTTTAGCTTCGAGGGTCGAACCAGGATTTCACCACCAATTCATGGGTATGGCCATACTGGGTGGGCATCCGTGACTTGGGAAGAGAGTTTGCAAGGGCACACAGTCAAAAGGTACTGATGGTAGCGAATGCAAGATTCGAGTTTTGTCATGCCTAGAAGCAAAACTGCTCTTCTCAGCGTGCTATGGATGCTGCGACATATGCGAATATGTGTGTGCATTTGGATTCCACGAAGAGAAAGGGGGCTTGGTGATGTGTTCACATCTTCAAGCGTACGATCTGCACAATGATATCGTGGAAGTATCAGCCCAATCACAAGAGAGGAGCCTATTAAGAACCATTACGTAAACCTGCCCTTCGTCTCGTAGAAACCTCATATCATCCAGATCATGATTGCCGTTGGAGCGTCTTTTGTGGTTTGTGGTAGCTTAGATGATACCTTGGAAAGCAGATGCATGGGAAGATATCCTCCGTGGCCAATAGTTTTCAATATATGCAGGACGATCTGCTTGACAGGGTGTCGAAGCGGGATGGGCTGCAGCTGCAGCTGTTGGAGCCTCCACCGGTTTCACCTGCCCCAATCCAGCATTCCCTGTTGGCTATCGAGATGGTGGGTGACAGGAGTCAATCCTACCATCCAATACCACTTCACATGCGGGCTGTCGTTGGTTTAGCGCCCAATATTCCAGTCTGCTTCATTCAGTAGCTCAATGTAATGATGATATCAGATGAGATTAGGGGGGAAGGGGCTCCGCTCCGCTATAAAGAAATGTTGAATGCGACAGGTAGACAATCCTCTCAGTATTGTGATAAAACTTATCCGAGTCTTCTTTGTATGTGATGTGTTAACAGCCTGGTCAGCCTTGCCGTTCTTGTTGATCATCGTCTCGGCCCGAGAGGCTGACAGGCGACTGCCGAGCCCCTCAGCACACCGATAATTCATTCTTGTCCATGCGGTGGAAGTGGTATTAGATGCAGCCTCTGTATTGGTGATGACTAACAATTATTGGGTCTTTCATCGTCTGGCATCGGGATGGAAATGTAGAATCAATGCCTTGTTTATGCAGCTATCATGTAGGTGTTCATTGGTGCTACATGCAGAAGAATGCAACGTCTGGCCACACACAGATTGACAACAAGGATCGTCGCATTGGGGGAGGGTTGCCACGGGCTGCAACGAGTCGTCTGCACGTTTTCGCAGATGCATCAGCGCCCTCACCGGTGAAGTCGAGATTAGCACGATACGGGATCTGCGATACCAGCAATACCACACGAAAAAAGTATATCAAGAGACGAAGGGGCATACCTATCCCCATCCCAGTGCGATCACTTCTTCTGCAGCAAACAACCTCGTCACTTCGCACACCATACAAGTCATCACCCAGCTCCTAGTCGCCTGCCTCACCATGCTCAGAACTACGCGCCTCGAGGAAATGGTGAATCCAGCTCGCCTCCAAGAGCTGATGAACAAACTTCCCTCTGCTATCTTGAACCTACCCATATTAGCAAGCTTGGTTGTTTTCTACGTTCTTGTCTCATACACATACGCCTGGTTCCGCCTTCGCCATATCCCTGGCCCATTCTTGGCATCTTTTTCTTACCTTTACATACTATGGACAGAGCTCGGCTTCCGACAGGGGGATAGAATGGGAGACCTCTGCAAGAAATACGGCAACCTTGTCCGCATTGGACCAAACGATGTTCTCACCGGCGACCCAGACTTCGTTCGTCGCATAAACGGAGCGCGATCTCGTTACAGCCGTGCACAGTACTACAGATCTACGAGACTCACGGCTGACCACGACAACCTCTTCTCCATCACTGACACAGGTGCCCATGATAGATTGAAAGCCCGGATGACCTACGGATACGGGGGCAAGGACGTCCCCAGCATGGAGAGTGACATGAATGAAGTACTGTCACTGCTCGTTCACATACTAAAATTTCAGTATGCGAGCAGCGGCAGGACAGTTGACTTTGCAACCCTGTCCCGATACTTCGCTTTGGATGTGATCACCAAGATTGCCTACGGCGAAGAGTTTGGCTTCATGAAGAGCGACCAGGACCTATACGGCATTGTTTATGAGGGCCAGGGTTTCATGAAGGCCATGGCTATCTCGGCCGAGGTTCCTTGGTTGAGTGCGCTCTTCATTAATCCAACGCTTCAGAGGCTGTTTGGCCCCCGTCCTGATGATAAAAGAGGTTTCGGTGTGACGCTCGGGTAAGTCCGACCCTTCGAATCCCCATTTGATCGTAACTCTGACGACATGTAAGACTTGCCAAGAAGGTTGTCGGTGAACGCTTCGGCCCAGAAGCCAAGGACAAAATGGACATGCTTGCAAGTCTCGACTCTCAGCCTCGCGTTCAGCTAAACAGATGCTGACGTGATATGTTCTGAAGGGATCATTCGTGCGCCATGGCCTTACCCAGAGAGAGTGCGAGGCAGAAGTTCCTTTCCAGATCATCGCAGGATCAGACACTACGGCTAGGACGATCCGGGGGACTATGCTCTATCTCATGGCGGCCCCCAATGCATATCATACTTTGCAAAAGGAGATCGACAATGCCGTTAGACAGGGCATTGTCTCGAACCCTGTCAGGGTTGAAGAAGCTAAAAGATTACCGTACTTACAGGTAAGACCGAGATCTCCTCGTCCATTTCTCCATGACTTACATTGCCGTCCTGTAGGGTTGTATCTACGAGGGACTCCGTCTGAGTGTGCCTGTGACCATTCTAGGCTTCAAGCAATGCCCACCAGAAGGTTTGAAAGATCCTTCACGTTACAGGACCAGGTATGCTGATTCGTGCGGTGCAGGGGACACAACCGAAGGCCACTCCATTCCAGGTGGCACCCGAGTCGCAGTTGCCGCCAAGAGCCTCATGACAAGTGCCAAAGTGTTTGGCGACGACGCCGACGTGTTCCGGCCTGAGAGATGGTTGAATCTAGACATTGATACAAAGCGTGTAATGACCGACACGGCCGAACTCATCTTCGGCTACGGGCGATGGGCTTGCAGCGGTAAGCCTGTGGCCATGATAGAACTGAATAAAGTCTTCATCCAGGTACATTTATGTCATCTCTCGTCCGCCTTTCGATGTAGATTGTCGGCCATGTCCACTTTTTTTGATGCGCAATTTAGCTGCTACGAAACTTCGACTTCCAGCTGGTCAACCCGCAGAAGCCCTTTGACCAATGTGACAACATCAACATTCACATGGACAGGGGCATGTGGGTAAGGGTGACTGACCGTAATCTGACTGGCGGTGCAACAAATGCTTACTGAACCAAGCATTTGATTACCATAAGGGGTTTTCTTTAGTTGTAGTATGTATGTGTGGGATAGCCTGAGAGGATGAGGGTTTGCGGATTGCACTTTGATTTCGTTCATTTTTGATCACGCCGGTCTCCATCTGGTGGACAATATCGGTCAGGATATGCTGGGCCCCCTAAGGACAACGACTTTCTTGACTTTCTTGGCGAACACGAGGGATAGCGGAGTGGAAGTTTAATCATGAAAGCACACAGTAATGATTCACAGTGATTCATTGACAGCATATAATCGGACGCGTCTATGTTCTGTCACGGTCTGGTGCAGGTCGGATGTCCGAACGGCTTTAAAAGCGAGCGACTAAACAATAATGGAAGCTCATACGTCACAAAGACCTGCCAATGCAACCCGACTGACGCGGCCCCGAAGGAACTCTAATCTATCGGCTACAGCAGCCTAGTGCAGCCTGGAAGTTTCGCCCGGCGTAGGAGTCAGAGCAAACTGCAGCATCCAGAATAGTTAGTGCTGACGGGAGACATAACATGTGATTGAGCCGCTTTCCTGCATGCTCGGTGATGCGAAGCAACGCGCCGGAGATAAGCCAAAGAGGTGCAAGTGCTCAATATAAATAAAGACTTGATCTCAAGATCTGATAAGATTATAGATGGAGCGTAAGCAAATTCCATTGCCATTCCAGAGCCCTGTAACAAACGCCCCAATACCCCCAAAATGGCCTCGTCATCCGATAAGCTCGCCACCGTGGCAGCCATCGACACGCTGGCACAGACCAGCCTCCTCCGCCCCAACCCTCGCCTAGAGCACGCCCTGGAGAACTCAAAGGCCAAAGGTCTACCGCCCATCGCTGTGTCGCCCCTGACCGGCCAGTTCCTTGCGATCCAGTGCCAGCTCATTGGCGCGAAGAACGTGCTCGAGGTCGGCACCCTCGGCGCCTACTCGACTATCTGGATGGCCGAGACGGGCGCCAAGGTGACCAGCCTCGAGATCGATCCCAAGCACAAGGAGGTGGCGCTTGAGAACGCCAAGGATCTCGACGTCGAGGTTCTGCTCGGCCCGGCGCTTGAGACCATGCCCAGGCTCGCGCAGGAGGGACGCCAGTTCGACCTCGTGTTCATCGACGCCGACTGGGGCGAGCAGTGGGAGTACTTTGACTGGGCGGTCAAGCTGACGAGGAAGAAGGGCCTGATCTACGTGGACAATGTCGTCAGGGAGCTTCTCGAGAGCGACAAGCTGACGGCAGACAAGGAGTCGCTTGTCACACAGGTCGGCAAGGATGACAGGGTCAAGGCTACGCTGCTGACATCGGCTTCGTCGCACAAAGGTCGGGCTGACGAGATGTTTGACGGAGTGCTTCTGGCAGTCGTGCAGTAAAGGGGGGCCGATAGGCGACTCACTCGGTTTGCACGCTTCTCAAAGGACGATGGGATCTTACAGAGGAAAGTAACTGGAGGATAATGTATTGGGAGATTGAATACAGCTTATGAGAGGAAAGTAATGCCAGGTGATTCCCCCGTCTATAACGCCCAGCCGAGTGATTCGGGGAGTTCCATGCCTTGAACGCCGATGCCATGACAAATCCAATACAAAAACGCTACTTGCTGAATGCCATTGTGAATAGAGACGAGATCTGCCTCACAGGTCCTGGATGGCAAATCTTGTCCGCAGATACTCGCCGTACTTGAGGATAATAAAGGCAGCAGGAATCATGCCTACGGCAATGAAGCCCAGCAGACTATTGCCCCAGCCCAGGCCAAGCTGGTCGTACATCCTGTGTGATTCGTTAGCATCTGAACAGCTCTGCGATGGGGGCATGCTCCAGTCAGGACGTACTTGAGTCCGCAAAGTGGAAGAGTCGCGCCGGCGATGGAACGGATGATGGTGTTAGCCGCGAGGGCAGAGGCCGCGTACAGCTCGTAAGCATCGACGAGATACATCATGATGGCCATCATGATCGACATTTGGCCTTTTATTAACACATATTTTAGCAAAGACGTTCCTGCTTGGGCTGACCTTGGAAAACATACCAACTCCAATGACTCCCATACCGATAATGGGGGCAATCCAATGCGTGTGGTGCTGGGCTGTCCAGCCGTAGATGAAGAAGCCGATAGGAAGAACGACTGCGCCGTAGGGAAGAGCGGCGAGACGTAGCTCGGGCTTGATCTTGCCGCCTGACGCTTGCTTTGCAATCAAACGGTTGGTCTGCATAGTGTATAGGATCATTCCGAGGAATGAACCGACGCCAAGGCCGAGGAAGGTAAGTCCCACGATGTTGGTGCTGAACTGGTAATACTTTTGGAAGACGTAGGTGACAGAGGTGAACAGCAGATACATGTAGCCAAACACGACCGCCATGTAGATAGCGAAAACAAATGCGATGGGAGTCACAAGGATCCGCATCGGGCGGATAATGCTGCGGTTGAAGTAGTCCTTCTGGGACAATCCGACGTCGAGCTTGGACCGAAGCAGGTCATTTCCAGTCTCCTTGCGGAGGCGAGCGGCCTTGCGCTCCAGAATAACAGGAGCATAGGTCTCCTTCAGGACAAGAAGCATCGCAACAGAGCAGACGCCGCTGATCATGACGATGAGCCAGAACACCCATCGCCAGCCCTTGGCGCTACTCAAGAAACCACCGATGACGGGGCCGATGATCGGGCCAAGGAGGGGACCGACGCTGAAGGCGGCCATGGCACCCGCGCGCTTCTCCGCGTGAATCATATCCGCGATGCTGCCACCTCCGTTTGTCATGGGCGCCGAGCCAAAGGCGCCGGCGAGGAAGCGCAGAACAATCAGCGCGGAGAGCGAAGGCGCAAGCGCGCAGCCCACATTGAAGGCGACGAAGCAGATGTTGCACACGTGGTAGACCACGGTACGGCCGTAGATCTCGGAGATGGGGGCCATGAACATGGGCCCAAAGGCGAAACCGAGGACGTACACGCTGACTACAAAGGCGGCGAGCTCCGTGTTGGTGCTCTTGAACTCGCGCATCAGCTCGGGCACACCTGGCGCGAAGCACGAGGAACCCAGTGGGGTGACAAAGGTCAGGGCGCTGATGAGGGCGCAGCAGGTGTACTTGCGCCAATTGGGCCAGTTGTAGGGGTTCTCTGGGTCGTCGGGGCCGTCCCACCACACAATGTTCTCCTCGGCGACTTCGCTGTCGTCTTCTTCTCCTCCTGCGGTGCCATCGTCGGCAGCGCCTGCGGTCTTCTCGACATCAGCAGCACGGGTCGCGGCAGATGCCTGGCTTCGAGAGCGGGCGAGAGCTACCGAGTGTCGTCGCTGCAGGGCTATGGACGTCTTGCGCTTCTCTTCGGTCTCCTTCGTCAGGATGTAGCCGGTGCTGGACGGGATGTCGGCGTCGTGCCCCTCGTCCTTGGCCTGCTCGATGGTGCGCTGCCTCCGCAGCTCCTCGGCGGGATCTTGTACTGGGGTGGTGCTCCGCGAGCTCGAGCTCGCCGTCGTGGGCGTGTCATCGCCACTCATGTTGAGATCTTGGGTGCGCGATCTGGTGCAGCTATTGTCCTCGAAGTGGTATGCGGTATGGTTCGAGGGTCAGGTGAGGTACATGTACTTTCGCAGAAGCGAGCGCGTCTAAGTCAGTCGTATGCCCACCGAGAGACAGCGGCCGAGATCCGAATAGTTGGGTCTTTTGAAGAAGTAAAAGAAAAGTCAATAAAGAAACTTCAGTGCCATGATATCCCATTCAAGTTAAATGTGAGGGGGGAGAAAAGTTACAGGACTCCAACTCCTCAGAATGCCATCGCAAGAGCTGCTTTTGCGCCCAGGCCCACTTGGAAAGGCATCTCGAGTGTTCTAGCACTCGTTCTACACCCCGAGTTCCGACCAGTCTTGGGGTCTGCTAGCACGATTCGGGCCTAGCGATGCACAAATATGCACAGTTGGCGTGGATTTCCGTTCCGGGGTATGCAAATCAGCTCCAACATCGGCGCCGGCGATGCCAAACCCTGCCGACACACCCACATAAACGCCATGTTCTGTCGACTGATGCCTCCCCTTTCATCTCATGGAGGCTGTTGATTCGCATCTCATCGCGCTCTTTACGAGTAGTTACTACCAAGCGACCGGGAACACATGATACCACCCTGCATCCTGGGGCTGGAATGGTCATCAGCCTAACTCCGTGTTTGATCCGTAGCGGAAAGCTTAGCTGCCCGTGTTCCCGCTGAGAGCTGAGACTGGAATGGGTTCTGCCACGAGGCCAAGCCCCCCAGCCGGCTTCGGGGCATCGCAAGACAACACTACTGCTACTGGCCTCCGCCTTAAGAGCAACCGGCCGGCTATCGGTAACCTTGATGGACGGTGACCCGAGAGTTCACCTCCCACCCACATCGCATGCATATGGATTTGCGAGACATCGGCATTCACTCACGCAATCCCACTTCTTTCGCAAAGCTTCTGGTGCACGCAGCCTCCGACATGCCCCGTACTGCTGATTCGACCCAACACAAGGCAAGCCATGTTAAGCGACGTAGTGGGCTCATCTCGCTGTAAAGGGGATGGTCCTCTGTTACAGGCCTAGACCGGAGCAAATGGGCAGGCTCAGCAAGTGATGGTCAGATTAGTTGACGGACTGCTAACAGAAGTACTTGGCTATCCATCAAGCCCATCGGATTTAGGTAGTGGGATAGCCCTTCCGAGTTCCAGGGCAAGGATGTGACAAGGATACTGATTGTTAAGATTGAGGTAGCTCCTGATGAACTTCCGTCAACTATTCAGACGCCCACTTTAGCTCAGGCAGGTTAGGTGGAGTGAAGGCATGGGGCAGAAATTCCCCCACCTGCCCGTCGGGTTTAGGCTGACATTGACCAACTAACACGCTATGGGCCAGCTAACGTGTAAATTGCGATAGTGGATCAACTACCTAGGTAGGTATCAGCCAACTTGGCCGTACACACTGGCCATTGAAAACCATTGGGCGGCGAGCAGTCAGTCACCCGACGGACCATCGTCTAGCTGATGAACGGGGCCCCCTTTAGAAGATCCAGTCAGGGCGTGCTAGCCTCTCTCTCGCTACTCGACCAGTTTGGATGGCGGCGCGGTCTCAAGCTTGTCCACCTCGTTCTTCATAATGACCGCCCGCGCATTGTTCTTCTTGGACCGGTCTGTGCTGACCGTGCACGCCGCCGCGACGGTCGCGAGCACGCCAAACGCGATGGCCACCAGATACACCATGCTGAAGCCCTTGACGTACGACTGCTTGGCCGCCTCGGTCGCCAGCTCGACGAGCCGCGGGGTCGCGCCCGCCACCTTGCTGTACGCCGCCGCCGTGTTGACCTGCGCCGCCGACACCAGCCCGCGCAGCAGGCCGTCCGAGTACGGCACGCCGGCTGCCTCGATCGCGCCTCGCATCTCGCCGGGCAGGACCTGGGCGAAGCGGTTCGAGTAGATGGCCGTGTAGATGGCCGTGGCAACCGCGCCGCCAAAGAGGCGGAATGTGCCCGCGAGGCCCACAGCGACACCCCTAAACGACAAAGGATATTTATGTCAGCACCCGAAAGATGATTTTATGCTTAATGCTCATAAAGTGGAGAAGCCGCGCTTACACGTCGCGCTGGTCTTCGAGACCGAAAGACAGCATGGTGAACGACAGCAGCTGCGGGGGCGTGATCATGGCCGCCGCCAGCACGACCGTGACGATGGCCTGCGCCTTGTCGTCCGAGCCCACGGATGCCATCGATGCGATCAGCGCCGTCTGCACGACCATGAAGGCGACGAGCTGCCACTTTTCGTGGTGCACCCTGTGGCAGACGAAGATGGTGATCAGCGCGGCCAGCCAGGTGCCGCACGAGAAGATGAGCGCGTACACACCCTTCATGATGGTGTCGTCGGGCTTGACGAAGAAGGCCTGCGACTGTCTCGGCCAGAGCACGTTCATGCTGTAGTAGAGCATGCCTCCCACGAAGCAAACGACGATGACCATGTCGAATCTGTCACAGTGATGAGCAATTGTGTGTCAAGACACTATGGAGCTAAGTTGGCAGACTTACTCTCGAACTTTCTTGAACAATTTGGGCGGGAACAGCGGGTACTTCAGGTCCGCATATGCGCACCAGAAGCCGACGGCGATGAAGCAGCAACCGCCGACCACAATAGGTGCGATGGTCCCCGGGTGGCTCCACGGGTATGTCCGTCCGCCAAAGTTCACCCCGAGCAAGAACAGAACACCGCCCGTCAAGAAGAGAAAGACACCAACGTAGTCGAGCTCTGCCAGCAGCTGCAGCTTGGTCTTGCCATCTTCACGGTGCTTCATATCAAAGTCTGGGGGCTTGTAGAAGAAGAAGAGCAGGATGAACGCAAAGCAGTGGAAGGCGAATAGGTACCAGTAGCACCCACGCCAGCCGATGGGCTGGTAGGCGATGAAGGCATAGGCTACCACCGGCGAGCTGAACGCTAAGGCCAGCGAGAAGTCCAAGCCGCCGACGGCGATGATCCTCCAACGGTTGGGCACGATCTCTTGCACACAGCCATAGCACAGCTCTTGGAATCCACTTCCGATACCAAACAGAGCGCCAGAAGCGATCATCATGTTGATGCTCTTTCCGTTGGCGCCAACGAGAGTGCCGCAGATGGAGATAAGAGCGCCAGTGATCAAAAAGTAGCGACGACCAAAGATATCGGACAGACGCCCTCCAATAGATATAAGAATAGAAGCACCCAAGGTCCACGTGAGTGTGATCCAAGTCGAGTTTGGATCCGGACCCAGCTCTGCGTTGATGAACGGCAGGATCGTCGCGGGAATCAGCATGCTCATGATGTAGGCGTTGAGCTGACCACACATGGCCTAGTATAACAATGTGTGATCAGGAGATGATGATGTTGTTTACTGTTGGCAAGTAGTGACTAACCAAGAACGCCAAAATCACTTCCTTCGTAAGTTTACCATCATCCTCGTCTTCAATCAGAACCTGTGGTGAGCTGTCCGAAGTGTTTTCAACATGAGAGTGCATCTCGAGGTCCGTCTTTTCGTGATGACTGCCGATCACCTCGGCTGAGGCCGCTGGCGCAGGGGAGATCGCCATCTTAAAGTTGCACCAACATGAGAATCTAGAAAAGGCAATGAAACTGCATATAGCAATATCTGCAAGCCACACATTTCCAGGTGATCAGACTTAGGGGTTTATATCTGTTCTCGGAGTCGGGAAATGCACTCTTCAAAGACAGGAAATATCATTTCCTTTTCTGTGAACGGGATTGTTTATCCATTTCATGCCAGGGCCCACGACTGAATTGAGTTTGTGTGTTAGACTTCTTTCGTCTGCAGATCACTCCCCTCGCCGCTTGAACCGAACCTCTACTACCTACGCAGCAAAGGACTTGGATCAGGCAGCGAGAACTCAGATAGTCAGCCTGGCTATGATCAGGGGACCAACTTGTTCACCACACAATGAAGCACCCACGGCCATGAAGCGTTAAACCTACCAAGAAACTGAACTCCATGGATGTTTCGTTTGACATTCGGACGTTGCTGGGTTTGCAAGAGGATGAGGGCTAACTCGCAGCACTGACTCCAGTTGCTGACATCCATCTCCACCCCCGCGTCCGGGGTAGATCCACCCACCAGCGGATCGGAAAACATCTACCGCCCACCGGACAATGATCCAGTACGAATATCCTCCATACTCTATAAAGCTTGTACCATGAATAGAACACGAGATGATAGAAGCTGCATTGCCAAGCGAACATCAAGCCTTGCAAGATGCGCGTCGTCGTGTTCGGCGCCTCCGGCGTGCAAGGCTCGGCCCAGGTGTCCGCACTCATCCGGGCGGGCCACCATCCCGTCGCCGTGAGCCGTTACCCTAAACCGCTCACCACAGATGGCCAGTCCATTGAGACTGCCTCGGCCGAATTCTCTGACGTACCTGCCCTCGAGAAGGCCCTCTGCGGCGCCGAGGTCATCTTCCTGAATCTTCCATCCACGTCCTTCCAAAAGGCGGAGCCGGTCATCGCGGCCGCAAAAGCCATTGGCGAGGCTGCCATGCGTACGCCGAGCGTCCGCTTCTGCGTCTTCAACACCAGCATGCCGGTGCCGGAGGAGACCAAGCACATCGAGGCCCAGGATCACCGGCGGGAGATGCGGCGCCTGCTGCGGGACACCGGCCTGCAGGTGATCAGCATCCAGCCCGTCTGCTACCTGGACAATTTCTTCGAGGGGTGGGCCCTGCCCCCGATTGTGGAGCAGAACGTTCTGCGGTACTGCCACAAGCCCAGCCTGGAAGCATCGTGGATCTGCCATGATGACCTCGCGCAGTTGATGGTGGCCGCGCTGAACCGGCCAGACCTCGCGGGGAGGAACATACCCGTCGGGGGGCCAGAGACTGTCCGCCTCGAACAGGTGACGGAGAAGCTGGCGCGCGCGTGGGACCGGCCGCTCAAGTGTGACAACGAGACGGTGGACGACTTCTGTGACCGGATGGGCGAGGCCATGAGGAAGAGGGCGAGTCTTGATGTAGACCGGGTTATCGATCAGATGCGGCGGGCTTACACGTGGTACAACGACTCGCCTGAAGATCCATTTAAGATAGACATGGCGCCTGTGCTGAAGGAGTTGCCCGTACAGCTCACAACCATTGAGGAGTGGGGGCGGAGTGTCAAGCATAAACTTCCAGTGGCAGTATAGGGAGAAACCGTCTGGGAATCGAGAAGTGCCTAATCTTGGAGGATAATTGTTCTGTTGGAGACTACGACTACAGGACATATGAGAATGCAATGCTAGTCTATTTCCTGCTAGTACTGCCTTCCTGACCCTCACCTATGCATGGCAGAATGCCTGGTTGTTTTGAATCAAGCTACTGCTCTTGACCTGTAGTACTGTGTAAAGTCGTGCATCACGATGTTTAGGCCCTTTTGAACAAATTAGCAATATTTCCCGAGTTACACTTGAAAGTTTCACATACAGTCTTCATCTGTTGTGCCAAGTGTTCGTTCTGCTCAGCCTCCTTGACGGCGTTGAAGAATGGTTCGTTGGCGATCGCCTCGGGGCTGGGATCCCAAAGTCTCCTAATATTGCCGCTCGATATGGGGCTGATGACGTCGTGGAACTTCTGCATTCGAATCTCTGAATACTTGTCCAGAATATCCTCGTCTGCTTCCCCGGTCGCAATACCATAGAGGCAGTCGAACAAGTTGCCGACATCGACGAGGCCACCGGTCAGGCCCATCCCGCCACTATTGCCTGTGAGCATGCTGAGGTGGAGATTTCGTCCACCTAAAGGGTAGCTTACAAAGGATTGCAAAGGTGGGCAGCATCGGCCGTCAACAGGAATCTCCCGACCCGGAGCTTCTCCGCACACCTCTGGTGTATTCTGTAGGGGCTGAAAGACTTGACATCATACTCACCAGGCTCGGGTGCACCGGGTAGGATGGTCTTGTATTTCCAGGCAAGTCGCTCATGCATCTCTTCCCGGGTTAAGCCGCCTTCTTCGCCATAAGTGACCCGTAGAAGGCCGTCCTTGGCAATTTGGGCGATCATGGTGAAATGGTCCTTGTCGATGAGGAAGTTTGAGGATGTCCACTTGAAGTCCTTGAATTTGGGGTAGTACACCTTGACGTAGCTGGTGTCAGTAACTGACGAACAATGGATCGGGACCCATCAGGAAGACATACGTTCGTCGCGACGATTTGCTTATCCCAGGTGAAGCCTGGGAACTCGCCTCCAAAGAGCTCCCTGCGAATCTTGCTATTGCCTCCATCGCAACCGACGATGTAGTCACCCTCAAACCTCTTCTCGCCCTCGGGGGTCTGTACGGTGGCCCAGGCCTTGTCTTCGTCCTGGCCGATCGCCATCACCTCGTGGTTGAGAAGAAGCTTTGATCTTTCGCACTTTTGTAGATGGATGTTCATTATAGGAAGCAGCTCGTCAAGTGGCAGGGAAACCATGGTCTCTCGGCCGACCTCATTGCTGGGGTGGATTTTGGCGATCGGCGTGCCGTCCAGGAGGCGCCAGGTCACACCGCTAGGAACAAAAGCGTCCTTCATGATATCCTCCATGAGGCCGGCCCGGCGCAGCTCTCGGATGGTCGGGTACGCATAGAAACTCGCCCGTGGGTTGCGATCGATCTCGTGTGACTTCTCGAGAATAGTCGATTCGATGCCCTTCTGCCCCAGCAACAGAGCAAGCAAGAGGCCCGACGGGCCTGCCCCGACGATGAGGACCTATCATGTAAGCGCCGTGAAGACGTTCACGGACAAGTGGCTGGCACGTACTTTGAGATCCTTCTTGATTTCGGACATTGGAATAATAGTACGTGGTGTGGTTTAATTGTTTGTTCAACCGTGCTTAGGCCCGTCGGACACCACGACACTGTAGCTAAGAAATATCGGGGCCTCACACATCAGCACATTCGTAGATGCAGTCACTTTTCATTTTATTATCCCGTCCAGATACTTATGTCCGCTTTCAGGTCTCGGACCTAGAACAAGGGCCACCTAGTAGCAACCACGAGCAGGTCATTATGGGCGGGTGACACTTGGAGCAAATGCGGGGTTCACACCAACGTCCAAGAGGTGAATCAATCGCCGAAACGAAGGATTTCTACTCACCACGACCTTCCAGTCCCAGTAACTTGACTCGAATTTGACAATGCGGTGCAAACAGCCAGTATCACGTCCCTCAACGGAACGCACATCCGAATCCGTTCTCCATTAACTCGAGACGAGGAGCGTTGAAGTTGGCAACACTGCTTAATGAGGAAGATGCTGCTAACATGCTAATTAGGGATTATGTTGCCGAGGTGTAGGCACCTCGTAGTCTGCGGAGCGTATTTGCCGATCCACTCGGAGCGGGATCCCTGGACCACTTTCTCATGTCTGGGTATCATTCCGTGCCTAGTTACCCATTGGCTTGACTGACCTTTGCCCCCCGAGACCAGATAGCCACAGGAGACTGTTCCCTGTCTGCAAGGTTCTCCGCCTTTCACCCCGCATTCCGCCCTTTGGAGTGCCAGGGATCTTCGCTAGATTTGGTCGACGGCAAAGGGGATCTCGGCAGGACGGAGGTTTAAATGCGTCCCAACCGTTCTCGAACAGGTGTCACGGAGAATTAAATATTGCCTCTCACTGTATGCCTTGTCAAAAATAACGAGTCTCCAGTACAGCGTATCCGAAGAACTCGTGCTAGACCATTTGTTGATCCCTCATTGTATGCGTCTAGTGGACTGCACCGAAACAACGCTCCATCATGGCTGCTGTGCAGTCGCAGAAGATCCGCCGGTATGCGGACGACCTGTACCAGGACGCCCATGATGACATGTTCTCAAAGCCCCTGATTGAGACTATCGAGAAAGTGCTGCCACCAGGCGTAAGCCAAGAGGACTTTGATAAGGCCATTGCCGAGCTCACCGGACTTCTCGGGCAGAGTGCTGTCTTCACTGGCAGCAATTTGAAGGAATACGTCGATCCTTACGAGGTTCCAGAGGCGGATCCTGACCGTAAGGTACCTGGAGCTGCAGTATGGTACGGACCCCTATCTACGATTACTGTTTTATCATGCAAATCATTGACAGACTCGCAGCCCGTCTTCTGTAGAGGAGGTACAGGGCGTCCTCCAGATTTCAAACAAGTACAAGATTCCAGTATGGACCATTTCGAGGGGCAAGAACCTTGGGTGCGTATCAGAGAAGTTACCGAAAGGACGACAACAGCATATTAACAGCCAGTAGATATGGTGGACCCGCTCCTTGTGTGTCGGGCTCAGTTGTCCTTGATCTTCATCGGATGAATAAGATCATTGAAGTCAATGAAAAGTTTGCTTATGCTGTGGTAGAGCCGGGTGTTACGTTTGGGGATCTCTATGCATATATCGCTGAGAGGAAGCTCAAGGTTTGGCCAAGCACTGCCTCGCTCGGATGGGGTAGTGTTGTTGGAAACGTATGTTGCTATTTATCTCCTACTCTACTCCATGAAGTTTCGCTGACGGTTGGCTTAGACACTGGACCGGGGCATGGGATTCATCCCAACGGGTGTGCACCATGAACATATCTCAGGCCTCGAAGTAGTGCTTGCAGATGGTGATATCCTCCGAACCGGCCAATTCGCCATGACAACCTCGCCTACCGCGCACCTCACCAATCACAGCTTCGGTCCTTCTCTTGACGGCCTGTTCCTGCAAAGCAACCTCGGCATCGTGACCAAGATGGGCATTCACCTCACCCCACAGCCGCAGGCCTACATGGCTTGCTCCTTTGACATGCCTGAGCTCGATGACATCGAGGCCATCGTGGACACCTTTGGCGAGATGCGCCGGAATGGAACTCTGCCCCACATCGTTTACGTGTTCAGTATTGTCGAGTGGTCTTCCCTCGCCAAGACACGCAAAGAATGGTACGACGGCGAAGGACCTATCCCGGACTGGCGCCTGAAGGAGATGCAAAAAGAACTCGACACCGGATTCTGGACAGTAAAGTTCGGTCTCTACGGAGCCAAGGATATCCTGCTAGCCAACTACAACGAGATTGAGAAGGTAGTATCCGATCGCATGCCCAAAGGCAGACTCAGGAATGTGCTCTTTGCCGGCGAGGATAGGAAGCTCCTCGAGGCGACATCCGTACCCCAGCCGTATGGTGGAATGTTCGTGGGCGTTCCAAGCATGTTCAGTATCCCCATGACAAAGTTCTATAACAAGGACGAGACCGGTGTTGGCGCTCACGGTGCTTACTCGCCGCTCGTTCCCTTGGACGGCAAGACGGTACTGTCCTGGGTCAAGGCAGCCAAAAGCGTATATGAAGTCCACGGATTCGATCTCTTGTGTGACTTCTTCATGCATGAACGACACTGCGTGTTTGTATGCATGCTGTGCTTCGACAAGACAAACCCGGAGCAACGAGTCGGCTCCGATCAGATCTTCCAAGGTTTGTTCAAGGAGGGCACAGCGCGGGGATTTAGCAAGTATAGAGGTCATATCAGGGATATGGGTGAGTTTATTCCAAGCTTCCAATCAAGCTTAGGTGCATCAAAGCTAATTTCTTGTTAGACATGGTCGCGAACTTGTACGATTTCAATAACCATGCTTATCGCCGCTTTGTCGAGACGATCAAGGTTAGTACTTCGCCGAAAGAACTTCAGCTGTCATGATGTTAATATTGCCACAGAACTCTATCGACCCCAATGGAATTCTATCACCAGGGAAGATGGGTCTCTGGCCTCGTAGATACAGGGATAACGGGTGGGCGTTTAAGGGGGACACGCACGATTGAATTCGAAAAGGGTTACCTCAAAGCTCGGTTCGCCATACTACGCCTTGTATCACAGGTCTCTCGATGGGAAAAAAAATCAATCTTTTCAGATAGGCAGTAGGAATACTTGACACGAGTTCATGTGCCCGTTATGATAATGATGGGGCACTCTCCCGTATTATTACAGAGTTGACTCTTATATCAGCGCACCCTCCTTCAATCCTAGTATCCTTCCAACCATCTGCATTCGCAGTTTTTTAGATTCTATAAAACAACGTGTAAGAGAGGATTCCCTCCGACAGCTCGCTCTCACCTTGTTCAGGTTAGTTTATCTAAGGATAGCTACATATACGCGCCTCTATCTCACACCAGATCTAGTTCTCTTTGTTCAGTTGGTTAAATTTGTTCACCACTTGAAGAGTGGCATAGTATCCGAAGGGGAGCGCGACAAACCACAGTCCGAAGTTGATCGATGCAGTGGCAATCAAAGCCGTAGGTACGGCCTGCACACCGAATCCCACTGCCACACCGGCCGTCTCAATACCCCTCAGCAGAGAACTGTACCGGATCTGGTCGCCAGGTGAGTCGGAAAGGTTGCTTATGCACCAGTAGACATAGTTCTCGACCATGCCCAGACTGATACGTTCCAACATGTAGACTCCAAACCCCCTTCCGAAGGTCCTTTGGTCCCCCCAGTCCAGTGCAGGACGCGTGTGCCGGTATTCGTTCTGGATAATCACTGCCCAGATCCAAGTCGCGCTGTTGAGAGCGGCGATAAGGGCGTACGTCGCAATGGCACGCTTTTGGCGGCTCTTTGCCCATGGGATATCCACAAGGACACCAGCAAGCCAGGTGGCGATTGTCCCAACCACAGCAGACATGAAGCTTCCAAGAGCCCGGGAGCGAACAGTGAAGTATGTAGCCAAGTATGTACCGGGATAAGCCTGGATCCAGCCAAAGTACCAGAATAAAGGAGTCAACATGAGGATGGGTCTGCTCCGAATCAAGCGCCACATCTCGCGTCCCTCGAGGCGCCAGTTGATATTTCTAGGAGCTTCGATACGAGTTCCATCATCTCGCTGAACTTTCTCCGGGTTCGATAGTAGCAAACCTAGAGGGAAACCGAGGCACTGGATAGCGATGAAACCGAGATAGGTCTCATATCCGACCTTGCCGAGCTTATTGGCCGAGTGATTGATGCCCAGCGAGATGGCACCACCAATAATATTTCCAAAGTTGCGAAAGGTAAACCATGTAGCGATATAGCGGCCACGTTTGTGTTGTTCCGGGTAGCCTGTAGATATAGCACCCTCAACGCTCCAGAAGAAGCCCGCGCTGAGGCCACATGCCACGGCGCCAACGTAGACGAACCATGTCGTCCCCCAGCGGTTGTTGACATAAAGACCAGCCGCGTACAACGGGTACCCGATCGAGCCAATGGAAAGCGTCCATCGAAAACCGATGAGGTTGGTGAGCCAGGGGCCGGCGAAGCAAGTCACAGTCATGAACGCGTAGAGCAGCGCATTAGCAGCATTGACAAGGTTCGGACTTTGAGAGCCGCCGACGCCTAGGCCGTTCATGGCACTCCAGATTCCAGGGGCCGTAAAAGCACAACATCCGACAACGAGGATCTGAAAAAGCGTGTTTCGGAAGAACGGTATTCATCTGCGCTGAATGGCGGAGACTGCGTCGTCTTCTGGCCGGCTGGTCACTAACTCCCCATCACCGACAACGAGATGTTCTCGCTTGCTTTTCTCATCTGGTGCAGACATCTTGCCTTGACTTAAGGATGCAGTAATTGTTGAATGTTGGAGGTTGATAATGTCGAATGTTAGATGTGCACATATACTGCAGAACTTATAAACGACGCTTGCCAACCTACAGAGATTCGACGCTGCCGAAGCCTCGGAACCTCTCGTTATTGCCGGATTAGCACGCAATGGACTAATCTCCGATTTTAGGACTTTGATATTGAGAATCATGTTTAAAAGGAGCCAGACCGGTGTGGAGTACTAAATCCCACAAGCACATAATATGGCGAGCGTGTGACACAATCGACTTTGGGCCGCTAGAAACGTACGTGCCGCATTCATCCCTTGCCACTCCATACTATTTGTGGCTTTGGTGCTATCTATGCAAGTTAATCACACAAACCACATCGAGTAATTAATACAGACCGGACGTGCTAACGTCCATGACGCACTTTTAGCTCATAGAAGGCAATCTCTCGGTATTCGGCTGAATCTTCTGACTCGCTTCATGATAACCGGTCACTTATACCAGTTAACTGTCGTTTGAATCTTGAAGACACATTGCGAGTGAGTAAGATCCTCAGGACGATTCTGTCAATATTCTACTGCTCATAGCACTACCTATCTTGTTGCAGCTGCAAGGACCATGGCGACCTCTGTGCGACAACTTAACGTCCAGTCGCTGAAGCTCGATGGAGGCGCCCAATCCTCGCTCCCTATAGTCTTTGAATCATTCGATCTGCCAGCCGGCAACCAGCGTATCCTTGGACAGCCGCACCCAAAGAACAGCGTCATTCCTCTGGCGCTACGTCCAGTGACCCACGAAGACGCTCAGGTAGAGCTCGACTCAGTCGTGGCCACTATCAAAGCCCTTCAGGTCCAGGACGGCGAGCTGACCAAGAAGCTGGCCCGCCATGGCACGCTGTTGTTCCGCGACTTGCCCATCCGTGACGCGCACGATTTCAGCAAATTTGCTCACGCCTTCGGCTACCGGCCCCACGAGATTATCGGCATCGTCGTCGACAGACCCCTCCTAGCGCCAAACGTCGCGCCGGCCAACGAGGCGCCCAAGGAGGTCCTGATCTACAACCACAACGAGTCGCCGCAAGTACCCCACGCGCCTGAATACATCTTCTTCTACAGTCACGCGGCGCCGGAGAAGGGCGGGGAGACGCCGATTTCGTCGTCGCTCGAGCTTTTCCATCGCGCGCAGCAGGAAATTCCCGAGCTAATCGCCGAACTCGCTGAGAAGGGTGTTCTGAGTAGGGTGACGTACAAGTTTGACAAGCAGTACGCTGGCGGGTCGACGCTGAGGCAGGCTTTCGGCAAAGAGATACAAGATGGCGACGACGAGGGTACGAGACGGGCCAAGATTGAGGCACAGATCGCCCGCTACGGTCGGGGCAAGCACACAACCTGGGAATGGACCGACGATGGGATCATCTTGACGCACCGGCTTCCAGCTATCAGGACCCAGGCAGGTACGAATCTGCCCACATTGTTTACTGGATTAGCCGCCTATTATAAGACCGTCCAGGTCCAGGATGCAAGCTCGGATGTCCAAAAGGCGAGGCAGAAGGTCACGCAACAGCTCTATGGCGACGGCACTCCTATCCCGGAGGAGTACCTGGCCCATCTCGCCAGGATTACGGATGAGATCCGAGTCTTGCACAGATGGCAGCGGGGTGATGTGCTTGTCTATGATAATACCATCGCTCAGCATGGTAGGGAGCCGTGGGTGGGACAGCAGTCTGACCGCGTTGTGCTGGCTAGTCTCTGGGACGGGGAAAGTGTGCCAGGCGCCTACGGCTTTGGCGAATGGGCGCAGGTTGTCCAGGCTTTGGACGGCTGATTGGCTTCTTGAATGACAAGTAACGACAGTTAGGGTGAACAGGCTTGGCTGAGTGTGCTATGGACGGTAGTGTTTATACGCAACCTATCACATAATTGATGTTTTCGAGCTGTTGAGACATAACGATTCCTCTGCGATAGTTGAGCAAGTCTACAATGCATGCAGTGCCTCCCGAGAACATCGAAATCCCTACCAGAGGAATTTGTGTTTCGAACTGCTGAGTGATGAAAACTGGCAGGTGCTCGCCCCGAGTTGAAATGTAATTGGGAGCCTCCTTTGTATATTAAGCGAGTTTGTAGCCCCATACGATGTTTTGAGCTACAGCTTAGTGTGTCTTGTCATGTCGTACTCAGACGAGTGTTTCCTTGTGTCTTGCGTTACAGTAATCGGACCGAACATCCCGCATTCGTAGAAGTGATAACTTCATTGGCAGGAACTGACGCAGTATCTGTGATGCAATGTCTGTAAAGGTCGCTCAGTCAAGATTGCAAACACTAACACTAACCTCCATCCTCCACGTACGACCATAGATGGTAGAGAACTCGGGATCCCGTCCGCTCTCCCATAGTCTATAGATAAGCTGCCAATCGCCGGAGTAGTAGTTGGGTCGGTGACGACCAGCGAATGCCTGGTGTTGTACGTTTACTTTTGCATTTTTGGCATAATGATCAATTTTTCCCCACTAAATAACCCACTTCATTCCAACATTCCAGTCAGCACACCCACCACATGATTTGTGAGACAAGCTTCGTCACTCAGTCAGCGACTGTGGTACAGTTACATCTAATTACAGTGGCTCACAGAAGTTCCGTCACTCTGTCACTCTGTCAGCCACTGTCGTGCGATAACCGCGACCGTTGACTGAACTGATCCCCAGTTAGAGCTTAAGAAGCAATTTCAAGGAATCATTTCTTTCAGACGCCTCTATTTACCCATTTAAATTCTTTGACATTTCATTGTAATCCTCAGGGAGTAGAGAGGCAAGTTTGAGACCTTCTGAGGAGGCTGACCAGAGCACGACGCTTACACCCGATAAACAATCCGTTGTTAAGTGTCGCTGACGGTGTTGCAATTCCTGCTGCGGTGGAAGTCGTTGCTAGTGGTTGTACGAGGAACACAATCAGAAACGTTCTGCAGTACCATGAATACTATAACCCCTCCCAATTCGGCATTGTTGACACCAGATTTAGAGTACGCTCGCTCCGAGTCGCCTTCGTACCACAGCATGGGTAGGATCTATCTTCTAGGTATCGGTCAATAGAACCGTAGGCTAGTTGGATACCTTGTGTGCAATTGACCATAGTGTTATATAAAGACGTTTAACTTCTGTCCGTCAAGGGAAGTTTTCCATGACCATAGAGTCACTTCTCCTTGGCCCGGCTAACAACATATTACTTCTTTGACATCCCCCTTTCGCTTCTCACCATGCTTGCTCTGAGATATTCTGCCCACATGACATTCTTGGCAGCGTCCATGAGCTTGGTTTCGGCAATCTGCCCTGGCTATAACTTCGCCTTCTGGAATATAGGGAGTAAATGGTACTATGTCACTGATGGTATGCATGGGAGATCCACAAAACGGGGTTTCTCTGGAAATTTGTGAAGTCCCTGTGCTGATGAGCCAATAGTCAGCTGCAACCGCGTATTGACAGCCGTCTGTGACAATCCGTGCACTTGCGGTGTTTTCAGCTGCAGCCCTGATCCAGCTTATGTCAACGGTTTGACAATCGACGGCCTCTATTACAACTGCCGTGACGACCCCAATAAGGGTGTTTGCGATCCGCCCGGTGATCTCGTAGGGCAATCACCAGAATCCTGTGTATGTAGTTCTTTGGATGCAGAACTTGTGCAAATGATGGCTGACACTGGAACAGTGCCGTAATGACGGCCGGCGCAACTTTGCAGAAGGCCTCATTACCGAGCGCCATTTTGAAGCCATCAGTGCTACCAATGAGATCCTGGATCGACATATCGTGGAGTACGATGAGGCTGTCGTGAAAGGACGAAACCTGGGGATGCTGAGAGCTCGTCAACTCGTTGAAGTCGAAGAGTCTGTGAAGCGCGAGGCAGAGGTCGCCCAACTGGCCGAGTGAGACGCATGAGAAAGACAGCTCGAGGAAGTTGCTTTGACACAATCAAAGTATTTTCACGACGATTATCGTGACCATTTATCATGCAAGAGATAATTTCTCCAGTCTCATTGGATACACACCATCTCCAGGTCTTTCAATCGCGAAATTTCATTCTTGGAATATTTAGGAAATTCGGGTCCCATCTACTTCGCATTAAAGATATGATCTATGTACCCATGACTCTCGCAAAAGACAATGCCTGTGACTTTCCGAAAAGAAAATTGAAATGATCGGAAGATTCGGCAATAGTCTAGCCGCCTTGTGCTGAGGGCTCCTTGAAATGGCAAAGTAATAACTTACCATCAACCTCGGCAGGACGCATGAACCTCAGGCCTTGACAGCTTCCCAATTGGACAACGCGGATTGATATGGTAGAGAATTGAATAACCTATCATGTTATTTACATCCCGAAGATATTGGTGCAAGGGAGACAATCAACTGTTTCTTTCGTTCAACCGATCTTAGTTTACCCAAGGCGAGTCTTACACCAGGTCGTAATCTGAATTTAGGGGTCCATATCCATCCCCGGGATCTTCTCCACCCCTGTGCACTGTGTCAGCAATCATGATGATTAGATTGGGAATCGCAAATCGACTCACATCCATCGATATCCTCCCGGAAACTCTGCTGTATTGTACATTTCATTGCCTCTTGCGACGTTTGCATCTTGAGCTGACTGCACACTGCGCCGCGACACTTGGCGTCGAGGGCACGCTGAAGAGAATCTCCCTTCCAGCCAAACACGTAATCTCCGTGGTTTGAGTACCCCGTACTGGGAAAGATCAGTATTATTGATCAGCAGCGAGAATCGAGGAACGTACTTGTCATTGTTGCTCCAGCGAAAGGGTTGCGAACCGTCCGTAGGCCATAGCGCTTCATCATTGAAGGGTCGTGTCTAAGTATCCATAGTCAGCGGAGAAGAGCCAAGGAAGAAATGAATCGCAATACTTACATCCCACATTACCTCATACATAACCTGCGGGATTTTGACAGGGTGGGTTGCTGGACAGGGACCGCCGCTGTCGAATGTTCCGGAGGCGGGATACGCGACGTGACTCTCGTGGTCCGGGCTGTCCGTGTTCTTGCCGTCCCAGCAGGTGGGGAAAGTAATCACGGTGCGGATACCACCGGGGCAAGGAGTCTTGGGCAAAGACTGTGTATCTGGTGACGAGCACTCAATATTGGGGTTGTCTCCGGTTTTTGGCATGCACCGGTGGCACACCTTGGGGTCCTTGCTCTTCGATCGCAGAGCTGCATCTCCGACGAGCATTCGGAACCCTGGCTTGAAGGCCGTGACCTTGGTCTTGCCATCATATGGCGGGATATAGTAGACCGTGATGCCTCCGTTGGCTTTAAGACCCTGGCTCACGAACTGGTTCACGCGTTTGAAGGTTCCGTTGCGGGCTTGGAAGTAGAGGACTGCAGTCCAGTAGTTGGAGAAATCTTCCGCAAACGTGCAGCTTGTGCAGGTGGACTCAGAAGGAAGGTCGTGTGTAGCTGGGTCCATGGAAGCGTTGAACGAGTTACCTCCGACGATCTGGTGGAGATGGGGTGAAGGGATCGAGGCTGGGTTGACCAAAGGGTCGATGCGGTCAATGACCAACTGCGAGCAACTAAATCTCATCATCCCTTGGGCAACGCCATGCTCCACGAGCAGCGCCAAGGCGGTTATGGCTTTCAACTGCATTGTGACCGGAGTAGTTGCCAACGAGATTGCAAAGAAGCATGCAGCAGGGGGGGAGATCACTTGGGATTTCTGAGCTGATAAACTGTTAAATCCATAACCCTGTCGCTGCTTCTTTTGCACGCCGACGAGGACTGTTGATCTTGGCAGTTTAGCCTCAAATGACTTTATATTGACGATGGTGAGTTCTGAGTGGCAAGAAAATGCGGGGACGGGAACTGTTGCGGTCTCTCTGTTATTGCGGTTCATTTGAGCATCGGAAAGAACCGATAGTGCCGAAATCGGAGATACTGCAGTGTCACCTATGGTATGAAGTACCAGTATCTAAGGCTATTCACACCGTTATATATAGAAGGGATGGCTCCCACCTACTCAGACAGACAGTAGTACTAAGGAATTAAGTGGTATTACAGTATATTTTAATAGGTTATAAGCCTGAGATTCTATATAATATACTAAATAAGCTAAGTATTACTATATCTTTATAAGACTACTAATTTTATTAAGTATTTTACTTAATAAAGAGGCTTTTTATTATATTTCTAGATATTAATCTCTAAAAGATTATAGTAAGTAATATAGTCTAATAATATAAAGTATCTTCTTAAACTTAGAAGTAATAACTTTAATAAGTAGTTTTAAAGCTAGTACTTAAAATAGAAGAACTTAAATATATATTTCTTTATTATAGATATTAGTTATATATAAAATAGTTAGTTAAAATATTATTATATAAGATAATATTATTCTTATAATAGAGACTAAATATAGAGAAGAGATAGATATTAAAGAAGATTTAAGATTAAAGAAATATCTATATCTAAGATTAAAGTTTACTTCTTATCTATTATCTTAATCTAATATATTATAATATTAATTAGATACTATCTATAATAAAATAAATATTAATATATCTACTAATAATTATAAAGATACTTTAAAAGTATTAAAATAGGTAATAAAGATTAAAAAGCTAGTACTCTAAATATTTAGTATTAAGAATTATTTAAAGTTAATAAGTTAAGAGATCTATTAAATCTAATTAAAGATTATAATACTTTATCTTAATATTAAAAAAGTAGAAAACTTAATATCTATCTATCTAACTTATAAAAATATTTTAAATAATCTTATTATAAAATAGAAAGTAAAATAATAATAATATATTTATTTTCTCTAACTTATACTTAATAACTTATATATATAACTTTTTATAACTAAATAAATAGTTATTAAGATACTTACTTATATAAAGAAGAAGTATTTAATAAGTAGAATAAGTATCTTATAAAAGTATTATATAAAGTAGGATATATTAACTTTAAATAATATTAATTAAGTATAGGAACTATCTTAATAAATTAAAGAAATATAGAAGGGTTTATAAGTAATTAGTACTAAGTATATACTATCTAAGAGTATATTAATAATTAAGCTTATCTAAATACTTAATTATTACTTTAATATATAGAAGATAACCTTCTAGGTAGTATACTAAGAGAAGATATCTAATTTAAAGAGAGTAATATAGAGTACTTATATTAAAGAGATCTAATTAATTAGTAAGAATAATAGTAAAAAAAAGTTAGTAATATTTTTTATAATATATTAAGACTAGAAGTAAGAACTAATAATAACTTTACTTATTAAAGACTTCTATATAAAAGAAATTCTATACTATACCTACTATAAAAAGGACTATTATACTAAAGCTAATTATTAGATTCTTTATTTTAAGAAGTAGGAGGATAAGAAGAGTAGATCCTAAAGAGATAAATACTAAAGTTAAAACTAAAACTAAAGCTAGAGTATTGATATAAAAAGATAAATTAATAATAATAATAATACTAAAGATATTAAAGAAGAGTCTACTACTCTAGCTATAATACTCTATTAACTTATAGATATCTTAATATATATAGAATATTAATATATATTATTAAAAATAATTAACTATATATTATAATATCTTTAAATTCTTAACTTAAAGGTAGTATAATATATAATCTTTTATTATAATAACTTTATTAAGTTTTAGAAGGTCTAATAATAAATATAAGATATTAAAGATATAAAGATTAAAGTTACTAATATTAAGATTATCTTTAAAAAGATATAGTATAAAAAAGAGGAATTTAAGATCCTTCTTTAAAATATACTATTTATATTAAGGCTTAATATTAATCTTATCTTAATTATATAACTTCTTAATAATAGAGTAAGATTCTATATTAGTTAAGCTTATTAGAAGATCTAGAACTATAATACTTATCTCTTCTATAAGGTTTAATTTAATAATCTCTTTATACTATAGACTATTAACTTAATAATTTAGATTCTTATCTTATACTCTATAAGCCTAAAAATATATCTATAGTATAAATAAATAACTTATCTAGAAGATAATAACCTCTTTAAGCTAGAGAAGATAGTAAATAATATTAAGAATATATAAGAGTTCTATACCTATAAGGTCTATATTTTAAGTTAAATAGTTAAATTACTATATATAGGCATTCTATTAAAAGAGAAATATACTAATAATATTATTTATATTAATATAACTAGCCTCTATTATATTACTAATACTATTAAAGAGTGTTATTAGATTATAATAATTAATAGATACTCTTAATATAGTAGAACTTAATTAATCCTAGAGAGAAAGAATACTTAAAGGTATATTATTAAATTTATTAAGTATTTATAGTACTATAAACCTAATAGAAGATACTATAGGATAGTACACTTTAATAATATAAGAGAGTTTCTTAATAAAGACTTTAAGTAATAATATATAAAGTATAATATTTAAATCTATACTACTAATATAGAATAATATTAGTCTAATAATATTATAGAGGTCTTTAACTAATAGATTTAAGATAAGCTACTACTTATAATAATTAGTAGTAAAATTACTAAAAAATACTGGCTAAAGATATTTATAATAGTAAACTATCTTTAAAACTATAGCTCTTATAGAGTGCTAAATTATATACTAATAGTCTAATCTCTTAAATATCTAGGTTTTTAGGATAGTTATTTAATATTATCTTTCTTAATAAAGCTATAAGAAGCTATAGAAAAGAGTATTAAAATATATATTAATTAACTTTAAGAGTTACTTATATTACTAGCTTCTTATATCTAATAATAAGATTATTAAATTAAATAATATATATTTTAAAGCTAAGAATATACTAAGAATAATAACTTCTATAAAGAGATCCTCTATTAATATATAGATAGAGGTAGATAAAGATAAGTCTACTCTCTATTTAAAAGATAAAAGTATAGGATATCTAATACTAAATTAAATACTAATCAGACTGTTAATTACTTATTTAGGCCTAAAATCAGTCTTATAACCAGAATTATAGAACTAACTAATAGCTTAAAGATATCTAACTATTTTAAAATAGCTAAGAATAAAGTATACTTAATAGATAATAATAACTAATAACTAGGTTAAAGATAGAATTATTATCTTATTACTACTTAAAGAGTATTAGTATAAAATAATAAACTCTCTACTACCTAAGATTAGTAGTCAATCTTCTATTATTATAAATAATCAGTCTAATATCTTACTATTTCTAGAATTAAAGAGCTAATTATTAATAGTTACTCTTTTCTAATCTCTATTTAAAGCTCTATCTACTAATTAGAGATATCTAGAATAGAATAAGCTATTATTAGTATAGTAATAGATTAGTAATAATATATTAAGATAGTTAATATTAAGTAATCTTAATAAGATAGACAGCCTTATTAGATTAACTATTATAGTTTAAAGAGATCTAATCTAATCTTAAAACAAGCTAATAAATATCTATTATAATAATATTAATATATACTATAACTTCTAACTCTTATATTATAACTTAATACTTATAGTAATATTTAAGTAATAAGAGGAAATAAAACTAATTATAATCTTAAAGATAAAAAGTCTCTTCTACTAAAAATAATAGCTAAAGATAATAAAAGAAGAGTACTAATTATTAATTAAGAATAATATCTAGAAATTAATTAAGCTATTATAAGATATTAATATCCTATAAGAAAAATAGATCTATAAGCTAAAGAGGGGCCTAAATAATAAAATAATATACTAAAAAGTATAATAGATAATTAAAGGCTTTAAATAAATTAAGAAAGTTAACTACTTTAAGATCTTTATCTTAATAGTTAAATTAATAAGTTATAAGGCTCTCTTTATAATTATTACTACTAAAAATCTAGAGATTAAATAAATAGATATTAAAACTATATTTCTTTATAATATTATTAAAGAGATAATCTATATTAAATAATCTATTAAGTTTAATAATAGATTAGGCTAAGTCTATAGACTTTAGAAAATACTCTATAAGCTTAAGTAAGTATCTAGAATATAATTCTAGATCTTAATAGACTTTCTTAGTAGATAAGACTTTAAACTAATTAACTCTAACTATAGAGTCTTTACTTATAATAGAATCTTTATTACTATCTATATTAATAATCTACTTATTATAGATAAGAATAAGATAAAGATCTAAGAGCTTAAAGCTACTTTAAGTAATTACTTTAAGATATCTAATCTAAAAGTATATTAATACTATCTTAGAATTTAGATCTATTAAAATAAAGTAAAGTATATTATCTATCTTAATTAATAAGACTATATTAATAAGATTCTTTAAATATTTAAAATAGATTATTATATATTAGTAAGAGTATCTATAATAGACTAACTTTATCTAATACTAAATAGTTAGAAGTATCTAGTAATAGATTATAAGTAATATTAATTAGTAGTTAGATTACTTATATACTTAATACTTAGAACTTAATTAGATCTTATCTATTTTATATTTATTATAAGCTATTATTTAAATAATTTAATAGAAGAGTATTAAAAGGTAGTTAAATAGATTTTTTAATATTTTAAAGAGAGTTATAATTTCTTACTCTATTATTAAAGATAACTAGAGAATCTTAAAGGGTATACTAACTTTAATTAAGATTTTAATTTAATAACTTATTAATCTATATTAAGCTATATCTTTAATATTAATAATAGTACTATTAGCTAATTAAATAAATAATAATAAATAATAATATTATTATTTTATAAAGTAAAGTATATAAGCTAGACTTAAATAATAAAGAAAGTAATATAACTTAAATAACTACTTAATAAACTTAATATAAAGCCTATAAGAGTTAAAGAGATATTATATATAGTAGTTATCTATAATAATAACTAAAAAGTAATTATATTAATATAGAACTTTATAAACTATATTAAAATAAAGTATATTAATATTTAATAATACTTTATTTATAAGAAAATAGCTAATAATTTAATTAAGTTATAATTTATTTTAATAATAAATATAATAATAAATAAACTAATAAAGCTATTATTAAAAGTACTCTTTTAATACTTTTAGAGAATACTAAGCCTAATAATTTACCTAGAATAAAGATATACTCTTATATTAAAAGACTTTAATAAAGACTAATAATAATAGAAAAGCTATCTATATATATACTAATCAACTTATTATACTAATAACTTAAGATCTATTAATATTAAGAAAAGTAATAAATCTACTTAATAATATTAATAGAGATATATAATTTAATATTAATAACTTAATTCTATATATATAGATATCTAGAGATAATAAGAGCTTAAAGATAATAGAAGCTTAAAGACAGTAGGAGCTTAAAGTAGAAGCACTATTAAATAGTATTACTATAGTAAGTAGGAGTGCTGAAATTAGAGATACTATAGTATCATCTATAGTATGAAGTACCGGTACCTAAGGCTATTCACATCATTATATATAGAAGGGGTGGCTCCTACCTACTCAGACAGGCAGTAGTACTAAGGAATCAAGCGGTATTACAGTACATTTCAACAGATAGTATATGAGAATCTGCCCTTTGCTGGTAATCACAGAGTCCACTATTCATAGGGGACCAAATTACCTGGTTTCCTTGTTCGGGATCTCATCTAAAGCCGCACCTGAAACGGTATTTAGCACGTTTCACTCTGGCCGAACACGTACACTGCGGTAGCCGTCGCTTCGCACTCAACGCCAATGACGAAGGCCCCCTAGTCGGTGGAGGGAGACACAGCGTGCGAAGTCCTAGGTCCATCCGTTGAATGTGTCTGGGTGGCTGAGTCGGTATGCCCTACTTCAGTATCGTAATCGCAAAACACGGTATATGGTCTGCGGTCACCGGGCACTTGAGGACAGAAGAAATGGCAATGGCTTCATGACTATCATGGCCGGGTTTTTCTGACAGCGTGGGGAAGTTCAGGAACCTAATCTCAGCTTCGATGTTTGAAGGTCGGTTGAGGAATGGCTCTGTGTCTCCTACATAAAACTATTCGATACCTGATTTGAAAGCTCTAGCTTGGCTCAATTGAGTACTGCTGTATCGTAGAGTTCATGTCATCGGTTCTTCGCCAGGATTATAGTCATTGAATTATCGTTCAGAGGGATGCTCCTTAATTTCGAGCGAGAAATGGAATGACCCGGGAAGCGTGTTGTTAGTTTGAGACAAACGTGATAGTGGATTCGATCCGACAAAACTTATCGAGCAAGGTCTTGAATTTGTAGGAGCCAAGGAGGGACTAAATCCTGAGCCTGACATCAAGTTGGCAATATGGAACTCTGACATTCTAGAAGTAGCACTGGCTGATTTGGATTTTTCCTTCGCACAGGCGCTACGTAGGCATACCAGCAGGTGTTGCATCTTGATCACGCATGACGTCCTGTTGGCAGGGGCACTCCAAGCTGACGATCTTGTCTGTGAGCTCCGCTGATGAAAGTTTGGAAATGTTGAAATTGGTGCAATACCGCTTGATTCCTTAGTACTAACTGCCTGTCGAAGTAGGTGGGAACCACCTCTTCTATACCTCGTATCATAGGTGTCTCGCTGCAGTACCTCCGATTTTGGCAGGAAATGTAGTCGGCGTAAAGCCAGTCACGAATGGGCACTAGGTCAACATTATGGATTCTGGTAAGCTTTTGAACATCCACGTCCCTGTTGGAAGTGTCGATTTGGCTGTTTATTCTCTCATCTATTTGCGGCTTTGACCTCATGCACACGTGCACTCTAGCTCATGTGACAGTTTGCTGGCAGGACCCTCTTTTAAGGTGTAGTTTAAAATAAATCATTGTCGGGACCATTCAAAGGAGGGCGAATATAAGAATGGAATTTAGCTTGCAGAGGAGGAGCCTTCATCTCTTCTCTTCCCCAAGTCTCTGATGGATCTGCTGTCTGATCCTTCTCCGCGGTCTTTGCCTATCCTGGCGACTTGACATCCATTTCACCTGGATCTCAGTTTGCATCACACGAAGTATTCACCTACCACTGTGTGAAGTACCACATAAACCTGAGGAGTTTATATCTTCAACATTGAAGCTTACCCATTGGCACTTCACCAAGGACAAGACCAGCATGGATCGACCAGCCTATCAGAGGTCCCTTCTAAGGTAAGGATGTTTTCTATATTAAACTGCAGGTGGATAGCACTAACATCTAGTTGCTGCCCTCTAGCTCCCTTGAATCTGGGGAATTCTTGGACTTGACGGTCCGCTGCGGTGATCGTGAGTGGAAGCTTCACAAGCTTGTTATGTGTTCGGGGTCAGTGTGGTTCAAAACGGCCTTCACCAACAGCTTCGTCGTGAGTATTGGACCCAGTCAGGAAAGCGAGGGAATTCTGACATTGTTTGATTAGGAAGCTAGTACGAATGAAGTCACTCTACAGAATGTCAACTCCACACATTTCGGGTGGCTCGTCCTGTACCTCTACAGCGGAAGCCGTGAGTACTGCCGGGCTGTTCTGAGGCTCAGCTAACAATGCTTCCAGTCAATGGTATCGATGAGCTCGAGGAAGAAGAGCAATTGCCGTTGCATGCCGCTCAACTCTACATGGTTGCTGACTATTTCGTCGTTGACGACCTCAAAAATGCAATCACAGCACATCTCGAAGAGCATTTCACCAACAAAGGTCATGAGGTGCAACGCCTCTGCTACCTGAACAAAGAGAGACCCAACGACGATCAAGAGCCTCTGTTGAGCGAGGAATACGTTGGAGGGCTCAGGATTGCCATGGAGTATGTTTTTGACGATCGACGACAGAAGGTGCTGTCTCAACTTCATCAGACCTATTGCACTCTGGTCACCGCATCCTCGTGGCTCCTCCTGACTGAGGACCCATTCGAAAGCATGATTTCCCAGTATCCTGCTCTAGTTTCGCTTGTGTTTCAATCATTGATGCACGGATTTGGCATGAAAAAAGCCATCCTTCTTCTACCATTTCAGTGTAAGAAGTGCGACAAGCCAATTGGAACTTCGCCAACTTCAGTCATGGCATCACGGTCAATCGGTGTCTCCAAACCTCGAAGCGGTATAGCGGACAGTATGAAGACAAAGGGTACCTGCTTCTCATGCAAGAACAGATGAGCTCACATAGACAGCGAAAGTCACTCAAAAGGAGAGTCACTTCTGGTATGAAATGTTTCCCATGCAATCTGTATCATCAAAGTCTAGCTTCAGGCGTCATAGAAATTGAAGCTTCAGAGAAATATACAAATAATTGCTCCATGTTCAAGATCTCTTTCTAAATCAGCAAGTTGCAGAATAATCCAATAGCAACGCTGGCCCGGAGTATGAGGGATCCAGTTAAGCCACTTCTATGGTAAGCCTCCCACGATGTTGACCGGAAATGGAAATCAGAACAGAATCTTCCGTTCCGCAAGTGTAAAATTGACCCGTTCAAGTGTAGAAAGCAGTGGGGCAAAGCCCTGTAATCCGGCTCAATGTAAGCACCCTGGAAAGGGTTGGGGATCTCGGAGCCGCTAATGTGACACCTCCGGATAATACATAGAGACGAGCCTTCTCTGCTGAACTTCCACTGGAGTTTGCCACCGGGCTGACTCGAAAGGCCAAGCACGCGAAGCAGAACTGTCACGATGCTCATTTTCAAATTCTGGCACGTTCTCACCGCCGCCTCAGCCGTGTTTGCGGCTTCCTGGATCGAGTCAAACACCGTGTGGTACGATACCGATGGCCAGAAGATTCAAGCCCACGGCGGAGGTATCGTACAGCGCGGTGATAACTTCTACTGGGTTGGCCACAGCTCGAATAATAGTAGGTGGATTCAAGCAAGCTTGACGGTCTCAAGCGGGACTGACAGGAGCACAGACCCAACGGTAATGATGTACTCGTCTACAGACCTGCTCAACTGGAAGAATCTAGGGACGCAAGCATCTTCCGTGACAGGCATATGGCGGCCCAAGATTGCCAAGCCAAATGGATCTTTTTGGGTGAGCTGAATTCAAAGCAACTTTGCGTCTCACTGGAAGCCTCGCTGAATTCGTCTCATTGATAGCTATACGGCCAGCAGGACCGATATGTCCTTTCTCTCAAGTCTGCAAACATGGTGGGAGGCTACCAACCGTCGGCCAAGGTTCATCTACCCCCAAGTGGTTACACCTACTCCGACACTGGGATGTTCTACGATGAAGACACCCGTAAGCCTCAATACCTCTTGATCTGAGACCTCACAAAGATCGCGCTACTGAGTACTCCCAACAGAGACGTGGTTCCTCCTCACCAGCGCGGACCACAACACCGTGCAGATCAATCGTATCAACAGCGACGGCACTGTGGGAGATCGCGTGTCTACTCTAAGTGAGCAATGCCTTATTTTTGTGCTCCGAGATATACATAGCACTCACAAATTCTGAATCAAGCCGGCGGTGCCTACGAAGCTCCGGGAATTTTCAAGGCAGACGGGATTTACTTCCTCATCGTATCAGGCAAGACCGGATATCGCGCAAACCCCAACAAGGTCTTCTGGGCCGCCTCGATCTCTGGGCCCTGGAAAGGGGGCACAGACATAGCACCACCGGACCAGAAAACGTACGGCTCACAAAACACATTCGAGTTGACGATCAAGGGCTCCAAGCAGACCGCTCATATCTACATGGGCGATGCCTGGGACTCGAAGGGCTCGACGGCGTCAAACTATGTCTGGTTACCGATGGCGGTCGATAGCAAGTGAGTGGTGTGGTTTTATGAATGCGATCAAGCACTACATGATGCTAATTGAGTTGTGTGTGCAGCCGAAAGACAGTGACATTGCAGCACTATGCCAAGTGGAAGATTGATGTGAAGACTGGCGAAGTCACCACTGGCTGAAAATGATGACAGCTCGGTCCGCTGGGCAATTGTGCCGATATGCCTGCTCATGCAGTCTTTTCTGGTCCGGTTTTTTTATGTGAAGTCGAAGGCTCGACTGTCAAAGGATAGCGTTGCAAACGCCAAACGAATGATGTCGGCACTTGTAATCTCACCTGAGACAGGTCACTTCCGTCAAAATGCTTGGCATAATGTCTCATGTCACCACTATCGTAAAATGTCCCAATCAACTAGCAAACTGGGCGTAACTGGATGTGCATATGCATAATCACTGCATGAGTGACCGTTCGGCCTTTCGAAGCCTGTCTTTGTCGGGAGTAAGCCCCCTCCCTGTCGGCCTAACAATGGGCCTCAATCCCTGCCTGACCCGACGATGAAGCCGGTCACTTCTTTGTCTTTGTGTTTCTTTTGTTCTGTGACATCCGCTCTTTGAGCGCCAGGAGAATATCAAGAAGCGTTCCGCAACTCTTAAGATGACGGATGATGTCAAAGACCTGTAGTCTCGTCTTGTTTTCACAGCTCCCAGCTTCACACAGTTTTGGACCGCCGAAATGGAGCAGCCAACACCCCGTAAAGATCGCGTTCTCGAACGCTTTTTACTCTTCCTCCTCATCATCCTCCCAGGAATCCTCGCCATTGTCCTCGGTGGCGGACTAGTAGCCGGTACGATCTATGCGCTCGACGTTCGTATCCGCCACCTCGTCGACACCGCCAGCGTCGACCCGGACCCAGCCGTCTGGGTCAAGCAGGCCCGCACATTCGCCTACGACCGGTGCTACAATGGGTGCCGCGATGCGACCTGTCTGTCGGACCCGGACGCCGTCGCAAAGGCTTGCGCGCGCACGGCCAAGGCCGGCGCCACCTGTGACGCCGCGCGCATGTGGAACTGGCGCGACGGGAGGTACCAGGATCATTGCCTGGCTGCGGTCGGCGACATGTTCAAGGCCGACGCCCTGCACGCCAAGAAGATGAAGCTCAGGCAGCAGTACGCCATCATCATACTCTGCCTGCTAGGCGGACTAGTCTTGGGGTGGGTGACGTACAAGCTTGCCAAGCGTTACGCTGCGGGCTGGCGTCACCGACTCCTGGATCGTGGGGCTTTGCGGGACTTGGACCAGAGGGGCGGCGCCCAGGAACCAGAGCTCATGCCACGGGAAGAGAAAGTCTCGCGACCGCACGAGGGTCGAAGTCGTGTGAAGACAGCACTTCTTGTGATATTGGCTTTCTTCGGCAAGAAAACACAAGCCTTTCCGTGTGCTGGCTACGGCACGAAGCAGTGGCAAACCTTTGAGAACGCAAACCGTACTGTCATCGGATTCGTTCAGGGTTGGATGTCTGATTGCTATCACTATCAGTCCTGCTACTCGTCGTGCTCGGAGTCTTGCAGCACGTCTGGCGGCACCACTTCTTGCCACACGACATGCAGGGACTCGTGCACCACACATACAGGAGTCAGGACATATCCAGACTTTTACGTATCGCGGGCAGCCAAGAAAGTGGTGGACTGTGGGTTCCATTTGATCGATCAATTGAATGAGACGGTCGATGCGAGGGTTGCAAACGCTGGTATCGAGTCAAATTATTGGGTCACCATCGTGGTGAATGCATATAACGTCACGTCGCCGGGCGTTACAGATGATGATGTCTGGTGCCTGTACAATATTGGAAATACGAAGCCTTGAATTTCGTCAATACATCTCTTTTAGGCCACCAATAAACAATCTACTTCAGAGTTGTCCTATCATTCTGGAGTATCAAGACGCAAACTTGGTGAACGGATCAACCGTGGGATCCCGATTACGCACATACTCGGACGCGTTGGAGATCGTATCTGCAATCTCAGCTCCGTATTGGGCCTCGATGAAGGCATACATCATGTCGATGCCGGCCGAGATACCAGACGACGTCCAGATATTGCCGTCAACCGCCCACCGGGCCTCGCGCAGCCAGTTCACATTAGGGCCCTGCGTCATGACCTGTACAAGAATGTAGTTTAGTGCATAGATTCGTCGCAAGAGGAGCCCGGAGTCCACTCACCCAAGCAAACGACTTCTTGTTCGTCGTCGCCTCCTTGTCGTCGAGGATTCCTGTCCTCGCAGCCAGGGCGGCGCCCGTGCAGACGGTCAGCAGGTACCGCAACTTCGGGTACCTCGCCTTGACAAAATCAACGACTACCTGCGTGGCCTCGATCTCACGCGTGCCGAAGCCACCGGGAACGAACAGCACCTCGATGTCCTCGGGCGCCGACGCATACGTGTGCGTCGGCACTACGCTCTGGCCAATCCAGCCGGGCGTGGGCCGCACGAGCGTCGAGACGGGGTCCAGGGTCGGCGCGAGGATGGAGAGCTCCAAGGGGTGCGTGCGAGACAGGGAGTTGAGGGCGTCTAGGCCGCCGAAGACATCAAGACTCTGGAAGCCGTCGAATAGGGCGACGGCGTACTTTGTTGGGGCCATGGTTGCAATGTAATGTTTATGTTCTTAAGATTTCTTTTACTCCCTTATGTCTCGATCCTTCTTATAGTGTCGTGAGAGAGGAGGTTGCTCATGTGCACATCGAGGTCCTGAGTCAAATTGGACTGCCTCATTAGCAAGATCTATCCCCCACACGCGGAGGTGGTGCGGGAATTGCGGGTGCAGGCTCACTAGCCTCCCCGCAAAGCCACATGCTGTGTTCAGTCTACATCGCCGAGTCCCCTCGGAGGTTTCACTCATGGGGCTTGGATCAATTCGCTGGAATTAATATGATATGACACCACCAGCCAGTCGATTGCCAGCAGCTCATGTATCCTGGAGTATGATAAATTGACAAATGGGTGGGAAAAGTCCTGGGATGACAAGCGGTAGCTGTACGGGTCGAGGTTCTCGAGGACTTTCTGGACTACCCGCGCAACAGGCAGGTTGCGTCATCGTCTCGCCAAGACTCAGCTGGGCTCAGGGAAATGATCAAGGCTCCTTGCCTGCGCAAGCCCACTATCTGCCCATGCCTTGAGACGCCGCTCACTGGCGCAACACTGTAATCACCGAGGTAGCCCAGGTAGCCCAAGCCAAGACTCGCCCGTCGAACTGGCGAGTAGTGGTAGCATCAGGTCCAGAAGACAAAGCAGCTCACACCAGACTTGCCCCCACCCTTAGAACCCACGAAAGACCTCGACTACGAGGTTTTTGACATCTTGAATCCTTTTCTCTCAAAGCCCAGAGAAATGGCTAACAGTGTCGAAGGTCTGGAGTCAGAGATCGGCATGGGATATTATCTTGATAAGGCACCATGCCCTCTATATGTATGCTGAGTGGGTTGCCAACCGTGTTCAGTATGGGTTCACGGTGACAATCGTTCCTCGTTCATAGCACGGAGGGGTGAGAGAATGCATGGGTTCGAATGTACATCTTTACTGCTGCCTAACAGTCATGGTGCATGATCGCATCCCATTTCATTGCTTTGACAGGCTCAAAGAGCAGGTGGTGCTGACGACGCCCCGGTATTGCGTAAACCTGCTCAAACCTGCGCTACTCGCTTGTCTCCCAAGCCACAGCATCAACTAACCAACCATCTCACATCAACGATATAAAGTATTTCCCCATTCAACAATACTAGCGCCGGCTAGGCCATTGGAACCTACCAAATGTGGACAATCATGTGGTTCGCTGCAGCGGTTTCCCGTACGACTTGCAACAGATCTCGATATCGAAGCTGCTGTAGTAGGCACCGAGGTCACTAAGAGACATGGCCCCTGATCATTAGATGAGGTATGAGCAACTTCCCGCGCAATTATTAGCGCGTGCTTCTATACGACTGCCTGATCTAGCTGGCTGGGGTGTCATTCAGTAACTCGTCTCTCATCAGCCAAGGGATCAGGTGGAAAGGAGCGAATCACTTCAAGGTTTTGCAAGGTCGGTATACAGAGAGGAAATACTTTATAAAAGGGGCAAGACAAGCTCCCTCTTCCCGAATAATATCTGCCTGTCCATACAATTGTAGTATTGCATTCCGCCCCCTCACGAAAAAGAACACAGTGTATCCGAAAATACAATGGTTGGGATGATGTCCAGACTATCATTGCTTGCCGGGCTCCTGTCCCTGACCCATATCATTCATGCCATCAATATCACTGAGCAGGCCATCAACCAGAAGAGAACTCTTTCTCTAGGCGTTATTGTGTTCCCAGGCTGGGAGCCGTTGGATGTCTTTGGCCCGATGGAGATATTCTTCTCTGTATGTGATGCGCGTGTCTTCACTGACCCTCCAGCTGTATTATCTTGCAAGCATTTCAAGCTACCCATGCTAACTGAAAGCATAGCTGTCATACCCTTACAAGATCAGGCTTTCGGTCATCTCCAAAACAGCTGGGCCCGTGAGCTCCACGGTTCCTCCCTTCAGCATCACTGGAGTCGGCCCACCCATAGACTATGGATACCTGCTCAACCCTACAATCATGGCCAGCCACTCCTTCGAGGATGCTCCGCCGCTGGATGTGCTGCTCGTCCCCGGAGGATTCGGCAATGTCGTCTTGGAGCAGAGAAACGACACCTCGATCGAGGGCTTTATCCGCCGCCGGTTTGACCAGCTGGACTACCTCCTGAGCGTATGCACGGGCGCCATGTCCCTCGCCAAGGCGGGCGTGCTCAATGGTCGTCGCGCTACCACAAATAAAGGAGCGTGGGGCTCGGTCGTGCGCCACGGCGAGAACATCACCTGGGTGCCAACCGCGCGCTGGGTGGAGGATGGTAAGGTTTGGAGCAGTTCTGGAGTTGCTGCTGGTAAGTGCGATCCGGCCTCTTATTAAAACATAGAGAGGTTATCTTTTCTAACATGGGCTTAGGCATGGACATGGCATATGCGTTTTTAAGCCACTTTTACGGCACCGACCGCGTGAATAATACGATGAATGGCATTGAGTACGCCCCGCATACGGACCCGAACTGGGATCCGTTCTCGGTGGTGCACAAGGTATGCTTCTCGTCTCCCTTTGATTGTATGAAGACTGAGAAAGAAATCACCCCCAGGTTCCCGGCGCAAACGTAAGTGCCAACGTAGAGGGATGTGTACGTCCGGTCGGCTACTGAGGCATGAATTATGGGATATCTTGACAGCTATGGTTGAATTGGAAATGGCCAGTGAGGACTCCTTCAGGCAACTCGGGGCAATATGTTCGCATCAAACTCTGGCTGGCGATCTTGGCCGTCCAACAATCCCATCCAATATGTCGTGTCTCTACCATCAAACTCTCGTGCATGAAACCCATTTCCGAGAAAGGCCCATTGGTTGCTACTCAAGTAGGAAATATCATAGTCCTCATATCGTGGTGTCTTCAGTGTCTCGAAGAAATGGACACGGGAGCCAGGGTACATCGTGAGAGTGCCATTGGGGTCACCCTTCTTGAACCAAGACGAGCATGGGCCGGACCAGGCAGTGCGCTTCACGTAGAGATCGTGATGTTCTTTGAAGGCGAGAGCAGCGGTCATCTTGGGTGCCAGGGACCTAATATTCTCCAACTGAATCTTGGTGATCGCCTGGCAGATGTACTTCGTGAAGTGCTCGATGATGGGCAACAGAGATCCAACAGCCAGGGGGCCATACTAGCTAATCTTTAGTCATATGAATGCACACATATGAAGACGAATTTATAGCTTACTGGACCCGCAAACATGAAGAAATTTGGGAATTCCGGTACACCAACAGCCAGGTATGACACCGGCGTGTTCTTCCGCCAGACGTCTTGCAAGTTCTTCCCGTTCGCGATGACGGGGAAACGTGGCACCCAGCTAGTGTCGAAGCCTGTGGCGCAGATAATGACGTCCAGGTCATGATGGCTTCCGTTGTGATCAACGAAACCAGTCTCGGTGACGCGTTGCATCTGCTTGGTGTGTACTGTGGTGTTGGGCGCTACCAGCGATTCTAGAAAACCTTCGCCTGGGGTTGGCCGTCTACAGCCAACGTTGAAGTCTTTGGGGATGATTGCATCAGCGATGGTCTCGTTTCCTTTGAGCTTCCCGCGCATCTCCGATTCTGAAAACTATTGGAATTGTTCCGTTTAGTGTCAGCCCTTCCAACACAGAGCTGTGAAGCCCACTTACCCGCTTGGCCTCAACGGCTTCTGGGCCATTCTTCATGAGGAATCGGAATCGTTGACCAATCTCGGCTTCGATCATTTTGGCGTAATGTAGATAAAGCTTCGGGTTCTCTTTTAGTAGTCTCTTCTGCTCTTCAGTGTCTAGAAGATGATCGATATGTTAGTCACTTGTGACGAGAAGCTGTCAAAATAAGGTACGTACATTGGAAGTTTCCTCCATCTGGGCCTGCATACTTCTGGGCAAACCCGGCAGTTATCCATGTTGGCGACTTGACAAAACTGTGCAGTTCGCTGACAATTGGCTGAATACTAGGGACAACCTGAGCAGCACTGCTTCCGGCACCAATCACGCCAACTTTCTTTCCCGTCAAGTCGTATTCTGTGTCCCATTGCGCGGTATGCATTAGCTTTCCCTTGAAGGAATGGAGACCTTCAATGTTCGGCCAGCGGAAATTACTGCCGATGTTCATTAGCTCGGCCGTGCAACGGCGTATGTTCAATCTGTGCGGCGGCTTACTTCAGAATACCTCCACCGTTCAGGAACACCTCGCAGTAATCATCGAAAGTCGTGCCGTCAGGGCGTTGCACCGTAACGCGCCACTGGCCCTTCTCGTCTATCCACTCTGCTCCCTTGACCGAATGCTGCAGCCGAATGTAGCGCATCAGCTCGTACTTGTCCACAATACCTCTAAGGTACTTCCAGATCTCGTGGCCGGAAGAGTAGTACTCGGGCCAGATGTGTGGCTCCCAGGTGAATTGATAATTCACCGAGGGTATGTCGCACGCGACGCCCGGGTACTTGTTCTCTAGCCAGGTACCGCCAACATCGTTGTTCTTCTCGTAGCACACTATCTCGACATTTTCGAGGTCCTCCTCAGCGGTCTTGCAAAAGTTGATACCCGAGGCGCCCGCGCCTAGCACGATGATTCTCATGTCTCTCTTCGTACCCATCGGCTGCTCGTTGATGCGGTATCCGCCCTCATTTTTGCTAGGCCATCCGAAAAGTTCTGGAGCGCAGGGTGAAGCGACTAGAGGGATGTTGCGATTTGTCTTGGCAGGCCTTAAGGGCAATGACCCTTCCTCAACGTGTGGTGACATGGTGAAGTTGAAACAGACGAGAATCCCTGGTGCCACGATTAGATGGGTGTTTCGAGAGGACTGTTGCGTATCGCTACGAGATGATGTTGGAGGGCAGGATAATTACAACAAGATAACACTCAAAGTCACAACGAGGCGTGTCAACTAATGCGACTTGAAAGAGATTTGTATTGAGCCAACGTCGAACGAATGTCAGACCATCTGAGCAAAAGATTCGTGCGACATAGTGCTCTACTCTGTCGATTCTTTCTTGGATATCGTCCAAGGTAATGATTCGCCGACGGTTGGGACAGGACTTTGCCGTTAACTACGCCCCCTCCGGCGGTTCTGCGTACTTACGGTTGCCGAGAGCTGTCTCCAAACCATCCCTGTCATTGATCCACATTGTTGCTCATGGGATCATAGGCTCATCTGGCTGCTCGCATGCTTCGGATGTGGACGGCAATGGCCAATGTCGCATCATTAAAGAATAGGCAACGGACAAAACTGAACTAAAAACTTATCGTCACGAGGATGGCCGGCATCGGCAACGGAATAGTGTCCGTAGCCTACGGTCGCTAACGCCGCTCCACACCGTGCTTAGTCGGCCCTGAGAGGCCAAGAAAGTCTCGGCTCTTTCAACAAACTGTCCATGACCAAACGAAGTTAGTATTTTATTTTCAAAAATGATTCTCAAGTACTCATCTTGCTACAGCCCTCAACCAGAGAGAACATTTCTGTCTTGACCCCCCCCATCAACCCTCCAGTATCGACACTTGAGCCGAACCTTGTTGGAGCTTAGCACCTCCATAGCCGAGAGCAGCATCCATCCCGACCCCGTGGAGAAGCCCTTTGATTTGATGATCGTGTGGAGCAGACACTGGCCTGGGACACACTAGCTTTGGTCTCCACGCAAAATCGTCTGGCCCTGCATCCTCCGAGCGCGTGGAACTTCATGCATGCGCCGTGTCCCAGGGATCCGGGGCCCCAGGATCCAGAGCCGGTCGGGTCTCTGACAGTTGGGGTTCACCTCGTGTGCTTGACTTTTGGTCGCAGCCAAGGTCAGCGTTTTGTATATAGATGCTGCTGGTGATCTTCACACCTACCAGGGTCAGAAACAGTGTCACCACACCGGAACCAGTCTTCACCACTGCCCGTCAGCCTAACCGACCTTGAGGACTTGCTCTCCACGACAAACTTTCTGCCTGCTATCTCTCTCTCTGCGGTCCACTCATCTCAAAAACCATGACCGCCGACGTTAGCTCCGAGCACAGCGTCTCTGCTGGCGCTGAGGCAAAGGACAAGGCTTCGCATGCTGATTATGCCGTTGAGAATGGCCTCCCAGGAGGCGACATGACCCCGGAGGAGGAGAGGCATATGGTGCGAAAGATGGATATCAACATCTTCCCTATTCTGATCTGCCTGTATATTCTCTCTTTCCTGGACAGAGTCAATATTGGTATGTGCATCGCTCAAAATATCATACCGAGAGCTCAACTGACATTTCCCTTCCAAGGCAATGCCCGTCTTTATCATCTCGAGGACGACCTAGGGCTCAAGGGCAACGAGTATCAGCTTTGCGTCTCCATGCTTTTCGTCACCTACGTTACCTTTGAGCTGCCCACCAACCTTGTTTTGAAGATGGTCCAGCCGAAACGCTTCATTCCCATGATCTCCATCGGATGGGGCATCATTTCCATGTGCACCGGCTTCGTCAACAACAAGGCTCAGATGATCGTGATGCGCCTACTCCTGGGCGTCTGCGAAGCTGGCTACTTCCCTGCTATTTGCTTCTACCTGACCTTCTTCTACCGTCGCCGGGAGTTGGCTGTCCGTATTTTCTACCTCTTCGCCGCCTCCGCTGTTTCCGGCTCTTGCGGCGGGCTCCTGGCCTACGCTATCGGTCACATGGACGGCATCCGTGGCTACTCGGCTTGGCGATGGCTCATGATTCTTGAGGGCATCCCCACGATCATTCTTGGTGCCGTTTCTTACTTCGTCCTGGCGAACGACCCCTACGACGCTCGCTACCTGACCGACCGCGAGAAGTCGTTCACTCCCATCCGCCGCCAGCTTGATGGCACCTCGCTCGGAATGGAGGGCGACAAGAACAAGATCGACTGGCAGCAGTGCTTCGAGGCCTGGAAGGATTGGAAGGTGTGGTCGCTCGCCACCGCCCAGATCGGCGTCACCGTCATGCTCTACGGCTACAGCACCTTCCTCCCCACTATCATCAATGCTCTGGGTTACAGCGGCGTCCACACTCAGCTACTCACAATCCCCTGCTACGCCACCGGGGCCCTGATCTACCTCGTGGTCGCCCATATGTCTGACCGCACCGGCTACCGAGGTTACTTTGTTGTCGGTGGTTGCGTGGCCGCCTGCACCGGCTACGCCATCCTTCTGGGCACGCCGCACTACGGCGCCGGCGCCCAGTACGCCGGCTGCATCATTGTGGCCGCGGGTCTGTATGTCGCCGTCGGCATACCCATCTCGTGGATGCCCAACAACTTGCCCAGCCACTACAAGCGTGCTGCTGGTCAGGGCACGTCCATGACTCTCGGCAACTGCGCAGGTATCTTCTCCTCGTTCATCTACCGCACGCAAGATAAGCCCGAGTACAAGCTGGGCCATGGCCTCACCATGGCTTTCGTCTTTTGCTCCGGCTGCCTCTTTGCCGCGACGTGCTACTTCCTGCGCCGGGAGAACAAGAAGCGCGACCGTGGTGAGCGTGACTACGTTCTTGAGGGGAAGACTCCGGATCAGATTGCTAGGCTGGGCGACTATCATCCGGAGTACCGCTATCTCTATTAAGCAGTTTGATAACTGTGGGACCAATGGGATCAATAATTCAAGGCCGTATGCTTTCGGGTGTTGGGTGTGAAGTTGGGGCAGGATGACTTCAGGGTCTGAACTTGTTAGCTTTGAATGCTATTAGTTTTGTTACGGAGTGAAGCTTGGTTCTGATCTAGATATGCAATGTCAATGATATTCTGCTTTGACAGATTAAAAGTTTTCTCCGTCTCAAACTAGTATGACCACTGTATGTTCAAGTTAAAGACTTTGTCCTATTGCCCATCAATGGAGTGTTCCATGCATACTTGGGACGCTCTCACAACAGTAGACTGGCAAGTAAGTATCGCGGCAGGACCAGTAGCATTCGATGTCACAGTAGAAAGTTGGACAGGACATGGCCATCTATTGGAACGCGAAAGAAAGAATACTACAATAAATTACATGCTATGCGCACCACCATCCAAGAATATCCGAGCACCATTCACGTAGTCGCTAGCACTGCTCGCGAGGAAGACACTGATGCCTTTGAAATCATCCGGCAAGCCCCATCTCCTTGACGGAATGCTCTTGATGATCTTTTCATTTGCTTCCTCATCGTCTACGAATCGCTGTGCAAGGGCGGTGTGAATCCAACTGGCCAGTATTGTTAGTCTGCTACTTCATCCCTTTCACTGTTGAAATCTTCAGGTGCTCCTTACCCAGGATAGATGGCGTTGACTTGGATGTTATATGGTCCGAACTCATTGGCAAATGAATTGGTCGCTTGTCCAACCGCAGCCTTCATAGGTCCATAGACGGAGAAGGTCGTCATGGCCTTGTGTGCGGCAAGAGAACAGATGTTGATGATCTTTCCACCCTGACCACGCTCGATCATGTGTCGTCCCACGCATTGTGACAGAACCCAGACTGAGTTGAAGTTGATTTGGATGATCTGAGAAAAGGGGAAAAGGAATTAGTCTTTGTGTCAAACAATTGATGCGGTTGTGCAGAGTTCCTTACCGCATCCTTGTGCTCATCAGTCTCGAACAAGATGGGAATAGAGCCGCTGCTGATACCGGCGACGTTGCACAGAATGTCAATCTGGTGTCCATCGTCCAGAACCTTTTGAACCGCCTTTCGAATCTCCGCACTGATACTGAGATCGCAGTCGTACGTGGCAACCTTGCGGCCCGTCTCGGCGGCCAGCTGACCGCTGAACTTGGAAACGTCGCCCGGTATCTGAAAGATGATGATGTCCGCACCTGCCTCAGCAAGACCGCGCGCCATTCCACCGCCGATGCCTCCATTCGCTCCCGTAACGAGTGCCGTCTTGCCCGTCAGGTCAAAGAGTGATAGTGTCGGTATGCCAGTGGGCGCTGATGTGGGCGGCAGCTCCTTGGGCAGGTCGAACTTGGGAATCGTGGTAGAGGGCGCATTCTTGACGGTAGTCACCGAGGGCTCTCCGTTCGTAGTTTTGCTAGATGATGTGCCATTATGATGGATACCGTTTCCATTCACACCGGCTCTATGGCCGTTTGAGGACGCAGGCTCGGGCTCTGTAAGTGATGGAGCCATTTTAGGGGTCTAAGTCTAATGATGGGGGTTATCAGAGCACTTGGAAGGCGAGAAGAGGTGAGGGTTTGAGATAGCTGATGAGAACCAAATCTTGGACGACTTCAACAAGAAACACACTCAGTGCAAAGCAAATCCTGTACTATATCAAAAACGTATCAAATTTCCATGGACAGCTTCAGGGAGTTCAAGTTGAGGTAGCATAAGATAGCCAGTAGCTACAGGCGGAGTAGTAGATACCGGAGGCTACCAACCGTCGCCTTTCCCCCCTCCTCTTCCCTTCTGAGTTGTCCAACCTTCAGGCTGTTTGGTGAGCTACGAGGCTACCTAGGTATTGCTGTGGAGCATGCATGGTGCTGTGGAGAGTGACCCATACTTCCCCCGCACTACCATCACCGTAGCCTACGGTTGACCGTAGCCGGGCTCAGCGAAACCCAGGATGGATGGCTACGACCCGAATCATTCGCGAGACTCGATTATTTCGGTTGGCATTCCAAACTAGCCTGTTGCATTGTAGATCTATGGGGATCCATCACCTGGTTGCAGTCTAGGAACGAGGTTATGAGGGGAAAGCCCCAGCTCCTCCGTTGTGAGATTTGGAGTAAGCTATCCAGATACCACTCTTCTCTCTCAATCTAACAGCGCCTTTGTTTTCCAGACCTTAAGCTGCTAAACAATCTTTTCGGCAACATAATCAAACGAGCAATAGGTTTGCCAGATACGAAGGAAACAATATGTCTAGCCCGCAGTTTACACTCTACTCAACCGAGATCGGCCCAAATGGTGAGCAACATTGAACTTCGCACCAGCAGCATTCGGCAAGGCATGGCTGATTTAACTTGGTAGGCTGGAAGGTTGCCATGGTTCTGTCAGAACTTGGACTGACCTACAAGACCATCTTCCTTGATTTCTCAAAGAGTACGTCAGCCTTTCAACTCGCTGGAGGAATGACCGCTTGCTCACGGCGATAAAACAGATGAGCAGAAGGGCCCAGAGTTCACCAAGCTGAATCCCAACGGACGTATTCCTGCTCTCATCGACCATGCCAACAACGACTTTGTCCTATGGTCAGTATACCAAAGCGCAAACGTCTAACCCCAGGAAAAGCTAACCTGAGTCTCGTGCATACAGGGAGTCTAACGCCATCATCGAGTACATCTGCGAGAAGTATGACAAGGAGCGCAAGCTCTCGTTCGCCGACTTTGACAACCAAAACTTCACTCGACAATGGCTGTACTTCCAGGCTTCAGGCCAGGGTCCGTACTACGGCCAGGCTGTGTGGTTCATGAAACACCCCAACGGCGAGCCGCCGTCGGTGGTCGAGCGTTACCAAAACGAGACGCGGCGAGTCCTCAAGGTTCTCGAGAGCGTGCTCTCCAAGCAGGAGTGGCTGGTGGGTGGTAAACTCTCCGTGGCGGATATCGCTTTCCTGCAATGGAATACGAGCGCAGACCGGATCATCCTGGGCCCAGAGTTCATGGACAAGGAGACTCCTCACGTCCGCAAGTGGATGAACGCCATGATTGCCCGCCCGGCGATCAAGAAGGTAATGGAGGAGAGAGCCAAGCTTCTATCCGGTTGAAGCTCGCATATATAGACAATTGCAGCTTGGTATCTGCTTCTTTACAGATCACTAGACAAAGACAAACAAAATCAAAGCTGTTTAGATCAAGCTCCCCTTGCATTGTGGCAATCCTAAAAATCTACAGCCTGTGCTTGTGTGTCATGAGTCTTTGCGCTTGCTCTGGCGCCAGCTAGGCTCACCTGAAATACACTAATCCCCAAGCACCATCTCTATTTGGGGGTGGCCAATAGTGCTTTGGCCCTTGAGTCGATCCACTACATGCTCCATGGTTCCCCGCAACAGGACGCTAAATATGGTCACCCTCCACTCCAGGGTCTGCCTGGGGTTGTTATTACGTCCGAGAGAGAAGAATCTCTCACTTCGCCTCTTTAGTCGCTTCTAGGCTGTGCGGAGTCGGCTCAGCAAAGTTTCGTGACTTGGAAAGATTGCCTCTGAGTGACCAACTTGTGGAAGTGAGCCTCTCTTCTGACTTCGACTTCCAGTTCTTCGGTCAACATCAGCAAGCTGTCCACTGCAAGCCAATATGGAGTCTTCGACCGGGCAGAAGCTCAAGAAGCCAAGGAGTCGCATTGCGTGCAAGCGATGTCACGACCGACGCGTACGCTGTGATGTTGCCGCCAAAGGACCGCCATGTTCTGGCTGCGTCGCATCGAAACAGGCCGAGCACTGTTGTCTTCTCGATTCTCGTCGCGCCCGAGCCCTCAATGGCCGCTTCTCTTCCCACGGCGCTTCTGCCTTTGAGCGAAGGTCTGACGTCTCTTCTTGGTCGTCTTCAGCAGATCCAGGACAGGCTCTCTCGACGGGAGATGGTGAACTCACCTCTGACACCGCATCGAGGACCCGGATGAACAACATCGTCGGCGGCAGAGACGTTGTCTCGCCTCCAGAGACAGAGACAGCATCTATTGAGAGACCATCCCAGCGGAGGCTCTCAATGGCCACCGAGGTTCAACACTCACCTGATAGCGATGCGGATCAATGGTCCAAGATGGTATCGGGAGAGGAGACGCGCATCGTCAATGGCGGGAGGGTCACCTACCTCGGAGAGTCGTGGACATTGTCGTATGTACTCCAGTGGAAATCGAGAGATCGGTCGGCGTCCGGAGGAAACCGGCCCCAATTCTCACCTGAGCCCGGTCTTCACGTCGGCGTACCGTTTGGGGACCAAGACTCCCCATCGCAGAGGTCCGAGCTAGCATCAGTAGTAATGCCGGAAGACCATCTACCGAGAGACACTCAGGAAGCTCTTATCACCGCATACTTTGACCACAATCACAGCCTCTACCCGATCATATCACAGCAAGATTTCCGGACGGCACTCTTCTCCAGAACGATCTCACCCCTGCTGCTTTGCTCGGTGCTTTACGCCGGAGCTCTACACGTGCCCGATTCGGTGGTGTATCGCGCAAAGTACGAGAGCAGGCAAGCTTGTCTCACGGATCTCTATTCAAGGGCCAAAAGGCTCTTCTTTGGCGACGATGCCGAGGACCAGCTTGCAAAAGTGCAAGCTGCTTTCTTGCTGCATAATATGTGGCAAGGGCCCAATTCCACGATGGATCCCTGGACGTGGCTGGGGATGGCGATCCGCCTAGCACAGAATATGGGCATGCACAGGACGACCGCCAAGTCGGCACTCAAACCAGAAGACAGAAAGCTGTGGAGGAAGATCTGGTGGAGTCTATATGTGAGAGACTACCCGGTCTATATTTCCCATCTCCTTCGTGTTCATGCACCTAATCAAAACAAAATGTCTTAGTCAAGGGACAGGCAAATGGCTAGTTCATTGGGGAAGCCACCCATGATTCGAGACAGAGACTGCGATGTCGAAGCTCTCTCAACTGAGGACTTTGACGATGACGATTTGCCCGAAATTAAGATCTTCGTGATGGAGCAAGCAAAGTTAGCAAAGCTATGTAAGATATCTTCTTTCCCTACCCGTCATCATGGTTTCTGACACTGCATTTCAAGTCGGCGTTGTGATCTCGACACACTTCGCTCCTGGACCGCGTGAGACCGTAGAGCCTGGAAGTCAAATGCAACTGAGAGAGGAGATACTCACTCTTCGTGAAGCTGTCCCGGCTTGTCTGAACTATCAACGACTAAAACCCCTCGAATCAGCGCCCCTGCAAGCTCTTTTGCTGGAAGTGCTGTTCAAGTATGTCACCTCTGTCATGTTCTGGTAAGCATAATTGCTAACTTTGTGTTCAGTTACCTCCTCTTGCTACTGTTTCGCCCAAGGTTGACGCCGAATTCCGAGGCGAGTAGTAAAAGTGAAGCTTTGTGGAAGATCCCTTTTGAGGCCGCTCGCAACATCACTCGGATGACGGAGAATATTATGAACTTTCGATCCATCCACCATTGCCCTCTCTTCCTGTAGGACCGCCAAAAGCTATTTTTGCTCGTCTGGACCGCTTACTAACGCAATATTCTCAGGACATCTGCACTATTTGGAGCAATGACCATGCATACCATCAAGGGTGCGGGTGCCGAATCTCAACTCGCCATCTGCATGATTGCCATGCGCGAGCTGTCGACAAAGTACTTTGCTGCTGGCTGGATCCGCAACATGTTTCAAACCCTCAACGAGAAGAAGATCCGGCGTGCCTGCGAGTCTGCTAATGTAACCAGATGTCCGTCGCCGGATCCGCGCCGTCAAGAGCATCAAGATATCGACACCCTTCCACAGAACCACGCAACCCCTGACAGGGCTGCAACTGGCGGAGATGCAACTCAAGAGGGGCCCGAAGGGAAGTTGACGAATGACGCAATGAATTGCGGGAACGATGTCTATACTTCTACACAACCCAAGACCTCGCCTATGGTTTCGACGAGCCCACTGAATTTCGGACCGTCGCCGACCTGGCCTGCTCCCCCCATACCTCCCGGCGCAGGTTTCAACGCTATGCAAGGGATGGGCGGTAACTTTGGGATGACCTTTGACCAAGCTACTGTTGACGGCAGCGTCTTTGGGTTTATAGACCCGGACTTGGCCGCGTGCTGGCAAGACTTGCTCGTGTATGATAATCCGTTCGGCAACCCTTTGGGTCACGGCTTGGAGAGATTTGAGCAGTGATCTCAAAGTGGTAGAGTCTTCCAATCGAGGGTTCGCAGACAATGGATTTATTACCAGGATGAACCAGATACTGGCTCTCAGCCTGATGCGCTGTCTGGTCCGAGACTGCCTTGCAAGCCGAGCAATGCCGGGCGCACGGTGGATGTGACTGTCCAACCCAAGTCACTTCAAGACGGACCGAGAATTGTCACACGTGAGGCTGACATTTGTTCGATTACTGTTTCACAGACGGCTGGGCAGCATCTTATCTACATATCTACAGCCTCAATGCAAAGCTGACTTGTCACGGCCTTGGCGCAGCGATGATAAGCCAGGATTGAGCCTAGGCCGGATTGACTAGCCCATTCAGAGCTCAGAATGACCCTCCATCATCAACACCGCCCCCATTGGCTTACTTCACCGGCTACCGCAGCAAGGCGTCCACTTCCGAAGGATTTCTTCCCCACACCGCCCCTCTTTAATCTCCAGGTTTTCTTCATTGCGCGGACGCGACGGCAAGCAAGACGACGGTATTTTATCTTCCCTCTGCGACGTGCACACTGAAGGCGAGGACAATGACATCGCAACCGCGGTGTTGTGTACACAAGGCATGGCGAGCCTAGTTCCAAATGTCTGGACGGGCGTCGTGATCCCCATGCCCTTTGCCGCCGCGGCGCTCGCGATGCGGCTCGTGGCGCGGCGCATGACCGAGATGGGGATGGGCTATGACGATGGCTTCTCCGTCGCTGCATGGGTAAGGGCCCGCTCCTCGGCAGGCAGGCCGGGGATCTTGTGGTGTCCCGGACAAGCTTCCATTGCTAATGCCTCGTGCTCAGATAATCTCCATCGGGTACTGTATCATCACTCTCATCAGTATGTCTCACAATCCCGGACCGTCCCGTCGCATTCCTGCTAATTCATACCCGCCCCTTCGCAAAGGCGTCCAACATTACAAACTTGGGCAGATGATCGGCCAGCTACCGCAGCCCCAGATCGACTACTACCAGGAGAAGCTGAATCAGATGACCTGGACCAGCGAGTTCTTCTACTCGTGGTCCATCTTCCTCACCAAGATGGCAGTCCTGGCGTTCTACTGGCGAATGTTTAAGCGATTGCCCATCCGCTGGCCGATCATCATCCTAGCTTGTTCCTGTGTCATCTGGATCATAATCCGGACTTTCATGACCATATTTCGCTGTTCGCCCATTCAGTACTACTGGCACAAGTCGATCAATGGTCACTGCTCTATCGACGCTGCAACGTATTACGTCGCAACCGATTCGACACATACTGCTCTCGACGTGCTTATCCTTACTCTGCCTGTCTCTGAAGTTGTCAGGATGAAACTCCCGTTGGGCCAGAAGATCTCCGTTGTTGGTCTTTTCTCGTGCGGACTCATGTAGGTTCTTCACCTTGAGCTGGGCTCTACGAATACCTTCACTCACTCCGCTCCAGCGTCTGTATCGCCTCTGCCTTCCAGATCGTCCAAAGTCGCCAGTATAATCCTCAGTCTATAGAGGTGCCGCATCAGCTGGCACTCTCCTTAACGTGGGCCGCCGTTGAGCTGAACTTGGCTGTTCTTGCTAGTAAGTAATCCGACTGACCAATACCGTGTTGGCCAATCTCTCTAACCCTGGTCCCCAGGTTGCCTGCCTCTTCTGCGTCCCATCTTCCGGAAGTTCATTCCTGGCTTATCTACTGGCGATAGCTCGGGCACAAGTCGACCCAGCGTCGCATTTGGCCCCTCTTCTGGCCCTAGGGTTGTACCGAGTTATCTAATGAGCGACGAGCTCTTCGACGAAAGCCTGCCTCACCTCGGGTCGGTTCAAGAGCATCCTACCGTTTCCTTGCCAGATTCCAATGGTGCGAGCTTAACAGGACCCGCAACAGATCATAGAGAACGGCGTATATTGGGTATGCAGGATCCGCAAGGAATTCATCTACCCCCGCGGTCATTTTAGATCATTTTATGCAAATATAGAGGATACCCTACTGCTGAATTGTCCCATGCTCACTTCGTAGCTGAAACTTTCAACCTCCAAAGTAACCCTCTGATGGATCCAACCCTTCTCCTTAAGCGTCGAGATTAGAGCCCCAAGCAGAGCGGTACCCAAAAGGCATCCACTTCACCATCCCTTCGACCCTCGCGATAGCACCATCGTCAACCTTGAACAGTTGCGGAACCATATACGTGCTCGGAACTTGCAAGGTGAGGAGCAGTGGAGAAGACGACACAGCCGGGCTGTCGACCATGGCCACAGCCAACGCCACGCCCTGCTCTGCATCGGCTATGAGCAGGCGCCGATCGCGGACAGCAGTCGTAAGGTTGTGCAGCCCGTTCGGATTCTGCCCCTGGCCGTCGAGCTGGTTGGCGCAGCCGACATTCAGCTGCTGTCCGTTGTCTCGACGCAGACACTCGGGGGCAAACGCCACCCCGGCACTCGAATGATTCTGGAGTCCGTTAAAGTAGTCATTGATCAGCGACGGCGCAGTCGAGGACGCCTCCCCTTCCTTGAACACCGTGTCCAGCTCGCCCAGAGGACTCCCGTCCCACTCCACCGGCAGCGGTGGGCGCATCAGCGTCATCGTCCCGCCTCTGTTACCGGTGGCCTCGGCACGCACGTCGATGACCTCAATATCGGCGAGCTTGCCCGCCGCGACCCTGATGCGCATGGCGAGCACACCGGGCGTCGTCTGCTCGGTGCTCATCCCCCAGTACACTGCCGTCTGCGTCCTCGGGTCGGCGAAACTTGCAGCATACTTATCATCGGATCCGGGGAGGGTCACGTTACTGAGCGTCTCCCACAGGCCGTCGCCGACGGCGATGAGCTGGCCGTTCTCCGTGTAGCGCGCGTCTTTGGCCAGGGGCAGGGTCGCGGGATCGTGGGTCAGCATCGCCTGGAGGACGGTCTTTACGACGCCGTGTAAGCACCGGCGATCGCAGTTGTACGGGAGGCTGGTCACGTTGCCGGCACTTGTGAGGTTGGAGAGCTGCTCTTCGACGAACGGCGAGCGCATGCCGTACGGCACTTCTGTCAGCGTCATCTCGATGCGATAGAGCTTGTCATCCCGGAGGCGGAAGGCCTCGGCTGCCTGTAACGTGCGCGGTACGTCAAAGTACGGCGGGATAGGCGACGCCGTGCCGTTGACTTCTGGCAAGGTCCTGACCGTGCCGTTGTGGTCGAGCGTCGCGAAGGCCAGGACTGCCTGGCGCTCCTCGTCGACGACGGGGAACCTGCGGGCGCGGATCTTGGTCACGAATCCGAGGAAGCCTGTCTGGAACTGCGCCTCGCAGCCGAGCGAGGCAAAGACCGTGTCGTTGGAGTGCCCGTAGGGGTCCCCGCTCTTCTGGTTGGTCGTCTGGAGGGCGTCCTCGAGGCGGTTGCACTCCTTGTCGAAGAAGCTGTAGTCTCCGTGTGGGTCGTTGCCTTGCATGCCGGTGTAGTACTTGTTGGTCTGCGCGACAAGCTGCTGGCGAGAGATGCGCTTATCCGTCGGCACCGCTTCCAGCCAGACCGCCTCAGGCGCGGTCATGTTCTCGTACCTGGCTCCACCGCCAGGGTCGCGCGTGATCTGCGTCTCGATCTCGTTGATCATGCCGTCCTCATTGAGTCCCAGGCGGGCGATGTATATGATCCGGACGCCATTCTCCGTGATCGTGGTGATGGTCCCGACCTGTCGCGCTTCCGGGTCGGAGAAGTCGTGGCGGTATTTGCCTGGCGATCCTGCGACTTTCCATTCTCCCGTTCCGAGGGGAAGGATCTGACTGTTCTCGGTGTACAAAACGTCCGAAGTGGTGTTCAATCTCGAGGGGTCATGCTCGGTCAGGGCTGCCAGGTAGGCCGACATCAACCCCTCGAGACAGGTGCGATCACACGCAGGAGCGGCGGCGACAGGACTACCATATTGCAGCAAGGCAAGTAGCAGAGCATTGTATGGGCTCCATCTAGGAGATCTCATTGTGGCTACTTTGTTTCGCGATTGTGGCCCGGGAGCTTACGCCTCAGTGTTCTGGGATGATCCAAGATGCCCAAAGATTGTAGCGAGCCATTGAAGATATGTGCTCACTATTGTCGACATTATTATATCTCGGTATTAATTCCTGCGGCCGTTTTTCCTGTATAACTGCCGTCCCGAGAGGGTCGAGGTGATTACCCGGAGCACCTTGCCATCAAGAGCCAGAATGGGTTTAAACTAAGCAACAATGGTTCCGATATGTTGATCCTCCAAGTGATCCACATCTGTAGATCCCAGGGTTCTTCAGCGTTCGTTATTACAACAGTGATATGCTGCTGAAAGTAAATTGCCGACCTGGACGAATGATGCTGCTACCTTGATGATAGACCCAGCTGCTGGCCCAATGTCTCAAGCATAGGTACAGTTCCCATCATGGCCAAGACGTGAAATCAAATGAGCCGTAGAAGGAGCATATTGCAGAACACGAAAGCATGCCGATCCTATAGGCTCTTTTTCTCCGCGAAGTACTCCTCATAGCTCTCCTCATATCCCAGCATCCACTTCCCCCACCACCCCATCGCATCCATAAAGATGCGACTCACAGCAATCCGCAGCCAAGTCGTGGGCATCGGCAGACCTAGAGGCGTGTCGGCTGCCCTCAGAAACACCATTAGCTGAAAGATACTGGGAGCGGTGCCTGCCCTCCTGCAGTCGTCGACATAGCCAAAGAAGTTGCGGAAGAATCTCTGTTCTGCTTCGTAGTCCTCCGGCGTCAGTTTGACATCCAGCACGAGCGGCTTCGTCTTTGACGCATTGTGGATGGTGTGGTACGTCTCTGGCGGGATGGAGGCGGTTTTGGGGCTGTCTGAGTCGTCGGCAGATAGTGTCTTCCAAGGGTGCGAGTCGGTGTCTTTGAAGAGGTGGCATTCACCAGAGACGATCTTGAAATGTTCTGTCTGTTTGATATGGTAGTGCAATGGAGGTACCACGATGGATGGTTTATTATCATCCCACGGCGGATGAGTGTTTCGGAGCACGTAGTCGGCCCCGGCCGCGTGAAACTCGAGGGCTGACGCCCCGTCCTCATACAGCACGGGATTGTCGGAAGCTCTATTTGCCCGAGGGGGCATCGGTGCACGTATTAGTGAGAGCATGTTGTAATTTGTCAACCTCCAAGAAAGGTTGCTTGGCCTGCATGCAAAAGCTAAAAGATTTGGGGGAGTATCAGGGCTCAGGAAATGGTTGTGGTGTGGTCGGGATGCCTCAGGCTTGATGAAAGAAGCCTATGTAGGTAGGTATTTAAGTTTCCTGGTCAGCCACGAGTAGAATTTCCCGGCCGCACTGGCAAAGGGTGGAGAGTTCGCAAACACATTCGAGTACAGCGAAAGCGTCTCTGTCTTTATTTCTCGAGTCAATCATCTCTGTCAAACAGGATCTGGTGGGTGTGATGCTATTGAAAGCTTGCGGACGCCACACGCCACCCGTGGCACGCTAATGACATCGAAGCTGACATGCTCTGCACAAGAGTAACAAGAAATTGTTGTCTATATCCTGTCAATGTGTCCTGACTGTAGACTCTTCTAGATTGGGATCTGGCCGTGGTCTATGACCGCAAAAATTCGCAAGTGCTCTTGCCCCAGCGCACAGCACTTTTATACACCCACATCCCAGGTGCGTTGCCTGCTGTCAAGCCCTCGATTGCGTCCGCCAAGGCAGGCCCCGAGCCTTCTTTCTTGATATCCGTGAGTGGGTACATCAGAGTCTTGAATGAGAATAGCAAGGCCTGTGTCTGCGGTAGGCGACTGAGCGTTTGGAGTTCCGACCTGAGGTGTGCCTACAGTATCGTCAGGAGAGATAAACAACCTGCTTGTGTGATGTCTCAAGCTAGACTCACCTGTTGGATGTCTATTTCATCGTCTTCTTTGACGTCTTCGCCGACGTGGACATGGTTCTTGGACGGACTGAACAGCTCCGGCGTGGCCACGACGGACCACTGCTAAGATCAGCAGGGAGGTAATTGTTAGGGCAACGAGGTCGCAGCTCACATTCATTCTCTTCACATTCTTTCCAACCTCCAGCCGCCCAAAGAATTTCTCCATGCTCGGCCCGATCTTGTCGTAGTGAGGAACTGGGCCATGGATCTCCCTCAGCCCCTTGCCTAGCTTCTGCGATGGGTCAAAGCCCGACGGATGACAGCAGACAAAGGCCACCGATCTGTGTCCATGCTCGGTATTCTGAACGAGAAACATGTCGTCCTCAACAGTTTCTCCTAGGATCGCAAGAGCCTCTCGCGGGTCCTCGGGACATGAGAGGGGGAAGGCTTTCCCAGTGACTAGATTTTGGAAACGGTTCAAGTCTCTGCGCGCATTGAACATGCTGGGATATCGAGTTGGTAGGTACTGAAACATCAGATACGTATAGACCTCCCGCACTGCTGAGCATCCTTCCGGGGTGCATCCAAGAACGGTTTGGGGATGATGTCGTATGAGTTCCCGGCGAGCGTCAACCCTATCCTTATAATTACGATCAACAAGGATGAGGTTGGAGGGGTTCTCGAGCTGGAGGCCTATGCTGACATCAGCTTCTCCTTCTCGTCACAGGTGTGCCAGTCAGTTAGATATACTGACCCATCGTTATGTGATAGATGGGCTTGTAGGGACGAAGCTGGATGGGTTCTGTCTTTTCCCAGTCGAAGCCATGGCGAGGCTCGATCGTTATCTCGGGCAGGGGCTCCTTGACCTTGATCTTGCCTGGCGATGATCCCGTTGCGGCCACCTTCTGAAATCTCTGTTAGTTCATGGTGCGTGTGAGTCATTCTCGAGTTCAGATTGACTTGCCTTGCTCTGGAATCGCCAGAACCACAGGGCGACGACAACAACAGCGCCGAGAAATAGGTGAAACCAACTCATCACGGCCGGATCAGCAGGGTCTTTCGAAGTGCCACAACGCGATGCAGGGAGAAGATATGTCAAAGATGAAAATTGAAACCGCGGTCAAGTGAGGGTTCTCCTCCTGAGCCAGATGCATCGAGATAAGAAGTCTCAGAGATCATCCATGGATGACCCATCGTATGCGGGGGTTACGTGGGGACCAGCGCTATCAGTGCCGATGGAAAAAGTGGGAAGATGGCCTTCGTGGATGCACTAATAAATCGTCTAAAATGTCCGCAACGGGCAGTCCCTGCCGAACAAAGCGCTACTGGCCGCAGGGGAAACCCGCCGCTATTAGGTATCACAATCCAGAGGCATCGAGATGTCGCGTGAAACACTCAACAATCACACATGACACTAGGTAAGGATTGATATAAACGCACAAAGTAGCTCAATTCCATTCATATCGACATTGATTAAGTGCAGTATGTCTCAGCGCGACTGTAGTTATGCTAAATACAACGAAGAGAAACTGGGAGCCCATTTTGCCCGTGCCACTGACAGCCTCCAAGACAGAGAGTCTCTTGACACTGTCTGAGGTTCATTATCTCTAAACCCCAAGAAAGAACAAAGAAACAAGGGAAAGCCAAGGGAAAGAAAATTCTTCCTCTGATCGCCTGATACATAACATTACTCCCGTAAAGCTCTTCAATCACACGACTTGCGATGTTCCGATAAAGTCTCGTGACCCTACAAGTACCAATGAGTGGCTATCAAAAGCCCTGACTACCGCAACAGACTCAAAAGCGCCAAAACATGCGGCATCTTCCAGCTATCTTGTCTTGCGCAACTAGATACGACGTTTGCCGATAGGAAGGCTGCGGCGGGTCTTGTGTGCTTCAACGGAAGCTGCCGGCGCAGTTGTTTGGTTCGAGACTATGGCGGCCGACACGGACGGGATCGGCGACGTGTTGACGCTGCTGGGGCTGGCTTTAAAACCTCCGATCTGTTCAGCAGGTAGCTCCAGACCGAGATCGCTTACAGGCTGGTCGGGGATAGGGAACTTCTTGTCCCATTCGGCGTCATCCGCGCGCAAGTATAAGAGGCGGCGGGAGCTCTCGCCATTCCGGGGCTCCTTGCGACTCATCCACCGGACCTCGATGCAGGGCGTGTTGAAGCGACGCCTCTTGGAGCTTCGCTCACCCTCGCCTTCTCCGCGAGCTTGTGCTTCAACGCGACGGGGGATCTCAAGGGGGAGATTCTTATAGGGAGGGTCCGGCTCGGCCTTGCCCTGCTTGGTCAACTGCCAGGCGGTCTGCTCCTCAACGATGGCCTTGGCGCGGACGCCGCTCATCCAGGTGACCTCATCCACGTCATCCCAACCTTCAGCCTCAGCCCTGAAAAGCTGGTAGAGGTCGCTCAGGAGCATGCCGAGGCCGGAGCCAGTGGCCAGGGCCCTCTTGTCGGTTCCCCGCGCGCCCAGGGTAAGTGAGAGGACCAAGTCTCGGACGGTGACGGCGCTGAGTTCGTGACAAAAGTCCACGACACCCGGGAGCGCGATCCAGAAATCCTTGATCGAGGCGCTGCGGCGGAGGGCAAACTTCTGGGTAGCGGCGAGGACCAGGCATCGGAGCTGGTCCTCGATCTGCCCCTCCTCGTATATTCTCAGGGCGTAGTAGATAGCCGTAGCATCCTTGCTGTAGGGCATCAAGCGGGGAGCCAGAGCAGTGAGCCGCGTGGGGAGGATTGCTCGGAGCCTGTTGTGGCCCACTTCGCTCGATAGGCTCGGGGCACATGGGCCACGGTGTAAGACATCATCAAATCGAGAGGTAGTCCTGGTCAGATCGATTATCGGCTGGCTGGTCCAGTTGGTTGCGTCCCGGGGGATGATTTTTGGCGGGTTTGGCATTGTGCTTTGAGCCGACTAGTGCTAAGGTGAAGGAATGGTGATATCTTTGGTACCTGTCTGCCTGAATGATATCCCTTTTGGTTGGGGGAGATCGTCGAGGATTTTGAAGAACTCCGTGATGCTCAACAAGGCTGTATTTCTTATGGAGGTTTGCTTTCTGACAACACGTCCTGGATTTAGTGAAGACGTCGGATCTTCTCCGCGTCGTCTTTGCCAATAGATAAAATTAAGGTCAGATCAGGACAAGTGCTTGAACAGTTTGGAGAAGATGAGTTTCTCCAGGTTGTGGAGGGCAGACACCGTGTTAAGTGCCGGTAAAGTGACATTAACAGACACGCGTCTGGGTTGGTGTGGAGTTGGTAACTGAAAAAGGGAGTAGTTGTGGACTAGCAGGTTCTAGTAGAATCGTTAATCTCAAGTTGGGATTGAACTCACTGTCAAATCACTTCCTGATGAAGTTTGTAAATAATTATGTTGTAGGTACCTAGGTATGAACCAAGCAACTGGGATGTCATGTGGCACCTGGCGAGGTCGTTTGACAGCTGGCTTGCAATTGCATCTGACGAAACAACGCCACCAATCTGAACACGCGGGAATGCAAAACAACCCCAACAAAGTGAAGGTTTGTCACGGAGCTCGTACCATCGCAATGTAACCGGATGAATGCGCCCGGTAATAATCGATATCATTTTTAGAGCAATCCCGGACAGCATGTTAACTCTGCTTTTAACACTAGTTCACTGGCTGGCCATTCCGGTTCGGGCTGAGTCAACATGGCCGGCCAGTCCCTTTATCACCTCTGGCCGGTGGATTGCCAATGCAAACGGAGCCAATTTTGCCTACGCGGGGGTAAACTGGCCAGCGGCAGGAGAGGTGATGATTCCAGAAGGTCTTCAATACCAATCTATCGAGACGATCGTGGCCAAGGTCAAGAGCCTGGGCATGAATGCCATTCGCTTGACGTACGCCATTGAGATGATAGACCAGATCTACGACCATAACGGAAGTGATATCCTTCTTGAAAAGGCATTTATCGATGCCCTTGGACAGCGGAATGGCAGTGAAGCATACCAGGCTGTTGTTACACAAAATCCCTCATTCGGCCCTCAGACTACCCGGCTGCAGGTGAGCTTTTCCCCAACTGGCACCCCCAGCCATCAAACTGAACAGGAGGTATATCTAGGTATTTGACGCAGTCGCTGCGGAGTGTGCGAAACAACAGATATATGTTCACTTAGACAACCATGTCTCCAAAGCCAAGTGGTGTTGCACCCCTTTGGATGGCAACGCATGGTGGGGAGACCAGTATTTTTCAACCGCCAACTGGACTAGAGGTCTATCATATATGGCCGATCATGTGAGTGACCTATGCTGTTGGGTTTGGTGGCCAGGCACAAGCTGACTGAGTGACAGGGGAAGAAATGGCCAAGCCTGACCTCAATGTCGCTCCGGAACGAACTGCGCCAGCCATTGCTCAACATAACACTGTACAAAGATACCTACAACTGGGAATATTGGTACGCTCGTGCCAAAGAGGGCGCTGATGCTGTCCATAAAGCAAACCCTAACGTCCTCGTATTCCTCTCTGGGATCGACTCCGACACTATTCTGACCCCGGTAGTGGAGGGGACTTCGCTGCCACCTGGCACTGGGAAATTCACCAGAGCCGACTTCAGCGGCTATCAAGACAAGATTGTTCTAGAGCTGCACAACTACCAAAACCAAGCCGACAACTGCACAGCGCTGCAGGCCGACCTGCTCAAAGCAGGATTCGAGGCGCTCGTGGACGGCGCCACCAACCAATTTCCCCTCGCCATGACCGAATTCGGCTTCGCCCAGGATAATGATACCTGGAAGGGCGTGTATGCCGCGTGCCTGGGAAAGTTCCTCCCCGATCAAAAGGCCAGCTGGTTCATATGGGTCCTGTCAGGTAGCTACTACATCAGAGAAGGGACACAGGACTACGACGAGCCGTGGGGCCTCTTGACTCACGACTGGTCTGCATGGAGGTCGCCAGGGTTTGTGGAAAGAGGTCTCATCCCCATGGTCAATGCAACGCTGTCGGCACTACCTGCCATTAATCAGACCAAGTCCAGCCCGGGGCCAAGCAGTGGCGACACAGACAAGAAATCGTCCGGACCGCCGGCCTACACGGCCTGGAGCCTGTCACGCCTGTGTTGTACGCTTGGTTTGGCCTGCTCCATGCTGTTACTCCTTTGGTAGCTAGGCACAGCATCCCTACTCAACAACTTCGACTACGCAGCGCGATGTCCCACCCCTGTCGGATGGCAGCATCTCCACCTCTCTCTCCACGTCTCAGGACCCGTGATACCTGTTTTCGGTAAAACGTGGCGTGTCAACAATTTTGGAAGTACAAGCCTGCAGGCGGGTCGCACGTATTGCGAAGACCGACACGACGTGTAACGAATGTTATGCCGTACGGGACGGCAGAGCGTCACACCAGCATTCCGAACTCCGATCCCGCATCGTGCCGTCCACATGAAAAGCTGGGAAGCATCGTGTTGCCAGACCAAGAAGAAATCTTCATGAATTCATTGAGTTGTATCTGAGCCTAGTTGCGCTGATAGAATACAAATATCACGTCCTTGAAGAACAACAATATACACCTCCACAATGAACGAGACGACTCGGAAGGAGAATGCACCCATCACCCTCACCTTTCTCTCGACGGGTAGCGTGCGCGTCCGGCAATCCCTGAAAAGCCAACCCATGAGCAACCACTCAGTCTTGATGCGCCGACTGCGCAGTCTCACCGACTGCCAGTGGTCCGAAGCGCTCCCCATCGGCCTCTTCGTCATGCACCATCTGGACGGGCCCATCCTCTTCGATACAGGCGATTCACCCCTCTGGAACACCCCCGGGTACCACTCGATCCTCAGTGTGACAAAGTTCGTCAGCCACGTCACCATCGGTCCCGAAGACGGCGTGCTCAGCCAAGTGCGCGCCCACGGCATCGACCCCACGACGCTGCAGGCCATCGTGCTCAGCCACCTGCACGGCGACCACACGGGCGGGCTGAAGGACCTGGCCGAGGCGGCACCGCACGTGCCATTTTACGTGAGCCGCGAGCACTGGGAGGCGTTCGGAGAGCACCAGACGTATGCAAAGACGCAGGGGTGCACGCCGCAGCACTGGCCCGAGGGCTTTGCACCAAAGATGCTCCAGTTCGAGGACTGCGCCGTCGGACCCTGGAAGCAGTCCGCGAAGGTGACGGCAGACGGGCAGATCTTGGCCGTGCCTACGCCTGGCCATGTCCCGGGCCATATCTCGCTCGTGGTGTTCAGCCACGAGCACGAGGCTACATCGGCGACGACGCCGACGACGACAACAACGTACTTCCTGGCAGCTGACGCGACGTATGTTATCGATCTCCTGGACAAGGAGGAGCCGGACGGCATCAATGACGATCCCATGACTGCACTGCAGAGCATCAGGATGATCAAGGAGTTCTCCCGCGAGAGGGATGTCGTTGTTTTGCCAAGTCATGATCCCAACACGCCACGGCTCCTGCGGGACCGGGTTGTGTACAAGCCTGCTTCTTGAGTCGATGGGGCCGACTCGGATGAGAGCTGGCGGGCAAGGGGATATTCCCCCCACACTCAAGCGGAAACACCGACATCGCCTACCTCGTCCTGCTTCGCATTCAGAGGGGTGAGCTTCAGATACATCCCATGCTCCGGCTTGATGGTGATCACCCCTCTCGGCAAGACTTTGGCCTCGTCCATCGCCAGCTCCCACGAGAAGGACATGACCAGCGCCGCCAGCAGGCACCGCAATTCGGCCTTGGCAAATTCCTGCCCTATACAGCTCCTCGGCCCGTGCAAGAACGTCAGGAAGTGGTAGTTGCTCCGCGCGCCGCCGTCCTGGTTCGGCCGCCCGTCCGTGATCCACCGCTCCGGCCGGAAGTCCTGCGCGTCGGCGCCCCATAGCTCCGGCGAGCGGTTCGTCGTCCAGATGGAGAGGACCATGTCGGTTCCCTTGGGGATGAACTGGCTGCCGACCTGCGTGTCGCGGATGGCTTCGCGCCGCGTGATAGGCACTGTCGGGTAGAGGCGGACGGTCTCGTGGATGATGCCGTTGAGGTAGGGCAGCTGCCTCAGGATGCTTGCGAGGTCGGCTGGCGGGTTGGTCAGGGAATCTGCCGGCAAGGCGTTGCTGATTTCGTCTCGGAGGGTGACCTGGGCCTGTGGGTGTTTGGCGAGGAGATAGGACGCCCATGTAAATGCCGATGCGGTGGTCTCGTGTCTATGTTGACGTTAGTCTTGAGTAATCTCATGGCAGCGGACGATGTAGAAAACAACTAACCCTGCCGCCAGCATTGTCAGTAGTTGATCCTTGATGACCTCGTCTGAGAAATTATTGGATTTGATCAGAAGTGACAGAATGTCGAAATGGTCGTCTGCCTTTTCGGAAATTGCCGCCCGCTTGTCTTGAATCATGTCCGCGTAGATTGCGTTCAAAGATGTCGTGAGCTGATAGAAGAGCTTGTTCATCTTCCATGGCAGCATTCTCACGATGGGATGGCCAAGGGTAAAGGAGAGCATGCCATAAATCAGCTTTTCTCGCGTCGGCTCCAGAAGTGCCATGTAGATGTCCTGCAAGGGATCGCTTCCCCTCTCAACCACGTTCAACTTTCGGCCCATGCCGGCAATGCCGATGATGTCGAGTGTGACTTTGTTGGCCCACGTATTAATCTCAACAACAGGCAAACCAGTCGGATTCTCTGTCTTCTCGTTCTCAATCTCTCGCTCAAGGGCATTTGTCAGAATCCCGGCCTTGGTCCACATCATGGGGTACAAATCGTTGATGTGCCTGAAGTGAAAAGCAGGCATGATGTTTTTGCGGAGAAACTTATGCTCGTTTCCCTCGACGGTGACGAGGCCATCTCCGAGGATGAGACGCAGGAACGCGCCAATCTTTCTGGGCTTGGTGAAGTCATAACAGTTGTGGACGAGCAAGTCGGCAAACAGACGAGGATCGACGACCAGTACCGTGCGACGGAGGAAACCGAGGCCTATGAGACCTTGTCTCGGATATTTCTGAACCAGGTCTAGGAATATGTCTCCAGAGGGCCTGTCTTTGACAACGAGGGAGCGTGCAACCACGCTAACTATATCCTATGAAACCAGGTGCGTTAAAACATGGTTCAAGGTTGCCGTTGATGGAAGCCTGCCGCCTCACATGAGGCTTTGGATGCACTTACCCTGGGACCAGGAAGATGACGCAGGGGGTTGAACAGGAGCGGATAGAGAAGTAACCAAAACACGATGCCGAAAGAGTAGTTGAGAAGCAAGATTGACGCCATGAACCACAGGTGGCTGTACGAGTCCACCCGGTCGGGGGCCAAGATCAGAGCCAGAAGCCATTGGATGGCTGCGGCAAGAGTTAGCATTGGCAAGCTAAGAAGCCGAAAAAGTACCGCCATGATTGTTCAATTGGGAGGCGGAAATCAAAGTAATTAGTGGAGATTCAAAACACCCAGGCTGTCCAAGTGAGCTGAACGGCTCGACGCGTCGACTCACTCGGGAAGCACCATTGGCTGTCTCGATGCTGTGACCAAGACAAAGCTGAGAGCTGATGTTTTACAAAGTGATGATAAACAATGTGCATCAAGCGGAACGGGCCCAACAACCACAGCTAAATAGTCAGATACGGTTCATCGACGGTCGCAGACGGCCCGGGATTGGCTTGTTATCCTCGAAGCCACGACGCATGTCAGCAGCACATGTCAATTCTTACGCGGCTCTCCCAGCTGTATCGAGTACTTGATCGCCGGGTGTGATCGCGGGGACCGTCCAATCTCGACGTCTCTTCTCCGAACTGTTCGGGACGGTGGATCATCTCCTACCTCGGCCGTGGCAATGGGATGGCCCAGATGGGGTAGGGTTTCATGCACATCGCAAGGTGCATCCGTATCCGGGTTGAATGTACAAAAGTCTGTGACTGCCCGCCGCTTCACTCTGCTCTGCTTTCCAGCGAGTCCACACCGCAGCGTTGCTCAGCCAGCTCCATGGATCCCCAACGGCGGGACAGAAGTGCCTTCAGAGTGGAGTCCTAGCTGCCTAATAAATGCCGGCCGGATTCGCAATGCTGGGCTCTCGCGGTGATTTGCACAGGGACTCGCAAGCTAAGGCCAAAGCAGCATAGCTTTCAGCTTGGAAAACCCACCGGCAGCACGGATTGAGTGCACGACCCCCTCACCCAGCTTTGTTTCGATCGCAGAACACCGCAAAAGTAGCCCCGGATCTTCATTCGTCTCTCATCATCATCAAATGGTTGATCAAGCCGGTGCTGCCCCCATCGGTCGGTCGAGGCATTGACAAGTCTGTGGATCCTGATCGCTTAGGTACTGCACTCCGCCCTTCGCTAGACCGGCGGCTACATTACCTACTTGTAGTCCAGTCGCTCGGGAATGGTCTTTCCGGGCCGCTTCAGCAGCGGGTGCCTCCGCTGCCGCCAACGTAAGGTCAAGGTAGGTAGTTATATCTCCGTCAAGTCCAATCCGGCTCCGTCTCGCGAGCATTATGGGGACTAGGCTGACAAGAGGACACCGACGCGAAGTGCGACGAGGCAAAGCCGACATGTCGTCGCTGCGCTATCTACGGCAAAGAATGTCCTGGGTACACCGACCAGTTCCATTTTAGGTACAAGCAGGGCAGTTCCCTAGGCGAGGAATCTTGCATGAAGCCAAAGCTCGAATCGAGGGCCGCTCCGGTACAAGATCAGCCACCACATTCGAATCCTGCTACTAGACAAGGTAGGCGCCGCAAGGGAGTCGATGAAAAGGCAACTAGCCCAAACCACGGGAGGGACTTGGCCCTGTTCCGACCGCCAGAGCCGTGCTATGATAGCATATCTCTGGCCTATTTTGTCCGCCGGTTCGTCACTCCTGATGCAGGCGACGGCTTTCCCGGCCACATGACTTTTCTCCCTGAACTCTTCAACCAACACGACCATGGCCTACTCGAGGCGGCCACGCTCAGCGTGGCGCAAATGGCGACATACAACCAATACGGCAGTGAGAAGCTCATGGTACAGTCATACAAGAACTACGGCAAAGCGATTCGGTTGCTACGGGACATCATCCAGTCGGAAGAGCAGGTGACGGACGACAGAGTTATTATGTCGATCCTCCTCCTCTGCACACTCAAGGTACGAAGAAACGCACAAAACAATGGCAACTCATGAGTGCAAAGTGCTGACCTGAGCTCAAACCTCGCAGGACATTAGTGGACACGCATCCGATCACTTCAATGATCATGCTTCTGGTCTCTTCTACGTCGTGGAGAAGAGGGGCCCAGCACAAGCTGCTACAAACGTAGGCGCCGAGCTACTCTTTCTGTCCCTAATTCGTCTGGTAAGTCCTTCTCTATACCCCCCCTACGGCCTTGTGCAACGTACGGGCCAGCTCATTGCCAACTCGTGACAGCAATCGCATGCATTTGTCCACGAGGACGAGTTCTTCGGCGACCCCGGTCCCATCGCGAATGCCTATGGGTGCTTTGACACGCTCGTCAGTGCATACTTTCTGATGGCCAAGACCCTCTCCCTCCGGCGCGCTCTCATATCATGCTATTCGCGGCTCGAACCTGAATCAAGTCAATCGAGCAATGACATTCCGGACCCGGAGCGGGTCATAGCGGAATGCTTCGAGACACTCGACGAGTTCTACAAATGGGACATGGAGGCGCCGAAACACTGGCAGGCCGTATTCGAAGGCCGGGCGCCACCGACGGCACTGGGCGAGGTGGGATCTGGCTCGGCACACTACGACGCCGAGACGGCGTGTTCGATCATCTTGATCCGCTCGGTCCGGCTCGTGCTCATGATGAGCCTCATTGTCTACCACAAGAAGTTGCAAGTACTGGCTGGCTGGGAACAATGCAACCTACCCCATAATGTGGCACTGGCGGGCTGCATCCCCATGCTGGAGCAGGACATACGCAAGTGCATCGACGACATGCTGTCCGCCGTCCCCTCCGCCCTCGGCGACGTCGAGGATCCGAGCGGCCAACGCTCCTCGATTTGCTGCGACGGGGGCGCTGCCGTGGTCATTGTCCACTCCATCAGGCTGGCGGCGTCGTGTGCTTACGCGACCATGGAGCAGTGTCGAAGAGCCGTGGATATCCTATCTCGGTTCAGTTCCGGCATTGGGGTTAGGTCGGCAGTTGGAGCGGAGCAGAGTTCCAGGAAACGGTGGATATGGGTACAGGAGCAGGCCTTTCTTGGACCGACGGCACTGAACACCTTGAATAGCGGCCGGGTTGCTCTCGGGAAACCTCCGCTCGGCCTGAGCTAGGGTGGCGATACGCTGGAGGCGCTGTCGTTGAGCGACAGCCCCAAAAAGGGGAGCATTTGGGTTTGGGAAGGACTTTAGTAAGAGAGCAGGGGTAATATTAATCACCATACCTTCTATCAGGGCCGACCGAGGCCGACTGACCACCATGCAACCCTCTTCGGAGGCGTGTTAGCTTCAGGCTTCCATACTATTGCGATCCGCGGGTACTCCATCCTGAATCCACCAGGAGCCCAACGCGGGGAAAGACGACCGGAGTTTGTGATGGAGCACATGCCACGATCATACTACTCCGCAGATCGACCTAATTCGCTTCCCCGCATCATATCATGTGTGGGATCTTCAAGTTGCTAATGACTAGCTTGGTATGGCTTAGCTTGCGACGAGCCCCCAACTTCTGCACTCCATGCTTGCAACGATGAACCGAGGCTCAAGGGGAGCCCTGATATCATGCGTGGCGGGGACCGCGGAGACCGCAGGGACGACTCGCCGAATGAGAGACGCAAATGACGAGTGAAGAGGAAGGAGGACATTGAGAACGAACTTGCCAAAGATGAGGTTTGTGGCGGGCTTGAGGAAAGGGCTTCATGAAGAACAGCTTTCATTCAAGGTGTCACTCCTACTTCAGGAAATTCCTTTGATCAATCAAAGAAAGCGCAACATACCACCGGACAGAGATTGATCCATCATGACTTCAGTATTGTACTCTCCCGCATTCCACGGGATTGCCAGTCTGCCCAACTTGGTTCTCTCACCTCTCGTCTCGGGATCGTTATTGCTGTCAATCACATATCGCCCCGATGCTGTGCAAGCCGCGCTCGCACACGTGGCCCGATTCCTGCCACCACGTATCGGAAGAGTACCTGCCAGCTTCACCACCGCCAAGGCAGTTCTGAAGGTGCTTGTCGTCTTGGGCGCGATTCGCTACGTAAACCGGACATTGAACCGGCTGGCAGCCAATTCATGGCGTCTCGGGGCTGGTAGCGGCTGGCATTGGCCAGACGAGCTCGCCGTGGTGACGGGAGGCGCCAGCGGCCTCGGAAGAGACATCTCGAAGAAGCTCGCGGCTCTAGGCGCGCGAGTGGCCATACTGGACATCCAAGAGCCGCCCAAGGAGATGCTGCTCGACGAGCGCATCACCTTCTACACATGCGACGTGACGTCCACCGAGTCCGTCGCCGCGGCCGCCGACGCCATCCGCCGAGAGCTCGGCCACCCGTCCATCCTCGTCAACAACGCCGGCGTCGCCCGCTCGACGCCGATCCTGAAGACGCCCGAGGACTTCCTCCGCCGGATCTTCAGCGTCAACTGCATGGCCCTGTGGTTCACGACGCAGCAGTTCCTGCCTCGCATGATCCAGCTGGACAAGGGCCACGTGGTGACGGTCGCGAGCATAGCATCCTTTGTCTCGCTCGCCACGGCCGCCGACTACTCTGCCACCAAGGCCGGCGCGCTGGCCTTCCACGAGGCGCTGGCAAGCGAGATCAAGCACCAGTACAAGTCGCCGGGTATCCTGACCACCGTCGTCCATCCCAACTTTATCGACACCCCGCTCATCCAGGACTTTTCTGACCGGCTTCAGCGCAGAGGGGTTCGCATGCTCACCAGTGACCATGTTGCTAGCCAGATTGTGTCACAGATAGAGAGCAAGAGGGGAGGTCAGTTGTTCATGCCAGAGACGGCCTCGGCCATCTCGGGGATCAGGGGGTGGCCGTCGTGGCTCCAGGAGATGCTTCGAGATACTATTGGGCGTAGTTCATCGGACCGTTAGGGAAGGGTGATGTCTCGTAGTTCATATTACATACAATGTGATAATATCTTAATTTCAACCATGGCAGAGGCAAGATACAGTGATGGAGTGCCTGTGCTGCCGAGACTGCTGCAAGAAGGAATTATTACCAAGCCATAGAAAATCCCCGTCCAGGGTAGACTTCCCACGTGTCTGGCAACTTCGTTAAAGCCTGGCCTCCAACAGATCTAATCCAATTTAGTCACCAGTGTCACAAAAATTGCCTACATAAAGTCTCCATCCTAGGCTCCTTGTCTTTACGCGACCTCAAATCGCCCGCAACAGAACCGTTCTCCACGCCACAAAGCCATTGACTTCACTGCTCGCGTCACGATGGGGGCCATCACTCGAATCCAAAGCTTCCTACGCTTCCTCTATGCCACCGTCTACGGCCCATTCGCCGTTTCTCATTTCGCTCTCGACACCTTTCTCTACACATTGCCATGGGCCCGCCCCGTAAAGGGATGGTCCTTTCACCAGGCCGTTCGCGTGCGCGTAGTCAAGTTGGCTCTGCTCATCTGGTCCACGGCACGCTCCGTCAAGAAGTCAAGCCTCCGGCCAGGCGCCGAACGAAACCGCTTCGAGGTCCTCTCTCCGATGCCCGTCGACCACTACAAGGGCCCTTCTTCTGATACGCTCATCGAACCAGCGCCTGTCGGGGTGACCTGGACTCCTGCTCGGCCGCCTCCGCGCTCGCTGGTTAGGTCAACGATGACTGTGGTTCTGCACTTCCACGGGGGCGCATACGTGATTGGGAATGGAAGAGATGAGGACACTGGATTTCTGGCGGGCACATTCTTGCGACATATGGGCTGTACACACGTCTGTACACCGCAGTATCGCCTCGCGAGTGGAGAGAATGGTCGATTCCCCGCGCCTTTGCAAGATGCCCTGACTGTCTACCTTGCTCTTTTGCGGGAGAAGGGCATCCCCGCCGAGCAGATCATCCTGTCTGGCGACTCGGCGGGTGCAAACCTCGCACTCGGTCTGCTGCGATACATTCACGAGCACGGCAAAGAGCAGGCGATCCCCGCTCCTGGCGCAGTCGCACTATGGTCACCCTGGGTCGACATCGACGCGGCTCTTACCACGGACATGCGGAAGTCGCCCAACTACAAGACAGATTATCTCAGTCGAGCCTTTGGTCGCTGGGGTGCTATGGCGATATCCGGTTCGAAAGCAGTCGACCCTGCGGACCCTTATCTGTCGCCACTCCATCACCCTTTCAAGCTCGGCGAAGCAATCCCCATGTTCATCCACGAGGGCGAGCGTGAGGTGCTCAGCGACGACATCCGGCTCTTCTCCCAGCGGCATCGAGACGCTGGCTGGGCGGTCCACCTGGTCACTTCCCCCAACGCCCCCCACGACATCATTCTGCTGGGGCCAAGGATCGGGTTCGCCGCGGAGGCCGAGCAGGCTGCGAGGGAGGCCGGAAAGTTCTTCGCGGGGGTGGGTGGTATGCAGCTCAGAAATGCGGACTGAGTTCCTCGGGGGGTAAGAAAGCAAGGAGATTGCATGGTTTCTTGCTCCCTCTCCACACACGAAGCCAGCAGATGAGGGGCTTGCCGAGGCACAGTTGCGAATACCCACAGGAAGTAGTCTGGGCAGCGCTTGGTGGAGGCAGAGGCGTTTCTCATGTCCCCATGATTCTGGGGGAGTGCCTGTTAGAATCACTTTTCCTCTTCTGGTTTGGCTTCCGAGTAAAGACGCGGTGCACATAGACTACCCCACAGAGATTACGGCCTGTCCTATGATCGTCATTATCGGCCACACCATGCAACCGCGCTATTCCTTTGTGTGTCGTTGGTCAGTGCAAGTGACGGGTCAAATTAGTTGAAGAACTGGTAACAGGAGTACTTGCTGTTTATCATAAGCATTGGTATTGGATAGTGGGATAACCTGTCCAATGCTCAGTGATGATATATAGTGATAGCACTGAGGTAGCTCTTGATGAACCTTCGTCATCCAGTCGGACCCCTGCTTCACAGGGTCCACGAAGGCACACTAGTCTATGACCTAAGGAGATAGAGTGCTTATTCTGTGCACCCAGCTTGCATCAAGCGACTGCGCTACCGGCTTGGACCCCACAGGGACATGGGGTACTGAGCCGTGGATGTCTCTCTCACAATGCTCTTGCTCCCAGGAGCTGTACTACAAGGTTAGCTCGACGGGTCACCCAGAGAGTTCATTGGGTTGTTCATCATTCCCTCGATGGGTCACATACCTTGGAGGTAAGTATTCGCTTGGCAAGCCCTCAGTGATCACTCGACGTGCGGACCGTCGGCGACATTACTTGTCTCCAACGGAGCAACAGACAGCCTCGGCAGGCGTGGCCATCAGTTTGCTGTTGAACATCATCATGCCCATCATAAAGAGCGGCCCAGCAAAAGATCATTTCTAGATCATTACGGAAAACAAAGCACCGCCAGTACCCATCTGAGATACCCGTCTTGTTCTCAACACTCATCTCTGCTCATATCAACTATACTTACCTCCCAGAGATGGAGGGACATAGCCTAGACTTCGACGTCGCCATCATCGGCGCAGGCATTTCAGGCATCAATGCAGCCTACCGCATCCAGACCGAGGGCTCTCCAGGCCTGAGCTATGTGATCCTCGAGGGCCGCGACTCCGTCGGCGGAACGTGGGACCTCTTCCGCTATCCCGGCATTCGTTCAGACTCGGACATCTTCACATTCGGCTTCGCATGGAATCCCTGGACGCGTAACGAGTCACTCCCGTCTGGTGACCGGATCAAGGAGTACATCCTGAGCTCGGCGCAGTCGGAAGGCATCGACCATCACATCTGCTACAAGCACAAAGTGCTCTCCGCGAACTGGTGCTCGGAGAAGCAGAACTGGGAACTCCTGGTCAGTAGGCCAGGAGAGGATGACCCGGTACTCTTCCGCTCACGTTGGATCCTGCTCGGGACCGGCTACTACAACTACGAACAACCACGAGAGGCTGGGATCCCGGGAATCGAGAACTTCGCCGGCGACGTTATCCACCCTCAGTTCTGGCCCGAGAACTATGACTACACGAACAAAGATGTCGTGCTGATCGGCAGCGGTGCCACTGCCATCACCATCCTGCCCGCCATGGCGGACAAGGTTCGCCGAGTGACGATGCTTCAGAGGAGTCCCGGCTACATAGTCCCCTTGCCAACGACTACCTTCCTCACGACGTTCCTGGTCAGGTTCCTGCCCACCAAGATTGGCTACTTCTTCAACAGGGTTCTGTGGTTGTTTAGGAGCTACATCTCCACTGCGGTCAGCAAACGCCATCCTGGCCTCGTCAAGGGTCTGCTCAAGAGGGTTACCACAAACCAGCTTCCTCCCAATATCAGCTGGGATCCCAACTTCAAGCCTAACTACAACCCTTGGGAGCAGCGCCTCTGCGTCTCCAAGAACGGCGACTTCTTCGCGGCGCTCCGCTCCGGCAAGGCGGACGTGGTGACCGACACCATCAAGAGGATCGACGAAAAGTCCATCGTGCTCGATTCGGGCGCCGTGCTCCGGCCGGATGTCATCATCACGGCGACCGGCCTGAAGCTGAGGTTCGGTGGTGGCATACAATTCAGCGTGGACGGCAAGCCGTTCAGCGGCGCCGGCAGATTCGCCTGGAGGGCGGCAATGCTGCAAGACGTGCCCAACATGCTCTTCATGTTCGGGTACGAGAATGCGTCCTGGACACTCGGCGCGGACGTCGGTGCCAGACTGTTCCTTCGAATAGAGAAGGCGATGAGGGAGCGTGGGGCCTCCGTCGCAGTGCCGCGGCTGCCGGCACCGGATATGCCAGTGAAGCCCATGATGAGCCTCTCTTCGACGTATCTCAAGAACGCGACCGAGATCCTGCCCAAGGGCGGAGTGGGTGTATGGAGCCCCAAGTCTGGCTACGTCTCCGATATGGCATCTGCAAAATGGGGCAATATTCTTACGGATCTGGAGCTGATGTGAGGATAAGACATGTGTTTTGCTTTCCAGTACGATGATTTCATCAGCGTTTATTAATGATAGAGCTATTAATTGGTACTACTTGCAAGCCCAACTCGACGCCTTGTTCTGATCTCCCTTGCCGTCCCACTTTGCTGACTTTGGATACGCGCATATCGGCCTCTGCCTGTACACGCCCGTGCTCGAGTTCGTGGGGCTGTTGTAGGTGGTTGCGATGACGCTCTTGGCCGGCTTCCCTTTCTCGACCCAGTCCATCAGCGCCAGCAGGGCATCGTGCTTGGAGTCCTTGAAGCCCGGCACCGACCAGCCGCTCGGAGACATGCTGCCGGCTTGAAAGGCCCCTCCCATGTTCCAAGGCGCGTTCGTCTCGCTGGGGGTGCCCCCGCAGTGCTGCATTCCCGGGATCTGGAAGAAGGTGAAGAAGTCGTCGATCTTGCCCATCGTCTGCACCGTCTTGTTGTAGTACCACATTGAGCCCCGTGGGGGGACAAGGCCGTCTGCCAGGCCGTGGTGGAGAATGATCTTGCCGCCCCTTCTTCTGAACTTGGAAAGATCGAACTGTATCGCTGATGCCTGTCCAGGATCCGTCCTCGCTGCATACTCGAGTACCGAGTCGTTGTAAGTGTGCCAGTCCCAGTCTGGATCGTCATAGACAAAGTACTTCACATAGCTGGTCCCGTATTTGCTGGGCTCTGTACCTCCCAACAGGATGTACCACTGTTCCTCGGAGCTGAAGTCCAGTCCAGTGTTGACCACCTCTCCGCCGGGAGAATAGTCGTTCTTGTACACGTTCTTCGCCGTCTGGATCTGCAGGTCTGTCAAGCAAGCAGAGGCATTGACCCCAGGCTGACCGCACTGGATCTTGCGAAAGTCAAAGGCACATAGCCAAGGGGCGCTAACAATGTTGTCCTTGACTCCGTCGGCCTCGTCACACTGCTTCTGGACTTCCTTCGCCAGCATCGAAAAGTCGCCCGTGCTCAGGTGCTTCGGATCGTCCACTGGCAGGTTGTACATGCCGAACTTGTTGACAAAGGGGTTGATGTGCGCCGGATACCACGACGGAGCGCCGATCAGCGCGCCGTCGAAGCTGTCCGGCGATATCTGAACCTCCTTTAGTCCCTGGCGGCCACCAGTTGAGCAACCGTTGTAGTACGAGTACTTGATGCGCCGCGCGTAGTACGCCTCCGTCATCTTCTTCCCGAGCTCGACCGACCGGTGCAGGGCTCGCCAGCCCCAGTCGGTCTTCTTCTCGGGCTGGTTCAGCGCCCACGCGATGTCCATCGTCGTGGAGTTGTGGCCGGTGTCCGTCGAGAGGGCGGCCATGCCGTAATGGGCGCCGGGTGCCATGTCGAGCCAATTGATCCCTCCCGCAAACCCGCCGTTGCCCACGGCCAGGAACTTCGCCTTCCAATGCGGTGGCATAGGTAGAAAGAGACCGAAGCGGAAGCTAGTCGACGATGATGAGGGCACCTTGACGGTGACGGCGCAGAGCTCGGGCAGATCAGTTGGCTGAGTAGGGTATGCGATGTCGGCCGCTCCTTCACCGTAGGTATCGCCTGCCAAAACATGATCTATCCTCTCGATGGTCGCTCCGACTGGGAGGACATGATCAAACGTGGCGGCGACACATTTGGCGTGATGGGATTTCCAGAATGGGCGCCATGCCTCAGCCTGGTTGACAGCCAAGGCCCAGAAGATCCAGAGAAGAGGTAACACAAGACCCATGGCGAACAGCTTCTGTGTGGCGGTTATGTTCTGGAGTCGGTACCATCTCTGCCTGTTCCTCAAAGGGTTGTCATCAACAGCGACATCACGGCCTTTAGTACGGCCGTGTCGGCGCACTTCCTCGCCATGATGCTCGTGGCGCAGCAGCTGTCCTCCACGCTTTCCTGTGCGCAAAGTAACCTCGGGCCGGGGTGAGCGAGTGCCATTTTGGCTTCCTAGTGGCATCCATTCTGCTGTCATTGTGCTCCTAGCTAGGCTAGAGCCCTCGCTGTGTTGTCAGGTGGAGCTGCGTCATGGGCACCCAAGACCAGCTTTTCGGGGAGGAGCATAAGCTTTTAGTGTGCGAGTTCGCGCGCCCATGGGAAAGGGTTACAGTCAATAATGCGACTCTGCTGCAGATGCCAGTGTCAGCCGTCGAATTGAAAGCGGCAGGCCTTGACCGTGATCCTGGAACACCCCGCAGCAACAAGTGAGGGGGACGGTAGATCATTCGTTGATTACCCTGAGCTTCTGCCGTGTTGCTGTCTGAACGCGGGACGGAATGGAGGGAACACTATTTATCCTGCCTCAATAAAACCGCGCTGTCGGCGTTGACTGACGAAACCCGGTTTCCAAGACTAGAAGGTGACAAATATAATGCTTGTTCGTTGTAAGACTAGCAAAGATGCATATGAAGAGCTGAGAGGTAGTTCGTCCCTTCCAAGTTATACATGTTGTGGCGAGAGGCTTAGTAGAACAATATATTAACCGCACACCACACATATTTCTAATTCAGTGTAGTCATTTCGGGTGTATGCGCTGTGTCTCTTTGCAATTTGACCTAAAGAGTGCTTATCTGAAGACGGCAGGTCAGGCCAAATTTCGAAAATCCTTCTATTGCCTTCCTATGGCCTTGAACTCAACCACAAAAAACTCTTTGCTATGAATGAAGACCTCCTTGTAGGGGAAGCTTGGGCAGTGCTTGAGAAATGCAGGTTACAACCCCCTAGTAGAAGTAGATGATGCTCATGAACCAAAATTACATTCACTATGATCAAGACCCAAGGTGGGAGCCATGAATCAATTCGTCAAGTAGCTTATACATCGTTGCAACTCTTTGATCTAGTCCGTCAAGTCTTGCACTCTTTGGTCCTGTGCTTCGAGCCTTTCCATGGGATAGCCGGATGCCTGGCCCTGAGACCTTCCAGTATATTAGCAGGGAACACTTCCTCTACTATCTTCCTGTCCATCTTCGTCAACCACGTCCGCTCAATGTCGTCAACAGTGGAAAGCAGAATGTTCACTACATCGGCCAGCAATCTGACGTTGCAGGACGGCGATCTCACCGGTTTCAGAGACAAAAGACGGTTGAAGAACATTTTCTTCTCCGGTAGATAGCCTGACTGATACCTCATCTCGTCCATCTGGCCTCCCCTGGCAGTCGCGCCGGCGTTGATGAAGTCAACAAGTGTTCTGAGAAAAAGATCCTCACGAGCGGCGTCGGCAGGTATCTGAAAGGCAAGATCTAGGTATCGTTCTAGCACAGGCCATCGGTGGTCTACGTCGTCGTCTCTGTACCCATTCAGTGCGTTAGGGTCAGCGCCTTTTTGTAGAAATAAGGACAGGATGTTGTTCTCGAGCAACTTCCAGAATTTCTGCTCCTTGTCTCCGTTCGTTTCGAGTCTAGGCCAAGAGGTGACATGTTGCATGAGAATGGCCCAGGAGCTCTCAATCACAATAGGATCCAGACTCTGTGTCTCCAAAACCAATCGAAGCATCTCGATTCCGTGGGTCCGCCATTTGCTGTCGATAGGGAAGGCGCCGCGGGAATTGCAAGGGCAGAGGATATGGAGAATGAACAAAGGAATCATCCCCGAGAGATATCTTGAGTCTTGTGGTAGTTTCCAGGTAAGGTACCCTATGAATTGAGCAAGTGATAAGTTCTTCTCGGAAGAACCTATGTCCCCGTAAGTTGGTGAGCGCGGCGGACTTTTGGGGCATGCTGCAATCTAACTCCTCAATGATTTCATATGTCACGATGCGGGAGGAATCTGATTTCTCGGCCTCTTTTGCCCAGGTTAGAGTATTCGCCGTCAGGGTTCGCAAGCGAGAGGCGTCGGAAATGCCAGATCCCCGCCGTATGACGCTCTGGCTGAAATGGCTCCTCTTGATTGTTGCAGTGTAGACCTTCAAGAGGGTGAGAGGTAGATTGAACTTGGCTGGAGCTTTCTCAGCGAGAAAATCTGACATTTCCCGCGTTTTAAGAAAATCCATGACAGTTCTGTGCAAGAAGGTGACTAACCCGGAGATTCGATCCACTTCCAACAGCCCGCGGGTCCGACTGTTCAGCCACCAAATCATCTCTTCCCTGAGTAATTCGTCCTCCTCTGGACGATAAGGTTGCGTGGAGATGTGAAAGATGTAGTCTTGCTCATCATAGCCCTGATCGTGAAATGCGTAAGACATAGCGGGCAGAGGTTCTATGACGGCAATTGCCATCTGAGTGTCGTTGACATCTTATTGTGATAAAATGGCTCAACGGACTCCAGAATCTGCCGAAAGAAGGGCCCAAGTTCGACCGGGAAGCTCTCCAGGCGTCGGCAAATATCCGAGAAGCGATCGCGATTTGTGAGGCCCTGAAGAAGCAGTCTGATAACGAGAACAACCCAAAGGAAAACTCCACAAGCTCGTTTCTCAATCTGATGGATCAGCCATAACCAATCGTCAGAGGAGTCCTTGGCAGCCAGTGCTGGCCATCTTGGATGTTCGTAGAGCCGACTCCTGATGTATTTCAGGATATCGTCTCGCGTCAGATCCTGCATGTATAGCTTTCTCTGGGCTTTATCACCAAAAGCCTCTTCAAACACGTTCCAAGGTCGGCTCGAGATGCAGAGTTTGATATCGGTAGACTTGGCAAGATCTTTTAACACCCGACATATCTCGTCATGTTGGCCATCAAATTCGTCTAGACCGTCTATGAAGAAACAGAACCGGGTGGACGATTCCTGAGTCGCAATCTTCCGAAGAGTCGCGTGGAGATCAGACATGGTCCAGTTCGGCAACTCATCACCACATGCTTGGCTCGGACCGACACATCTGTCGTCACAAGACGGCTTAGCCAACTCAGGACACTGTCGAAAGACCTCGTAGAGCAGCGTACGAAGAAGGCCCTGCTCGGACTTCTGCATAGTGGTACCAGCGCTCCAAAAAATAATGCCCAGCGATAACGAGCCGTTTCGGGCCCGACCACTCTGACAAAAGTTGACCGGTCCTCGGGTGGTCTGCGACAAACTTCATGAACGTTGACTTGCCAGACCCGGGCTTCCCGGAAACCCAGAAGATGTTATCATCACTCCTTAGCCACTGGGCGAGGTATTTCGCTGATGTTGGGCTGGTCGCAATTTCCGGCTGGTAGACCCATCCGAATATATTCTGATGAGCTTCCGGTATCGTCAGATGTCGGAATGACCGGGTCTCGAAGCACAAACTCTTCATGATGGCTTGCTGTCCCGCAACAGCATCCTGCGAAAGAGCCACTTTGGAGATCTGCTGTCCAAGCCTTTGCAGCTCCTCGGCCGAAGGAAGGCAATTCTTGCGGTTGTGTTCGACTTGGTCGATGAGTTGGGTCAAATAACCAATTGCAGTGTTGATCTGATCAAGCATGCCGGACTGATTCGACTGCAGCTTAGCACTGTCGGCTCGTAGTTGTCTCAGTTGCTGTAGATGCGTTTCTTGAGCTTGTCTGGTGCGACACATCTGTCAGCGGTGCTGCACCGCTGCGGGATAATAGAGCCGAAGGCATACCTACCTTACGATGTCACACACATGCAGAGTCATTGTGACCTGTGTCCTGGTCAACCGCTGTTCCAGCGCCTCGATCTCTCCCTTTTTCCACATGGCCTTTAGCGCGGCGCGAAAACACTGCCAGGGCCCGGCTGATCCATTCTGAGTCTTGAGTTTGTCCACCACCCGCAGGAGCCTTTCGCAGTCTCTCTTGCAAAGACTAGCCAGTTCGTGAAACGACGTGAAATCGCTGCCGAACGCGTTCTCCTGCGCTTGCCCAGCGACGGCCTTGTCATAGCTCGACGTGAGCTTGAGGTCAAAGTTCTTGAGCTGCCCGTACACTTTGTCCAGCGTAAGGACGTCTGCTGTGCACCCCGCAGAGGACCTGCGAATCTCAACTGTGGTTTCAACAAGGCCGGACGCAAAGTGGACGAACTGGACGATGTTACCAGCCAGCCCAAGAGCTGCAAGAGGCTCCATCATATTGGACCAAAGGCAGGATTAGGAATATGTTGCGAGACCTGGGTGTGTGTCAGATCCAAGAAAGATCGAGGTGCAAGTCCATGCAAATGGCGACAAGCTGTTCTGGGTTTTTGAGGTTTCGGGCAGTGTTCCATTTGAGCGTCCTTGATTCGATGCCTGATTGCGCCAGCCACGTTGCGCATACTTCTCCCCGCCCGCCATCCCATCCTGTGAGTAGGTAAAAAGCCGGGCGACTCAGGGTGGTCGTTTATTTTCCCACAGTGGCGTGCCACCATAGACAGTCCCCCCCTGGCTGCATACAAGTATCTAGTTGGTGTTTGTGGCGATGCATGCATGTTTGTGACGAGGGCAGTGCAGGCAGACAAAAAGTACCTTAACGGATGCCTCCTACTTTTGGAACACCGACTTCGTCACTGACATCGGCGTCGATCTTTGCAAAAGGAGTGTCCCTCAGATTTGTTGTGTTGAAAGATTCCCTCCTGAGATGGCTGTCTTTGAAAAATTCCCTCCAGTACGCATCCACTTCTTTGAAAGATATATCCTAATGTCATCTTGTACAGACGCACTGTAGGCCTGTTCGTGCTTCCTGTTGGGACCGACCAGAACCTGCTAGGAAATAACACCCTGAATAGTTGTTGTTGAGGTTGATAGGCTTGATTGCCAAGTAACATTCCTTCCCAGGTCCCAATGTGCGTGTGCGCTCCGTGCCAGGCATACGGATGATACGGATGCATCGACATCCGCATTGGCGGAGTTGTGCAAGCAGCGAAATCTCCGTAGCATCCGGCAGGATTTGCGGGACCACCAGCACCGGATAATTGCGACTGTTCGTTCGGGAAAATAATGTAATTAATGGCCTGGTCCCCTTCTCGAAGGTTTTACTTTCCTTCTTCGAATGGGTCTGATCATTCTTCATTAAACATGATATCTTTTAAAAAGAAGTACGAAATGCCGCAGCAGCAGAGTAGAGGTTGTCTGTGACCCTAACAAAGCAGAATGAAAAGAGACGCCGAGTGATATCCGTATCCCGTTCTCTTGCACCGCGCACCCGAATTTCCCGCTCTATGGTACCTTTATCTCCGGTTTGGACAACCTCGCCGATATTCCCAGTCTCTCTCTCCCCCCAAAACGCCTTGTCGCAAGATGCAGAAATATCATACACACAGAGAAACGATCGAAATCTAGGCAATACCGGGCTCAATCTTTTTGCCCTTGACGCTCTTCCACTCGATGGCCGCGCTGCCGACGACGGTGCACGCGGCCAGCGCGGCGCTGACGAGGAACGTCTTGGCCAGGGCGTCGCTGTAGGCGAGCGTGACGCCGGGCAGCATCTCGGCCGGGATGGCCGTCTGGATGCTGGTGGCGCCCGTGGCCAGGACGACCTTGGGGTCGAGGCCGGGCACGTACTGCACGACGTACTCGACGAGCTTGTTGGTGAAGACGTTCTGGCAGATGCTCACGAAGAGGGCGCCGCCGAGGGTCTGCACGAACACGATGACGGCGGTGCCCGTGGGCACGTCGGCGATGTCGAGCACGGTCTGCACGGCCATGAGGGGCTGCTGCATGCCGAGGCCGACGCCGGCGCCGGCGATGATCTGGTAGCCCATCCACATGGGCCGGCCGGTGTCGGGCTTGAAGGTCGACACGAGGCCGTAGCCGACGGACATGAGGACGGTGCTGGCGATCATAAAGGGCGTGTAGTAGCCGAGGATGGTGACGACGGCGCCGGCGATGACGGAGAAGACGACGACGGCGATGAGCATGGGCAGGTTCATGAGGCCCGAGTCGACGGCGGAGGCGCCCTTGACCGCCTGGAACCAGATGGGCAGGTAGTAGACCGAGGCGAGGAAGGAGGCGCCCGAGCAGAAGGAGTAGAAGGCGGCGGCCCAGACGGAGCGCCGGCGGATGATGCGCGGCGGCACGGTGGCCAGGTCCTGCTGCCGCCACTGGACGAAGAGGAAGCCGAGGATGAGGACGCCGAAGACGACAAACAGGGCGATGATGCGGCCGCTGTCCCAGGCGTAGGTGGTGCCGCCCCACTGCAGGGCGAGCAGCAGGCAGATGACGGCGGGCATGAAGAGGGTCGTGCCGACGGGGTCGAACTGGTGGATGCGCTCGCGCCAGGGCTCGTCCTTGAGGTCGGCCTGGGCGGCGCGGCGCGGGTCCGGGAAGAAGAGGGCGATGACGACGACGGTGATGGCGCCGATGGGCAGGTTGATGAAGAAGCACCAGCGCCAGGTGACCTTGTCGGTGAAGACGCCGCCGAGCAGGGGGCCCGCGACCGAGGCGATGCCGTACATGGCGCCGATGATGCCGCTGTACATGGGCCGCTTGTCGAGCGGCACCGAGTGGGCGAGGATGATGAGGGCGCCCGAGAAGATGCCCGCGGCGCCGATGCCGGCCACGGCGCGGCCGACGATGAGGGTGACCGAGTTCTGGGCCACGCCGCAGATGAGGCTGCCGAGCTCGAAGAAGCCGATGGCGATGAGGTAGACCCACTTGATGCTGAAGAAGGAGTAGAACTTGCCGAACAGGAGCTGCAGGGCGGCGGTGGTCAGGAGGTAAGCTGCGAGAGGAGAGGAGAGAAGAGGTGTTAGCTGAGACTGCCTGCTTGCTTAGGGATGGAGACCGAGCAAGAGCATTGCTGCTGCTGCTGCAGGAGGAGGGAGAAACAAAACTGGTTTCAACGTACCACTTCCATACCAGCCGACGTCGCCAAGGCTCCGGAACTGGTCCGTGATCTTGGGGATGGCGGTGGCAATGATGGAGTTGTCGAGGGCCATGAGGAAGACGCTGAGGCACAGGGCGAGGATGATGAGGGCCAGGCGGGCGCCCGTGGGGTACTCGGTGCCGTCCTCGCGCGTCGGGGTCGTCGTGATGGACGCGCCGCCGGCGTGGGAGGCCGCCGTCGGGTGCCGGGCGATGTCGACGCGCTTCTCGTCATCCTGGGCGCCGCCTGCAGCTGCGGCCGCCGGCGTCACGTTGTCGACGGTCTCGGCGCGGACGGACTCGTTTGACGCGCGCGCGGCCTTCTCGGCCGAAGCCGGGTCGGCCTTCATGTTTTCGACGGACGAGACTTCACTGGGTGCCAAGGTGGGTTCGCGCGACGATGCGCCAACGGCGAGCTCCTTGTTGGCTGCGGAGCTCATCGTTTGGGCTGAGAGCGCGGTGTTGTCGATGGTTGTCGTCCAGAAAGTCGGCGAGACGACTGGGAAAAGAAAAAAAAAATTGTTTGCAAGGCTGCTCCCCAGAGGTAGGTAGGGATGGAGTTCGACAGCAGCAGGTAGGGAAGGGAAAAGGGTTGGCCTGACAGCAAAGCCAGGTGTCAAGGTCAAAGCTTGCTTGCTTCCTTTCTTCCTTTTTTCTCTTCTTTCTCTTTTCCTTTGGTCTCGTGATGGATACAGCAGAGCACCAATGACACAGGCCAGGCCACAAGGGGGGGATCAGAGCAGCGGGAGGTGGCGCCGACTTAAATATCTATCATCGTCATCAGGAAGACTGGTCGGTCTCATTTGCAAAAGTCTAGTGCGTAATGCCCACACACTCACTGGATGTACGGCGAGTGTGCACGGGGCGGCAGCGCTATTGACAAGCAACCTTGTCCTCCCGTTTTCGCCAATTTCTACCTACCTTGTCTCAAAGGGCCGTTTTTCGTTGCTTTACGGGCTAGAGAGGTAGGGGGTGTGTCAACAAGCGTTGGCCCTTTTGGCCTTATTTTTGCGCCGTCTCGTCTCGTTTTCCCGGTCTGGGATGCGAGACAGACCGTATAACAACGGCGGGGTCGTCGAAGAGCCCGCTTTGCGAATCTCTCCGACGACTGCTCTTAGCCGGGTCAGAACCTTGAAAGAGATCGGCTGGATTGGGCCGTGTGTCACATCACACAGGGGGAACCCTCCAGATCCAACGATCCAACCCGTGGCAAGCGATTGGCCTGGCCAGCTGAGGACGAAGGGGGGTGCAATGCCAGCTCTGCGACGAACTTGATTGCCTCACGAGTCAATGTACGGGCTTCATTCGGGCGCGAGGCATCCAGATTCACCCTGCAGGTTGGTTGGAAAGCGAATCGTGAGTGCAAGCAAACCTGGAAATGTCGGGTGGGTAAGGCGGACGAATTCAGGCCGCGTTCAGTGGGGACTCCGCCAAACAAAGGGTGCTGGAGCGCACCAACGCACTGGAGGCACCCGTGGAGGTCCCCCCCCCCGTGGACCCAAGCCACGAGGCGCCAGCCCTATGTGCTCCCCCAAACATGCACCCGACCTCTTTTGTCGGTGATGTGTGTGATGGAGGGATGATCTGGGTGGAATTGCGCTACTCCCGGACAATTGCACGCAGCTTCTGTCCGAGCAGCACAGGTTGCTATCAATGAGACATTCCATTCATTTGCACCTACTGGTCCTGAGGTACCTGCCTACCTGCCTACTTCCATGCCACTGTCCGAAAGTCAATCGTAGGCTACAACTTCCCTCTCCCACTACAAAGAAAGGGATGGAATGTGTGAAGTACAAACAACCAGAAATGTCAACCATTTCCCATCATGACAAGACAGTGCCAGAACTGAAATCGAGAGAAAATGCCGTGTCGTTCAATGCGATGACTAATACTGGATACCAGCCGACGCTATCGGCCTTGGCTGGTGGAGACTGGGTGCACTTTCTAGCAGGATTTCCCCCTGGAGATAAGCCTTTTACGGCTGGGTTCCCCTTTTTAAGGAGTCCTCCAGCGCTGAAGCCTTCTACAAGTAATACAGCACCTAGCGTACCCGCGTGCCCACCTAGCAGAAGGGAAAGCTTAAATTGGCCCAGTATCGCCTAAAAAAGATCAGTCCCGTAATAACGCGAAAAGTGTCCGAAAAGAGCGCGAACTGCCTCGCCAGACCGAAGAGGAGAAAACGGAGCAGGCAGAAGACGGAGCCTCTCTGCACGAGTGTAGTCTGCACCGATATCTCTGCCAAGAAAGAATGTGAACGTACAAGTACTTAGTTAGCTTCTCTCCCTATCCCAATCAGTCACCGGTGCGGGGACTGGAAGGCATGGATCGTGTTCCGATCTCACGGATCCAAGATGGGCCCTGAATAACCCCGTGAATGACTTCCATCATGTGACAAACATTTCGCAGTATGACTGCAGCACCTCACCAAGTGCTAATAGATGAGATCAGCCCGCAATCTTCCATAATAGCGCATTCTTGCATGTAAGTAGTTATGACTGGCAACAAAAAATTCGCAAGGTCAGGTGTGAGTCTTGCACGTAAAAGACCCGGCCCGGGCGCGCAAACAGCGACGGAGTAGGGCATTGGGGCTTACACCTCAGTGCTTACATTGTGCCAGGGTCCAGCCTAAATCGCCCGACGTTCGATTTTCAGTGCTCTCTCGGCGGGGGGCCTTTGATGGCAGCGGGCACTAATGCGGCTGTTTCCACTCCCTGGACCCTTCCTTGGGGGGCTGGTGGGCCACTTTGTTAGAGTCCGAGCTTCAATGATTCATGACTACAAATTTAAAGCCACGGTGGTCGTTGGAGAAGCTCTTCGTCGATTCGTAAAACCAGACCGCCGTGTAGCGATCGAGCTTGCAGAGAGCATGGGCATTGACTATGTTACAAATTCGTTGCCATTCGCCTTCCACGGCGTTCTGTCACAAGAAAAGCCCTGAACGGAGTACAAAATGCAGTGGTCCGTATGCAAAACACGGCTGGCCCTGGCAGAAGCACCCCAACACGAACGCGGCTCATCGACGACCGACCCCCCATCGGTGTGCTCTCGGGTCCTGAATCAGGCCGACTTGCCTCGTCGCTAGCTGCCTGCCACCGCCTTTGACTGACGTGTGACGGCGGGTCGGGGATTGCCGACCCCGAGCGGTCCCGATTCCTAGCTCTGGGGAGGCTCAGGGTTTGATGTTGAAAGAAGATCCCACGCGCGTCAGTCACCGATCGAGCTCATCATGGATTTAAGCATAAGGGTCTTGGCCCCGGGGACGTTCTTTGCACCCAAGAGAATCTGCTAGATCTGCCCTGCCACAGAATTGATTTTCGAGCCTTCCAATGCCAGTCCCGGTCAAAGTGCACTTGATGTACTTCTCGAGGAGATGTGAGTGTCACACGACCAACTGGGCGAGACATGCGTGGCCGTGTCACCAATACATGGTCGAGCAAACACACCCGAGCTGCCGTACGCGATCCTGCCAGGGGGTCTAGCCTTTCATGAATCTCGGTCGTGTTCGTCTTGTGACTATCTACTACCTTTGACATGATCAGCAGCAACAGCAATGCAAGAGATTGCCCATCGTCGTCTTCCAAGTTTGGACTCCCCTTCGACGCGGTCCCACGTGATCGCTGGGTAGGTATGCTGCCCCACTCCCCCCCCGCCTGCCGCCGACACGATCCAGCCGAGAATCCGGCTCTTCGGAGCATCACGGCATGTGTCGCCCTCCTCGAACCCAGTACCGGAGCATCGCACGTCGTCGGGCTATTCACGATGCTCAAGCAAGCAGCAAGAGTAGTCTCCACGGAGATATTAGTCAGTTCTCTCCATTTAGCAACCCATCCTCACCATATTGACCCTATTCTCTCAAGGAATCCAGCAACGCCAAATGGCTAAAGCTCATCAAGTCGGTTACTATCTTCATAGTCCCCTTCCATCCCCACGTGGGCACAAACTCTAACTGACTCCGCCTTGCAGGATCAACTATGAGGACCAGAACGGCAAGCTGCGCACCTGGGAGGCCATGAGGCGCCCGACCCGGCCGGGCCACTGCCCCGTCGACGCCACCCAGCTCGTCGCCGTCCTCAGCAGGCCCACCGGCCCGGAGATCCTGCTCGAGAAGCAGTTCCGCCCGCCCATCGACAAGGTCTGCATCGAGTTCCCCGCCGGCCTGGTCGACCCCGGCGAGACGCCCGAGGAGTCGGCCGTCCGGGAGCTGCTGGAGGAGACCGGCTACGTCGGCGAGGTGGTCCCGGACCGGACCGGCGGGCCGAGACCGATTCTGTACAGCGGTACGTATCTCCCGGGTGGATCTGGGCTGTTCCAGCAGAGATCTAATGAAGGGTAAATCAATTGAAACTAATTTGCTTGCACTGGTGCAGCACCTGCCTCATCTGCGTAAGTGACTTTATTGCCAGACTATATGCTCCGTCGTGGGCTTCATTACTAAACGTAGGGGCGGTGATAGTTCGTCGACATATATGATCCACGTCAAGATCGACCTCGAACAGGCCGAGAACAAGACGCCCAAGCCCCAGCTCGAGGAGGGCGAGTTTATAGAATGCTTCACCGTGCCGCTGAAGGATCTCTATAACGAGTGCCGGAAGCTGGAGGCTCAGGGCTTTGGGATCGACGGCAAGGTAGGTGCCTTTGCTGAGGGCATCGAGTCCGCGAGGGAATGGCAACTTTGATAGCAGATTGCAGTCCTACTTTTCAGACGAATGTTGATAGATCGGACTTTTTGCTCTTCATTGTGCAGCTCATGGCAGGTAAGGCCTGGAAGAAGAATCACAGATCGTCATGCGGCAGGTACCTCGTGTTTAACGCACGTCTGTCCTTTCTGGCGCGGCTCAGGTGCCGTGCGTCCGGCGTGACCTGGACAGGTCTAATCGCATCCTCTCTTCGCGCGTAGTACCGGTCTAGGTATCATTCGTCGGTGACGCTGGTGACTCTGGTAAACACAGCTAGTTCCATGATATCATATCCTGCAACAGCCTTAGTAACCCGACGACGCACTCGCGGCAGGCAAGAAGAACAACCGTGTGATTGCCACGTGTGACGATAAGGGCATTTGGACCATGGTGTGCACTCCCACGGGGCAGCCGTCTCGGTCAGGATCAAGGTGCTGCGGGTGTGCATGTCGCTCGACGGTAGCTGGCTCAATTTCCCCCTGAGGGCAAGTATGATGCGTCGTGGAAACGGCCCTGCATTCGATCAGCATCCTGGGCCTGTCTCTCTATACAGTATGTCGAAGACATCTGCAGATAAACGACGAGATCATATCTGATCCCTCTCGATATTCACAAGAGGACGCCAATAGTTTCCTGATGGGTGACGATCACGTAATCCCAGATGTCGAGATAGTGACAGCCAGCGTTCATGCAAGCCCACTGTCGGTGATTATCCACGCGACGTATGCAGTGCGACTTTGGCTGGCAGCTCGAGAGGGGCTGCCATAGGACGATGTTGCCCAGGACTGCTGAGAAAAGGTCTCATCCATGCTGGGATCTCACCAAGGCGAACCCCCTCTCCTTGCTGTGGCCTAGTCCAGACGGCCGCGCTGACGATCGGCGAAATCGTGGAGTAATTCCTGTGCTCCTTCCTGCCCTCCTTCCTTGATCGCGATGGCGCCCTTTCTATAACAAGAGTCAATTACCTCTTTGCTGAGCGGCTGAAGGGCCAAGACCGACGCTTGGGGGCCAGCCTCGCCTATCCGACGACGTACCTGGTCTGGGTATGCGACCCGAACCCCTGCTAGGTCTCCGCACAACAGCAGGCGGGTTCTATTTTCTTTCGATCATGATCAGACGAAACCCAAAAGCTATGGGGGGAGTGGATGGTCAGCCTGGGCCTGGGCCTGCTCAGCTTTCTGTCGGTGCTCTGCGAATGGGGACAGACGGACAGCACAGTCGCTGGGTGTGTGCGGTCCTCCTGCGGGCTGTCAGCGCTAAGGGCCGGCTGCAACCTGCGACATGAGCCTGGGACGGAGCTCATTGGCGCGCTGCGGGCTAACCTCAGCAACGCATAAGCCCAAGGCGACCATCGAGCACCGAAACGGGTGCCGTGGGGTGTCAATCGCCCAGCAGAGCTCCCGCTCAGCGCGGCAAGTGCTGGCGGGCAAATCCCGGGGTGACTGTGTGTCTGGAAGGGGGGCCGTTTCAGGCGAGCGCCGATGGCGTTCCTTTGATTTGGGGTCGGGATACGTTCGTCGAGCATCCGCCTTTGCCTCCCCCTTCCACCCCTGGCAAGAGCAGCAGTTTGCTGTCATTCTGCTGCCGGGTGGAATCTAGATGAGCTCTCCTGCATGTTGTGTGTGTTGGTGGATGGTAGGCTATCTGGCCTTGCCTGTGCGGTCAATGATCGAGGCCTGCGTGCGTCTCATAAGAAGCCAGGCGAAAGAGTTTGGCCCCCATCACTCGCACCCCTTCTCTTCTCCAGCTTTGCTTCCCACGCGACAGCCATGCCACATGGTTTGAGTTCTGCCGCCAAGGTTTAGCTCCCGCGTCGTCGTCGTTGTGTCGTATATCATAGGGCTGCCTCCTCTCGTACCCCTGATTACCAAATCGTGAGCTCGCAGGCAGTGCTTTATAATCGTGCAGACTCTTTCTTTCCAGCTTGCAGGGACGTCGTCACGATTCCTGTTTTGCTCTCCAAGAAGCAGCAGCGGAAACAAGATGCGTCGACAGGCTTTCAGGCCTGGCGGTAGACCGTCTGGCTTAGACGTCTATGCCATCCTCATGCTCGTCCTCCTCCCCCTCTGCGCATGCTCCCCATTCCCCCAGCCCGACTCCTTCGCCATGCTGCCACCCACCGCCACCACATCATCATCCTCCTCCTCCAACGACGACGACCCTGCCGGCCCCCTCCAGCGCCGCGACCCAGACGAGCACGTCGTGCTGTGCGACTGCCACAGGGACGACAAGTACCTGTCCTCGCAGATGGCCTACTTCAAGCACCAGCCCAACGACAAGCCCGAGGACATCGCCATCGTCAGCACGCCGGCCGGCATGTCGCGCGTGTGGCCCAACGCGCAGACCAGCGGCCTCTTCACGGCCACGGGCGTCACCTTCACGGCCGACCTGGGCCCGCAGGTCGACGAGGGCCGGTTCGCGGGCCTCGGCCGCAACGACTACACGAGCTTCACGTGCTGGCGGCGGTGGCGGCAGGACCTCTACGTCTACGACGGGACGACGTGCTCGCAGGTGTACGACTGCACGCACGAGCTGGCGCCGGGTAAGTGGGCTGTGACTGCGTGTTTTTTTCGAATTCTGCTATGGCGAGGTTTTTTTTGATCCTTGGCTGACGGGGTTTCTGGTTTGACGAACAGCGAATGAGACAGTGGTGGGACCGACGTCGGTCCCGACTGGCAGTAACGGTGCGAGCTCTTCAGCAAAGGCGAAGAGCGGGCTGGCGCCTGGGGCAGAGGCGGCCATCATCGCTGGCGCGGTGGTCGGCATCCTCATCGCGGTCGTGGCTGGCGTGCTGCTCTTCCTGCGGTGGTATCGCCTCCGGCAGGGAGGGGATTCGGCCGAAGAGACAACTACCAAAGGAAAGAAGAGATGGGGTTTCTTGGCTATTCTGTTCAGGAAGAAGAAGGAGCAGCCTACCGAGACCAACGAGGCCCCGAACGAGGGAGAGAAGGACCCGATGGCCTTACCGGTGGGAGTGTACGAGCTGCACGGCAACTATCACGGGAATGAGATGTACGAAGAGATGTTTGACATGCTCGATGGAAACGCCAGGGCGGAGCTTGCGGGAAAGCGGCTGACTCGTGAGGCGAGGGATGCCAGGGAGGAGCCGAACGCAGGGGAGGAGGCGAGCAAAGAGGAAGAGCAAAGAGGAAGGGCCAAAGACGTAGTATAGCAAAGAGTAGCTGCTAATCTAACCCATAAAAACTAATAAACATAATAAACCTCGCCGAATAAGACCTTCCGTACTGCATTCGTGCCGTCACGATGTTTGCGAACACCCATTGACCGCCGCGGTCTCCGGTGAGAATGAGTCGACTATATCCGCAGGTAGGTGCTCTTGAGTTGCCCGGTTAGATTTCCAGCCAATGTCCAACAGGCTGTCTTGCGGAATCAAAACCGGACTGATCACAGATGCCCTGTCACATTTCACCAAGTCCCAACAAAGAACACACATTTCCCACAAAAGCATTGATAGAACGTTCAAAATCCCACGCTGATATTGCGTAGTGAAAGACAGAGAGTGCAGAAGGCTGCTTGGAAACTACAGAACTAGCAAAACATTTCCTGTCGCGATGATCGAGGCCCTGGTAGAAAAAGTAAGCAAAAATAAAAAGCATGCGGAAAGGCTGCGTAAACCGAAACCCTAATGGAAGCCATGGTAGGAAAAGTCAGCAAGAGTAAAGAGGATGGGGACAGTTTGCGTCGAACCAAACCCCAATCGAAGTGATCATTGAAAAAGAAGGCAAAGGTGGAAAGAAAGCACGAAAGTTGCATCCAGCTAAACCCATCGAAGTTACTGGAGAAAAGGCAGGCAAAAGGTGGAAAGACAGCGGGAAAATTCCATCGAAGCCAAACACTGATACTCCTGAACTGATACAAACGCAGAGACTGTCCCCCTTTCCTTATGTTTTTGTCTTTTTGTCTTTTAAACTTTTTTTCTTCTTCTTTCTTTCAGAAAAAAAAAAGGCAAGCAAGCAAGAAAGCAGACAGACAGACAAACAGACAAAAGCTTCATTGTCCAACGAGAAGCCTGACGCCAAAGTCCTCATCTAGTGACAGCGTGTCATTAGACTCTTCCTGGATCGTGTCAACGACGTCGCTCGCGACGGCAGCCACCGTGGGTGCCGCCAAGGGTGTGCCCGTGCGTGAGCGCTTCCTCGGCCTCGGGTCGCGGCTTGCCTTGTCAGGGCTCACTATCGTGCTCGCCGGGCTGGCCGAGGGGGCCTTCTTGTTGATCTTGCTACCCGCCGCTTTGCGGGCTCTAGATGCCGTCGATTTCGCTGCGCTTGTCTCCCTGCCGTTGCTGCCACCCGTAGAGGATTTTCTTGGGCGGCCGTTCGAAGAGACTGGGCCGGTAGCACCGGAGCCGTCACCGCCGCTGAAGTTGAAAGATGGGCATGGGATGCCCTCCGCTTGCACGACAGAGTTGAGGCCCAGCGCGGGTGGTACGTAGAAGATGGGCTGGTGGGCGGGGGCCCCGTTGCCCAAGTTGAAGATCTCTGTGGGGCAGACTGTGCGAGGGCCGCCAACGACGGCGAGGCTGGCTTCATGCGCGGGCCCGGGGTAGTTGTGATTATTGGAGAAGTTGGCTCGCTGGGCCGGGGTGCCGTTGCCCAAGTTGAAACTATCTGCTGGCGAGAATGTGACAGGAGGGCTTCCGGCGCCAATGGGACCGGTGTAGTTGTCATCATTGTTGTTATTGTCGCGGAGTTGGCCATTCCTCTTCCTGGGCTGAACTTCTGACGCTGGCAGCGGTACTAGATGATGGTCCACCAGTACATGCTGTGGCTCCGTTGATGCTGGTTGGATGGGCTGCCCTGTTGGGCTGCCAAAGATATATTGAGGGTCTGAAAGCGGAGTGATCAAGTCATTGGGCGCGTCTAAAGGTGCATGGCACAAGGTGTGAGCAAGACCCATCTGGAAAGGGGCTTATGCTTGTCTACGAGGCGTGACGTACCGAACTCAGGCATGATGTTATTAATATCGGGTCCAGTTGACACGCTTGTCGACTCTGTCAGAGGAGGGGTGTCGCTCTGGTCCTCGTTAAGGCTGGGGCCGGACAGGTGCATCGGCTCACCACTGCTGGCGAAGAGCTGGTCAAATTCATCGGGAGCGTCGGGCATGCTCTTGTCCTCGCGGGTGTGTTGGCCGAGCGAAGGCATGGCCGCGCCGAAGTTGGCTTGATCTCCCAGCCCAAGCACGTCCAAGTCGAGCTGGTTCGTGTCGCCTGCTATGCCGACGGGGGACATCTCCCAAGCCGGGTCTGTGCTTCGGCGGATCTGGAAAGGGGGCTGAGACGAGCCCATGGGATCGAAGCCGGTTTGGTTACCGGGCCCGAAGGTCTGGTTGGCGACCCAGCGCGGCACCGGAGCCGCTCCCGCTGGCGGAGCGTTGGCCGGCGGCTCCAGTTGGCCTTGTTGATAGGGAATGTGGCAATGGTACTGGCTGAACTCCGGCACAACGACTCCAGCGGTAGGCGGGGGGATGGGCTGAGGGCGCCTAGGGAAAGGTCTTCCTCGCGTGGCGGCGTTTGGCCATGCCACCAGCTTGAATCGAAGCATGCCTATTGAGAACACATGTTAGAGGAAACGCGACTCGGGAAGAGGGCCAAGAGTGCAAGAGGCCTAAGGGTAACAAGGATTCCGTACCCTGTGGGACATGATGCCAAGAAAATCCGACGACCGTCAGGACTCTATCAAAGGAGTTGGGATTAGATAGTTGGACAAAGCCTTCATCAATGATGACCTTGATGCGCCCGTTGTCATCGGCGGGATGGTGCGAGGACTTAAGCAGGGCCTCATAGAAGGCAGGGAACCTCAAGGTGTCATCGTTCCCATGTCTGGCGAGTAATCCTGGGTAGAAAGAGGTTAGCAAGAAAGAAAGATAATCAATTAACTGATGGGCGAGGCCGAAAGATATCTTACTGCTGATGTTTTCCATCACGACAGGCAATGTGATAGCGGCTACAGGTACAGTCTGGGCCCTGTTATGGTTCTGTGAGTCCGGCTGCTCACAGTATGATAGCGCTGGAAATAGTTACGTACGAAACGGTAATGCCATCGATCCTGATGCGGATATGATAGCTAGGGTCCCTGCCAAGTCGCTGCTGCAGGGCACGAGTGTGCTCGCTGATCTGGACAGGGCCCCAGTGTCTGGCCGCGATGCAAAACGGGGTTCCTGGATTGAGACTGGGCGTGAAAGTTTCCACCAGGGGATACTCATTTTCGTAGGCGGAATCTCGGTCCTGAACGAGATAGCATTCGGTCCGGAACTCGGGGGAAGGCCCTTGGGTATTGGGAAGCCCGATCAATTGGACGTCCCAGCTCTCGTAGCGCATCTTGAAATGACCTGTTGCTTGGAGGGGACGGAGATGATGGCTGTCGAGCGTAGTCGGGCAAGACGATGGGTTGTAAAGAACAGAGGTGATTTGGCGGATCTCTGGAACCAGGATAGATGGATGGAGAGCGGAAGGCTTTGCACAGGCAGAGGGCGACGTGCTACCTGCGTGCGATGGGGGATGGGGAGTGAGGGTGATATGAAGGAAGCGAATCCAAGTGAGTAGTAATGGAGTCCGGGTTGACAGCTTGGAACGTGGCGATTGTTGACGATTTAGAACATTGTACGCAGCAAGAAAGGAAGGGAGCAGGTTTAATGGCAGCCGACGACCTTCCGCGCACGGAGTGCGCTGATTATCTCCAATAGGTCGCGAGATCAGAAGCAAGAACAATAGGGCCTGCAACGCAGCTCAACATGTCAGTAGCAAATTGATTAGTCTTGCTCTCTGGGCATTCACGGTGGATTCTTTCCCAATTTTCAGAACAGAAGAACCTTTGGTTGAAAGGAAAGGGCTGGCCGGACATGAGACGTGGTCTGGTTGTAGGGCCGTGGCGGTCTTCGACGCTATCCAGGTTTTGCACCGTTTCTTCGAACGGGTTGATGCCTCTTTTCGGCCGTGCAGTCACGCGAAGGAGAAATTCCAGACCACAAGCTCGCGCGCAATGGCTGTCTTTCTATTGCAGCTACAGGTTATGTACAAAGCCTCTACCTCTCCACTACTCCTCCTGCTGGTAGGGTTCAGGGTCGCCAGGTGCTCTTGCCTAGAGGGCATGGTCAGCAATACAGCGCATCAGACAGAACTGGCGATGGTCGACTCACCCGAGGAACTCCAGAACCACCAAGCTCCCGTTCCAGACCACCCTCAAATTCTCGCGGGTACACGGGCTTGTCCGGGTAGGTCTGCTTGATGACAAAGAGGAGGCCGCAGAAAGCGGCGACGAAGACAGCGACCTGGACGAGACCCTTGCCGGGCGCAACCCAGGTGTACTCGTGGGGGGTGAACATGCCGAGGATGTCGTGGTCCTCGTGGACGGGCTCGCCGTAGTTCCTCCTCTCCTGCTTGTCCCACCAGTCGGCGTGAGGGTCGCGGAACTGCCGCTTGATCGGGGGAGGCTGGACGAAGCCACCGTTCTGGGGAAAAGGGCATCAATCAGCACATGTTCTCGACAAGAAGGCGTGCCGGAGCGTACCTGGTTGGGGTCCTCGGCCTCGGTCAGCGACGGGTAGGCGGGGTATTTCTGCTCGGTGATGGCGGGATCGTTGATCTGGCGAGGGATGAATGTCCGCTGCTGGACCATGGGGAGTCGTCGGGCGGCAACGGCAGCCTGCCGCAGAGGAGCTGCGCTAGCGACCCGGCGTGACAGCATCTGTTTTGGGCCAAGTCGAGGCGAGTGTCAGCTGGGCCGAGAGAAAGACGGCGGGAGATGCAGGAAATTCCAACGGGGCAGAGAGGGGCATGTGTCGAGGACAATTGACCTACCTTGGCCGAGTTGGGAGCCTCAATGCAGTCGGAAAAGGAAAGGGGGGTCCGAATGGTGATGGTCCTAGGACGTGTTGAATTTCGAGGTTGATGATGTTTGCCGAAGGAGTGATTGGCTCGGAAGCGGAAGTGCCTTGTTGCCTGAGGCTTGTTCGCGTCTGGATCTGCTCTTTGGGGGAAAGGACAGACACGTGATGCTTGGTAACAAGTACCTAAGAGGTTGTCAGGGCAAGTTAAGCCTTGCAAGTTTTGTACTTTTTTAAGCGGGGCGTGCTCTGGGAATGGAATTTGCACCAAAGCTGTGCTGTACCTTGGATTTTGTGGAGCTTTTCGTGACCTGGCAGGGGGAGCGTTTCTTTCACCTGCAACCTCCGCAGGTACCTAACTACCTAATGCACCTGCTAGCTCCGTATCCTCAGTCAGCAGTTCCATGGAGAGGCGACCCACCAGAGTGAATGCCTGGAAGAACTCCGGGCTCTTCTTACAGCACTGAGCACTGGGCAGTCTGGCACCCACGCACACGCCGCGCCAGCCAGCAGTAGCTCCAAAGGCGGCAATGCTTGCTACGTGAATTTCGAGATTTTCAAACTTTTGCTAGCAACCCACGACTCTCGATCCTTTTTCCCACCTGGCCAGCCACACAGGGCTCCGAGCATGCCCAAATCCCAAATGAGACATCCTTGAGCTTCCACCTTTCTCCCGACATCATTTCCAGCTCGTCAAATGCAAATTTGGTCGAGATCGCGGTCCCTCCTCCCTCCCTCCACCCACCAAAAACTATGACGGGGATCGCGTCTCCCGGACCAACGCAGACAACCCCAGGTCCTGACGAGGCTTCCGCCAGCCAAAATGGCCACCTCGACGCGCAAATCTCATCGCCAAAACCCCTGGAAGCCAACGGGATCGAGGACGAGGCCGAGGTCGAACCACCACAGTTATTAAATTCTCCCGAGATAACCAAGGCTGCCCCAGACCGTGTCAGCCCCGAGCCCAAGGCCGAGTCCGACCACCATGATGACGAACCCCAGACCAATGGCCATGCCCACCACGATGAATCCGAAGATGACGGGCGACCTTCCAAGAGGCGCCGAGTGCAGGACCCGACTACACCTCCCAAGCCCACCACGCCTCGTCGTCCCAAGCCTATATCTCCGCCATGGAAGAGGATCGAGGCCGAAGGCCCCACGTCTTTCACCGAGGGCGGCAGGCGGAAGTCTGGCCGCATCAACACAGTCCCCCTGGAAATGCAAAGCAGCGCGAAGCGGATAACGCGTCGGGCCCTGCACGGCACAAAGGGCGAAGACGTGAAGGCCAAGCCGGCCGCTGCCCAACCGCCCCCTCGCGGTGCTAACACAGCTACAGCTGCCTCGCGACGGCCAGCCTCTGCCGGCAAGGCGGCAGCCGCAAAGAGCGCTCCGCCTACCAGGACATCTTCACGCCGCGCACCGCCACCACCACCGCCCCCTCAAGAAACCAAATATACCTCTCGAACGCGACGACGGTCACCCCCACCCCCGCCCCCTACGACTTCTCCACGAGCAGGCACGCGACGGAGCTCCCGCCAGACACGCGACCATGCCACGCCCGCCCAGTCGTCGTCACGGCACGAGCTTAAGGAGGAGGTGCCGACGCGCATGACTCCCCGGATCAAGTTGCGGTTTAGATCATCGACAATCCCTCTCATCCACCCGGACCAAGCGAAAGTAAAGCCCAAGATCGGGCCTTCCTTCGAGGAATACTTCGAGACCGCGGGAGATGTCCCGGTGGAGGAGGGCGGCCTTATGGCCTCCGAGGATGGCCCGCGTATCACGGACGAGGTCGCCGTGGAGGAGGCGGCCATTATGACGCGTATTGAGCAGGAGGCGGAGGAGGGCGGTATCTTGGCTGTGGGGAAATGCTCTGCCTTTGCACCCGAGCCCGTGGAGGAGCCACCGCGACAATGGGCACACATGGACCACCTTGTCAAGGCCATGGCCAACTTCAGGAGGCTGCTGCTGATCGAGCAGAACCGCCACCGTGCAACGGCAAAGAAGCTTGCCGAGGCCTGCCGCGAAGAATGGAGGAGGAGGCAGCCAAAGACCCAAGAAGAGATCGAGGAAGAGGCGCGTCGCCTCTGGCAAGGCCGGTACCGCCTTGTCGCCAAGGCCATGTTTGGCACTTGGGAGAACGTCAAGGCCGAGATCAACCGCCGCCGCTTGGAGGAATGGGAGGCAGAGGAGCAGAAGAGAGTGCAAGCAGCGCTGCAGGAGGTTGTTGCCGTCTCTCAACAGAAACTGGCTGCCCGACAGCTTCACCTTGACTCGGAGGACGTTTCTACCATGGATGGCTTTGACGATATGACCGACGACGAAGACGAGGATGAAGACTCACTCGTTGCTTCTGACGCAGACATGGACTCCAATGCCGATTCGGACGATGACGAAGACAACATGTCCTCCTCGGAGGATGAGGAGGATGCCAAGTCAATGCTCTCTGACGAGGGCCTTACCCAAGAGCAGCTACGCGAGAAGTATGCAAACCTTCCAAGCCTTGTAAAGGCCGACACGGAGGGCAATGGCGACGATGAAGATGTGGCAGAGGGACAGACTGAGGCTGGGACCGAGGCGGCAGACGACGACACTAGTGATGAATCAGTGGATATGGACGACGATATGGGCTCGACCGACATGGACAGCGACGATGGCGAAGAGGGCTCGGACGGTGATGCGGAGGACTCGGATTCCGAGTCCGACGCGGGACAGTCTGGCCTCCTTGGGCTTTTCTTTGGCAAGTCAGAGTTGAAGAAGATGAACGAAGAAGCTCCGGAGGACGCCGACATGTCAGAAATACCCGCCGAGGCTGATGTTGAGATGCTTGACGCGGAGCCGGCCCAAGAATCGCATCCTAGTAACGGGGCTGCCGAAGAGACCCAAGAGTCAGAGCAAAAGCCTTTGGATGAGACGCAAGCAACTCCTGCGCATAACGAAACGACACCTGGACAGGTCGCAGCCGCTGAGCAAGCAGCTGAAGTCCCTCTTACGAATGGCACAGCTGAGTCCGAGACGCACACGCAAGCACAAGCCGAGGAGGTGCGGGAGAAGAAGACCGAGCCGGAAAAGTCCGCGACAGGCGACGAAGATACCTCTACTCAGACAACACTGCATCCAGACACCGCTGAGGCGAACGTCGTAGACACTGCGGCGAAGGCCGATGTAGATGTGGAGATGACAGATGTGATACCCAAGGAATCGACACCCGATGTGCCCGAAGTGGAAGTCACCGCTCCTGCCTCCGATGCCAAGCAGCACAGTCCCGAGACCGACGCCGTTACCAACGTCGTTAGTCCGGACCGAAGCCCTTCCCCGCGGACCTCCGATACCAAGCCTTCCGAGGTTGACACGACGTCTTCCGTTGAACTGCTCGGCCCTCCCAAGGAGACGAGTAGGTCTACGTCTCCGCAGGGATCTGGGCCCAAAACCGAGATCCCCTTCCTCCTACGTGGGACATTGCGAGAGTACCAGCACTACGGCTTGGACTGGCTCGCTGGGTTGTATGCCAACAACACCAACGGTATCTTGGCCGACGAGATGGGCCTGGGCAAGACCATCCAGACCATCGCCCTGCTGGCTCATCTTGCGTGTCACCATGAGGTCTGGGGTCCGCACTTGGTCATTGTGCCGACCTCTGTCATGCTCAACTGGGAGATGGAGTTCAAGAAGTGGTGTCCGGGCTTCAAGATCCTCACCTACTATGGCAACCAGGACGAGAGGAAGCGGAAGCGGCAAGGCTGGACAAACGACGATATATGGAACGTGTGCATTACGTCTTACCAGATGGTCCTGCAGGATCAACAGGTCTTCAAGAGGCGCAAGTGGCACTACATGATTCTCGACGAGGCGCACAATATCAAGAACTTCAAGTCTCAGCGATGGCAAACGTTGCTGGGATTCAACACGCACTCCCGGCTCTTGTTGACGGGTACCCCGCTACAAAACAACCTCACAGAGCTGTGGTCGCTTCTGTTCTTCCTCACGCCTTCCGAGGATGGCGTCGGTGGCTTTGCGGATCTGCAGGAGTTCCACGAGTGGTTCGGCAAGCCAGAATCTCAAATCCTCGAGAGCGGCCGCGAGCAGATGGACGAGGAAGCGCGCGCGCTGATTGCCAAGCTGCACCAGGTCCTCCGGCCTTATCTGCTGCGTCGTCTCAAAGCCGACGTGGAGAAGCAGATGCCGGCCAAGTACGAGCATGTCGAGTTCTGCAGACTCTCCAAGCGCCAGCGCGAACTCTACGACGGCTTCCTGTCTCGTACCGATACGCGCGCGACCCTGGCGTCGGGCAACTACCTGTCCATCATCAATTGCCTGATGCAGCTTCGCAAGGTCTGCAACCACCCCGATCTCTTCGTGGACCGGCCAATCATGACTTCATTCCGGATGGCGAAATCGGTCGCTGCAGAGTACACCTATACGGAGCTCGAGGTCCAACGCAGGCTCAAGCCGGACCCGATGAGCCTCGTCAGTCTTGACTTTTTGAACCTGATCCCGACCCGGCACGAGGACGTGTCCGATATCACCGCCACCGCGATTTTCCAGCTGAGCTCTGACAGAACTCTGATGGATCTCAGGGAGGCACAGCGGGCACGAGCCCAGCAAGCCAACGTTGAGCATGATCCTAGAACCGTACGCTCCAACATGGTGTACCTTGAGAGCGGGGCGAGATGGAGACGGTTCGAGGAGCTCCAGCACGCCGTCTACCTGAACGCCCTGCGACGCCAACAGCGCCCCATCTATGGCAAGAGGCTTCTAGACTTCCTCACCATTGGCCTCAATCAGCGACCGTACAAGCCACGCCCCCGCGTCCCTAAGAAGGTCATGGAGTGGTTTGAGAACGACTCTTTTCTGCTGCGCAATATGATCCCCACCCTCGAGCGCCGCGCCGACTCGATGGAGATGATGATTACAAAGTTTGCCTGCGCCACCCCTGCGGTGGTCACGCGAGACATGCACGAACTCATCTTGGGCCGTAAAGGCGTCGAGGCGTTCCAGGACGACGACCTTAAATTGGCTGCGCCGGTCAAGTATGTGCCCTTCATGGACAAGAAGCGCCTTGCAGATCCCTGGCACGAGGCACGAATGCGCCTGAGCATCCAGTTCCCCGACAAGCGCCTCTTGCAATACGACTGCGGCAAGCTGCAAGCGCTCGACCGACTGCTGCGCAAGCTCCAGGCCGGCGGCCACCGGGCGCTCATCTTCACGCAGATGACCAAGGTGCTCGACATCCTCGAGCAGTTCCTCAACATCCACGGACACAAGTACCTCCGGCTCGACGGCGCGACCAAGGTGGAGCAGCGGCAGATCCTGACGGACCGGTTCAACCACGACCCGCGCATCCTGTGCTTCATCCTGTCGACGCGGTCGGGCGGCCTGGGCATCAACCTGACGGGCGCCGACACGGTCATCTTTTACGACCAGGACTGGAACCCGGCCATGGACAAGCAGTGCCAGGACCGGTGCCACCGCATCGGGCAGACGCGCGACGTGCACATCTACCGGCTGGTCAGCGAGCACACGATCGAGGCCAACATCCTGCGCAAGGCGTCGCAGAAGCAGATGCTCGACGACGTGGTGATCCAGGAGGGCGAGTTCACGACCGACTACTTCAACAAGCTCTCGGTGCGCGATGTCATCGGCGACGAGGACGTGGCCGGCGACGCGGGTCTCTTGGGGGAGAGCGACGCGGCGGCCAACGCGGCCATGGACCGCGTGCTGGGCGGAGTCGAGACGAGCGACGCGCGCACGGCGGGGCGGGCGCTCGAGCAGGCCGAGGACAAGGAGGACGTCACGGCGGCGCGGGCGGCGGAGAAGGAGTTCACGCAGGACGACGCCGACTTTGCGGAGAAGGCGACGCCCGGGGCGACGGGGTCGGGGGTGTCGAGCGTCGTGGGGCAGGGCACGCCGCGCGAGGGGTCGGCCGCGCCGGGTAGATCTGGGCTCGGGCTGTTTGCCGAGTCTGCTGCTGACGCTGCTGGCGATAATGGTGGTGTCCATGCGGCAGAGGCAGAAGAGCCCGAGTACAATGCCTGGGGCGGGCGGGTGCGTACCATCGACGACTACATGCTCGGCGTCATGGCGGAGCAGCTGCGGGGCACGCCGCTGGAGCTGCCCAAGGACAAGAAGAAGGGGAAGAGCAAGAGGAAGAGGGACCACCGGAAGCGGTGAGGTGTTTGTTTGGTTGGGTGATTTGTGAGTAGTGTGTGTATGAGTACGATGTGAGGGAGGGAGAGAGGGAGAGGAAGGGCGAATGAAGTCAAAAATGGAGAGAGGAGAGAGAGGAGACGAGAGAAGAGGAACATGGCCTGCCTTTCATTGTTTTTCTTGTATCATATGGCATCTTTGGGCGGCGTAGCTCTTCGTTTTCTCTGCTGTACTGGGGAAATGGTGAAGAGAAGAGAGTGGGGTGTTCGTTTGATGCCTTCCTATCCTTACAGATGGAGGAGAGACGAGACGAGGCGTTGCATGTAGAACTGAGGGCCTGGGAACGGAGTTTTGGGTTCGTTCTTTTGCATCGACGCGTTGCGGACATCGTATTTGTAGTTCAGCATGAAGGGGCAGGGTCTTGACGAGAAAAACACACATTAATGACTGTAATTCTTCTTCCGCTTACAGGAGATGTCACCGAGGTGGAACAGTTTGAAGTGAGTGAGATGAGTAAAACGCTCCCCCGTGGCAATGGCGTTGGATGTTTGATTTGAACTGAAAGGTAATGGAATAAATCGGTCTACCCTAAGCTGTCGTGAAGATGAAAGAGAAAAAAAGATCGAATATCGTCAAGTTGGGTATCTGTTTTTGCGTTGGCATCAAAATAAAAGTGATCGTCTCATCTCATGCTCCCCAAAATTCTTCTTCTCTCCATAAATCATAACAAAGAATGTTTCCATCCAACTTCATCACACTCCACTCAAAACGCCGCATTGCTCCTCCTCGTCTCCCCAGCCAGCAGGACGTTGTACTCGCTGCGCTTGCGGATCAGGAACGCGATGCCCAGCATGAAGTCCGTGTCGTAGCGGCCCCGCGGCAGCTGCATCAGCGGCCGGACGACCCTGCCCGCGAGCCGCTCGGCCGTCATGTCGTTGGCCTGCGCGGCGTCGGCGACGGCGCCCCACAGGCCGAGCAGCAGCTTGAGCAGGCTGCGGGCGGCGCTGCCGCGCACCCCCTCGAGCGCCTCCTCCCAGAAGTCGATGCACTGCTCGTGCCGCGTGGCGTGGGTGCCCGGCTGCGAGGCCTGGCGCGACAGCGCGATCCAGCGCTTGGCGACGGCCTCGGGCACGAGCGGCTTGGGCAGCTCCGCGAGGAAGTGCAGGATCAGGGCCGCGGCGTCGTGCACCGAGAACTCGGGCTCCGGGCCGTCGAGGTCCGGCGAGCAGCAGTCGCGGTCTGCGCCGGGGGACGGGGGCAGCGCGTACTCAAAGTCCTCGCCGTAGTGCGGCGGGCGGCTGAAGGCGTCGCGCAGGCGCCGCAGCGTCGACGGGTCCGCGTCGAGGCCGAAGATGTCGGGCTCCTCGACGCCGCGGCCCCAGGTCTTGATGTAGGTGTACGACTTCCAGACGCACAGGGGGAATTCGCGCGTCGAGGTGCCGCCGCTGGAGCCCGAGTGGCGCGTGCGGGCGGAGCCGCGGGCGAGGCGCATCGACTTCTGCAGGGTGACGCCGAAGACGGCGCCCGGCGGGCCGAGGGGCGTCAGGGCGTCCGGGTCCCGGTCATCTTCTGCTATGGCGGCGCGGTGGTCGTCGCCGCGGAAGAGGGGCAGCTTGTTCCGGATGGAGAGGGAGAGGCGGCGGGTGCTGCTGCGGCGGGTCGGGACGGGCGCGGTGGGGCTGGAGCTGGAGCTCGCGGGGGAGAGGTTCTCCTCGTTGGTGGCGTTGGTGTTGTTGGAGGATGTGGTGGCGGTGGATGCGGATGACCGGCGCGGCGGGCTGCTGCTTTTGTTGGTGTTGCTAGTGGTGCTCTGCTGGTTGCTGGCCGAGTCTGACAAGGCGTTGCGCATGTGCCCAAAGAACCGGGTCACCCGGTTGCTCTTCTTGCTCGCCGTGGTCGCCGCCGTGCTCGGCGAGACGGAGGGTGACCGCTCGGCCGTGATGCGCACGCTGTAGACGTTCTCCGGCCCGCAGTAGAGCTTCTCCATCGTCATCTGCGATTGCGGCTGCGGCGGCGGCGGCGGCGGCGGGGTCCAGTGGTTCAGGGTGCGCAGGGAGCTGTGCCGGCCGGGCACGGGAGGCGCGCGGGGCGGGACGTCGAACAGCGGCGGGCGCGGCCGCCGCGAGGCAGACGACGGCGGGCGGCTGTTGCTGTAGACGCTGGCGCCGCCGGCGTAGTCGGCGATGCTGCTGGGCGCAGGGCTGAAGCAGCGGTCAAAGGTGGGGGACATGACGGAGCTGCGGAGCGAGTTCATGCGCGCGGGCGCCTTGGGCGGCGGCGTGGGCGCGCGGTCGTGCAGCTCGTCGAGCTCGTCGAGGAGCTCGTCGATCTCGTTGATGGGGAGGTGCAGGCGGGCCGGCGGGATGGGCGGGGAGCCGGGTTGTTGCTGCTGCTGCTGCTGCTGCTGCTGCTGCGGTTCGTCTTTAAAGGCCGGGAAGGCCGGCTCGTCGTTGACGTCGATGGCGCTGTCGGGGGCGGTGTCGCCGTTGGAGGACGACGACGACTGGCGGGCCTCGGCCTCGTTCTCGTCCGCGCACTGGTCGACGCCGAGGACGATGGCCGAGTCGTTGGCCTGGGCCTGCAGGGCGTCGAGGTAGGTCTGCAGGCTATAGGCGACGCTGCCGGGCTTGACGCCGCCGCGGTAGCGGGTGGTCAGGTGGCGGATCTCGGCGAGGACGCGCGACAGCTCGTCCCTGGCTTCCGGGTCGAGGACGAAGGCGTCGATGGCGGCTTGTCGTTCTTCCTCGGTCTGGCCTGGGGTGCCGATGCGGGTCGAAGTTCTTTTAATGGGTGACCAACAAAGACCTCGTCAGCATTTTCTTGGTCCTTTACGTTTGTGCTTTGCCCTTTGGGTGGCGGTGTGTGTATATTTTGTGATTTTAATGTGGGAGGGGGGCATGTAAGGTAAGGTAGGGGTCGGAGCTGTCATGTCATTGTGGTGTGTGTGTTGGTGCGGTGATCCCTGTCTATTAACAGGTAGGGGTTTGTTTCAAAAAACCAGGAAATCACCGATGAACAGCAAAAGAGTGGTACTGCCAGGGCAGGCAAGCAAGCAGGGAAACACTGGGAAACACTCACATGCCGACCAGGTCGAGGGCCAATCCCAGGGCCGACTTGTAACCCTCGAGGGTCCAGCGCAGCTTGGCCATGTGCTGGCGGGTGGCCATCCAGCGGAAGCGCTTGTCGGCGGGGGACAGCTCGGGCCCGTTGAGCACGTTGACGTAGTGGCCGAGCTCGCTGACGATGGTGCAGCAGTCGCGCAGCAGGGGCGGCGCGCTGTCGGCGAGGCCGGCGGGCAGGTCGGCGGCGTCGTCCCTGAGCAGCTCGAGGACGCGGTCGAGGGACTGCAGCTCGCCGGCGATGCCGTCGAGGTCGGAGCGGGCCTCACGCACCTCGCGGACGAAGGCGTGGACGGCGGCTGAGGTCTTTTCCACGGCGGTGCCCACGGCGAAGCAGCCGGCGGTTATGGATCTGTTGGCAGGAGAGAGAGAGAGAGCGCGAGCTGTTAGCCATCGTTCCATGTCTCCATGGTCCAGAAGTCTAGGCACACAGGCAAAGAAATGAGAGACTCACATCCACTCCATGTCCATGTTGTGCGTGTTGGCCGTGACGATGTGACGGACACGGACATCAGGCAAGCCACCTAATCAACCACTTCGGAAAGGGAACCTCGAGAGAGGTGGGCATCCGGAGAGGGATGCTGGCCTGGTAATATTAAAGAAAGGAAGGGGACAGGGACAGGCGGAGTCGTCCCCGTGCAACCTTGGCGGTACGGAGATGGAGTCCATTACCAGTCAGCCAGTCCAGAGTAAGCTTTGTGACCCTGGCCCATGCAAGACAAGACCATGCAAGTCCCTCAAGACGCGGGACCCCCAGCTGAGTGGAAGTACACACACACACACCATCTTCTGGGCCACGGATCTCCTCCTGTCTGGATCGCGGGATTACTGAGGAAAAGGGACTTTTAAGTGGAGACGGCTCTGCGATACTCGCCGTAACCACTGCCAAAATCTGGCCAAGCTCCGGTGCTACCGCCCGCTAGCGACCAATCCGGACAGCCTGTGGCGACCTGGGACTGGCCACGGATCAGCGAGGCCTGCACTGAATGGCTTCGCTAAACCCTTCTGTAATTTAGCGTCGCAGTGATAAGGACGGCAAGACGGGTGTTGGTCCAGCTCCAGCTCTGTGATCAGCATCTCCAACTCCAAAACTCCCCATTATGAGTGCTTGTGCACAAGAATGATCGGCGCAAAGCTCCTCTCGAAATGAGGGGGGACAGCCGAGGATCCTGATGGACTCTATCATATGCCAGTCTCGGCGTTACATCCATCCAAGCCATTGCGACCACAAGACCACCACTAACTACCTACGTATTGAGCTACTTTTCTCTGCTGCGGCATCTCGGTCCCTTCGGAGAGAGTTGTGTCGAAGGGTGTCGAGGGCGTGCGCAGGTGCACAAACAACCAATGCCACCTCCCCTTCCCAGCCAAGGTGCCGAATGCACATGCACCGCACGCACAACGTTCCGACCAGATGAGGGGGAGAGAGAGAAGGAGTGCAACGACACCACCCCCGGCAATCACTTGACAGCCAAACCCCACGCCTCCTCCTCCTAGCCGCGAAGAGGCAAGCCTGCTCCTCTCGATCCCCGCTCCTCGACCAGGGATTCCGCAACCTGGACCGCTGCCGCGCCGCCCCCCTAACAATCTTCTGATTCCTCATCACGGGCGCTGTCGTCCGCATTGGGAAGAAGAGACGATCAGATATTCAATATTGGCAGATCGGCTGCCAATCAGGGCTCTGACGTAACGAATGGTAGAGCGGTCGAGACCGTCTCCTTCTTGTCCGAGTGCACTTTCACGCAGTGATTACTCGATTCAGAGAAATGCCCAGACAAGGAATAAGTCTGGTCCGTGCAATCGAAACGTCCAGCATCAAGTGCTTCCTTGAGGTACGCCAGACATGCCCCTTGTGGACATCTTCTTGCGGCTGCTCGTCCGAGAAGATCGTTTCACAGGGCGCAGGTCGCTTACCAACAATCGGGCAAAGGATCTATCTGGCTGATCTACTGCGACGTCAAGTACTCACATACATCAAAAGTAAAAGACGGCACGAAGGACCAGACCAGCGTCGTCGCTCGCTACCATGCAGTCAGCAAGCCACCGCTCGTTCAGGGACCATTCCCCGCGCACCATCTGGCCCTCTTGCGTGGCCCACACGTACCACTGGAATAATAAGCACCGCCTGTTCAATCGGAAAGCCAGGAAAGCTTTCTCGTCCTTGGGACCTTATGCACCATTGGGAAGAGGTGCTGTTGTGCCTGGCTAGTTTCGCTCCAGTTAGTCAGCCGTTGCGCCGTCCATCTCTTCATTTAATGCCGGACCACGGCATTTCCTGGGACCTAACCATCACAGTTTGCTTCTGGAAGCATCGCCGGCGACTAAACAGCAGCACTAGACTCGACATATGTCAGTGTATCGTGCACATATTTCGTACATGTATCCGTGCTCGTATTGTATTTCTCCATCCAAAGAGCCCTGTCTCGCTTGTAGCGAAGAGCATCCGCACTCCGGCAATTCCCCCCCGGTGATAACGGGTGATGAGCACGCGCGGTGGCTCGTGCTGCCCATCACTTGTTTCAGCCCCCGGTTCGCACTGATGCGGTGACGCGATGATTGCCGGTCCCGAGAAAGAGGCGGACGAACACCAACTGTGGAACCCTCCCCGCCACTGGTAAGGAGATATCATGGCCTTTCTCTGCTTGTCCCTGTACGTAGGGGAAATCCGGCCGTGTTGATGCCCATGTAATACGGCAGCAGGATATCCGAGACTGTGGAACCTGCCTGTGGCTCAGCCGCAAGCCCTCCGGCATTGCTTTTTGCACGTAGTACTAGACGAGGGCTTTCCACCTCGCCGGCATCGCTGGTCCAGTTGCCGACCTCTGTCCAACATGTTGTGAGAGTAGTCTCAAGTTACGAGCTCGATAAGGGTCACGATGGCGTATTCCGTAGTCCCCTTAGGCGATGGTTGTTCCCGTTGATGTTCTGGAAATGCTCTCAATTCACTCGTGAGATGCAAATAGGCATGTAGTACGGTATTTTGAGTGTCTGTTGGCCCATTGACCGTATATAGTCCATTATCGCTCCACCAATCTACTGATATTCAAGACCATCACTACCCTCCGGTATTCCGCACACCCTGTATGTCTACGTAATGTTTATTGCACGAGGAAGAGCAGCATGAAGGTAGTCGACTTCAGAAGTTGGTTTATAAAAAGCCTAAGTGTGTGGCTAAGCTCAACTATGAATGTGGAAGGAGTCTTAGGTAGGTTGTTCAACAATGTTAATAGGGGAACAAGATGATTGGCGACGGTGTGTGACAGCTTGATAGAGTGGGAGGAAGGGAGACGGTTGGAAAGTACTGCAATAGATTGCAAGTGATGACTGATAAAAGAACATGTCAGCATAAGATAGTGACGAATGGTCAGATAATTTGTAGCTCTGCCAGTTTCGTCGTCGTGCCCAACATAGCAATCATGGATGCAATCAACGTCATGAGTCGAAATTGATTTGGATCTGCCCCAGTAGAATGTCAAGAAACGGATTGGGGTGTGTAAATAGGAAGGAACACTGACGCTAAAAATTCATGTTGATGCTGATGAAGGTAAATGAGAGACAGCTTGTGTACTTAGGCTCAACGGGTCTGATAAGAAGAAGCGAAGAAGTCCTACCAAGCGCTGAGTTTCCCTACCTAGTGAGGTGGTCCAGAGCTTGAAAAGAAGAAGAAACAAAAGTTCCAGCAACTAAGCACAGACCTCTATGGTTTCCCTCTTTGTAGGCTCTTTGTGGAAGCCAGTTTGTGAGGTTGACTCAATTTTGAGAGTAGCTGAGGAGAAAGCGAGCCCAAGTTGAAAAGGGGCTCAAGGATCAGTTTTCTCTCACCATCCCATCACCTGTCATTCCATCTTTTCTCCAATTTCCTCATCACCTTCCGAGCCCAAACCCCGTCTCCGATCAGATCCATCGCGAATTGACTCTCTTATCTCAGCGAGACTTACGCTCCATCAGACGTGACATCGACATGTCCGAGAACATCGACACCGCCTTTCCCGGTATCGGTTTGTCGGGCGCCGAGACCGTAAAGTATCGGTGGCGAAAATCCGGTAACAGGTTCACCCCCGTCAATGACCGCATCGATGAACTCGATGATATGAGCGACTTCCGTTACGATCCACGTGCGGAGAAGGCACAGTGCGCCTCACCTCGCACAGAAGCAAGGGACTCGGACTCTGCGAGTTCGTCGAGAGAAGATAGTCCCAAGAAGCTGGGGAAAATGGCCTCGCCGGTGAAAAAGGTCTCGCCATGGAAAAAGGGCTCGCCTGGTAAAAAGGGCTCGCCTGGTAAACTAACACCGCGTCGCCGAAAACAGATGTACGCCCGTCGCCGAGCGCGCTCAGGTCGTCATGCCGAAGAACAGTCGGGAGCCTCGCAAAAGTCGGAGGGGACCAACAACCCCAAGAGGGTGATCTCAGAATCTCTCAGGTCGCGAGCCAACCTCCTCGACCCCATGCTCCTCGCACTTTGTGACGTTGACGAGCTTTGGTACCAGTTTTCCCGAAGTCTCGCCCCCAAACGCATGTGGGAGCATGCCTCCTACAGGGCCTGCCAGAACAGCCTCTCCGAACTGGGAACTTGGTATCAGCAACGCGGAGCTGCAGCAACCTGGAAGGCGGTGGACTCAAAGCCTCCTCAACCGCCGTCACCTCCGTTACTCGCAGTAGCAGCATCCCTTAGCGCCGGATTCGACTGGCTCCGTGCTGTCGAGAAAGTTGATTTGACCTGGTACTATCTTGGCCAGCCTCCACCCCCTTTCTGGGATGGGTTCAACCCCGCAAAATCCAAACATGTCAATATGGATCTCTCTGCGTCGAAGCAAGTTCAATGGGGCCGGCGGCGGCGGCAAGAACCCCCACCCACATGGTTTACGGACGAAGTAGAGAGTCTCAAGTCTGTATCGCAGGAACTGGATGGCTATGATCTGCAGTCGAACATCTCCGAAGATGTTGGCATGGACGAGGTGTGTTTACCCCAAACCGAGGGACTACCGACGCATTGCAAGCTAACAGTCTCAAGCCAGTACTAGGCGACGTCGGTGAACTCATGTCTCCTAACCGTTCAATTGCCGCCTCTGGACATCATGAACTGCCAGGCACAATCTCGACTCTCAACCCAGGAACTACGGTCCCTGATCAGGATGCAGACTTTCTTCTCAGAATTCAAGCCGAGGAAGCTATTGAAGATTTTCTGGAAGGGAAACTCCATCAAGAAGCAGAGCCTCGGAAGGTCAACATGGATGCAGCCCCACCAGAGAAGCATCGCGGCGTCAGCGAGCCCCGTCTTGATCCGACCCCTCCACCGGCTGAGGCGGTCTTGGCCAACCCGGAAGCCAAGGATAAATCCACGTCTGGACAGGCCGAGAAGGCCGAGAAGTCGAGGCTGCTGCGGAAGATGAAGGCAGCGCCTGAGATGAACGATACAGACCTCGTCCCTTACGAGGCTGTTAAGGACCTTGAGCGGCTCTGGGATTTGCAGACCCAGGAGCGAACGATCACCAAAGCTAGCATTGACCTGATTGAGGCCGTTGAGGGGAAATTACGAGCGGCCAGTGGCGCCCACATCGATCGCTGGTCTGCTTTCCTCACCTCGACTCGGCGCGAGGCTTCAGAGAGACTGGGACAACTCAATTCGCAAGCTGCCCAGCTTGCAGACGAGCTGCAGGCGGCAGCGAGGCAGAAGGTTGGCAATGCCCGAGCAGCCTACCTCGAGACCCCATGTGGCGAAATCGAGCAGTCGCAGACGGGCGGCGTGGTTGATGCCATGGAAGAGATCAAGCGGGCACAAAAGGAACATGAGGAGGCCTCCAACAAGAGGATGCGTGAGATGGAGGAGGAGCTTGAGGAACTTCGACGAAACGCCAAGAGGCCTCGGTTGTTGGGCTGGCTGCTTGGATGAGGCTGCTGCCGCTCCATTCGTACAAAGCCTCTATTGGGCTGTCAATCATTTGTAGCAAAAGGATTTCGGGGTTTGGCCAGGGGGTGGCGTGTCGAGTTTCTACGATATTCTTAGTGTACGATACTGCTGCGACATCGAACTACAACCAGATAGTAGTCTTGAGTGCTTCTCTTGTGAAACTAGATGGCACAGATTAATGTCTAATATCTAATGTCTAATATTAAACCATGGGTGCAACATCAACTCACTTGAATGCCTCCTCTACACTCATAAGACATCTTGTCGTTCCTGGCAAAATGGTATTCTGCGCGAGTGGCTTGCCGCGGAGACTTTCTCTTACTTCGCCGAATCATTACGTAAATGCATTGAGAGCTTCACTGAGAAGCGGTCTTGCTGTATAGCACGTCGTAGGTGGAACTTGTGAGCTGATAACACAGCGCAAAGATAATTCTTAGATCATTTTTGCGCTGCGGATGGGGGAGTATTTTATTTCTGTTGCCAACCTGTCAACTACTCAAAGTCTCGACTGAGTAATCTTACTATCTATCACTCAACGGGAAACAAGCCACCCAAGTACAAGTCTTCGTCGTTGCGGGTTGCGGGGAGATGGTTCCCCACTTGCCTATTTCGTTAGCTCAGCTTCAACTAGTAAGCTTGTGCTTATTGATAACATCATCGATGAAGACAAGCGACTTCGAAACCACCCTCAAAGAAGCCTATGACATTCCGGTACCTCAAACACTGCAACAGCCCCGATACAAAGTGATTACTTCCTTCTATACCCCACAGCAAGGTAAACATTATGGTGCAAATCTTCCTGTTCGTCACATCCCCAGTCCCAGTGCCCCGCAACAGTATGGCTCAAGTCTGATGATGACGACACGCAGGACAGGTGCTTCTGGCTACATCGGCGGCGATGTGCTGCACCTGGTAGCCAAGACACATCTGCACCTGGTAGCCAAGACACATCCCGACTACATCATCAAGGCGCTTGTCCGCGACATAGCCAAAGGCCAGCAGATTGCCAAGGCCTTTAGCAATGTCCAGCTCGTGGAGGGAGACTTGGACGCCACCGAAACCATCAGAAGAGAGGCCTCCGAGGCCGATGTTGTGCTTCGTACGTGACTCAACTCCGGGTCCATCGAAAATTTCCACATGTACTGACGCTGAAAACTCTATCACAGACCTTGCAGCGACTGGCCACCTGAACAGCGTGAAAGCTATTCACTCGGCCTTCCTGAACTCTGTCCGCCAAAAGCCAGCCCACTGGATCCAGATCTCGGGCGCGTCCGCCCTCGCCGCGGCCGAGCTTGCAGACAAATCGCGAGCTTTCGGGGCTCCGAGCGACCTGGTATTCGACGATTTAGACGACATAGCCGGCATCACCTCTATGATCAGAGGCCATCCGTCGCGTGCTGTCGACAACTACGTGCTCGACGTGGCAAAGAGCACGTCTAGTGTTAATACCGCGCTCGTATTCCCTCCTATCATCTACGGTCAAGGTCGTGGGCCTGTCAACCAGCGCAGCATCCAGATTCCCCAGCTGGCGCGCGCGACCCTGGAGCGCGGGCAGGGAGTCCGAGTTGGCGCCGGTCGGAGCCGGTGGGGAGATGTGCACGTTCACGACGTCAGTGCGCTCATCCTCCGGCTCCTTGAAAAGGCTGTTGAAGGACCGGCGGACGAAAGACTGTGGAACGAGAATGGGATCTACTTGACTGGGGTCGGAGAGCTGGTCAGTGTCCTTGTTGTTCGACGAACCCCGTTTAGCGGTCCCATGGCCTCGCTGACAATACTACTTTGCTTTGCTCTAGTCATTCGGCGAGATCTCCGAAAAGGTCGCGACGGCCGCGGTCAAGCAGGGTCTCATATCCGACCCGACGGTTGAGCAACGGGATGCCGAGGCCTTTGACGCTCTGATCCCTCATGGCACGGTGCTCTATGGGACAAATGCCAGGAGCCACGCTCGTCGCGCGAAGGAGTTTCTTGGATGGCAACCACAAGGAGACAGTCTAGAGCAGGAAATACCTCGCGCGGTCGAGGCCGAAGGCCAAAAAATGAAGGCTTGAGTGTAATTTCCACCATTGGAAATGCATGATGTCTAGGTTGTCTTGTGGTGGCCAAGGAGGAGGAACGTCACTCTAGTCAAGTTCGGTGTCATTTGCATCGGCAACGTGAGCAAGTACAAGTAGTACCCAGAATAGGTCACGACACGGATTGCCCTACTACCTGAGGCTGGAGTGTTCAATAGCTGGTAAAGCCACTGCTGGCGCCCTCGGCAAGGGCCTCAGCGTGAGAGGCGCCCTGACTTCCTCCGACAGAAGATCTAGATGGTCTCGCAGACCAACATTCCCCAGCACGCGTTCTAGCTGTGAGAGGTATGATGTTGTTGTGAGCTTGGCATAGCTTGCCGGTTCTCACTACTGCCACTCGGTTCATGATCCGAGATTCCCTCCAGGCCTGCGACCACACATAGGTAAACATTGGCAGTCGGCTAATGCTCGATATTATTGGTGAGGTATAGATCAACATGCTCTATGAGCGCTGTTTACCTGTACTGAGTCTAGCCTCTCCCAGTGTCATGCGTGCGTGATGCTGGAAATGTCTCGGAATCGCGCGAGCTCAAAGAAGGTGAGCGTGACGAGGGTGAACACAAGAGCATTCTGAAAACGGTTTAGTAGCCAAGCTTTAATCGACTTAAGCTTGCCTCTCCCACATGTTTCGTTCTCGCTACAGCCTTTATCTGATGGGCTGAGCCCAGCTCGACGGGGCCGGCTTAGGTTAAAAGGAGATTGGGTTGGAATGGAGACACATTAGGCTAACTGTGACAGCACAAGCGCCGCCACGAAACGCCATGCAAGCCCATTCCGCCCTGCATATTCGAGTAGTCAGGCACACGACGGGGTATGACAACCACCCTTGCTCCCTAGTCGCATTGCCAGCCGGGTGAGGCTGCGCTTAGGGAGGCAATGTGCGCTCATCCCCAGGGCAGGCAAACGAGCTTGAGGAATGTGTCGACAATGCCACCCATCCTGACCTTTCCGGAGAGGGAGGATCGCTCCTTGGCGCTTCTGCTACCTGATGAGATTGAGGTAGGCCTGCGATACTTGACGTTGCCGCTTCTTCCGAAAGTCGCCAGTCCTTTGATGTCTTGGGATTCCTGGGGATCTCTCATGTTGTGATTGTCTGCTCCCCTCGGGTTGGGCATGAAGAATGTGGAAGGGACTCGCCCAAACTGAGTTGTGAACCTGGATTAGACCTCGCTAGAACGCGACTCTGATCGTATAGAAGATGCATCGCCTCGTGCTGGCTACCTATAAGACTGCCATGTCGCGCCTCCACTGTCTCCACGGGCATTCCCCCTCCCCCTGAACGTGAGGTTTCACACCACTCACTCGTTTGATAGTAGATAGCTTTTCTTTCTGGCCACACCGGGCCATCCATTTGTTACCAATAATTCGGCAACATGCGGGCTAGCTGGTCTGCGCTCTTGGCCTATGGCCTCGGCCTTGCCTCTGCGTTGCCCTTCAAGGTGCTCGTGGTGCAAGACTATCAAGACAGTTTCGAGAACAGATGGCTTGCTGCTCAGAGTGGTACCTACACTGGTGAGTCTTCATATCACAGGCCCGACAGCACATCGGCGCACCGCCGCTGACGAGTGCTCCCACCCGACAGTGACGACGGCTAGCAAGGTGGCCTTCGGCAGCATGATCAAGGAGCAGTTTGCTTCCTACGACGCAATCGTTATCGGTGATGTTGGAGGCTGCAACACGCCCGATGCGACCGCGCTCGACTGGATCGACTTCTCGCTGCAGAGCAAACTGGGAGCTGCAGTCACTGGCAACATCTACGTTCTCGGTACCAGTCTCTATGACAGTACCAACGGGAGCGCAATCGGGACCAACAACTCGGCTACCCAGACAGCCAGCGTGCTGTTCGAAGATGCCATGAACTATGTGACGGCGGGTACACGGACCGGCTTCTACATCTCCCTGTCCTGCTACTACATCAATACAGGGGGGGAATCCAACGTCTATGCTCTGAACGGTTTCTCCAACAGCAGTGCAACCTTTAAAGTGTTTGGGAACAGTGTATGCTACCTTGGGGTAACTATTAAACAGCCTGCTCTCTTCAACGGCTTGACCGACTCGTCATTCAGCGCCTGGTCCTGCCCGGTGCGGGAGTATTTCTCTGCATATTCCCCCGACTTCCAGCAGGCAGCCTCCCTCAATGCTGGTAATGGTCTCCCGTTTGCTCCCTTCATCCTTTCTAGAAGCAGCGTGTCCGACTGCGGAAACGGGATCGTCACGGGGAGTGAGATCTGCGACTCCGGAATCTACTGCCTGTCCGACTGCACGTGCCCGACGGGGTACGAGTCGGACGGCGATATCGGGTGCCGGTCCATGTGTGGGAACGCACAGATCGACACGAACATAGGCGAGGAATGTGAGCTGCCACGGCTGTCGAGGCGCGATCTGCTCGGCCGCAGCTACTACGCGGATCCCCTCTGCCTGGCCAACTGCACGTGCCCCAACGGGCCCGGGACCGAGCTAGGGCACTGCGCGCCTCTCCCGCAATGCGGCAACGGCTATCTCGAATCCGGAGAGGAGTGCGAGCCGTACAGGCCTACCAAGCGCTGGATGGGCCTGAGCCCGCGTGCTCGGGACATCGGCGACCCGCTGTGTCGGTCGGATTGCACATGCCCCAACGGGCCCGGAGCCACTCCGGGAAGCTGTGCTCCGCTTCAGCTTTGCGGTAACGGGGTTCTCGACCAAGGAGAGCAGTGCGAATATGTCAGGTTTGGCAAGAGATTATCGCTGTCGCTGTTCGGCCGAGAGCCGCTGCCGGATATCTCGGACCCTCTCTGCTTGACCGACTGCACGTGCCCCTACGGCGTTGGGTCTGCCGCTGGCAAGTGCGCCCCCCAGGCGATCTGCGGAGACGGCATTGTCAATCAGGGTTCTGAAGAGTGCGACGACGCCGGCGCGAGCCAGAACTGCACTTCCCTCTGCACCTGTGTCAACGGCTACGACGCCGTGAACAAGGTCTGCCTTAACGTCACGATCCCGGCGACCTGCGGCGACGGGACTGTCAACTCTGGTGAGGAGTGCGAGATCTCTCTGAATGGCGCCGACCTGTGCTCGACCGCGTGCAAGTGCATCTGGGGAGTCGAAGACGCCACCCTGAAGACCTGCAAGCCGGTCCCAGTCTGCGGGAACTCCGTCGTTGAGAAGGGCGAGGAATGTGAGCCGAAGAACGGGCTGGGTCGGCGTGCGTCTGATCCTGTCGCGGATGATGTCTGCTCGAACAAGTGCAAGTGCCTCTTCGGCCTGGCCACGGACGGAACCTGCAACCCCAAGCCCGGCACGACAACGACATCGCCAACGAGCCAGTCCTCCACCGTACCTCCTGTTTCGACAACAGCATCGTCTTCGCCCTCGTCCTCATCGTCGTCCTCGGCACCGACCTCGACCTCGACCAACGAGCCCCTGCCCCCGCAAGTCGGTATCTTCAGCTTCGTCGGATGCACCGGCTCCGTCCTGAGCTACCCGTCGTTCCGCTTGCAGACCTCCAGCAACCAGATGACCCTCGAGATGTGTACCGCAGCTTGCTCCGCCCACCTCTACGCCGGTGTCCACGTCGAGTAAGTATTCACCCCTTGCCTTGCGAGCAACCAGGTGACAATCGCTAACTTTGGCAAACTCAGGGACTGCTACTGCTCCGACTTCTTCGACGACGTCGTCACGGTCTCCAAGGACCAGTGCAGCGTCCCCTGCCCCGGCAACGCGCTCCAGAACTGCGGTGGCTACCGCTTGACCGACAGCAGGCTCGCCCGGCGCCAGAGCGGCGTGCCCGCCAACGCCCTGCTCGTCGTCTACCTCAACGACCCCGTCGCCTCGACCGCCACGCAGCTCCCGGCCTCCACCCTCCCGCCGACCTCATCGTCTTCCAGCAGCGGCGCCGCGCCCGTTCCCCAGACCACCGGCCAGACCACCTCGACTGCCACTGCCGTCGTCACGTCCACCGCCACGGCCGTGCCCTGCGTCAACGGCTGGTGCAACGCCGGCGGCTACGTCTTCGAGGTCTGCGTGGGCCTGCCGAACCCGGGCGAGATCGTCTTCGTGATGCAGGCCTGCGGCTGCCCCGGCGGCTGGCAGTACGTCCGGGCGGACTGCGACGGCGCCTCCTGCGCCTCCCTGGTCGTGTACCGCATCGTCCCCGTCGTCTCCGGTGTCGTCGTCGGAGACGTCGTCGTGTACGCGCCGCAGCCCTGCGACACCTGCGTCGGCGGCGTGACGTTCGTCCAGCCCGCGCCGCCTGCGATTGGCAGCGGCAGCGGCAGCGGCAGCGCTTCTCAGACCGGATCCGTCGTGGGACCGACCCCGGCGGTGGTGGTTACCGCCGGCGCGAGCAAGCTTACTTCGTTCTTGAGCGGCCTGATGGTGTTTGCTGGTGCCTTTGTGCTTTTGATTTGAATGGATCTGTGATAGCAGGGAGGATTCGTGTCTGGCTTTGACGTGTTTCGAGTACTACAAAATCAGTGCGCGAGTAATGAGGGATGAGTAGATAGTGGAATTTGAGCAAGGTGTTGCGGTGTCTCGTTAATACGATTTGCGGTGTTGCGTCAAGCAGTGTTTGAGGATCTCCAAGTGCATGTGTGATTTAGGGCCAGCTAAGCTCAGAATTGTTCTGACCTTCTTAGATCGCACGGCAATATCTTGATTTATTGATGGACTGGGTACTTTTTCGTCGATGGTATCTCGTTTTCGTTCGACAGGCGAAACATTTGTCTTCGTCCGCTTGGCCCATCGCATTTTTCTGCTGCCAGTAGCCATTTTTGACTCCCTCTTTCGCGGGCCCATCGTCGTAGAAAAAGTTGAAGAGGGGTATCTGGCATTGCCCGATTTTGAGTTAGAAATGTCCTTGTCATTTACGGATGGATTTAGCTATCGTGGAAGTCCAACACAGAAGACACCAGACATCTCAGGCTGTGGCCTGGGGTTTGCTGCAAATCCAGTGACTACAGCCTGATGGAAGTAGTCGACTTGCCCTGATGCTTCATCGTCATTGGAGTCCCAAGCATGCTGCAGCTCAATTCGTCGTCCCATTTCCAGCAGCAAGAACTGGCTCGCCTGAGGACCGATGCTGCAGATGAAGGAGGGGATAAGGTCTCCCCTGTCCATCACAAGGCGAGCGGCCAGTACATTCGAAGCCCATACGTTTGTAAAACGCCAGGGCTTGTATGTTCTGCTCGTTCACGTCTGTCGTCAATTGGGGATGGTCCGCAAGTGCCCTCTGGACCAAGGCTTTGCCAATGCCTTGGCCGTGCCGGGTAGGGTCAACAAAGAGGGCTTCGAGGTGTCCTTCATGTAGGAACATGAAACCTTGCGGTGTGTCAGAGTTGTCGACTGCGAGAAGCAGGTTCACCTGCGCAAATAGAGTAGAAACCTCGCACTCAATCGCCGCTCGGTCGACGTCGGTGAGAAAGTCATGAGTGGCGTCGACAGCCTCTCGCCAGATCTCCAGAATGTGAGCTTGATCCCTCTCGGTAGATGGCCGAAGTTGATACATGTGTGAACTTGTTGGACTATGTCAGTGTCTAGATGCTGGCAATGCTTTGGCTGATCTTTGTGCTGACTGTCTCCAGTTGCACCCTGCAAAAAAAGACATCAACTCTCTGCCATTGTGAGGGCACGTGCGTCACTAGCGCCTACCTAAATTCAACCTTACACATATTTGTTAGGCAATTTTAGCTGGACAAGTGCCCGAAGGGGCGGTCAATATACACTTTGTATCAGCTCATAGGCAGTAGATCACCAGTCTACATATCATGTTGGAAAGCTTCCGGCCATGTGACTCCCGAAGCTTCGGCCTGCTGGTGCCACAGAGCCGTTTTCTCATGCCGTATCTCCACCTCTGTCTTTAATGGTGCTGTAGCTAAGACCTCGATCAGAGGTGCGTCTGATAGTATCGAATGTGACCGCATGTCTCTCTATCTCTCCCTCAGGTGCTTGATGACTGCATGGGCTACAGCCAGGTCTCATCCCATCTGAGGCCTGCTGGCATCTCATGGGCTACAGCAAGTTTTCCCGCTCTCTGTGGTCTGTAGTCTTGGTCCCAAAGGCACATGTGATCTGTCCTCCCGTTCACGTCCCCGGCCGCGCCCCAGGACACGTCTTCTTCCTCTGAGAATGAATGAAGATATCCCTTCATTTGCGGGCCCGCCTTTTGACGTGTTAGCCCGGCTTAGCTGCCCTGATTAGTTCCCTTGCTTCAACATCTCGCAAGTGACTCACTGACCATGATGCATCCATCCCCTCCTGCAATCTTTGCCCTTCTACCCGATTCCGGGCTCATCCGGAGAGCTTCCAGCCAGCTACCTGGATCTAGCACCCCTCACCATCAGGGCAATCAGCCCTGAGCCCCACAGACTTCTTCTATATTTACCAGAAGATCCAACACCCAACACACTGCCTGCTCCCTCTGCTCCATACCTGATCATTTCTTCCAATCTCGGGCAGGGGACTGATCTGACCCTCCACTCAAGTTGGGGCCATTTACCTCGAATATCGTACTCTCCACTCCAAGACAGCCCTCCTTGCATCAAACATCACAGGAAAGATGGCTTCCGTTCCAGCCCATCTGAAGCCCATCACTTACGAGGACTACCTTGAATGGCGACGGGAGGAAAATGCGCAGCATACTCTCAACCCCTACATGCTTGAGTCAGTGCAGCTTCATGCCTTCAACCAAGACGATGATACTAATAGAGGCATGCAGTCTCCTGACGAGTGGCGAATTTTCGGATGTCACTGTCATCTGTGGCGACAAGGAATGGGAGCTTCACAGACTCATCCTCTCCTGCAGATCCCTCTATTTCAGAGACATCTTGACTCAACTCGTTGACATCGAGGTGAGATCCCCACTCCAGCAGGTACTGTGTGTGTTTGAGAACCCGAGCTGACCTGCCATCCATCAAGGTTACGTCCAGAACCGAGGTGGTTCTCGACCACGAGGTCGATCCCGAATACTTCAACTGCCTTGTTCGCTACATCTATGGAGGTCTTGGTAGGTTTCCTATCTGGCACAATCTGCGAGGATGAAGGGCTAATGCTGTATGTCTGATCCAGAAGCTCTCGTGACTGAAGAGGCGTTTGAGGACGAGAACAGGCTTCCCTACTCCGCCTATCGCCTCTACTGTATGGCCTCGCACTTTAGAGTGCCTAACCTGGCCGACAACATGTACGAGGTGCTCGAAGAATACTTCACCACCAAAGGCCACGAGCTCATCACCAAGAAGTCATTCACTGAGAGCGGCGAGCCTGAGCGGAACCAGAAGAGATTGTTCGACGACGACTTTCTGGAGGGCTTCTTCAAGGGGGTCGCCCACGTCTTTGGCCCCGAGGACTCGTGCATTTTCCTGCAGGATGCTTACCTGAAGCTGTTTACCGAGTCGTCCTGGATGCCTGAGCTGAACTACGGTTTCCAGTGGAGGATGGCTTTGTACGACGCGTTCTCGTCATATTTGCACATCAAGAAGAGCTGCATCTTCTGGATCCCGGAGCAGATTCAGGAGGCGTGCAAGCTCGATTGTCACACCTTGGACCAGAGGAGTGAAGCGCTCCGCGAGAAATTCCGCGGAATGAGGGAGCCTGGTGTTGTCTATGACCCTCAATGCGAGGACAATCTTCTTGACATCTGCCCCGATTGCAAGTCGGCCATGAAGCCCTACATGAAATTCGGCCAGCTGCCGCTGTAGGCAACAAGGGGAGCCGGGGAAACGGTGGTGATTTGGGGTGGCCATTATGGCTCTGCACCTCCATCTCTGGCAGTCTTCTGGGCATGAGAGAAATGGCAAGGGTGTGGTCACATAGCAGCTAGTGTTTCAAGATAGCGTCAGACTCCTAGACATTGCACATGGTGGACAAGTTACGGAACGAGGGAAATCAAGGACAAGGGAAATTAAGGACAAGGGAAATCAGGAACAAGGAACGGTCTGGGCAGCAAACTCTCAGATAGATCAAAAGACACAAGGAAACTCAACATCTCACGGATGAATGCCCTCTTGCTGGATTAATGTTCGTACGGGAAGCAGTGACACGTTCTCGGAAGGGAGTGCATGGGCGACACGATGGCTCTCGGGGAGGAAAGTCTGACAAGGATGCAAATATGATGTTGCTCTCTGTTTCAAGAGAAGCCAAGTCAAAGATTCATTCATCAATTCAACGAACTATGTCTGTCTAGGGACGGAAATGAACATGTAACCACTGTTTAGCGAACAGATCTCTCCTTCTTCATGAACAGTGACCGGTTCGAGAGTTCCTTTTGCTCGTTTGACAGACAACGCTCCTAGCTCATTGGCGGCATTGTAGAAGAGCAGCATATCTCAGTGGTGCTTCTTCATTCGATCCAATGCAACTTTCTTCTCATGGCAGCTCTGGCAGTTCGCAATAGTCTTGACTGATGTGATGTACGGAGATCGAGCCGCGAAAGTCTGAGCCGTTGGCATTGAGTGGGCCTGGGTCTGCAGTTGCTGGCTCCCAAGCTTTACACATGGAGTACCCGCGCATCGATGGGGCACGTCCTTGATGAGTTCTTCAAGCCGGAAGTCTTTCATCAGGGACCTGATGACCTTGGTAGCGAGTCCCGGGTATTTCTCAATCATGCTGGTTACCTCCTCCTGTGCAAGAACCCACCAGGACGATGATTTGACCAGAGTGGCGAATGCATCTTCGACGACACTGCATCTTGAAGAATGTTCGAACGCCTCCTCCATAGCCTGCGCTAGACTGGAGAGATAGTCCTCATCGAGGGCGTCGGTCTCCTCGTCTTGTAGTTTTCTCCACTGAACTACGTGACCAATCTCGTGGAAATGGTCACAAAGCGCCGTTCTGATGTTGTCCTCAAGGTTATTGAGAACGAAGTAGTCTGCCCTCTTCCACTGTCGAATGACTTCCAAGGCGAACGTGTTTGCGTCCTCGCTACCCAAGGTGACTATGATTAAATGAAACGGTTAGCCAGGGCCCATACTTCGCTTTTCATACATGTAACCTCTGATTTTTCTCACCCTCGTTTCCGTAGATGTAGTTGACAACCCACGAGAATAGTTCGGGATCAACTTCGTGGAGAGTGATCTCGTTGCTCCTGGCCTCCTAGATAAACTTGTGTTTAGTGATGGAAGCTTTCTGGTGATATATAGATCCGGGCTTACCATGAAGTCGCCCGTCAGCGCCTTCTCAAACCATTTTGAGCCCATGCAGAGGATTGCTCTATGCAGCTTCCATTCTTTCTGTTTGCACTTGACGACCAAGTCGGCGAAGTGTCCTGTCTCCAGAAGGCTGTGACCCGATGACATGAAATCAATAAGCTGAGCACCAGGTGAATAATGTAGCAAGACGAGCATCACACACCTTGAAATGCCGGAGATACCCTCTCGTCGAATGTTTACGACAACTCCCATGTAGTCGCGAGCCATCGTCGGATTGGTCCAGTCAAACTGGATGAGTATGTCTCATGAGGGAAAGTCGACGCTTCAAAAGAAGGTTTGATCAGAATGAGAAAAGTCCGAGATAGATCTGAGATCAATCTGAACCCTTGATGAAGGCCGGTGGTGGCTGCAGTCCAGAGATTTTGAAACCTCTGTGGTTGGGGTATCGGTGGCTTGACCATGCGCTTTGGTCCCATCTATGAAGATAATTAGGCGGGGGACAAGAAGGGACGGGGCCGAGAGACGCCAAGTTTGGACTTCTGAGAAATTAGTTTTAAGAAAAGCAACATGGAACGCAGCAGAGCGATGCGTTCTATTTTGTACTGCACAGACAGGTTAACCTACCTACCTAGGTAGGTAGTTTGTCGGTTACCCAACTCGGTTTGGCTGAAAACATATTAACTTAAAATCACCGCTCAACTTTCAGTTATTTGCGCTCTCACTTCATTCAATATATGATGCCAAGTGAGTTTCGTTTGCTACATTCACTGATCATATTACGATGTTTCTCATATCCAGATTTGTAGGCTACTTAACCATGTCCCTCCGTGCAGTCTTTGTATTTTTAAGGATGCTCATCTACCTATCATACACCATGACCTCCGATGGACGCAAAAGCTACCCATCCCATTTGAGAAGCTGTGTGCGCCCAGACCAGTTGCATCCCCAATCACACCACATCTTGAAGTCGTAGCCATAGTCTCATGCGGTTGACCAAGGCGGAACTGCCACACACGGAGGACCTTCTTGCCAGAACTCGTCCACGATTCTCTGGCGCCACTGGTAGGTATCCGCCAGGGAAGAAAGCACCTGCGCCGCAAACCGCGGGTGCCGAAGCATCCCGTCCCAGAAGCCGTCGGCAGTCAAAACCGCCCTCTCCGAAGCGGTGACCAGCTGAAGTAGGGCCGCCTCTAGCTCCGGCCACTGAGAGGCATGCTCGAACGCGCAGGCCACAGCGCCAAAGTAGCCCGTAGTGTACGCGGGGCTGACGAGGCGGAGATTGATCTTCCCGCTCTGCATCCGGAGTTTCGCACGTCGAATCATCACACGTTGAATTCTCAGGCTACCATTGAACGGCACTTGAAATTCCGCCATTGCCTTGTTCATGATCTGCTTGATCTGGAGTCCTTTGTTCGTCAAGCAAGTGTTCAGCAAGTCGCAGAGACGATGCTTCAGGTCTTGAATGAGGAGATAGTCCGCAAGCACATAGACCTGTGCCGCAAGGCGGACCCGATTGTCCTCCCTCTTAAAGTCCTGCTGCTTTCAGAGAGCGCCTATTCATGTCTTGTTCAGTTCACAAAGCTAAAGGAGACGCATCAGAGGATAAAATGGCGTACTTATGCCCCCATTCAAATAAAGCACAACCCAGTTGAACAGCTCTGGCTCTGTCTCGAGAACGACCTCTCCTGTAAGAGCTTCCTGTTGTCGCAACGCCCATACAATTAGTTTCGCTGCTGGGTATCTTCAACCAAACATACACAGCTGTCAAACATGCACAGCTGTCTTAGGTGACCTGCCTTGAAGTTGCCGCTCAACGCCGCCTTGAAGTAGTCCGACCTGGAACACAGAACGACTTTGTGGAGCCTCCATTTCCTGTTGCCGCACTTGACAGTGACGTCGGAGTGTCTGCCGTCTTTGAGGGCACTGCATTCTGATTAGCTTTGAGGCCCCCTCGTGGCCACCGTGTTTGCCTACTCGAGTAGATGCGGCACGTCGAACCAAGTCATGATTGAGATGAAAGGCAACACTTAGTCAGAACCATTGCTGTAAGTCTAGACAAAGGTGAGCAGATGGGTTGAGGCCGAGATGTGGTTCGGATGTGCCTGGGAGGAAGGTTGATTATGCGGAGGGGAGGTAGAATCGTGACTTCTGGCAGATCGGGAGGAGGAAGAAGGAGAAGAAGCCAGGCTGGCCTGGATCGTAGAGTGAATAATTTGCATCTACTGTCAATGGGCAAACAGAGGATTTAGAGTAAACAGCATCAGTGACTTCGCTTGTCATGCGGCAGAGGCGGCTAGAAGCAGTTATTGACCTTGCTTCCTTTGAAACGAAAGGTTATGCGTCATCAAGCAAACCACAGTGCCTCTCTCCATCACCAGAGTCCAGTCACCAACGCTCCAAGGCGTAGTGCAGTCATCTCACCGAACAAACCCTTCTGCAGCATCACGAATCCCCAGCAGCAGTCACGAGCATCGGCTCCTGCCGAGCCATTCACAAATTCTCTTATCCTGACTGTCCTCGCTTCACTGGATCAAGTCCAATCACCCACTCGTCCCGGACAGGGGCCACGTCGCAAAGCGTGGAGGCGCCTCGGGACTCACTGTCGCGGAAAGAACCCCTTTTTCTGCCATGCAGCAAGCCAACCCGGGACGCATGACTGGATCGGCAAGCAGCTGGACACGCAGAACGTGGTCTGCAAACACATCCATCCTGGGACTCAACCACGCTTGACATGCCGTCTTGTCTCGTAGCATCATCCCTCGAAGCACACCCGCATACATCGCTGACATTCAGTCACAAGACAGAGAGAACCATTGAGAAGAACAGCACACACATCACAGCACACAGCACCATCACGGCACACAGAACCATCGCGCTAATGCTCACTTCATATTAACCGCTATCAGAAAGCCCGAGACCAAAATCCCCCCTAAGCCTTTCCCTCCCAACAGATTACCCCATCCCCATCAAAGATAAGCAGGCTGATAATACTTCCGAAACCGATCATTCGAGTCCCACTCGCAATCATACACAACGTTCCAGCACGCAATCAGCAGGTTCGGGAACCGCCGCGTCCAGAAGCCGAGGTAGCCCTGCGGCAAGGGGCCGACCGTCTTCTTGAGCGCGTCCGACAGGTCCTCGTAGTGGTTGCGCTTGTTGCGCAGCGCCCTCAACAGATCCAGCATCCGCGTGCCCGTGTACTTGCGCTGCTTGCCCAGCGAGTCGACAAAGTCCTTGGGCAGCTGCCGCAGGAAATCCGCGCGGCACACGCGCTGCGCGTGCAGCTCGAGGCTCTGCAGCGCCGGCGACGGCGGGTCGCGCGGCTCCTTCTCGAAGCCGTCCGACACGTCGCACAGGAAGTTGAGGCGCTTCTCGGCCGGCCAGAAGAAGGGGTGCGCCATGACGTCCTGGCACGACGGCCGGTTCTTGGGCTCCTTGTCCAGCATGGCCTCGATCAGGTTCTTGGCCTCGTACGCGAAGTCGCCGAGCGCGTCGAGCGCGTCGAGGTTGTAGTTGCCCTTGCGGATGTTGACCTCGCGCATGTACCGGTCGCCGCAGTCGAACGGGTGCGAACCCTTAGTAAGCACGTAGAAGAAGACGAGGCCCAGGCTGAAGATGTCGATGGCGCGCGTGGCGCGGCGGTTGTGCATGAGGTCCGAGCTGACGAGACTGCCCGAGCCGCTGTGCGCGGAGCTGGCGTCGACCAGCGCCGTGCCCGTGTCCCGAGTGTCGTCGTCGAGGAGCAGCTCGGGTGCCCGCCAGCCGCTGGTCCCGGCGGCGTGCGCGGTAGTCGCTCCGAAAGAGCTCTGCCCGCCCTCGAGTTTCTTACACAGGCCAAAGTCGGAGACGAGGAGGTGCGGCTTGCCGTCCTTGAGATTCACCAGAATGTTCTGTGGCTTGAGATCCCGATGGACAATGCGCAGCTTATGCAGATGACTCAGGCCGTTGGTGATCTGGTACAGAACGCCAGGCAAGTCGCGTTCGCCGGCTTGGGCAAGGTCACGGAACATGGAAGGACGCTCAATGACCTCGGCCAGAGAGGCCTGGCAGAGCTGGAGAGCGATGTAGAGGAAGGCATCGCGTTGCTGCTGTGCGTAGTACCGAATGACTATGAGCTCGTTAGCTTGGATTGAATGCAGTAGTGGATAATCCAGACTTACCATTAGGATGGTCATCACTCTCCCTCAACAAGCGTGTCTCCTGGGACGCAATGTCGTAGAACTGAATGAGCATCCGCTTGACAGCCACGTCGCGGCCGTCAAACTTGCCGGCAAAAACAACGGTTCCGTTGCTGCCCGTGCCCAGCTGCTGGTCCTCGTTGACCTCGAGCGTGCCCATTCTAAGGATTGGACCAGAGACTTCCTGCACGTCATTTGTCACAGTCACAATGTCGGGCTCGAGGCGACGGGTGACCTCGCCGAGTTTCTTAGCATTGTCGACGGCTTCCTCAACTGTGAGAGGCGGCGGCTCGTCGTCGCGAGACACAGATCCTTCGCGCTTATTCTTGCCGCGGCGGTGCTTGACGCCTCCCCGGCGGCCCCTATGCGCCTTCTTCACCTTCTCCTTTTCCGGAGGGGTGTCGTTTGAGTCAGGGTCAGCACCACCCACGGGAGTCGGGGTCCCGTTTGGCTTCTCCGGCGGGTCGACAAACTTGACCTTGTTGTCGGAATCGGTTCCAGCCTCCTGGGAATTTTGTTGCTCGTCTTCAGTCGTTGGCTCCTTTGGAAGCTTGGGCTGCTTCTCGCCCGTCTCAGGGGGCTCGAGAACCTCAGCAGGAGGCACCAGAGGCGGGCTCTGGGCTTTCTCTTCAGATTCTTTGGTTTTCGCATCTTTCTCATCAGGCGCGGGAGTGGAGCCATCCCTGATCTTGCCGGTCTTGGCATCCTTATCTGTCCATACCGATCGCTTCATCTCATTGTACCATCGTCGGAGATTCTGCTGGTAGTTGAACAGAACGAATATGATGACCAGGAAGAAGAAAGGGTTCCGCATAAAGTCAATGACGTTGTTGGCGGCGGCTTGTGGCAGCTCCTTCACCTTGTCGATGACGTTCGACGGCTCGGGCGGCTCGGGAATGATGGTCGGGATCACATCATCGATGAGCTCGTCGTCTCCCTGGGCGCCGTGGTTCATGGGAGCTCCGGGTAGGGTGGGCGGGAGCGACTTCTTGCGCTGGAGCGCGTTGCCGTGTGTCATGTAATGGGTGCCGGTGAGGGCGATTCGAAGCTGGGATTGCGTCATGTCCATGGCCTGGTGGTCGTCCCACCAGCTGGCGCGGCTGCACTGCGCGGTCGGCGCCTCGAGGATGAGCGGGTAGGCCTTGCCCGAGAGGGCATACCAGCTGCCGCTTTCGGTCTGGTTGAGGAAGGTACTTGTCTCGCGCAGGCGTGCAGTATGGTCATTCTCGGGCGGCGGAGCTGGCTGAGCAAGAACCAGCAATTCTGGGTTGCTGCCAGAGGGGGCGTCGTTGGGGCGAGCAATGTCGAAGACGCGGGCGACGGGCGACGGGAAGGGCTGCACCCAGAGGGGTGGGTTCTCATCGACGGACCGCGAGTGGGCCCGGTCGAGGTCGAAGCTGTACACTTTGCCATCGGGCTGGCCAGTGATGTAGCGATTGTCCATGGTTCTTTCGTACTGATTGTGCAAATCGCTATCGTAGTTGTTGGGGCCCCACTCCGAATATCGGAGTGTTGCGATGGGAGGTCCATTCTTGCGGCGGATGTCGACGATGTAGTCTGTGCGGCCGAGGGTAATGGTTCCGCTTCTCGCGCATTCCTCGCCGTCCATGAAGCCGTTGGGAGGAACACAGCTGTCGGGCTGGTTGTTGAGAAATTGGCCGACTCCGTACCACTCGAGGACTCGGCCAGTGGCTGCGTCGAGGGTAACAAGAGTAGACTCCTTGCGGCCGGTGTAGACGACGGGAGTCTCTCGGTCCTGATAGGGAGTGAGGTCTCCGACGAGCTTACGCATGGTCAGAGGTAGCTTGACGAGACCGGCGCCAGAGTCTCCGGGTATCCAGACGTAGATGCTCCCGTCGCGGTTGGGCTCGACGGCCCAGATGTAGTGGTCGATGGGGCTGTAGTCCTCGTCGAGGAGGGAGACGTTGGTGCGGTAGTGGACGGTCTCGACCACGGGTCGTTCGACTTCGAGATGCCAGCGCAGGCGGCCGTTCCTGCGGTCGCTGGCGTATAAATCTCCATCGACGGTCGCCAGGAGGACAAAGTCTTCCACTTCCCAGTCTCCCAACGACCGCGCAGTCTGCGGCGAGGCGAGGCCAGTACCGGCGGTGGTGCTGGCTCGGTGCGGAGGGAGAGGTGCTCGAACGGACGGCGAGTCCGGAGCCAAAGTAGCGAGGGCGCTCGCATCTTCAGGTATGATGATGTTTTCGTATTTAGCATAGGGTTTCTCGGACGAGGCAGAGGAGATGGTTCTCTTCCTCTGCACCTTGGGGACCTCGACGGTCAGGTTGGGGATGGCTGGGTCGCCCTCTGCAGGGGACTTCTTTTGGTGGTTGGACGAGCCGGGCGTCCTGGCGCGGTAGGCGGCCGCAGCAGCGCCACCGACGATAGCGGCATCGTCGGGATCTTTCCCGTCGAGGATGGCGGCGGCGAGGGGCGGGCGATGGAGATCGTCGAGGTGGCGGGTGACCTGTTGCTGTTGAGGGTGCTGCTGCTGAGCATCGACAGCCCGGAGGCCCGGGAGGAGTAGGAGGGCGGCGAGGGCAATCAGGCGCTTGCCCGGGTGAGCGACATGGCCAGGCGGCCGTCGCACCATCTTGGGAGCGACAGCTTGCGGTGCTCAATGGACGAGGCGGGGAGTTGCATGTGTGATGCTCGCTCGAGTCCCCATCGGCGAGCGGCAGGTGGTCTGGTCCAGTCGATGTCAATAATTTTGCGGCTCGGTTGCAGGTAAGTCTGTCGAGTCTGGTCTGAAGCTGTATGACGGACAAGGTGGGTGTTTCGCTCGATGGTATCGATGCTTTTCGGCCTCGAGCGAATTGCTGTGAGATGGATAGAAATGGGGGAAAGAGAGGAGAGGAGATGGGTGAGACGGAGCGAGCAGAGAGATGGATGGATGGATTGCTGAGTGGAAGCGTGCGTATTGTGTGTGGGTGCAGGCGGGTGTGTGTGTGTGTGTGTGGTGAGACAAGGAGCGGGATGAATGGGCAGTGCGTACTCCGTATGTGCAGGCCATCCATCAGTGGTGGAGGAACTAAATGGAATGGTTGGCGGTCTTACTACGGGGGCCCAAAAAGGCTGGGCTTATCCCAACGCAACGCCGTACGGGTGCTACGCTGGAAGCAGGCTTCGGTTCGCTTCAGGGCACGACATCCAGTGCAGGTGGGCAGTGGGGTCGAGTCCAGGGGGAGGGGGTGCGCGAGACTGCGGTGCTTGGCTTTTGACCAGCCTTATTTTAGTGGTTATTTTAGTTGTCATTCCGAGGGTCCGACCAGATCTGTGCCGATAACAGTCCTAGCAGTTCTGTATGGCATACTGGTGTAGATCTGTTAGGGACACTATTTCCAGTGCCCAAACGGCACGGGTTGTGTTTGTGGACCGCTGCCGTCCTGCCATCCCACCAAAAAGCACCTAAGCAAGAAACTCGGCCAGCCCCAGCGACCCGACAGTGACGACGACGACGAGCGCGAGGTGGTTCCTTGCATCAGGTGGCTGCCGCTTGCGAAAACTTGCGCACGAATATTTCTTTTTCCTTCTCCTATCTCCCGTCGCCGAGGAGTTGAGACGAGAACAACTGACCTACCGGCGTCCTATTCTCCCGTGTCCCACCCTACCCGCGAGCATGGTGAAAACTCTGCCGGGTTGCAGCAAGCCACAAAACAACAAGGTGCAAGGAATGTTACAGCGTGGTCAAAAAGAGAATTTCTTAGAGGGAGCTTACCAAAGTACGAAAGTGTCTGGGCCTCCCCGTTGGCGGCGGCTAAATCCGGAGAGTGGGCCCGGCCAGAATGCTCCAAGCCTGGCCTGGCATCAATCATCCTGGGCTTGTTTGAACGCAAGGAGGAGAATCAGATGAAACATCCGGCCTTGCGCACTGTCCCGAGCCCTGCCAGGCTTCCAGTCTTGCCATGTGCGAGAGAGGCTGGTCATCGACTGTTGGCTCCGTCCTCTCTCAGGGTTCACTCTGCTCCACCACACAGAGACATGCCAGGCATGGCACCATATCGCCTCGAGATCGCTTGCTTGTCCTTTTTTCGAAGCGGGCCACACGTCTCAGGTCAGGCAGCTCCACGATGAGACGAATTACCGGATGCAGTAATGCATCGTATCGAGGGCCCTCTTGTCATTTCCTTTTCGAACAAGAGGCGCGGGACATGGATGAATGATGGCCAGAACAGAAGACATGGACGGTGCAGCAAAGCACAGTGTCTGTCTGCTCTGTCGATCCATCCATGACTGAATGGACTTTGGCCTTGATCGATGCCGACCAAACTCTGCTTGACGGACAGCACTGGAGAACGAACCCCTTTGCCCCCTCCCATCCATTCCCGTCCTTGCACACCATCTTCTCCATCCGCCCGCATTCCACCCACAGCGCAGCTCGCTAACTCACCTAAAGCTGCATCCCCCATTGATTTCTCCTATTTTGTCTTTCGTGGCCAGCGATCCTCCCTTCCCCTGGACTTGTCTAAAATAGATCGCGCCGTCCAAGTGCATCGCTTGTCGTCATCGTCGATGATGTGCTTTAGCATTTGTTTGCTTCCCTCTCCCTGGCTCTGAAAGATGCTGTGCCTTTCTTCAACTGCCTCCAAGCCCAGTCAGCGAGGCGTGTGCTGAGGTGGTTAGTGCCCTAACCCATGAAATCGAGGCCTGAGCCTGAGCAAAGCTTCCGGAGCTATTTTTGCTTAGTGCACCCCTCCTTTTTCCGGGCCGATCCCGCAGGCCTCATCCATGCAATCCACGAACCCCGTCATGGCCGGATTGCCTCTTTCTCGCGCCTGCGGCTGGATGGCTGCGTGCCGTCCAACTGAAGCTCATGAGCGGTTTCACGTGTCATAATATATCTATCTATCTTGCTCTACTTGGCGTTATATGTTCCGGTGATATGCCTATCTGCAGGTGGGTAAGCATCTGACTTGGCACAGCCTGCCTTCAGTCCTGTAGGAAGGTGTCCATCACTTCACATCAATGTTGCATTCGAAAGACTGCTCCGGGGAAGCCTCAAAGCCGGAGCTAGAGCTTCTCTCTCAAGGCACCAAGCTCAAGCATTTGCCCTTGACGTACGTACATAACATAGCTACATTACACACCACTCACGCCAGCAACGCCCGCTGTATCCGCCCCGTCAACCTCGCCTCCCCGCCGCGCACGTCCGCCACGGCCGCCGCGTACGGCCGCCGCGTCGCCACGGCCCGGTCCACCGCCCCCGCGACGCCGCGCAGCAGGTGCAGCACGTACAGGCCCAGCACGCGCGCCTGCAGGTCCCCGTCCCCCCTCGGCGCGAACCCGCCGATCCGCACCTGCACGAAGCTGCCCGGGCAGTCGAGGTCGCGGAACGTCTCGACCACGAAGACCATGACCTCGAGGACCTGCAGCAGCCGCGTGTAGCAGCCCAGGATCATGAGGCCCGTCGCCGCGTCGCCCGCCTCTTGCTCTTCTGTTGCCGGCGAGTTTTCATTCGAGGCACTGCTGCCGCCGTTCGCGTCGCCGCTCTCGGTGCTGGCTCTCGCGATGTAGGCGTCCAGGGAGCTGATGAAGGACTCTGTGGTCCGGAAGAGCTTCTCGGGCCAGTTGAAGTCGACGTCTGGATCTATCGGGTCGGTTTTGGATTCTAGGATGCCCCTCTTGAACTTTTCCACTTTCCTGATGGAGGTGAGACAGTGATACAAGTCTATTTGCAGCTTCGAGAGGTCCTCCAGGGGATCGTCAACGTCCAAGGCTGCCTTATCGACCTGGTCTAACTCTGGAGCCTGGTTCTGTTCTGCCGAAGGTTCAACCCCGTCGTCGGGGAAGAGCGATCCCGCCGAGAAGACATCCGGCCACGGCCACCTCTGGAAGAAAGGACCTCCAGGCGACGCCAGCATGGCCGAGTTGCCGTGTTCCCTCGACGGCTGCGAGGGCTCCTGCTGGAAGCTAGGCGCAGCCGCGGCCCTGCCCTGGCCGTCTGGTCTCGCCTCCGGGGTTGGCGCCGGGTAGACCACGAAATCTTCCTGACCCGGCGCGTGCGTCTGCTCTGGTCTGCTTTGCAGGTGAGCCGAGTCCCTGCTGTTGACCTGGAGAGGACGTCCGAGCCGACGAGGCTGGCGGCTGACGCAGGCAACGTCCGCGGCTATGCACCGGTCGCAGGCTGTTCCGTCGCGCCTCTGCTGGCTACGGATGCAGCGCAGCTTTTGGCCGTGGCATCTCTTGCATGCGAGTTGTCGGGGTGGCGGCAGCAGTCGGCTGGTCTTTCCGACCCCAGGTGTCCCGGTAGGACCGGCATGTCCGCCTGTGACCACACCACCAATATCGGCTGTATACATGTTCCCGCCCGGGTTTGAGTATTCTGCCATGTTGGGAATGTGTGATGTTGCGGGAGACGGACGGGGTCAATGGTGGAAATGTCGTGGTCGCCCGGATTTATGGGACTCGGATTTAAGTGACTAAAGCCAGCCCAGCCTTCCACGACACTCCGGTACACCACAGGTTTTTGAGAGAGAACCTTGAGATCATGTTTGATCCAAGAGATCATTAGAAAACGTTGATAAATACATATCATATTAGTTATTTGACTCTTTTGCGTGGTTACAGATCATACCTAAAAGATTGCTCATCTTACTGCCGACCATACAGACGTCTGAATTGTGCTTTCACTGCAACTCCTCACCATGGTCTTTAGTAAAACGATTACTAGATCCTGGAGACTTTGTTTTCCATCGTAAAGAAGTGTACTAGCACTGGCTACAGAGTAGAGAGACCTTACATTCCCATGGTATCCCGATAACTCCAGACATAGCCTCATAACACAAAAGGCACGACCCTTTAAAACCCCGACAGGTCATTGAAAAAAGACTCGTCCGTCTCCTCCATCCCTTCCATGAACGGCGCGCCGTTGTCCGGCGTGCTGAGGAAGCCCATGTTGAGCCACGTGCCAAAGTCGATGGCCCCGTCGTCGATGGCCTTCCACCACTCGCCCGGGGCGCGGTCCAGCTCGTTCGCGGCCCGCCCCGGGGCGCCGCCGCCGGCGTCCGCGGCCTGCAGGCGGTCGAGCTGCTTCGCGAAGAAGCGGGATAGGCTGACGTACAGGTGCACGACCGAGGAGGACGGGAGGCCCTGCGCGACCTTCTCGAGGTGCTTCGGGATGAGCCTCACCGTCGAAGCGCTCCTGTCGACGTCCTCTTGTTTGAGTCCTCCGCGGTCAATGGCCTGCGAGTTGCAAAACAAAAGTCAGCAGAAAGCCCTCAAGAGTCGTCTTTCGAGAAGGTTGAAAAACCTACGCTCATGATCTCGGTCATTGCGTGGCAGATAGCGATAAACTGATTGTTGTGAAGACCAACGACGCGATCTACGATTACCCTCTCCGAGAGCAAGGCGTTGAGCATCCTCTCGGCCACCTCGACGGTCTTTAGCGAAATCTTCATAAATTTCTCCGAAGTCACTGCCTCGTCAACGTTGACCAGGTCTCTAGACGCTTGTGCGTTCAGGATCAGGATGCTGTGGTCCATGTTGAAGCCCAATATAGGAAGCAAGGTAGCCGAGGGGTGCTCGTCAGGCGTGCAACGAGCCGAGCGAAGCTGCTCGAGGGCCCTCAGAGCTTGTGAGTGCCAAGCTGAAATGGCCGACGAAGTGCGTTCCGAACGCTTCCCTTGCCCCAGCACATGCGTCTGCAGCCGTTCAGTACCGACAGATTCTTGTCAGGTGCGGTGATCGACTTACCAGAAGCCGTCTCATCTCGGAGCACCCAGAGATGAGCCTGTCGTATATCGTGGCATTCGGATCGCGCCACCAGTCGCCCACCGCTCGAGGGATCTGCTTCCACGAGAGACAAGAGCTGCGCCCCGTGATCATACTCAAGCCCTTGTCCGTGACAAAGGTGTGCAGCCAAGCTCTTTCGAAATTCCGGGTCAGTCGAGCCTTGAAGTCGTCACTCCCGTCAGGGCACAGCATATCGACACGCTCCTTGATCGTAGCACTGTTGTTGATGCCGAGCTCCTTGGCCAACCGGATCGCCTGTGTATTACACCAAAGTCAACTTCCGGCCCGTCAAGCTACTTGCCGTCGAATGGAAACAACTTACATGGCCAAACCGCAACCAGGATGGATCATCGGACTGCCGCGGGCAGAGCGGCGCCCAGTACTGCATGATGATGATGGACTGAATCACCGCGAGGCACTTGACTGCGCTGGCAATGGCCCACTTCATGCTGTTCTCGGCCATCGAGAGGAGCGCAGGATATAGTATCCGGTCGCGGGGCCGTACGGATACCGCGCAGCCCATGGCGCAGATCACCGAGAACAATGTGAACGACCGCGAATAGACCTGCTCTGGCGTGTGCAGCTCGGGATCAAGTAAGCAGGCGAAAGGCTGGCGTATCTCGAAGAATCTGCATGGGAAATGTATGAACATAATCAGCTTGTTGCTCCTACATTAGGCGCATGATATCCGGGATGGTCTTACAGACTAAAGTACAGCGCGGCATCGGTCTCGTCGATCAGGCGCGCGGTGACGGGGTCGCACGCGCTGGGCTCCAGCCGCATGGTGCTGTCCACGGACTGAGATGCCAGGGCCTGCCAGTCGGTGCGATGGGTGGCCTGTGGAGCAAAGTACTTGGAGACTCTCTCGTCCACGGGGTCCGCGAGCTTGTTCCAGCTGACCTGCTTGTGGAAACAGGGCCTCTCGTTCGGGCACTCGCAGTCCTGGGATGGGTTGGTGTCGACTCCCACGGCGGCGGCGAGAATGTGCAGCGGTGATACCAGGTGGCCGTGGAGGTCGATCTCGGCGACCGCTTGCGTGGCTTCGGCCAGACGCTGGTCCCTGGGTTTGGGCGGGTGAAGAAGGCCATTGGGGCTCGAAGACGTCTCTGTTGTCGGCGTAGGGATATCACGAGTAGCGTTGGCTGCATGCGTACGAGCTGCCCGCGGCGATACGAGGAGGCTGACGCTGTTGGTGCCAGAGGTCTTCGCGGAGTCTAGGATGGCTGCGACGACCTGATCGCATACGGGGCTCTCACTTATCCGGGACAGGAGTTTCTCGACCGTGTCCGGCTTGCTATGGTGCATCAATGTGGTGAGTGATCAAGTTGGGCATCAAGCACCGCTTCGAGGGCGACCTACTTGGTGCTGCCCTGCTTGCGGCCCCGGTTGGACCGGGCTGGGTATAGACACGTCCGCTGCTGCGAGACGCACCGTGAGCTACGCGATATGGGGAAGTTAACAACAGCTAAGCAGCAAGAGCAGAGTATGCTATACGGACCAGGGTGTCTGCCTATCGCAGCGCTGTCTTGCCAAGCGACAATTGAAGCAGGCAGAGTTGTTTGGGCGCCGACCGCCGCGGTCTGGTGATTCCGTCGGAGCTGTGCGCACGCCCGCCATGTCAGAGTCGGCTTGGGCTGGATCCCGAGTTGGTGCAAGAGGGAACTGCATTCCCGGCTGCTGTCCGGCTGCAAACATTATAGCGGAGATTTGACCACTTTTTGCCCAGCATAAGAGATCGGAGGATGAAGACTGTCATGTGTTGATCAGCGATGCCGTTTTCGCGGGACACAACACATGACAAGAGGCCGCGGTGATTTGATTTGTTCACCTGGAGCCCACGATCAGAGGGGCTACACCTGAACAGGGATAGTTCAGATCTGACTAAGACCACTGCCGAGATCTACTCCCCGATTCTCATTTTCATTTTCATCAGCATAACCAGCATCAAAGTTGCTCGGACGTGACGGAATGAGGTCGGTAGTAGTTAATGACGCCTACAGAGATGTTCCATTTCTGTCCCATTCTTCCTGGAAACCGACAACAAGTGCCACAGATGACGTGTGCCTCGTCCCCCTGAGTTGAGATGCTTGCTGCCGTTCCTGGGGTGCAAATGATGCATCTCCTACCACATTCTGCTCATGGATTACCACTACTCGCTGATGCCCAGAGCCGTGATAGATGGTAATACGAAGGTCTGGCATGCCTGGTTGACGGCGGTGGGCCAGACCGCAGAAAGCCCGTCCAGCACCGGCGACATCTTTCTCTTCCGGGAATAGCTCCAACGGGGATTTCGGGAGCATCCCGAGGCAGCTGGCCAATCATGTATCAAAATCCAGAGCAACTGGGCAACTCCTGCTCAATATTGAAAGAAGCAAACGGATGGGAATGCAAGGCGTAATGATGAAGACTGCGTGTCCTTCATTATCCTAAGCTTTCAATCTTGTGGTTGTCCAGCAATCAATTCCTCCTCCCTCTACGTTCGTTGTCCTCAGAGTTGATATGACGATTCGCAAGGGCCAACTGGCCGATCACAACATAGATATGGCACCGAAGGATCGAATTCGGGGTGATGGCTCGACAAAGTCGACACTCAATATCCACCAAGTCCGCGTCCAGGAAGACGACCAGCAGCACAACAACCCGACAGCAGACATCTCCGACGGGGAAGGCACAGTCGCCCCCAGAAAGCCCTTGGCATTCTACCTATCATTCATCGGCATCTGCTTCTCCGCACTGGTCTGCGCACTCGACGCCACCTCGCTCGGTGTGGCCATCCCGGTATGTCTCTCTTCCGTCCAACATCTCGCGCTCTTTCCGACTCCTGGTCATGTTAAACGCGTGAACTGACAACTCTGCATTCCGCATCGTCGCACAGTCTATCGCCGAGCAACTCGGCGGCACGACGCTGCAGTCCTTCTGGGCCAGCATCGCCTACCTCCTCTGCGTCGTCACCACCCAGCCGCTCTACACCGCCGTCTCCGACGTCTTCGGCCGCAAGCCGCCCCTCTACCTGGCCTACGCCTTCTTCGCCGCGGGTTCCCTAGTTTTCGCGCTGGCGGGGAACATGCCCGCCGTCATAGCGGGCAGGGTGCTCCAGGGCCTCGGCGGCGGGGGCATGGACGTCCTCGGCGAGATCGTCGTCGCCGACATGACGACCCTGCGCGAGCGCCCGGTCTACCTGGGCGTCAAGGCCCTGCCGATGGCCGTCGGGAGCATCCTGGGGCCGACAATGGGCGCCCTGTTCAGCTCCTTCGCCTCGTGGCGCTGGATAGGCTGGGTGAACCTCCCGCTCCTGGGTGTCGCCGCCCCGCTCGTCTTCTTCTTCCTGCGTCTGCGACCTGCCGACACGGCACCCCTCGGCGACAAGCTCGCGCGGCTGGACTGGGGCGGCGCCGCCCTGGCGCTCGCCGGCACCACCGCCCTTGTCCTGCCCCTCAGCTGGGCCGGCACGCTCTACCCCTGGCGCAGCTGGCAGACGCTCCTCCCGCTGGTCTCAGGCCTCGCCCTCCTCGCCGCCTTCGGCGCCTACGAGGCCCGCCCCGCGCACCCGATCGTGCCGCACCGCGTGCTGCGCTCCCGCACCGCCGCGGCCACGCTCGTCGGCAACTTCGCCCACGGCGCCATGCTCTTCGCCCTGCTGCAGTACCTGCCCCTGTTCTTCCAGGCCGTCGCGCTCGAGACGCCCATCCGCTCGGCCGTGCTGCTGCTGCCGACCAGCGCGGCCAGCGTCGCGGCGGCCGTGGCGGGCGTCATCGCCGTCGGGCTGGTCGGCAGGGGCTACAAGTGGGCCCTGCGCGCGACGTGGGCCGTCACCGCGGCCGGCGCGGGCCTGCTCGCGCTGCTGGGCCCGGAGTCGTCGCGGCCGGCACAGATGGGCGTGCCGGTCGTCTGGGGCATCGGCATCGGCGCCCTGATGCGCCTGCTGCACCTGCCCATGCAGGCCAGCGTGCCCAGCGTCGACGACACCGGGGCGGCCATCGGGGTGTCGCTGGCGGTGCGCCTGTTAGGAGGCCTGATCGGCCTCGCGATCGGCTCGACGGTCTTCAGCAGTGTCTTCGCCTCGTCCATCGCCGCAGTCTCGGAGCTCCCGGGATCACTATCGATCTTGCGGGACGCAAACCAGGCGATCGGGTTCATTCCGACCTTGCGGACCTTGGACATCCCACACGGAGAGTTGACGCCAGTCCTGGACGCCTATCTGGAGGCTATGCGAGCTATCTTCTATACTATGACCGGGTTTGGTGCGGCTGGGTTTGCATCGTCGCTCTTTACGGAGGAGTTGACTCTGAACAAAACGGAACGGGGCCGACAAGCATTTGAGGATTAAGGATGACCAACTGTGTTGTTCAAGGCTCAAGCCACGTACATTAGAGATATACACGTTAGTAATTTGGTAACAGTTATGTATAATCGCCATCCATGATTAAGGGGTACCTCGAGCTGTTATTGTAAGACGCACGTGAAGCTTCCCGGTCCAGCCCACTCTTCACTCTGCGTCATTTTCGAGGCTGACCAAGGGAATCGCGTATCGCGAGGTCTCATAGTCGAAGCCTCCAGGCTCTCCACGGAGATTCTTCGATACAGTCTCGGCCAGGAGCCCGGCCTGGCGAATGCCCATTGAAGTGGCGATCTTGCGCAGTTGTCCCAGAGCAAATAGGCGTATCTTATCGGTATTCTGCTTCTCCATGGCAACCACATATAGCTGCGAGATGAGTGAGATGGCTCCTGGGAGTACGGGTCAGTTGCCTGTTGATAAAGATCAAAAAGAGACCTGGGAACCCACTCGGTGTGCCCATGAAGACTGCAGATGCAGTGCACAGGTCTGCCGAGCACTCCTGGATAGTGGAAATAATTGCCGACTTCTCGCCTGGGGTCAACAAGGGTACCCGTAGGTCATTCTGCAAGAGAATCTGGTTGGCCAGGACCCGCATGATGCGCCAGTTGTTCCAGACTTCTGCCGTCCATAACGTACGATAGACGTGTTGTTGTCCATCAAAGAGACTCGTGTCAGCGACATTGCTCTTCATACTGTAGTAAAGCCAGTTAGATGGCACAGCTGCTTTCCAGGCGCGCATGTCCTCGTCTAAGTCCAAGGCCGTGGCACGGATAGCAAAGGGATTCTGGATCTCGCCGTTTTTGAAAGCGGCCCAGAAGTTGACGAGCCGGAAAGAGATCTCAGAGATGGACGCCGGACTAGCGACCTGACGGCTCTGCCAACGCTGTCTCGTGTTGCTCGTCTGAAAGTCATACGTCATCTGTACCAGGGCCGGCGGGACGGGCAGGTTTTGCTGCATGCAAGCCAATATCTGTGGAATGCTTAGAAGGAGAGGGACTGTATGAAGTATAAGGCAAAGTGCTCACTATTTGAGACCGGATCTGCACATAAAGTTGGGCTCCACGATCGCTTGCAAACTGCGTTTGGCCTCTTAGTTCTAGCAGTGTCGTTGCTCCTCGGACGTGGGCCATCCACCTGTTATATCGACCCCAGTCTTCGAACTCAACGGTCTGCATTCTCGGCATATTAGAGCACGTCATATGTATGCCGCGACGGGAACTTGTCAGTGGAAGCACCATACCTCGTACAGACAGAGAAGTATAACAGCCATCAAGGTCGCATCTGAGACTGCCTCGACCGGGTCATTCAAGGCTTGGTGGATAGCCGCCAAGGCATCGCAGTACCCCCTACTAGCTTTGGATGCAATACTCGATGAGGGAGAGACATTGGATATGCCAGCCATACCGACCGCTTCAATTGCCTTGCGCAGGACCTGGCGAGAGCTGCCATCAACATAGCATCGAGAGAGCCAGTCATGATAATCGAAAGAGAAGGGAGGCTCGTGAAAGGCATATTTCGTGAAGAAGAAGCAGGCCCCGAGCTCAGTGGCGGGTTGAACGAGGGAGCAGGGGAGGTGTCCAAGAGCAAGGACTGGAGAGACGAGGGATGAGCTGCGCTCCGGTACTTGAAGACCCAAATTGGAGGAGTATGCGTCCGCGCATATGAGAGCTGCTTGTTCGGCAATGTCCTGGACTTGACGCGTTTTGCGGGCCCTCCGGATAGTCCGGCCGGACTCATCGCGAAACAGAAAGTTGTTGAGATCCCGGTAGCCCGGGCACTCGCTACCCAGCTTCTCGCATTTCAGACAAGCGGGCTTTCTCTGATCGCACTGCACAGAATAGAATGTCAGAGAGCCTGATGGTAAGATACAAGACAGCAAAGAAAGATCCCCATAAAGCAAAGGGCAAACAAGAGTTGGTGTTGGCATACCTTGACCTTTCTTTGACGACAGCGCTGGCAGCCCCGGCTGAGCGCCCCATAATACACCATAGGGGATAAGTCTCTCACTCAAGCCAAAAGCTGCAGTCTAGACATGCTGCACAAATGAGAAAAGGCGAGAGGAGGAAGAAAAGGAGCCGGGAAAGGTTGAGAAAAAGACCGGATTTCGTAAAGGGCCAAGCGGAGAGTAAGACGGTGAGCTAAGAGGCCGACTGGCGCGTCTGGTGCCTGAAATCCGATGCTCCAGGGCGGGGCGAGTAGACGGCAGGCACTACCGACGGCTCGCACTCTTGCCCTCTTTTTGGCCTAGCGCGGATTCGTGTCTCTGTCTGAATGCCGTCCGTGTTCAATGTTGCTGCGTACTTCTGTCGCCAGGGAGGCGGGCTATCTCCGTCTCGAGCTACTTCACCTCTGTCAAGCCGAACACGTCGCCAGCTCCCGGAGCAAGATAAATACCGGAGCATGTCCCAGAGTCTGTCTACCATGGAGGCATCAGACTCTTGGCACTTTTACTTCCCTTCACAAACCGTCAAGTCTCGTACCCTGAGTCTCGCTCGTTACCTACTACAAGCGGCCAAGGAATCATGTCCGCACCTCCAGCCTCCCGGCCCACGGCCTCCACGGAAAAGACCTTCAGCGCCTACAATGCCGAGCAGGGCAAGGCGTACGCGGCCGCCCGTCGCGACTACGACCCGTCGCTCTACCAGCTCGTCGTCGACCGCCACCGCTCCACCGGCGGCCGCTTCGACAGCCTCGTCGACGTCGGCTGCGGGCCAGGCCTCGCCGCCCGCGCCCTGGCACCGCACTTCGCCAGCGTCGTCGGGCTGGACCCCTCGGACGGCATGCTGGCCACCGCCCGCGCCCTCGGCGGCGCTACCGCGACCTCGCAGCCCATCCGCTACGAGGTCTCGACCGCCGAGGCCCTGGGCTCTGAGCTCTCCCCGCCCGTCCCCGACGGCAGCGTCGACCTCATCACCGCCGCCAACGCCGCGCACTGGTTCGATATGGCCGGCTTCTGGCCCGCCGCCGCCCGCGCCCTGCGGCCCGGCGGCTCCGTCGCCCTCTGGACCTCGGGCCCCATCGTCACGCACCCGGACATGCCCAACGCCACGGCCATCCAGGACGCCCTCGAGCGCCTGCGTAGCGAGTACCTGAGCCCTTACTTCGTGCCGGGGAACCGCATCGTGCACGACCGCTACGTGGACCTCCTGCTGCCCTGGGACGTCGAGGACCCCCGCGCCGCCGAGTTCGACCGGGACACCTTCTTCCGCAAGGACTACCGGCCCGACGAGAAGTTCCTCATGGGCATCCCCGAGGCGGACCTCGACACCTTCGAGGCCATCATGGCGACGGGCAGCCCGCAGACGCGCTGGCGCCAGGCCCACCCAGACGATGTGGGCACCGAGCGCGACGTGATACGCATCATGCGCAGGGAGATTGAGCGACTTCTGCACGAGGCCGGTGTGGAGAAGGGCAAGGAGAAGGTCAAGGCGACTGTTTGTGGCGTGCTTATCATGATAAAGAAGAAGGCGGAGTAGACATATCGTTATGTAATGGTTGGAGAAGAGGCCTAATCGGGCACTGTTGGCCTTTTCCGTTTATGACACTGTGAATGGAAAACTTGAGACAGCTAACAAATCGATATTTCCCAGAAAGCCACTGCTTGCTTTGAAATTCCACACTTGTTCCGACGCCCGTAGATAGCAGTCGTGCGTAAAACACATAACAACCTCCTTGTACCCGCGATACATGATACATCCAACAAAATATCCAGAATTTCGAATATGTCCAGTTTGTGAACTGAACGTATAGTTGTTTCTTGCTAGGCCTGATTATGTATTATGTCGTGGCGACCTCACTGACGACGTGTTCCGTTGATTCACACTTTGTACCACATCTTGAGAAAGTCAAAAGATTCACTCCAGGCTGACGAGTTTGACTGGTTTGTGTCACTTCGCCTTAGTTGCTGCGTGATCACCCTTTCGATGGCCTTGCCCATTTCTATGCCCTCTGTGATGAATTTCCACCAATACTTATTGCGTAGATCTTCCCCCACAGAGTCTTCTGTCCCTTTCCCAATTATCAGCGGATTGCAAATTGCATAGGGAGAACGGTGTACAGTGAAGAGCTACGAGGGCTGGGAGTTCTTGGGGGGGGGGGGGAATACCTTTAAGAGAGGACAGTGTCTTACCACTTTCGAGAACATTCAGTAAAGCTTCTTCCCATTCTTGCCTTTCCGCGCACGGGGCAAGAATTGGGTTTATCCAACTTGTCCTGCGCTCCGAGCTGTCCGGGTTGAGATAGACCATGGCGCTCAGCATCGACCTGCGCGAACTGAACTCGGTGGTGATGGACGTCGACGAAATATGGCAGTCTCTCTTGAGCCAGTCTCGAACGCACTCCGGGGAAGGATTGAAATAACCGCTAGAGATGGCGCAGAAGGCGAGCCAAATCGAGATGATGATGGCGTTCCAGTCCTGGAAGGCGCACGATGCGATGGCCACGACCCACTGGCACGCTATCAAAAGCTGCAGTATCCGGCTGGCCAGTCCCCTTCCGCGGGCCGGGGTGGTGCGGAACAACGGCTTGTTGAGCAGCGAGTTCAGCGTATGGCTGCCGCCGTAGAAGAGCCACCAGTGCGTTCCGTTGAAGCTGTTGGTGCACACCACCACCCTCTTGAACTCGGACCGGTCCTCGTCCAGCAAGCGGCGTCTTTGGCCGCCGTGTGTCGCGTTGATGGCTATCCCCGTCAGGGGCAAGAGGATGAGGTAGACTATCGACAAGTAGAGGCCGCACATTAGACTGATGGCTAGGGTGCCCCCGAGGGCCAGCCATCCCACGAAAGATAGGAGCCTGTACCTGACGCTGTGGCGGCGAAATCTTGACCACGACATGGCCCACCATTCATGATGCGGCTCGTCTCGCTGGGAGAGATTCTCTCGGTCTAGAACAATGACGCTCAACTTTTGTTTGCGGGCCGAGCTGTTCAGCAGGTTTAGGGAGTTGTTTGGGATTGCAATGGTACTGCCAGATGAAGACATGATGACACGAGTCGTCGTGGGCGTACTGCTGGGGTAGCAATCGCCGTATCGGCCGTCGATGCAATGAAGCACCGTGCTATGATCCTCGCGGTCAAGACAACAGGCGTGATCATTGTCAAGGGTGGACAGCAAAATCCGCGCTCCCGCCGGCGTGACGGGCCAATGCCAAAGGGGCACGCATCCCGCGAGCTCGAAGACGTGCAGCTTCGTGGGAAGGTCAATGAATTCTATTAGAGCAGTGAGCGGGAGGATTCCAGCAAGCTGTTGGGCCCATTCTGGCATGCTGGGTGCGGATTTATATAGAGACGACATTGTCTAAGTCGATTTATGATTGTTTAGCTATTTCAGACAACATGAAATAGTAGTGGTTGCCAAGTCGTTGTGTAGACGATCAACGGGGTTGTGAGATGGATGGAGTAGAAATGGACTGTCTGCCAACATGAGCAGCAAACTGGAAACTTTTATATACAATCTCTTACCAGGTGATACTTGCATCCGGCTTCTTGATTGGCTTTTCCTGCACGGGGCGCAGTCCTCTTCATCAGCGGCAGGGATGCTACTGATTGGCTAGTTATGATGCACGCCTTGTCAGGCGCATTAGTTGGGCAGGCACAGATTATCCAATTATCACATAGGCTATGAAAACCTTTTAGTAAGATATGCCTGTAGGCAGAATTGGTGATGAAGAGCAGATGATATCAAGCTCAATTGACAAGAAAGCCCATTCAACCAACTCTGACTCTGGCCATTTCGCTCGAAGACACGTGCTGCCAACGAATTTTAGTTGAAGCCGAATATGGCCAGTGTATAACAGGTAAATCCCACCACTGAATTTAAAAGCAGGCACACTCTGTGAGATAAAGAAATGAGCCAAGTCTTCATTATAATTATATGCCATGTGTTTTGTGTCGTCTAAGAGATGTTGGTCCAGCTCCGTCAGGAAGGCGCTGGGACGCTCGATCGGGGAACTCTACGAGGGCCTGGGTTTGACTTCTGTTTATTCCAGGCTGTGGACCATTAGATCTAGGCCGGGCTGACCCGGACCCGAAGAATCTTCGAAGGCTTGGCATGGTCCACGACCCTTCAGTCTGCCCACCTATTTGTGCCGTGTTCGAGCGATTGATAGAGGCTGGCGTTACGGCCGAACCCCGACTGTGGTTCAGCTTGATATCAATATCCTTTGTGGTGGGGAGAGGCTCGTTCGCGTCTGGTCCTGCGACTTGTTGTTGACTCTGAGTTTGTGTTGCTGTTATAGGAGGTCCTTGATACCGGTTTCTCGATTTCGCGATCTCGGTGCGATTCACGACATAGCCATCAACTATCCAAGCCTGTTGCGGAGGAAGCGTCTCGCCAATGCAAAAACCTTGCGTTTCTTCGTTGGAAGAGGTAGTGTGAGCCTCTGTACTGGAGAAAGAGGTGTTGATTTCTTTCTTAGCGGAGCCAGTGATGATCTCCCAGTGAGGGTGTTTCTTCCGATCAGATGGGTCAGTGAGCTGCGGGCCATTCTGTCCCGGACCAGTGAGATACATCGCTTTTGTTTCTCGCCGAACATGAAGTCGTCTGATAATCTGGCAGCGGTACGTCTGTGAAGACCCGCTACCCTCAGACTCCCGGACCTTGTTTACGCTCGGTCTGTAAATTTCCACCAGAAGGCCAATCTCTGGAGGTGACGCTTTAGGTTGCGGTCGGGATAGGATAATAGCCAATCTTTTGTCGCTTTTCAGTACCCCGGAAAGAAAAGGGATGGATTGCCCTGGATCGGCAGGTCGGGCCGTGTACCACTCCAGAAGACTGTCGTCAACGGGAAACGTGAAATCGTCCTCGTCGACGCTGTTCAGTCCCAACACTCGTCCTCGCATGGCTTCGCTATTCATGCGAAGGAGAAATCCCGGGTATTTGACAAGGAGGCCTTCTCCTTCAAGCAGATCTGTCTCGGCCGTCCATTTGCTCAGGGGGTCAGGATAGTCAACCTCGTGGGCTGACATCCATGTCTTGGGAGCCCATCCATAGCCGAGGGTTCCATTTAATTCGACTTTTCCGCCGGGAAGGAAGATGATTCCAGGTGGTATGCAATTCTTGTAGGTACTGTGGAATGTCCTCCAAAATTCACACACCAGCCGGTTGATCTTTTCGTCCGACACATGCAGGGTCAGACCTGCTTCCTCGATTTCAGTCTCCTCATAGTTCACGTTAAGTAACGTTGCGAGCGCCAATGTCTCGTGTGCGCGATTGGTTGTAGTCTATCGGTCTTAAGTTAGCCAAGTGTATCTAGCTGAATACATGAATACATGCAGGGGTGACATCAGGAGACACTTACCCTCCATCGCGCGGCACGCCAAACCCCGGATACCAGCATCGCAGCTTGGATCTTGGATATACCCCCGTATCGGCCACGGTCCAAGGCGTCGATTGTGCTGTGTTCATCAGACATGGTGTTTTGGAGCAATAGTTCCCGGAGTGAGTTGACAAGAGGAGACTTTTGAGCCTCTCGAGTTGCAAGATCATTTTGGAGTTTTTCCAGGCTGACAAGATTGTTCTCCTTGAGTGACGAATCCTCGAACGTGATATAGCGCTTTTTGCTCAGAAACGCTTCGTGCAATGTCCATAAACGGCGCATCCATTGGCTAGCAAGAATTCTCATGGCCGCCTCAGCAGGCTTGTCTTCGTCGGCGAGTGGCATCGTGCATAATCCGTTGTCGAGGACAATGGTGTAACTTGACTTTGCAAACACCTCGAATATCTGTCCGATAGCTTTGGTCTTGAGCCGTCGCAACTCTGGATCCATCATGTTGTTTTCCATCACAGGTACAACTAGCGTGTCCATCCAAAAAGGAATATCCTTGCCATTGTTGGCCCGCCGCAACTGACGTCTAATGAATCTTAGCTGACATACCCGCAGCTGGTTGGTCTTCTCATTCCCCCAGCCGTCTGACCAAACATGCGATATAGTGGCAAATGGCTGGGCATCGTGAAGCCTGAGAGGCTCGACCTCCAACGTAAACTCCTCGGGGTCCGGATCATCGCTGTTCTCCGTTTTGAATCGTACCAATGGTATATCTCGGTTACCCATCTCGGCCATTTTGTCCTCCTCCATTCCCAAGATATCTTTCACCTGATTCATATCCGGGCCAACAAGGTCGCACTTTTTAGTCTTACATTTCCATAGACAGCGTGTGGCGTATTCCTTGTTCTTATCTACCACTTTAGCCTTGCAAGTGGTTGAGTCGCATTCCTCGTGCCCGTTGATCATTCTATCTGAGTCGTTGTATGCTGAAAGGGCCTGCAGGAGCAACGATGCGTTAGATCTCAGCTGTCCCTTCAGCAAGAACACCGCGCGCTTGCACCAGCCCTTGTCCTGCATCTTGAGTAGGACATATCGCGGCGGGCCCCAGCCAGCGTCGTCGTCACTGTGCCATCCTGCGAGGTCTGCTTTGCACTGTTGAATGATCCTGCATTTCGCGGCCCAGAGAGTCTCTCCAACCACCATGAGGGCGAGAGCATGTTCGTCAGTCAAATGCCATGCTCCGCTCATGTCCGTTGAATACCGTGGCTCGATGCCATCAGGTCCACAGCCACAGTATCGACGTACGACATGACGGGCTTTTTTCAAGACGTATTCGATCTGGATCAGTCGCGCCCACCGGTTCTCGGGTTGACCGACCTCCCACAACACCCAATCTTCTACGGCCTTCTGAAGCGACTTGGTGCTTAAATTTGAGCCGGAATACAGGTCATCGAACGACAGTATGGGCTTGTCGTCTCTCTGGAGCACCGTGAAGATGAGCCCAAAGAACAACCAGGCTTGTAGAAGCTGGTCGAACGAAATGAACCCCTGGTCAGACGAGTTGCCAGAGACATGAAGGTCATACTCGTCGTCCAGATGCCAGCCACACTTCTTGGGGAATCGATGGAACTCATCCTTGGTCTTGGGTGGCGGGATCGATCCATCTCTACGCAGGACAAGGCCTGCCCGAATCCAGGGAATGTTGCAGTCATTTTGAAGGTGGTCCATGTTGGGCAAAAGGTAGACTTTATGGCACACCTCGATAGGGCCAGGCGGCAAATCTGATTGAATAGAAGCCAAACTCTGGACTGACGAGGCAGATTTAAGATTATGATGGAGGGTTGGTGATTGTTTGGCATCGCGACAGGGCGACAATGGCCGATAAATGCCTCGAGCGAGCGATCAGGCTGCCCGCCCGGCATGCGAGCAGACGGGGGCGAGGGGGAACACACCTCTGCCATGATCTCGACGAGGCTGAACTCGCGTCTTTCCCGATGCAGTCATCGAATGTTACTCGGTGGCTGGACCTCCATGCAGCCGTTCTGCGGCCGGAGCCCTTTTGCCGCCCACGGCGGATGTACGCGACAAGACATTGGATGACAGAAGTTGTGCGGCCCACCATAGGGTACATTTTTTAAGCCCCGACTCATATCATGTGCAGTCTACACGCATTATTGGAACGCAATGTATGGGAAGGTTGACCAATAGGAGTCCTTGGTTTCAGCCTGGTCATTGCCGGTGCTGAGTGATATCAGCTGGTCATATTTGTTGCGCCAGTTGCGCCACCCACACACCCTCCTCCAGACACTGCCACCCCTCACAACAGGCAGCTGAAACCGAATCAAACAGGCTGCCCTCCCTCCTTCTACTAGGAGGGTGCAACGGCTAGTGCGCAAGGCAGCTTCGCACAGAGTTCTTAGGGACTTCCATGCCCCCGTGTTCTCCTCGCATCGAGTGGAACAGACTCATTCGCACTGCATGCTCAGTCATAGTGTCAAAGAACCCTGTGTAAACATCATGGCCACGAACCATTCGATTCAGAGGCTCAAGGTACAGCAGACAAGCCTATATCCGACGTGATATTTCCTCTCATGACTAATGTGGAAATAGACGAACAGCTTCCGGGTGTCGGGGCCAAAGCCATCTAACAGCACCACTCACGAGTGAGTGTCGAAGTGAACAATGCCTTCTTGGAGCAAGTATTGCGCTAATACAGACCAGAATCATTCTGATATCTCCACGCATGGTGGAATTGGTCCTGGAGACTTGGGTTCATAAAACAGTCAAGCAGATTAGGGCAGAGCCCCCACGCGATGTCGAACTGGTGTTGAAACTTTTCTCCTTCAGTGTTTCCGATGTTTTAGAGAAAGGCCGGGAGGCGCTCGATAAGCAAATCGAGAGATGCGTGCTGAAGCTCAACAAGGCACGTAAAAACGCCGACAAGCAACCGTCCATAATCTTCATTGCTCACAGTCTCGGTGTTTGGGTATTGAGGGGTGCACTGGCTAGGACCATCGTCCAAGGTGTCGACGTCCAACCCCTCAGCATCGTACTCTTGGATGCGACCTTGGTTGACGGACAGTATTTGAAGTACCTCCAACAGCTTGGCGAGAGGATGGTCGCAAATAGTTCGAACGCACTTCACGAACAATTAAGAAAGCGCTTGGAAGAGATCGACTTGCACTATGAGTCGCTGAAAGACAGTATGCATATCTCCGGCGTGCAAGATGGCAGCGATGTCAGGTTTCCTTGGGCTCCCAGATACGACACTCAAACTGTCCGCCTTGAAATCTGGTTGAGCGACAACCCAACTCTGTCGAACGTGAATGTAAGTAAAATGCTGCCCAACAATGCTATCGAATGAGCCAGTAACGAATCACCATCAGCCACGTCGCGACCGAGAGTCACTTCTTAATGTCGTTCGGATGGCCACTAGCAGGTACCGAGATAGCCGCCAGGCAGCGGCCCAGTCCCTTGATAAATTTGGGCTGAAAGACATCCTCCAGTCTATGATCAGTCCACAAAAGACCAGTCAACCTATCTCAGCATTGAAAGCTCCCAATATGGCCAGTATCGCCGAAGAACCTGAACCAAGGCCGTTTTATCCCGGCTTGACTATGGTCGCTAGGCCACCCTCGCTAGCGATGAGCAATTTCGGCTATGTGAACGAGCACGGAGTCTTGTCCAAGATGTCCTTGGCAGATTTCCCGGAGACTGGGATCACACCTGAGCAAGTGAAGAAAACCAAAGACCTTGCTCTTGCTTTCCTCGAGCATGGGGATCTTGAGGATGCTCAAGTACTGCTAGAAAGAAGCCTCGAACTCATGGAAACGATGGAAACGGCTCTTGGCACAGGTTATTCGACCGAAGTCACCCACGTCAAGACTCACATGGCTGTGATACTTCTTTACCAAGGGGAATATCAAAGAGCCCGGAAGTCACTCGAGGACTTACGAGATGAGTCGGTCCAGAAACCCCACGAGGCTAAGGTCGTACATGAGCTGCAGCGATGGGTCGCCATCGCCATGATCTACGCCGGCGATTACCGCACAGCAGCAAGTGAGCTTGAAAAGCTAGCCAAGGAGAATTTGGACCAAGACATTTTGAAGATACAGATTCTGCGCGACCTCGCATTGGCAAACGGGCTGAAGGGCGATCACAGGGCCGCCAACTCATATCTCCTCCAGGCTGGTAGTTGGCTCCGTCATGCACAGAAGCTACAGAACATAGGGGAAGAGACAGAACGAAAGCTCCAGAAGAAACAGTGGGGCCTCCTATATACCCAGGCACATCTTTACACCCTGAGGGGTGAATATAGGTCTGGGCTAGTCAGGCTCCAGTCTGCCCTGAAGCAATTTCAAGGGCGGTTTGGTAATGCGCATGTCGAGACCCTGAAGGCCGCCAATCTACGGATCCAGCTCCTCGCGTACACTGGCGACTACGAGGAAGCCGAGCTTCAGTGTAGAAAGATGGTGCAGACCATGGATAAAGAACTGGGTCGGATGCATCCTCTTAGGCTGGAAACGATTGGAGTGTTGGTATACATCCTGCACTGCCAATCCAGATTCACAGAGGCTCTCGTTCTGGCAAAGTCTCTGTGCGAGATGACGGCCTCGGTGGTCTCCGACTCCCATCCCCAAACACTCCGGGCAAGGAGTCAGCTTGCCAGAGCACACTTAGCCTTAGGGAACTACCACACAGCTGAAGCGGAAATCCGAAAGACTACCTCGGATGCCGTGAAGAGGCTGGGTATTGACAATCCCGAAACCTTGCGCTATCGATCGGAGCATGCGCAGGCCCTGCGTCATTATGGAAACCTCGAAGACGCGTTGAAGATAGCTTTACACACGTTGTTTCGGCAACGAGTTGTGTACGCCAATCTCCCTCTACGAGCCGAAATGCAAAACAACAGAGACTCCCAAGCACATACGGCCGCTCTGGCAGAAATGATTGAGGAGATACATGTACACCAAGGCTCACCTGTGTCCTTCGAGATACACCCCGATCTTCTGTTCACCATGCAGGTTGTTGCTTCCATTGTAGCAAATAACCCGCAACCGCAGCTAAAAGACCCAGAGAGGATTTTTGAAGCAGTGGTGGCCTGCCGAAGGAGCAAGCTGGGCTCGTCTCATACACTGACTCTGTTCGCCGAGCAGGAACTTGGCTCTTTCATCAGAGAAAATGACGATGAGGGTCATCGATTGCCCTATGTCAATAATATCCTCTATCATGTATGGAGCGAGCGCTATCATACTTTCGGCCCATCGCACCCGGAAACGCTCTCTGCAGAGCGAGAGGTGGTCATTACAGACTGCATTCGGGGTGCATGGGAAGAAGGCGGCCCGGCAAAGAGAAGTAGCTTGGCTTCTTCTAAGTATGAAACGGGAGTCCTGAAAAGAGCCCCAGACAACAGTTTTGATAAGTCTCTGGAGCAAAAGGACCAACATGGTGGCAACATCTTCGTGAACTTGTCTGCATCAACATGGATGGATATCGAGAACGTCTCGCGATGTATTGTCGAGCTCCAAGAGCCACAGCTGGGCCCCAACCACCCAGAGGTACTCAAGTCATTGCTCTGGCTGTTCTGTGTCCAGCTGTTTATGCAAAAGCCTTCTGAAACAGATGCAAACGCCGCCTGGAGTCGACTTAAATCACGCCTCAAAGATCCATCTATCTACCGAGAACGACTGATCGATGTCCTCAGACTTGAGGAGAGGGTAGCAGGCATCTTCCAATACCACCAGTACTATGATCAGAGCAGAGAAATTCTGGATCATGTTCTTGATACAATACAAGCAGAGGCGATGCGTGTTCCTCAAGATTTGCAAGACGCTCTGGACAGCTTGAAACTGGACGTGGCCCAGAAGAAACTGGAGCTGGTAGTCCAACGCAAATAGCCGTACACCAGTTATGCACCAAAGATGCTTTTAAATACCTGGCCTACACTTGACTTGATGGTCAGTTCCCTTTCTTTTGTCGCCCTGGGCGTATCTTTATGAAGCTTGCTAACACAGTACACCAACCGTCAAGGAGTAGTTTTACCGTACTGTAATGATTGGGCAACTGGCTTGACTGAGGCACTTCTCTTTGTTGCTCATTGTTTGTAGCACGCTGAAAGGGAAATTCGAGACATGTAATTCCTCTTAAAGCCACTGCTTGTTTTAAGGTTGGCCCTTGCTCCGGATCAAACCAATACTCAACGTCCATAGATAGCTATTATCGAGAGGTCAATGGATTCCATTAGAGCAGCGAGCGGAGGGTTCTAGCAAGTCGCACGCAAGTTCTGGTATATTTGAAGTACTCTGCGCAGAGTCTGTTTCCAGGCGTTCGGAGGTGTGCACCCTTTACGACGACGACAGCCCACCCCGGTCGAGAATGAGTATTGGTTCATCTGCAGTCGCTTGGCTATGGCAGACTATCTTACCGCAACTCGCTCAACAAGGTCTCAGCTCAGGAGCCGTTGCCATTTTGCGGATCGTACGCCCTCGTGAAATCATACAAATGCGCGTGGCCTGGCTGCCCGTTGTACCAAGCGTCCCAGTGCCATAGAGCAAATCCGGGATCGTTGGCAGCCTTCTGCTTGGGCCAGCACCTGTTATCCCACATGCCTGCGTCAACCGGTGGGTTCGAGGCGTGCTCAAACAAAGAGATGCGAAAGTATGGCGTCACACCCACCGAGACTGGGGCAGTCTCTCGGACGACACCGTTTTGCACGGTCGATCTAATCTTGGGAGCCGGAATCGTCCTCCACTTCTGCATGAACTGCGCAGGAGTCAGGCCCTCAATATGTGGCGAGAAGCATGCCCCCTTCCACATCCGACCAGCGCCTTGGTTCTCCTTGTTTGGAAGGAAGCGCATCAGTTGACCCCCTGGCTTGCCAGCATTGACAATCTCCGGGTCGGTGTCAGCTAGAAGATAGCGCGGGGGATACTCGTCGACATCGCAATTGTCATTTCGCCAAGACGGGTGGTGCTGGTCGTACCATGTCTGCGGCCCCGGGCGCTTGACTGCCAGGTTCTTGACACCCCCATGAGGACACTTCAGGACTGCCCAGGATGGGTTCTGCGCAATGGCGGAGCTGTAGTGGTAGCAAGCCTGCGAGTACTGTTGGCTGCAGACCTTGGATATGGTGGTCGGTTGTGGCCCGAACTCTAGCGAGGTGATTACGAGGTCGTTTTTCGTCGTCGTGCTTGCTCCCCCACCAGCCGCAACACAGGACTGTAGGCGAAGGGTATTTTTCGCGGCACCCATGATGATACTTGACTTGCCCGCAGGAACATTGCACTTTCTCTTCTTGGTCACGCCATTGTTTCCAGTTCCGTTGGGTCCGCTCCCTGTGCCGGCTTTTGGCTTGGAGCGATCTGTTGGGTTGGCAGCGTCCCCCTTTTTGCCACTGCCCTTCTTCAGATTCTTCGGCTGTCTGAAACTCGACACCCCATCGGCAACATTGCTTAGGATGCCGAATACTCTCTTGATATCCTCGGGTACAATGTCGCTCCCTCCACATGGGCTAAGCCACCATTCGAATGCTCCGACTGGGTCTTGATCTGACGGATAGGCGTACGAGACCACTTGCGCTGCGGTGGTGACGGCATCTAGTTTTGATATTGTCAGACACTCGTGACCAGGTTGAACCAGAGAGGACCGCGGCTTACGTACCTAGGCCAGCATCTAGAATCTTGCCCACTCCGGGAATGGCGGACAGGCCGACATCCAGCACGAGCTTGAACGCGGACATGACGATGTAACATCCAATCTATTTGAGGTCAGCGTTGACAGTTTCCCCTTGAACTACGTTCACTACTTCATACTCGAGGAGAGACAACTTACCTGGGCAATGATAGGCAGGGCATCGATAATTGTGTCGGCAAACCAGTTGACAAGCCCATTGTCACATGAACACCGCCCGACGGCGTACTCCCACCCGGGTTTGTTGTTGCCAGGGTATGGGAGCCACGGGATCGGTTGATCCAGCGGAAAGTGGCCCACGCACCCGTAGTTTGTGGTTCGCCCTTCAGCCGTGGCCTCGTCCACGACTTGTTTGCACGCATTGGCATAGCACATCTCCGTGCTGATGTCCCGTTTACTGCCGTCTTTGAAGATGAAGCAATGCAACCTGTTTTCGTTGTAGTTCTTCTCTTTGTCCCACAGCCCGCCCGAGGGCTGATTCGAATCGACAGACCCATCTTCCCATTCGTCAACCACCGGGGTTCCGCAGGTGTCTGGGGGACAGAACCCATATTTGCAGGCAAACTTGCAAAGACGCTGGAGATCGACATCCTGCTCATCCCAGGCCACGAAGTCGGCTGTCGACATTACCGGAGGGAGTGCTATCGCTCGCCCTGTCACTAGGCACCGACAAGTGTTCTGCGGACAAAATCCATAGGCACAGGCGAATGCGCACAGATCATCCGCATTCAAATCATCGCTTTCCCCTGATACACATCCCTCGGACCCCTCGGAGGGAGTGTCAATAGGCACATCAAAATCATCTTTTCCAAACGACTGCAAGTCAACAGCCCAGTCAATTGTGCCTGCAAAATTGAGACTTTTCCAGTCGGATCGCCTGGTATCTTTGGTGGTTGGTGTCATGTAACTGATGTAGTCACCTATAATCAGTTTGGTCAGCTTGGATGACTTCTACATCAGGTACATTCTAGCTAGAAGAGGCAACAGGATAAATCAAAACGGAACAGCGCAACTTGAGTCGTAGAGTGGGCAAAACAGATTCCGGTGAAGAAAGAATCGAGTTAATCATCAGGGGAGGACCGGAAGAAGGAGACGAACCTTGGTACAATAACACATCGGTGTTCGAGTCGCCATCATGGAGTTGCTGGCCACTTCCGCCTCTAATGATCTCGTTGATCTCAGCATTGGAGATGTAGCCGCGCGTGTCTGTGCATCTCCCAGGGTTCGCGTCTGACTGCAAACGAGTGCCAGTAAAGTCGCACATTGGGCCCCAGCATCCGTCTACTGCCATGTGGAAGGACCTGCCATAGCTGGACTCTCCGACGAAGATCTTGTTGTTCGCCACTCCGGCTTTGGTAACTGCGCAGCATCGAACGTTAGTACAAACAAATTCGCAATCCACACAGGCGTACACTCTTCTGAAGTAGAAGAGTTTTTATCTCACGCACTTATAGAAAGAGTGTTTCGTGTCTCCGTAAGGTTAACTGTTGTCCAAATGTCAGTCGAGGAAATGGAACGCAAGTCCTATGATCTAATGCTATGGAACTGTGTACGTACCGTGACTTCTGATGCATTTCCCTGACGGACAAGAGTCAAACGCATTCGGGTTTCCATAATCCCACTGACCGTGGAGATCATATGTCCTATGACGATGCAGATCAGCAAGGTTGAAAGTCGCGAGTTGGAGGGGTAGCGAAAGTTGTTCAGATGGGGGCCCGTATCAGTGCGGACTGAACTCACATGTACACGATATAATCAATGACAGCTGCAATCCTATCGATAGGGAAGGCTTTCAAGTACCAGTAGGAAGCTGGAGCTGCGATGGACACCGACTTGGAGGCGCCCACCTTGCTCTTGAGAACCGTCAAGAACCTGAGATACGAGACACCATCTCCCTTCTGGCCAATGACTTGCCCATCAACCGTAATATCAGGTGCCTACGCCACCGCAAAGTCTTGATGTTAGTCATTGAAATGAATCTCTCGATACAAGGCCACATGCGCACAATGGCAAAACACTGAGGGCGGGAAGAAGGGGTCTGCGCTACTTACACCAGGGTATTCCCAGTCTATGTCAACGCCGTCGAGCTTTTCCTCATTCAGAAACTGCGCTATATTGGTAGCGAATGTCTCGCGGTTGACAATGATTGCTTGCCGAATGATATTATAGGTAGCGGCTTCGGTTGAATATGCCCAACCACCGAAAGAGATAATTCGCTTCACCTTAGGCAGGCCTTTGAAAGCTTCCCACTGATTGTGAGGATCTTTGATGACGACTTTCCAATTTGATGGGTCGATTTCTGCAAAACCCCAGTGGATATGCGTGTAGCTACCGTCGGTATTGGCATTTCCTGCCTTTAGCCAAAGGCACTTGCGGTTCAAGTTCCACGACTCATAGTAACCGATTCGTGAGAAGTTTGCTGGTGGACCTGAGTTCTGCTTGATCTCGTTCCCGCAATTGGAAACGCAGGTGCTCCTGAAGCCTGGGAGTTTGGTCCCAGGCCCTCCGCCTTCCGGTGCATGAATATCACAATGTTCCGGAAACGGACCGCAGAAGCCCCAGTTACTGCAGCAAGCCTTCAATGGACAGGGGTTGAGTTCTGCCATTGGTATGGAGGTGTCGCTTTGCTGCGTACCTGGAACTAACGGTCCACATTCGGTGCCTTGTTGTGGTGGTGGCAGCGGCGGCCTGCCAGTGCTGAGACACATGTTGTAGCCAGCGAGCATACTTTTGCATTCGGTCCAGCCCCAGGTTTTGCCCTTGTTGAAGGACTCGATTTGCTCCTCAGTCAGTCCGAAGGTCTTGCCGATTTCCGCACACGTGTCACCGGTCTGGATATAGTGGACGGCGCAAGAACCATCCGCGTTCGGCTGAGGGGCCTCGGGTTTGGGCTCAGTGTACGGGTCCCCTGCTGAGCAGCAGACGTAGTCTCCAGGTTGAAGGGTAGAGCAGAGGTCTGACTTTGGGTTGTACTTGACAAAGTCTGCTCCTCGAATTCCGCACTTGGCCGCGAGGGATGCACAGCCATCACCCGACTCAACGCGAATGTACTTGCAGGTGTCGCGCTTGCCGAGCGAACCTGACCTTGGCCAGAGTGTATTGCTCCTCTGTCCATATGCACGCGGATGTACCACCCTTGAAGTACTGTTTGCGGTTCCGTTCCGCTCAGCTGAGACAGGAGTGGAGGCAATATCAAAGACCTTCACGCGGAGAGTTGCCTGACCGGAACCGCCAAGAGGACCGTTGCCAATGGCACAACTGCCGCGACTCCAGGCTATGGTGGTCTTTTGCGCGGCAGACAGACTGCCGTTCGTGTTGATGGAAAGACCGAAAACAGTTTCAGGGCCTCTTCCACCTCCACAAATTTCGGCTGTGAACAGTTCCGCCATCGAATCGCCCTCTTCCAAATGTTTTGCGACAGCCCCGAGAGCAGATGCCACGGTTGGCTTGCCGAGACCAGCACCAATGTGCACACCGGCAACTGTACGGTTGAGGTACGCGAACAAAAAGGCCTCGTCGCAGTTATCCTTGGTGTCGAAGAATGTCTTCATGCCGTCAAGGACACTTGCAAAACCAGGGTTAGATCCGCGACTGCCGCCGGTGCCAATGGCAAGTTCACCATCCGTTTCGTCGCCATCAATGGCGCATGCAGGAGCAGTCCTCAAGCTCACTTCTACCAGATTGGTCCCATTCTTGGGGTTATCGATTGGTATTGAAGTGGCATTGATCACAGTTCTATCACCTGCAGCAGCCGGATCTTCTCCAAGTGTGCAACTCCGAAATAGAACATCGGTATCAGGATCATCAAGGGGATTGAGAACAGAGAAGTGTAGAAGCATCGGTAACTTGCAGCGCTCGAGGCGGTCGATCGAGTGGTATGGAGTCCATTTGTGTACATTTGCATAGTCGATATGACATGGCAAAGGACAGTCATGTTGATCCGGGATGTAAGTGAGTGTGTCGGCAATAGTTGAAGCATCGTCCTCGGAAACAGGCCTCTCGACCCTTGTTCCGTCCACATTCATTGCTCCATGCACCACTGTGGCAGCCACAGGAAGAAGAATGAGGAAAGACTTCATCGTTGACTATTACAGCATCTGCAATGTCAAGTTCGATTGAAGCCCATGGGGGAAAGGTAGAGAAGGCGGGATGTGTTACGGAAGGTCTAGGCCAGAAATACAGGTTGACAATTCCTCGGGTACCGATGCAATTTGAAGTGAACAAGTCAATATTGATACTATGGCAGGCTGTGCATTTCCGTCTCAGCCAGAACTTGCCGTTGAGGCTTGCACAGGTGCTGTCTTAAGACAATGCATTGTCCCCGCCCTTTGGTTGGGTCGTACGTATGGATTCCCGCTGTTTCTGTATGGAGTTGACCTGACCTGATGCCTGTTCTTGACCACTATTACTGTTGGCTAGGGATTCCGAAAGGAGTATGGATTGCGACATTGACGATGCTGTTGGTTGATGTGGACTGGTCTTGGCACAGTCCAGACAAGGAGGTGCTATCATCAGCCAGCCTTGGCGCTTGACCAGAGACCCTGGTGACATGCCGTCCTTCAGGAGGCACTTGGCACGGCGGAAACAGCTGTACAGATTGAGGTATTTGCTAGCTAGCCGCATGCTATGTGGTCAACAGGGGATCCCTGGTACGAGGTCTCCAACGTTCTATCTGGTTCAGGTTGTGGGTTTGCACCCGTGAGCCGCCCGAGTGCTTCCGCCGTTGAATGCTGGTGTAACCTGAATAGGGGCGGGCTCCGAACAGCTTTCCAGAAAAGGACGCGTCGATCTCCTGTTGTGAGTGATGGACAAGAGCTACCTACATGTACGATACATGACCTACAGAATCCGCCGTGAGCTGTAGTCTGAAATTGATGCAACTAGAGGTGGAGGGATCTGCCGGGGCCACCGGTTTACAGAGCCTGGACCCGACAACTAGATGATCATTTCCCATCGAGGGTAGTTGCACTAGGTGACTGCAGAAGTGAATTTGCTGAAAGAACTAGTCATCATGCATCGCCATCTCATCCTCGTAGACAAGCTGAGGTGGGATAATTCTCCGACATCGCCTTGCGCACGGCCGCTAAGCACTTTGACTTGCGGTAGGCCCCCAGATCCGGCCACCCGTGTTCTCTGTAGATGTCTTGTAGCATGGCCACCATGCCCACTTCGTCTGACCCACAGCCTGAAACACCCCGAACACAGTGTTGGCTGATGGGGATCCATTGTAGCTCAACAAATTGGGCTTTCAGGGCATCAAAGAAATCAGGAATTGCCCAAGCGGTGGCACTGTAGCGCCATTGTGCCTCCTCGTCTGGAACGTCGTCGTCGGGCTCGTAATCGACTCTTTCTCCAAACCAGCCACTGTCTTCCAACTCGGGTGGACATCCGTCCTCCCAGTGAATGATGCCGAGCTTTGTATCGAGTATCAGGACTGGGTTTTCACGGTCCCCCGCGGTCAGGCTCACAACATGGGCCGGTGCAAGCTCGGTAAACTCGGCTCCTTCGGTCATGATGCGCACTGATTCGCCTGTGAATCCGCTGGAGGGCTCACCGAGCCTTTTGATGAGCTGTTGCCAATCGGCGAACACACAGCCCGGAGCTGCTTCGGCGTCGTCATTCCAGTTCCGTGGACATCGGATGTAAGGCAAATGGGCGAGCAGAGCAAGGACTTCGTCTGACTTGCCCAAGGACTGCAAGACCTCGCGGTCTGCATTCACGATAGACGGCCAGCCCCCTTCAGGCGGGTAGATGACCTGGGAGTTTTCCAGGTACATCGTAGCCAGGAACCTGTAGTAATCGCTTACGGCGGCGATCGTGGCCGTTCGAGAATAGGTAATGTCCTCGAGTTGCAGCATGTTGTTGGTTCCTGTTGCGGGATGTTGAGCGAAGCTCAAATGATCTGACCGAGGCAATGCAAGGTGAAATTGCACTTTAAGTGTTCCGCACCACCCCAGAAGAACTTACCCCCCGCCCCTGTCCGCCCCAGGTTACATCCCTAGATTGGACCCCTGGAATGGACCGCGGAGCCTCAGCCGGAGGTAGTGCACGCCACGCGCTCATAGGTCTACCCACTGAATTCGAATTGGTGGATCAGTTAAAAGGGCCTGTGAACTACAAGGGCTAATAATGTCTGTTGGAACTTTCTCGTCTTGGCATCGGGCCGCTGCCAGAGCTCACGGGTCAGGAGGCCTTCCGCCTCTAGATCTCAATTTCTCATGTTCGACCCTGATCTTTGTGCTTTCTTCATTTCTATTGTTCTCCATGCGTTGTCGCTCAATTGCTCCGTCTTAAGTCGCTCGCAACAATCGCAGAAGGCCTACCAACATGCACATCAAAGTTTGCCTCAGCGGGCTTGCTGTCTTCGCGGCAGCTCCAAGCGTCCTGGCCAGATTTCTGGCAGGGCTGCCCCAAGAAACTCCTCCGGCTCACGCGATGCTCGAAGAGAGACAGGCGACAGTCACTCAGCAGCCGACGGCAAGCACGCTCTCGCCCGACCCTTGGGAGTGTATCACGGAGAACATCACCCAGTATTTCGACCCGCCTAAGCCTTCCGGCTCGGTTCTGAGCGAGATCAACTCGTACGGCGACAAGATCATCGAACCTTGCATGGCTACAGCCACTGGCTTGGACCAGTTCTACTGCACAGTCTCGGATCCGCAGTCTTGGTGCGGATTTTCGACTGCTGCTCCCCAGGCTGTGATGAGCAGCTATCTGGCCTTTGTCTCGCAGGCTGTCTCCTTCTATACAGAGAAGAGCTCAAAGATGTCCATCTTGTCTACCAGCTGCGCCAGTGCCTGGGCCAGGTTCGATCCAGCCGAGCGGGAGTGGGTGAAGATTGCCACAGCGCACGCCTCGTGCTACCTCGCAAACCATTCAAACGCTGGAAGTACGACAGCAGTGGCTACGGCATCCTCAAATGCGACATCTTCTTCGTCTACGTCAACTTCCAGCAAGGCGCCAGCTACCACCAACGGAGCAGTCGCGCGCGGTCTCGAGGCTTTTGCGATTGTGAGCACGGGACTTGCTGTTTTTGTCAACGCGGCATGACAGAGTTAGACACATTGGTGTTTACGGTCAGGCAGGGAATAAACATCATGAAACTTGCTGTATTATACTGGGATTTGAGGGGCTCCCATACCTGTCAGCTAGTCACCCTGAAGTGTCTGATGAAGGCTCGTCGACATAGCTAAGCAGGTTTCTGGATAGAGAATAGCACACTGACATCGGAGAGAAAGAGTGGTACATAGAAAGATGCGATGCATCTACGCAATCTGAAGCTTGTTCACAAGCCCAAACCCTTTTTTTGGATGAATTACCGTCATGTCATGGGCTTTCATCCCCTGCGTGTTCTAACATTGTGCTCCTCCATGAACCCATCGCCAATACGTCCTGGAACCGCCAGCTCCATAGGAGCCAAGACCTTAATTTTAATGGCCCGCCTATGCCCGACATTCTGTCTCTGGGCCCGAGCGCTTTTCTGTGTGGACCTTGATGTTCTCATAACCGTTGGCATGAGTGGATCTTGTCCAAATGCCGGCGCTGAGCAGTCGATCATGGCAGTTGGAAGGATACCCTGGTCACATCCTAGTCTGAGCGCGCAGGCTTCTCAGCTGAGTGATGCCTGTCAAAGCGGCAGGTGCACAGCGTATTAGCGCACAATACGGGGGAACCGTTGACGGCATTGAGGTTGTGTAACCAGGCGGCTCGAGATCGAACTCGCTCAAGTAGTGGCAACGGCTCCTTCATTTGGAATAGGGTCCGAGAGAACTCCCCAACAATACGACGCGGGATTGATCTCATTGCGGGGCCTTTGTACGTTGGACCTGGTCAGCAGCCAACCAGTGGTGAACGATGCTCTCCACAATGCAACCGAGGCATTGAGAAGTCCAGCTGCCGGACCGGATTCAGGTACCGGAACCCTAATGAACATAGAGTTATGTTTAAGCTACATAAGTGCTTACATGGATGTTACCTTGTACACTTAAATGGACGTTCTATTGAAATCCGATTGACTGCGGAATGAATCCGTCTGATTGCGCGCGCTAGTGTTCATTTCTTTCATCGGAAATTTGTACGGAGTAGATTTCTCTGGAACTAAGAACCAACACCTCTTTTAGTTGGCTTGGCATGGCCGGCACAAGGACATTTTTAACCAACTCACCCTCGACACCATGAGACGATTCCGAGCCCTTGCGTAAGTAAGTGGGACTGGTGTTACGCTTGTGGTGATTGCGATGAGGCCTTCTTGTGTTGGCCTTCTTGTGTTGGCCTACTTGTGTTGGCCTACTTGTGTTGGCCTACTTGTCAACCAGTAGATCATCACGGCCGAAATCCCTCAATGCAATACTTGTGGTTGCCAAGAGAGCATATCACAGAATTAGCATCGTAGGACTTTGGGCGAGAGGCCGGAGTCGGGAAGGAAGAGATGTACTCACATGTACCGCACAATCCATGACCGCAATATGCATGCCGCGGAGATTGTTCAGGTATTTAGTGAAGAGCAAATGGAGCAAGTCAAGGAAAGAGAAGAACGGGCTGTCTAGGATTCACGTTCGATCTGCACCTCGTGTGAAAGAAAGCCATGTCGTTTTCTAGCACTGCAATCATATTAGGCGCCGGCCTCTTCAATGTGGCTTTCGGTGCATCGGTTGGGCATATTGTTCGACGTGACGGATCGTCGCCTAGTTTGACATATGACCCCAACACCACTAGCTACTGTTCGTGGTGGGTTGACTTGTCTTCCTCGACATCCTGTGATTCCGTACTTTCGGACAATTCAATCACTTTGGAAACCTTTCGACGATGGGTGAGAAATCACATGTATCCAGGATTGGTAGAAGCTGTACTAAAACCTGTGTTGGTCAGAATCCATCTATTCCCGAAACTTGTGGTCAGCTTCAGGCAGGACACTCGTACTGTGTAGAGGCAACTTTCGAGCCTAGTGTGACCATGTCCACGGCAACAACTGCAAACCAGGCGCCGACCACCACGGCGCCACCAACGTCGACGAAGCCGTCTAATGGAATCACCACCCGTACGTCGTCCAGAACCTCTTGATGGTAGCTGACATGCTGCTCAATACTAATTTGACTTTCTCCTCGTCAGCTACTCCGACTCAGCCTGACATGGTGCAGAACTGTGACGCTTTCTACTCTGTCCAACCAGGAGATACCTGCGCCGTGATCGCCAGCAAGAACGGCATCAGTTTGTCCCAGGTCCTCGCTTGAAACCCATCCGCCGGCTCCGACTGCAGCGGGCTCTGGGCTGGCGCTTATGCCTGCGTGTCCATCATTGGTGTCGACGCCCCGAGCCCAACTACCACAAGTTCTGGCAATGGCGTTACAACGCCGTTGCCAACGCAGTCAGGCATGGTTGCAAACTGTGGCAAGTTTCATCTGGTTGAACAGGGGCAAACATGTGCAACTATTGCGCCGCTCTACTCCATCTCCACGGCCGATGTCATCAAGTGGGACCCGGCTGCTAAGAATGACTGTTCTGGTCTCTGGGCCTCAACTGTAAGCGTTTGCCCTTACTCATGGGCAGGACTTCCCGTTCTGCGAGTCATGCTTCAGCTCAGCAACACATCTAACACCTTCCTGCTCTAGTATGCATGCGTTGGCCTTATTGGAGGCACGCCATCGCCGACGACAACGACATCAGGGGGTGTGACAACTCCCACGCCCACGCAGCCGGGCATGGTGAGCAACTGTAAGAAGTTTACGTTTGTAAACTCTGGCGATACTTGTCAGGGTATCGCATCTTCCAATGGCATATCGCTCGACAACTTTGTAACTTGGAATACTGGTGTTGGTGGACGAGATTGCCGTGGTTTGTGGGCTAATGTCTACGTTTGTATTGAGGTTTGAGAACATCGCGCCGGCCACGTGCTCACAATGTCTCTAATATTCAGTCTTTCGTCCTGACCTCCCGCAATCCTAGCACTTCCCAACGTCTCTCAAGAGGACAGAGTCAAGGGTTTTGGGAATCATGTAATACAATTAATTAATATCAGACCGCTTGTGCCACTTTTGCCGCCCAAGGATATGCCTGTGAATGATTTACGAGCTATCGAGGTATACGGCTGAACCTGTCGACGGCGTCGTGGAATATCGGGGTTGTATCATCATCTCCCAGAAGGTTGGTGAAGACTAGAAACATCTCGTTGCTTCGAAACATCGCGCGTTGCCGAGTATACTTCTCAATCTTACTCTCACTTTTCTAGATCTAGCGGTTCCAAATCTATCCATGTACCGTGAAGATGGATCGAGGTCCTCAGGCTCTAGGAGAGAGTCGTGGTATTCTTCGAGTACCAGAGGTACCTGTATGTCATGCAGGTGGATCAAGATCCAGATCAAGTCAACCGGAAGACACAATCAAAGCCCAGAATCTGCGAGGATACACAATATTAGACTACTATCATTAAGTAGCTAACAAGCAATGTTGAATGCTTGATCATTTGAATAAAAGCCCTTGAAATCGTCTTATTAGACAGGACAGAGTTGGATCTGTTCCCCTAAAGACCATTCAGGCCCACTACACACATTGCTGCTGGTGGCGAGCGCGCGCTCTCTGTCCCCATTCCCATTATCCGCGCCGCGCTAAAGTGGTATAGATAATACAAGACGTGTAGAAAGTAAAGATGTTGTGCGATTGATTTTCGCATCGCTCTCTGCTGAGATCTCCTGGGCAATGTGTGTGTGTGTGTGTGTGTGTGTGTATTATAAACAAAGGTGAAGAAGAAGAGGAGATCACGGAGGAGGATCTCTTTTGTTGTTTACATCAGCATGGCAACGACACCAGCAAGACCGAGGAGCGAGCCCGCGACCTTGCTAGCGCCAGCGGTGACGACGACGGGGCCGCCGGGAGTAGCAGGGGTGCTGCTGCCGCCCGTGGGCGCCGCGGGCGGGGGCTGGACGAAGACGACCTGGCCCGGGTTGCAGCCAGCTCCGGAGCAGGGCTGGGGCTGGTAGACCGTGACGCCGGTCTGGCCGGCGTAGGGCACGACGGTGTAGACGACGAGGCCGGCGCACGCGGCGCCGTCGCAGCCGGCGGGCACGTACTGCCAGCCGCCGTAGCAGCCGCAGGGGCTGAGCACGAAGACGAGCTGGCCGGGCAGGGGGAGGCCGACGCAGAGCTCAAAGACCCAGCCGGCGGCGTTGCAGTAGCCGCCGTAGCAGGGGTAGGCGGTCTGGGTGGCGACGGCGGTGGTGACGACGGTGGCGGTGGCGGTGGTCGTGCCCGTGGTCTGGCTGGCCGGCGGCAGGGTGCTCGTGGGCGCCGTGGTGGGCACGGTGGCGGTCGGGACGAGCGGGTCGTTGATGTAGACGACGAGCAGGGCGGTGGCGGGCACGGCCTGGCGCTTGACGAAGACCTGGCGGACGCCGCCGCAGTTCTGCAGCGGGTTGCCGGGGCAGGGGATGTTGCAGCTGCCCGAGGCGACGGTGGCCGCGCCCTCGAAGCTGTCCGCGCAGTAGCAGTCGCTGAAAGGAAGAGGATTAGCATAGCTGCTTTTTAAGGAGAGCACGGGATAATCAACAAAAGTCATGGTACGTACTTGACGCTGACGCCGGCGTACAGGTGGGCGCTGCAAGCGGCCGTGCACAGGTCCAGGGTCATCTGGCTGTTGGAGGTCTGCAGGAAGAAGGACGGGAAGTTGCGGTCAGAGCCGGCGCATCCAACAAAGCTGAAGTCTCCGAGCTGGTCGGGCAGGGGGCCAGCAGTGGAGGTGGGGACGGGAGAGGAAGTAACCGAGCTGGACGAGGCGGGAGTCGACGAGGCGGAAGACGAGGTCGCGGGCTCGGAGGAGGAAGCAGGCTCGGACGTGGAAGTGAGGGGCTCAGACGAGGAAGTTGCGGGCTCAGAGGAAGAGGGCTGAGTGGAAGAGGGCTGAGTCGGGGTCGGAGTGGTGCTGGTATCCTCTGCAGTGGTAGTCGGAGGCTCGCTGGTGGTGGTCGAGCTGCTGACGACGCAGATGCCGCTGACAGCCTCGTAGCCAGCCGGGCACGTGGTGACACACTCGCCACTGATCGGGTCGAGGGCCTGCTGGTTGGCCGAGCAGATCACACAGGTGTCGGTCGTGGTGTCGATGCCGTTGGGAGAGTTGCATTCGCAGCGTCCGTTCTGAGCGTTGAGAGTGAAGCCACTCGCAGCGCAGTTCACGCACGTGTTGGCGGCATTGAAACCGTTGGGAGCCTGGCACGCGCAGTTGCCGTTGTTGTCGACCGTCTGCGCGCCGGGGCAGACAATGCACATGCCATTCGTATCCTTCCCGAGGGGGGCGGCACACTCGCACACCCTGGTAGACGAGTTGGGAGTCTCGTTCGTTGGGCAAGTGCCACAGTTGCCATTGGGATCCAGCCCGAGGGGGGCGGCGCATTCGCAGACCCTCGTGGACGAGTTGGGAGTCTCGTTCGTTGGGCAAGTGCCACAGTTGCCATTGGTATCCAGCCCGAAGGGGGCGGCGCATTCGCACACCCTCGTGGACGAGTTGGGAGTCTCATTCGTTGGGCAAGTGACACAACTGCCGTTGGTATCCAGCCCGAGGGGGGCGGCACACTCGCACAGTCCAGTATTCGCGTTGGGAGTCTCGTTCGCTGGACAGGTGCCACACTGGCCGTTGTTGTCAAGACCAAAGGGGGGCTCGCAGGCGCAACGGGCGGTGGTGGGGGAGGGACTGTAGCCGTTCAGGCAAACCGCGCAACCGGGCAGGTTTGGGTCATAGCCCTCATTGGCGAAGATGCAGCGGCAGTCGTCGATGGAGATATCGTTGAACATGTTGGCCAGGGGGCAGGTACAAGTCGGGGGGGCGATGGTGTTTCTTGAGCCGCCGTTGGTGCAGTTGGCAGCGGTAACGACCCGAAGGCCCGCCGCCAGGAGCATAAACAGACTGGTGGTACGCATCGTGGTGAGTGCTGATGGATAAGAACGAATGAACGGCCAAGAGGCCAAGTGATTAGTATGTATTTCGAACGAAGGGGGCTCAACAGAGAGGTATCATCTGGATAGCTCTTTCATCCCAAGACATTGCTGATCCGGGGAGGGGAGGCCAACTTTATACTGCCTCTCTCTCTCCATCGTCGTCTTTTGACCCTCCGAATCAAACCCGTCGCTTCACAAGCAGCAGCTCGATCAGTCTACCCAGCATAGAGTGGACGTGCCATTTTGCGTCAAGAATGTGGCGCTCAGGAACGGCCCAGGTCAGGTCGCCTGGCAAGGCGATGAGGCGTGATAGTGTGTCAACCAGACCAGAGACACGACCGAGTCAAAGACCATCGTGAGTCGTCAACACAACACCGATGGCCTCCATAGCTGGAGGCGCTAACCATGTCCGCTGGCAGGCAAGCTGTCAGCCGCGCCTGATTCCCAGCAGGACGGGGCAGTCTCAGCATGCCAAAGTTTAATGTGTAGTGCGTTTTGGGTCCATCGCCACCATTCCAACCTAAAGCCCCTTGGCACAGCAAGGCCAATCAAGTTGTTAGGGCCGAGTCCCCTGGGCTGTCTTACCTCCGCCACATAGCAGGTCTCGCCTGTTCTCGCCTACGAAGCATACCGACTGAAGTGACGGCCGGCAAGACGGCACACACAAGCGTTGTGTCGCTCGTGTGGACGTGCAAGCCACCTGTCATGGAGAGTTGACATTGACGGCCGGCAATGGCCGCCGGCATCATCGTCGTCAAACAGCCCAGCAGGGAAGTGATGTGGCTGAAATGCATGGATACAGATTTGGGGAACAATGGTGAACGACATGTCTGGGCAAGAAGAGTGTGGTGGTGTGGCATGCGGTCTGATCGAAACCAGAGAGATCAGGGAACAACTCATGGCAACGAATCAGCCCTGTCGGTATTTCGGAAGAGCTCGCTTTCCTGATTTGGATGAAAGAACAACCTGACATGGCATGGTATGTGCCTCTCGGCTGAGACACTCCGACCGGCCTATTCCCCAAAACTGCATGCCTGGTCTCGTGTCGACGTCAACCCTTCTCGACAGGGTCGTTGCCCGTGTGTGGAGAGAGAGCCCAGCAAGTGATGGCGGGGGGGTGGGCCGGTCTGTCTAAGCTACGAAATAGTGCGTGCGTAGGTGATGCTCCGACTCCGCGAGACTCTTGAGTCGGGTGCCTCCGCGCGTTGTTTTCTGGGGTGAAAAGTGGCGCTGGGGTGGGACTAGTTTTATGCTTCTTTATAACCATGCCTGCTATTCGTAGGGCGATCCATGCCTCGCGTCAAGGCGCGTCCAGTAGGAAGCCCAGGATTGCGAATATCGTTTTTAACTTTGACAGAAGTCTCTACTTCATGGAATGAATGAACCCTTAGGACCAGAAGAGCATCGAATCACAAGACAGGTTTCAATACAAGAGCGTGACGAAACGGCAGATCAGAAACCTTCCGTCAAAGTTTGCTTGCGCCGGCACGGTCGAGTGATGATCATGACCTCTTGGCAAGTAGGTCGCGAAGAGTGAAGCCAAGCCAGGAACACCTTGGCCAACATACACATAAGATGCACTATTAGATGATACGCGCCTCCATTTTTACACGACAAAAACTACTCTTGGCAGCCGCCACAGTCTCCCGAGTCTTCAGCTCTCTTGCTCGATGCAGCTAGTCCCATTCCTAGTCAACCGAGCCATGAACTTAACAAGCGAGAAACGGGGCAGACTAAACACCAAGTATCCGCTGACGAGAGTAGGTATTCCCATGACGAGTGTGGTTCATACCAGAGCCAAAAGTTTCGGGACCAGAGCTCTTGCCCATAGGTATGTAGAGACCGCATCCTGCCTGGCGGGCAATTGCCTCATCAGTCAGGAGAGAGGCAGGCATGTGACGGGATTGCACCAACGCCTCTTGGGTCCAAGAGCTGTTAGTATCAACTCTTGTCTCTCATGCATGACTAGGTAGCTGCCAAGGATCTACCATCATCTTGTTCATGATGCAGAGTGCCCCTACGCGTGGGAACCTATCGTGCAAGGAGTTCGCTTATGCAAGGTACGCAGACACCTCAATCTCGACACGCATTCCCTCCAGGGCCAGCTCCTTGACGCCTACGCCCGTCAGTATGGGCCTATGGTTGGGCATCCACTTCTTCATATTTTCGGCCATCCGTCCCAAGGCCTCTGGGCTGCCGTCCGTGTAGTAGATGTTGACCCGGAAGACCTGCGACCAGCCCTTGCCGCCGGCGTGCCTGAGGTTGTAGTCCACGTTGGCGAACGCCTGATCGATCTCCTCCATCAGATCGGCGGGCACCTCGCCTGTAGTCGTATCCCACCCGCCTGAAAGAATGCGAGCCCGTCAGCGAGTCTCGTTGCCAAGAGCGACCTGAGTCGAGCGCTGGGAGCTATCTCACCTTGCCCGGAGCACTCGAGGCGGTCGCCAACGCGGACAGCCTGGCTGTAGCCGAAGAAGTCGCCCACCTTGACGCCGTGACCCGGATAGGTGAAGTATTGGAGATTGGCCATGATCAAGGGAAGCTCGAGCGAGGTTTTGTCACTATGCTTCACAGAACTACGACGACCGAAGTTCAACTTTAGAGCTTAGCTACTGCGATATTTTGTGATTTTTATATGTCTTCGTAGGGCTGAAGATGTATTATTAATGCTTGTTGCTGACCACGCAAAACGGCCTGATTTTGGTCCGTCGCCAAGCTCATTTGTGTGTTGAGATCATCCAAGCTCCACATCAACGGGCTTGATGGCCCCACGCCAGCTCGCATTGTCGTTTCCAAACAGATTCATTCATGCTGACAACTTTAGGAAAGTTTGCCAAGAATAACTAGATCAAGTGAAAGCACGATTCACATTGACAATGGCGGTTGCTGACGGTGATGAGATCATTTCCGGACTATCTTTGGGATGGATATTGGGAATCAGTGAAGACGGCCGGAGTGCATGTTCTCCAACTGGGCAATGAGATCTAGATTCTCAAAGTGACTTACAACCTTTCCAAAGCTTCAGGTTCTTGAGAGCCTTTTGTTTCTGCCCATGAATCGGTGCCTACCTATTTAGATCCTGTACTGGCTCAAGGTCGGGGAATGAGCCACTTTGTGTACTCGAGTAGTATTCTCTATGGCCAAGTGCGAAAGCTCTCAGCAAGTTGCAAAGGACTAGGTAGGTCGCGAAATATTGCATGTATCTGCAAGCCCGAGCCGAGCACCCCGAGTACCAAAACTAGCCAAACTTGTACGAGGTCCGCGAGACATGTGAATGGCGCACACCAACAACAAGACTAGCACTGAATCCTGAATTACACTGTAATTGTCGCATAACATCCGCCCAAGGCACACTGGCAAAACAGCAATCCCTAGTCCCAGGTAGGTCGTTGTACTTGATCAGCCCTATACCGCTGGCAGTAATCAACGTTGTGAAATCTCAAGGCTAAGTAAGATCTCATTGTATCTTTAGTGATATTTTTCTTCCTTGTGACTCTCTATGGTTAGAACCCTCGCTCGTACGACTTTGGCTGGTTTTGGACCATAACAACATGCCAACCACTGCCCCAGTTGTTCCAGTCACCAGAAGAGACTGCACTCGACATGCAGAAAGGGACTTGAGGATGCATGTAGAGAAACAACGACGCTTGACGCTCATGGCAGCAGACTCGAGCCTTTTGGCTCAGTGCTTCTCTGGGGCGAAGAATTTGGCACCTTACCTCAGAACCTGGGAGACAGGAAAGGGACTCGAATCTGTTGCATGTTTTCAATCGGATGCATACTTTATAATCAAGAGCGAGGATCACAACGCGCGTGACGTGGGTGAGAATATGTGGAGATCGCGCTTCATGACCATGCTGGTTTCGCTGGGGCGTAGAAGGATCAGGATCAATCACGTGCGGGCAAGTGTCTCACCATCAAGCCCGAGGCCGCGTGTGCCGAAACATAGCAAGTGTCCAGATCTAGACCTATACCACGTCCGACAGCAACCATTTCTTTTCCTGGCCTGCCTAGAGAAGCATGCTTGAACCCGCCGTCGAGATCATATAGCCGGTGCCATGCCCCACCACAACCGCCACTTCGCCGGCGACCGCTACGCCCTGAGCGGCGCCTGGAGCCCGCCCACGAGCAGCGCAAAGTACGTCGGCCGAGCTGGAAGTCTCTCAACTTGTGAAGACACACCCCCGGCGGGCTGGCATGCATGCTAACCACGTTGCACACAGCTTCTGCGAGGAGGACTACGTCGTCAGCATATACATTGCCGAGTTCATCAACTCGCTGACAAACCTGGCCTATGGTACGCGAGAAGATCACCGGATCTCCCGGATTCCCGGGCTGGGCATATGGACGCACGCCGCCGCTCAACCCGAAGCCGCATGCCGTCCGCCCGCCCACCTCCCCCTTTTCTCCTCCGCGCTAACATGCCACGGCGCTGCTCATTAGTCTACCTCGCCCTCCGGTACATGTACGGTCCCGGCAGCCGCGGGCCCCTCCGGCCCAGGCTGGACTTCATGTCCGCCTCCCTGCTGGTCCTGGGCCTGTGCTCCTTCCTCTTCCACGCCTCGCTGCGCCAGACGCTGCAGTTCGCCGACGAGCTCGGCATGCTCGGCGTCGCCTGGTCCCTGCTGCAGGGCCTGCTGACCGTGCGCACCCGGCGGCGGCGCACGCGGCGCGACCGCCTCGTCGACGCCGCGCTCGCCGTCTTCTTCCCGCTCTTCGCGGGCTTCTACGTCTACACGGGCGAGATCGTCTACCACTTCTCGGCCTTCTTCCTCATGGTCGTCCTCGTCGTCGCGCGGGGCACCTACCTCTTCTACTGGCGCGAGCCGGCCTTCCCGCCCGACCGGGTCCGGTCCTGGCGCGTGCGCGGGCGCCGGGCGCTGGTCGTCATCGTCGTCGCCTTCGTGCTCTGGAACGTCGACCTCGAGCTCTGCGCCGAGATCAGGGCGCTCCGGGAGCGCGTGGGGCTGCCCTGGGCGTGGCTGCTCGAGCTGCACGGCTGGTGGCACGTCATGACGGCCTACAGCACGGGTGAGTACATGGACCTTATCCGGGAGGTCCAGGAGGAGCTGAAGCGGGAGAAGAGCGAGTGAGTAGCAAGTGTATGTGTATGTGAGCGCTACTGCGCCGTTTGCCCAGCCTGTATTGTCGCGCTTGCGATCGACATGAGATGAAGACCCGATGTGGATGATTAATAGCACCAACCTAGATTGTATTGTAAAGCGAACCACTGATAGACTATAGATTGAATTCATAGCATATTGGTTTTGTTTTCGAAGATTATTGCAAGAATGCAGGAAGCAAATGCAAGGATATGCAAGTCCTGAGGTCAACTCAGCTGATACCAGAGCAGCAAGCACCACTCCCAAGCCACACAATCCTCCATCCGTCCCATAGTCTCGTACTCAAGGGGGACAGGGATCAATGCCGCTGCGCTCGACGGCTGCTCTGCACTCGTCGCTCTGGCACTCTTGGCATCTCGTTATACTGGCAGCATTCTGTCTGCCTTCGTGCGGCATGGAGACAGGGCCTTGTGGGAAAGACATGACGTCACGACCAAGCCGCGTCAGGATGTTGGAAAGAAGGTCCATACAGTAGCACATCCTCAATTACATGGCGAACCATCAACGACGGTGCAGTGAGACGGGTACGGCGTAGGCGTAGACTGGCGGTCAGCAATCGAGGGGTGAATGATTCTCGTCCTGGGCTCGATAATATGAGCCGGGGAACGACGGGTCCAGTTTGTCGACCGTACCAGCAACAACACCACACGACCTTCGACTGCGTAGACAAACCGTTCCCGCCTGTCAGCTGTCTGAAGTCAGAGCTGTGTCTTGCATTACAAGGGGCTCTGTACCACGGCTGGGACCGCATCAACAATACTGACCGCCAAAGACTGACGTGAATAGTCGTGAGTCGCACGGCAAACACTATGCCTTTGTGGTCTCTACCAGTCTTTGGAACGGCAGGCATAGTTGTTTCAAGGACGCGGACAACAGCTTATTCTGGTTATAGAAGCTTATACGGAGACATCGCCGGCTTGCTAGGTTTTAACAAGCACAGTTCGACTCTTCTGTATCATGCCTTGGTAGCGTGGCCTCAAGATCTCCATCCTAGTCGAGTTTGTTTGATCAGACTTTCAGTGTCTATGAATCGGATTGGTGATTGTCCGCTCCGAAGAGGAAATGCCGAACCAGTTACAGCACAAGCTCCGGAAAGGCTTAGTGTTTGTACAGAAGTTCAGAGGTCACCGTGGTGGCTCTGAAGGCATCAAAATCACCCCGTGCCCTGAGGGGTCGCCACTTGTGTTTCTCGGCCGGGAGACCCCTCAAGCATGACGGCAATGCCATTCCATGACATCATCGGCGCCCATGAGGCTCGCCTCTGCATTGACAAGGGCCAACTTCGGGCTTCGTTTGGGAAACGTGGGGAAGCACATGCAAGGGTTCGGTCAGCAATACGCCCTGTATTGCTTGAAGCTAAATCTGGGTGATGCTGTGTTGCCCCCGAAGAATGCCCAGACGAGCAGCTGCCCAAACTTCTAGGCCGCCTTACGGAAGTGCCGTCGTCATGGTTTCTTCCGAGTAGGGATATCGTAGCTATAAACATGTCAAGAGCTCGCGGTCCAGTTTGTGCTCCGGCATAGAGGCTTCATTGTTCTATCTAGCGAGCTCATATCGGTTCTCAAGGCTTTTGATCTCCAGTCCATAGAGGGAAAGTCAAGAAAGACAGAACGACATGCTCCTTTGCCGAATAAAGAAAGCCGGGTGGTGCCGGCATAGCTGGAAGTTCGGTCACATGCAGTAGCATCTCGTGGCATGGATGTCAGTCAAGCACATGGTCCATCGCATATTATACCAAAGAGGGTCGTGATCGGAAGCTGCACCTCCACCTCGGCTATTTCGCCTGGTTTCGGTTCGGACCCGTTTTCCTCTAGTCTCCCAGAGCCGCAGCCGGGAACCGCTTCCCTTCTTATACAGAGTGAGTGCGCCCACAAGAAAAATCACTTGGGCCCTGATGCAGTTGTCTTTGGCCTGGCCTGGTCTTCTTTCTTTCGTTTCAAGACAAAAATGAAAATTGGATGCTTTGCTACCAGTGTATCCTAATGCAGTGCGAACTGTTACAAAGGGGGTTTTCGGGTTCCTTCACCTCCTTGTCCTCCCTCCTCCGCCCAACCGTCGTCTCCATGTCTCCTCATCTCTCTCTCGATGCATCCTCATAACCACAATCCTTTTGTCTTCTGTCCTTCCTTCGCCGCCTCATCCCCGCTCCAGATATGAGTGTGCCCTGGGACGATAACCGTGGTATCTAGGCCGCTGAAACAAAAACTAGTCTATATCGAGGATTTGTTGGTGTTGTGGTACAAGGGAAGGAAGGTATTATGCAGAGTCGACAAACAGGCACGGACATTTCTTGGTCTGTCCCGCCCGGTTTGCTTTATGGCCAGACATCTCTTTACAGAGTCTCCATCTTGTCGAGGATGGCCTTGGTGAACTGCTGGGTGGAGGCCTCGCCGCCCATGTCGCGGGTGCGGGTCTTGCCCTCGGCGATGACGGCGTAGATGGCCTTGGAGATGCGGTTGGCGTGGTCGTCGAGGCCGAGGTGGCGCAGGAGCATGGAGCCGGACAGGATGAGGGCGGTGGGGTTGGCCTGGTCCTTGCCCTTGATGTCGAGGCCGACGTGGCGGCAGCCGGGCTCGAAGACGGCGACGTCGCGGCCCATGTTGCAGCCGGGGACGATGCCGGGCCCGCCGACGAGGGCGGCGCCAATGTTGGACAGGATGCCGCCGTAGAGGTTGGGCATGACCATGACGTCGAACTGCTGGGGCCGGCTGACGGCCTGCATGGAGGCGTTGTCGACAATCATGTCGTTGACCTCGAGGGTGGGGAACTCCTTGGCGGTCTGGTGGAAGGTGCTGCGGAAGAGGCCGTCGGCGAGCTTCATGATGTTGGCCTTGTGGATGCAGGTGACCTTCTTGCGGTTGTTGGCGAGGGCGAAGCTGAAGGCGAACTTGGCGATGCGCTCCGACTTGGCGCGGGTGATGATCTTGAGCGACTCGACGACGCCGGGGACGGACTGGTGCTCGAGGCCCGAGTACTCGCCCTCGGTGTTCTCGCGGATGATGCACAGGTCGACGTTCTCGTGGCGCGTCTTGTAGCCGGGGATGTTCTTGACGAGGGAGACGGAGGCGTAGATGTCGAGCTCCTGGCGCATGGCGACGTTGAAGGACTGGTGGCCGGAGCGGGCGACGGGGGTGTGCAGGATGCCCTTGAGGCCTAGCTTGTTGCGGCGCAGCGAGGCGACCGACTCCTTGAAGAGGTCCTCGGTGCGGCCCGACGGGCTGGCGTCGTCGATACCCGAGACCTCGACCTGCTCCCACTCGATGGGCACGTTGTCGGCCTTGAAGATGGTCTTGACGCTGTCGGCGACCTCGGCGCCGATGCCGTCGCCGGGGATCAGGGTGACGGTGTACTTGCCACCATACTTGGTGGGCTTGAAGATGTCGGACTGGACGGTCGCGAAGCCACGGGCGGCGAAGGGAGCGGCGGACGACGACTGCTGTTGGGCGGCAGCACGGGCGAGGCGCTATCGTCGGAGAAAAAGGACGAAAAGTCAGCATCGCTGGGAATTATTTCACCACCAAAAATGAAGCTTCACGATGGTTTGTTGTGCCATCGCCATTCCATCATGTGATAGCGGGCTGGCGGGGACGGGACGAGGGATTCGCGACCAAGGACCAGCCATTGGGCCGTGCAAATTGGATCATGACGTACCTGAGCCGTTCGGCAGGAGTTGCGAGACAGCATTTTGGATGTGGAAGGGACGAGGACGGGAGAGAATTGAGGATGCAATTGATCGGCGACTGTCCAGCAGAAGAACGTGAGAGAGGAAAGAGAGAAGACAGATCAAGGTTAGGACTGGGCTGGAAAGTTGAAATGCCGCAAAAACAAAAAGTTGGTGGAGCTTGTCTTCTGATTGAGAGAGCACCAGCCAAAAGGCAAAGCAGCAACCTTACATGACGACGGGGGGGGGCGTGCGTGTGGAATTGGCGCTGATGGCTGCCAATTGGAAGCCTTGGACTGCGGCCAGGCTCGGCGGTCCAGCGGCCATCCGATCGGCGCAAGCGCGGGAATCCGAGCTCGTTCCACAGTTCCTTTGCAGGTGCTCTCTCAGCGCTGGTCGCGCGGTGGTCAGTGCTGGCTATCAGTGAGCAGAATTTGGTAACAGTTCCAAGGTTGCCCCCCGAGCCACCCGTGTTTGGCCTAGCGCCCACTGGGAGAAAAGCTTTTTGCTCTCGCTCTCACCGAGGAAATTCCGCGCTACGTCGCTGTTTTTCGGGGAGATCAGCTTATCAGGGGTGTTATCGCTATCTTCTTATCGATACCGATATTTTGCGACTCGGCCTGCTGAGCACTATTACATGCACAACAGGCCTGGAGGTGCAACATCAATGACCTGATCAAGTGCTGATCCAGTGTGTAATCGAGGTGCAGAAGATTGAGCTCACCACTCATCGAGCAAGAGATGCGACGAAATTTTTTCAATCAGGTAAACAAACGGTCAGTCACTTTTCTCTTGCTTTCATCAGGGCTGGCTGGACTGCAACCTCGATGTACCCTCCGGCCAATCGAGGGCCGCAGAGCATGATGACTGCATCGTGGCAGCAGCTGTGCAGGGCTGAAAACGGTAGAGCACATCAGCAGCAGGAGCTCTGGGGATTTCTTTTAAACGGATGAGGGCCGGATTGTAGCTTCCACCCATCTCGTCTCATGTCTCTTCTCATCTTCCCCATTCTCTCGAGGTAGGCCACTTCTCTTCGTCTCGCGCTGCTACACAAGTGTCACTCCCGCCTCCTTTTACCATTTTCAAGGCTACTCGCCTGCAGCAAGCAATTCACCTCGCTCTCTTCCATCTCATCTCCTCCGTGCGCCTGGGATTCTGTGATATTGCTCGCCAGCCCCAGGTTTCCGCGTTCCTTTTTCTGGGCTGTCATCGCCACAGTAGCGGCGCCATGTATGCAGCCGACATTCTCAACAGGCGGGCCCGAGGGTTCGCCTTGTGGCTCCCAGGCCTCGCACTCAAGAATCCACCCCTGCTCCTCCTTGGAGTCTACAGCGGCGGAGGCCACGGTGACTTCCTCCAGCTTGAGCGTAAGCTCTTGATCCAGTCTGCAGACCACCCTGATCTTTGGGAACTCGATCTCTCCAGGCTCGCGCATCTCGCAGACGGTGTCTATCACTACTGGTTCGAGGTGGAGAACACGAAAGTCACCGACCCTCTTGCCTTCACTGTCGATTACACGCCCATTCGGCATCGCAACGATGACCAGGTTCAGCCCCCAGCCGTGGTCAAGCTCAAAGGAAGCAGACTTTACGCCTGTGATATCGACGGTGTTGAGTCGCCGCCCCTTCCAATCCCGTCGCAGAGTGAACTCCCGGGCAACAATCATCTAGTTATATATGAACTACCCGCCTCATGGGCCAAAGCTGGCACCGATAGCAACGGCGTCCAGATCGACTTCGGCACTTTCGCCGACGTCGAGGCCTTGATCGATCCCAGGGTGCCTGGCAAAAACTTCAGCAGCATATCCGGGATCAGAACGGGTGCTGTCATCGCCGAGCTGGGCGTCAATGCCATCGAGCTACTCCCTGCAGCCGATGCCAAGGCCCAAGGAGAATGGGGATATGCCACTGCAAACTACTTTGCTCCAGACTATGACCTCGGCCCTCCTTCCAGCCTCGCCTCGCTGGTTGGATCCATGCAGAGTCGGGGCATCCGTCTGGTCACTGATGTAGTTATGGCCTTTGGACACGATCCCTATGGCTACATTGACTTTGGCCAGTTCCATATCAAAGCCGACAACGAGCCCAACAACCCGGACAGCTATCAGTCGCACACTGAGAATCAAAAGCGAGTTGATTGGGGTGGGATGCTCTGGCGATATATCCAGAGTACACACACGTATGACCCGGAGAGTGGAGAGACCAAGGATATCTGTCCCGCGTGGGCATTTCACAAATGTCACTTGACTCGCTGGGTAAGTGACGCACATCCTCATCCGCTACCGGATCCGACTAATGTATTTCAAAGATGACCGACTTCGGAGTCGGCGGCTTGCGCCTGGACAGTCTCAACAACGTTGGTAATTGGGATTTCGTCCGATCCTACCACGAGAAAGCCTGGGAGTTGTTCAACGACCGCTACCAAGGCAAAGGTGACCCAGCCAAATTTCTCGTCATCGGCGAAGAGCTCAGCATGCCCGTCGACATGATCAATCGTGGCTGCGTCAACGCCCTCTGGAACGAGCCGTGGCAGAAGCGGCTGCGGTGCGTCATTCTCGGAGAAGCCTGCGATGACGATTTCGAATGGACGGTCCGCAAGACTGCCGACTGCACCCTCGACGACCTGCGTCCAGGCTTCGCCGACGGCGCCCAGGCAGTCAACTACATCACATCCCACGACATTGAAGGGTTTCGAAAGGAGCGCCTCTACGACTTTCTCGCCTCGAACAAGATCTGGGACCTGCAGCGCCGGGCCCAGCTCGCCTTTGTGCTGCTGCTGACCTCTGTCGGCATCCCCATGATCTTCGCCGGCGAGGAGTTTGCCGACCAGATGGACATCAGCCGCGACATGCGCAAGAAGCAGCTCGACCCCGTCAACTACGAGCGCAAGGACAGGGACGCGTGGCGCCACGCCCTCTTCAAGTACGTGGCGAACCTGGTCGCGTTCCGGACGCGGTGTCCGGCGCTGGGCGTCGACGACACGGACTTCTTCCACGCCGACGGCAGCCGCGGCGGCAAGATTATGGCGTGGAGGCGGGGCCAGCTTGGCAAGGGCCCGGTCGTGGTGGTCGTTGCCAACTTTACGGACGAGCCTACGCCCGGAGCCGAGTATGTTGTGCCGAACTGGCCTGACAGGGACGTACCGGGGTGGAGGGAGGTCACGCAGGACCGGGATGTGCCGCAAGAGTGGTTGGGGCGGGAGCCCCTGATGGCTTGGGAGGCTAAGGTGTATACTTATTGGAAGTGAGAGGTATGGATAACGGTGACGGGGAGTACGTGTGAGGTGTGGTTCAAGGCTGTGTAGGGCTGATTCGCGGCATTAGCAATTCAAGGGATGGGCCATGACTTCTCGGGAGACAAACTCTAAAGGTCTAATGTTATTTTCACCCGTAACCTCTAGCATCTCATCCGCCGGCTCTCTTATTTCTCTGTGTATTTTCTCGACTAGGGATTACCTGAGGTACATTCAATTGAGTGCAGATATCCTTGCCCTATAGGCTATCCCCGACAACAGTTGATGACCAAAGGCAGTCGACCCAATCATCTAAGGTATTTCTGAGTTTCAAACGCCATATCTCGTGTCGTTCGACAGCGGGATAAATAAGTAGTTAAGTAATATACCCAACTGTGGCAACAGATTAGATTCAATTGCTTGCTTCGGCCGCCAAGCACCTTGACACTGACTCGAATCAAGGAATAGCGTCCCCACAATGGAGCACTCTCGCTACCCCCTGTGCACCCCAAGGCTACTGTTCCACAATGCGGGAGAAGAAAAACAACTCCACATCTTCAACTGCATGCACCTCGAAGCGATTAAAGACGGACTCACAACTCATAACCACGCCTAAGGAACGGTCATAGAAGGCCGGCATCCACTTCTCTGGAGAGCGCAAATGGACGCCGCGCATGCTGGTGCAAAGGCCGGGCTGGGCGACGCTGCGCCCATGTCGGTGCAGCTGCGTCAGAGGCACAAGTTCTCCCGTTCGAGGGACGGCTGTCTCACATGCAAGTACGTCGGACTCTGTCCACCCCGGCACCCATATATTTCTCGAGGGATTCTTTTCCTGACTCGTTTCGCGCAGGCAGCGCAAGGTGAAGTGCGATGAGCTGCAGCCCCGGTGCTCGCACTGCGAGCGTCTCAACATGCAGTGCAGGTGGCGCAGCTCCTCGAGGAGCAGCATTCAGAGCGGCGGCAGTCAGCTGGGCATGAACGGCGCGGGCTTGACCGGCGGCACGCCCGTGATGCGGTCTGTGGGGCCGGCCTCGCCCGGACCGCTGGTCGCTCCCTCTGATCCTTCGCCCTTTGGGCCGCAGGGGCAACAGCCCGTGCCCCAGGCATTTGACTACGCCAGCTTCATGTGGGATGGCAGAGACGCGTGGCAGCAGTTGATCATGGACTTCAATCTCGACACCACCAATGTCGATGCAAATGCCATGGTTAGTGACCAAGTGGTTTATTAATTCGCCGACTAACTCTATATTCTCCAGGCACCACAGTCTGCCACCACCGAACAACTAACCCGCAACAACCAGGAAGTGTTTCTCGCGCCACCGGCTGCAGGAGCTTCACGGAACGGCGGAGAGCTTGAGGCTCCCGCCACCCACGCACCTTCGGAGCCTTCGACTCTGGAAGAGACCAGCCCGCAGCCCAACCAGGAGCTCATCGCGCGGAACGCGGCCGACAACCACCGCCTCATCAACTACTTTACCCACGCCGTCACGCCTCCAATCCTGTCCGAGGTCGAGGCCAAGAAGAATTGGCTCACCATGCGGAAGCTCCTGATCAAGATGGCCGGCGACTCGCGGATGGTGCGCTGGGCGGTCCTGGCCTTCTCCAACGTCATGCTCTGCCGCCAGGAGGGCGACTGGATGGCCAACCAGCAGAACCACTACGAGAATGCCGCCGCCGAGGTGGCCTTTTACGACACGGATATGGAATCCCTGGTCGAGCACAGCCCCCGCAGGGAGAAGCTGCTCGCTGCCCTCTTCTTCCTGAGCTACGTCGACATCCTAGAGGCCAAGATCGAGGCCGCCCACTCGTACCTCAAGCGGGCCTACAACATCTTCAAGCAGGGCCAAAAGGCCGGCTTCTCTCCGACCGAAAAGCAGCTGCTGCTCTGGATCCGCCTGCTCGACGCGCGGACCGTCTCGGCCGGCGGCGAGGGGCTGTTCCTGTCGATCGAGAACGAGGAGATCTTTGTGCAGTCGTCGCCCGCCAGCCTGGCCGAGGAGGACGACGTGGCGGGCAAGTCCGACGCCGACGACGGCGACATCGAGGACGCGCTCTTCCACGCGCTGTACCAGCCGGGCATCGTCTTCTTCCAGAAGGTGCAGAGCTTCATGGGCCACATCGCCAAGATCGATCCCTGGCACCGCTCGCGCGGCACCGTCGAGGACGAGACCGAGGTCATGAAGGTGGCCGAGAAGATCGCCGCCGACCTGCGCGCGCTGTACGACCAGCGGCCCTCGCTCATGGACTACGCCGTCGCGGGCAAGCTGACGGCGCCGCACATCTCGGCGACGCTGGCCTTCACGCTGACGCGCGCCTTCCGGACCTACCTGTCGTGCTACTACGCCTCCAAGATCCACCTGCACCGCGTCGCGTACAAGAGCTTCCCCCTGACGGCCGAGGCCGTCGAGGCCATGGTCCACGTCCGGCGGCTGGCGCGGCTCATCGCCGAGGGGCTCGACGAGGACGAGCCGCTGCCCGTCAACATGCTCTGGCCGCTGATGATGCTGGGCACCGAGGAGCAGGACCCCGGCGAGCGGGCCTGGATCAAGGCGCAGCTGCTGCGCATGGAGAAGGTCGCCGGCAACGCGCGCATCACGGCCCGCGTCCTCGAGGGGGTGCAGCAGCGCCAGGACGAGTGCAAGATGCGCGTCGACATCGGGACCATCATGCACGAGATGTTTGATGCCAGGTTTGCCATTGTCTGAGCTGGCTGGAGTGCCCACGCCCGTGAAGCAAAGGCTTCCCTGTTGGGATGCACCCAATGTTAGTCTCGACCAAAGGACAGACTAAATATTTACATTTCGGTCAGAAGAAACTCGTTAGAGGTATATCTGAGGGAGGAGGACCTCGCCTTTGTGGCTCAGATCACTCCGGGAGTCGAACCAATGCCAGGCTACCATAGACCCGTCAGCGTCGCTTCAGGGAGCCGTTCAGCTCCTGACCCGGGGTTCGGCCTGATCCTGCAGAACCGGACTTGGCCAAGGAGAAACCGTGTGGGGAGGCTACACACAGGAAAGGTTTGCACGGATCTAGTGGCAGGTATCCAGGAGCTCGGGTTGGACACGGAGCCGCAGCCGGGGTATTGAATGCCATCACACTGCCAAACATGTAGGCCATTTAAGTTTTAAGATACCAGTTATATCTTCTCTGAACTCTCATGGGGAACAGGGGCTCCCGGACATGATCTTGAGGAACTTCTTTGCGATACACGGCAAGCGAAGTCGGATGGGATCCATCCATTTGGGCACTCCCTAAGACACAAGCGATCTAACTACACATACGACTTGTAATGGGGCTCTCTGATTAAGTTTCTGGCAATACAATGGTCGCAAAAGTCGGACGCGACGAACAACCATCTCGATTGGAAGTGTCCTAGATGGCTTGATTCAAGTGCAAATCATGGATTCACCAGCGCATCCGATGCCATAAACCAAGTCGGAAGGATATATGTGGCCGTGTGCCAAGAAACTCCCACAGCATTCTCAGCCAGATTCCCATACGCCTGGATGCATCTGGAGTCATTGCATGGGTGTGTCATCCTTGGATCATTTGGTCGGCTAGTAGCGCCGTTCCTCTCGGATAGAAGCCTCGAATCCACAGTCCCATGTGTGAGGAGAAAAGGCGGGGAGGAGACCGACTCAAAATGCTCCGGGAATACCAGCACAGAACCCAGGCATGTGGCAGGCGGCGTCCCCTCCCCCCGGACCCGCTGCTCGGGTGTTAGTGCACCTTGGCTCGCAAGGCCTTGTACACCCCATGGGGGAATCCCAGCTCAAGCCTGGTCATCAGCTTCTGCCCCCTTACTACAAGCCGGTGGCAATGGCTCTTCAGCTGCAGCCGGAGGGAAATTCGTTTTAATATTTGAGATCGTCCCCCTCGTCCATTGAGGATCGGCTACTTGTTGTTGTTGCTGTTGATCCAATACGGACCCGGTCTGTTGGCTCTTCTCTTTTTCAATCTTACAGTCTGGCCCTTTTGCTGTCTCCTCAAAAGCCGCTTCTCCATTACAAGGACAAGGCACAGTCGGAAGAAGCCTCAATGTCGACCACAACCACGCCAGCCACGGCCAACGAGGCCGGAGGCATCTCCGAGGCCAAGGCCGACCACGGCAACGATTACACCCATGTCGAGAGCAAGGCTGTCAACTTTGTCACCGACAACTCGCACGAGGTCTCGGCCGACAGCAACTTCACCTTCTGGCAGACCCTGCGCCACTACTGGCGCGCCATGGCCATCTCCTTCGCCTGCGGCATCTGCGCCATGGGCGACGGCTACCAGTACAAGATGCCCGGCAACATCGTCGCCCTCAAGGGCTTCATCCGGCAGATGGGCTACTTTGATGACCAGAAGAAAGCCTACGTTCTCGAGTCGCAGAAGGTCGCCGCGTGGGGTGGTAAGTCTTTACTTTCTCGAACCTGCTTGCATTCCCAGCTTGGAACCCTTTATGTTGACTGTGCCTGTCTGGCCCACCAGGCACCTATGCTGGGGCTCTCGTCCTTGTCCTTCTTGTCGGCAACTGGCCTGTCGACCGCTTCGGTCGCAAGCCTGCTCTCTGGGCCGTCCAGATTTTCATGATCATCGCCGGTATCATCGAAGTGTTTGCCACAAACTGGACGCACTGGCTGGCAGCCAAGATTCTCAATGTATGTTCCCAGAGGTCCTGTCACTTGCCAAAACTATGTCCGCCACTAACAACAATGTCTTGTCATCAGGGTCTCTCTGTCGGTGCCAACCAGATGGTTGCCACCACCTACATCTCAGAAATCGCCCCGACCAAGGCCCGTGGCGCTGCACTCGGCTTCTATCAGTTGTTTGTAAGTCCCTGCTTGCCCAACGAGTGCATCGACATAGCCGTATCATCGACTAACAGACTTTGGAGTGGGCGATTGGCTCCTTTGCTGCTGCCGTGGCCCTGCAGATCGTGTCTCAACTGGGCATAGACCAGTGGCGCCACGCCGTCTACTCGCAGTGGCCCTTTGTCGGCATGGCCATCATCTGCCTGCTGCTCATGCCCGAGACGCCTCGCTTCTACGCGCAGCGCGGCCGCCACGACAAGGCCAAGAAGACCATGCAGAAGATCTACCGTGGAGTTCCCAACTTCGACATCGAGCACGAGTACTCGATCATCCTCAAGGAGATCGAGGACGGCAAGCTGCTCACCCAGAGCCAGAAGGGCGTAACCGTCCTGGACTGCTTCCGCGGGACCAACCTCGTAAGCCTCTCTCCGCCAATAATCTTTTCTTTCCGCCTTTCGACATCTGTGTGTCTAATATGAGTCGTGTTCCCAGCGTCGGACCATCGTCTCCCTCGTGCCGTTCAACAACCAGCTCTGGGACGGCGCGCCCGTGCTCTTCTCGTACACGTCCTACTTCTTCCAGATGGCCGGCATCGCGCAGCCCTTCATCGCCACCGTCGCCGTCAACACAGTCCTCGTCGTCTTCGTCGCCATCAGCTTCTACACTACCGACAAGGTCGGCCGCCGGCCCCTGCTGGTCTACCTCGGCGCCTTCATGGTGCCGCTGCTCTTCATCATCGGCGCCATCATGAAGCTGCCCAAGTCGACGACCAACGGTACCGCCATGATTGCTGTGTCGTAAGTTTCTCCTTGTCCCGTCGTCCATCTCTAGCTCTTGATACTGATAATGAAAACAAGATGCATCTGGGTCGCCGCCTACTCGTCCTCGGCCGGCCCGCTGGGCTTCACCTTCCTCGCCGACTGCTCGACGGCCGTGCTGCGCGCCAAGACGGCCAACATGGGCGCCCTGGCGTTCGCGCTGCTCTCGCTGGTGACGACCTACTGCACGCCGCTCATGCTCGCGGCGCCCAACTTTGGCGTCTCGGCGACCATGTTCTTCTACGGCTCGACCTCGCTCGTCTTCGTCGTCATCATGTGGTTCGTCATCCCCGAGACCAAGAACCGGTCCTACCTCGAGCTCGACGAGATGTTTGAGCTCAAGGTGCCCGCGCGCCAGTTTGCGACCTACGAGACGTCGGTCGACCGGGCCCGCAAGGCCGCGGCGGCGGCTGGCATCGATGCTACGAAGGTGTGAATGAGCTTCAGGGTCCGTGAGGGCAAAGTCTGATGCGTTATTGGTCGTAGCTCAGACTTCTTTAGTTACTTAAATACTCTTGCCTGTGTAGCCATAGTGGAAGTCATCAATATAGGTATTCATGTTGACCATTGTTGTCCGTTATTGCCTGGTGTTGTGTGTACAAGTCTATGATCGTTTTAGTGAATGGAGAGGTGAGATAACTATTCTATCTGCTGAGTCGTTTAGAGTCTGTAGGTACCTATGGACCTTTTCCTAACCATGTCCATTCCAAGATTTTGTGTCACTCGTCGTTCTACCATCTTAGCACTGCTGTTCTCTTGACGTAGTTGCTTTGTTACCTTGTCTATCATAATCCCTTTAATGCACCAATTCTATCAGGCATGTTCGCCAACTCTCTATATCTATGTCTCCATGCTCGTTGCACCGCACCTTTCCCCGTCCTGCTCCCTCACTTCGAAGCTTCCTCCTCCTCCTCCTGCATCCGCGCCAACTGTGATATCAGGTCCACGACAGACTTCCTAAAGCTCGTGTACTCGATCCCCAGCTCGCGCGCCGTCGACTCGCCGTCCCACCCGTACGACTCGTCCACGGCCTGCCGCTCGCGCCGCACCCTCCCCCTGGCCCAGGCGAACTCCTCCTCCATGATCTGCGCCGCCATGTCGTAAGAGAACCGCTCGGGCCCGCCGGGTATGAACCGCCTGCCGCCCGCGCCGGGGCGCAGCACGGCCTCGACGTGCGCGGCGGCCAGGTCGCGCACGTCGATCCACGAGGGCACGCGCGCGGCGCTCAGCGGCTCGCCGCGCGCGACCTTCCACAGCATGGCGTTGGTCTCGTTGAGCTGGCCGAGCCCGGCGACGGGGTGCACGACGGGGCCAAAGGTCATCGAGGGGCACAGCGCGACGAGGTCGAACCCGGGCCTGCGTGTGGCCACGAACTCCCAGGCGGCCTTCTCGGCGAACTTTTTCGCGCCGCGGTAGGCGAGGTAGGCGGGCGTGGCCGCGGCCGTGGCCTCCTCGTACGTGAGCGGGTTCCAGTCCGCGCCCGTGTAGACGAAGTAGGGCGGGACGCCGTGGCGGTCGACGTCCATGACGGCGGCGAAGGACGAGGTCATGACTACGCGCCTGACGGTACCGCTGGCGGCGGCGGCCTCGAGGACGGCCTTGACGCCGTTGATGGCGGGGATGATGAGCTCCTTCTCGTTGTCCTTTGTGTCGTAGGTCAGGGGCTGGGATGCAACATATACACGTCAGCTACATGAAATTGTTCTTCCGAGTTATGCCGCCGGACAACAGAGAAGGAAAACTTACACTGGCAACGTGGACCACGGCGTCAATGTCCTTGACGGCGTGGTCGAGCCGGCCGGGGTTCTCAAAGTCGTCAATCTGCACAAAGTCGAGCGAGGAGGCGAACTGCGGCCTGGCCTTGATCATGGCGTCGCCCTTGGCCAGGGACCGGGTGGCGCCGCGGACCTTGAGGCCCCGGCGGAGAAGCTCGTCGACGACGTGGGCGCCGATGAACCCGGTAGCTCCGGTGACGAGGACATATTTTCTGCAGTAGAGGAGAGAAACAGAATTAGCTTCCATTTGGAGTAGAAACCTAAGAGAAAAGGCTTCTGGAGAGTTACATACGGAGATGGAGACATGGCCAGCCAAAAGGAAACACGCGGGACAAACCAAAAAAAGAAAGCGGCGAGCAATGGGACAGAGAGAAACACGGCAAAGACGCGACTCAGAGGCTGGCCTAGAACACTTGTGTCCTGGTCTGGTAACAAGGGCAGACTTAAGGATCAGTATGTCTGGCCATTCGACCAAAGATTCCAGCCAGCCAGCCAGATCCTCTGCGTTTCCTCACTCGCCTCAGCGAGCCCCCGCGCGAGAGAGCATACACTTGGAGTATTCGCACGCTGATCACGATCGGATGGGTGAGGCGCTAATATGCGACCAGGACGCCCCACGATGCCGGGTCCTGGTGGAGGAGGCGTTTTTGGCGTATCCGATCGCAAAGTGCGGAGATGGCCCGCCTCCGAGTCCACCCCAAAGGAACTAATGCATCCGGGTCTGCCTCGTGGCCTGTCGCGACAGTCTACATGTGTCACAATGGCGCAGTTTAGCTTCGATAGAGACGAGACTTCTCTGGCCGGACCCTCTTAGCATGCGAGTGTCAACCAGCTTCACGGCAACCGATCGGGGCGCGGGGCATGGCGTCGTCTAGCTATGTCGGCTGTCTTCGTGGTTTTGGCGAGATAGCTTCAGATATCATGCTCGAGTCGATCTGCCTGTCATCACCATTGTCATACTTTCTTGGCTGCGAGAAGGCTACTCCAATATTTTCCAAAAGAGGCGTCAAGCTTCCACCTCTTGATCTTGCAGTAGTCTCTGTTTCTCCTACACCCCCTTTTTGAAACATAGACCAACTGCCCGTCATGACCAAGTACGACCAGTACGAAGGGTTCCAGGTGGACTCGGCAAAAGACTACACCACCTTCACCAAGAGGAAATTCGACACCAAGCCCTTTGGCGACTACGATGTCGAGATCAAGATCGAGTGCTGCGGTGTCTGCAGCAGCGACATCCACACCATCGACGGCGGATGGGGCGAGAGGATCCTGCCCCTGACTGTCGGCCACGGTAAGACCACTTGAAGGAGTAACAAATAAAAAGAAAAAAAAGTCAAATCTGCTAACACGCTCTGAAAACAACAGAGATCGTAGGCAAGGCCCTCAAGGTCGGCCCCAAGGTCACCAAGATCAAGGCCGGCGAGCGTGTCGGCGTCGGCGCCCAGTCCTACTCGTGCCTCGAGTGCCGCCAGTGCCGGAACGACAACGAGACGTACTGCGCCAAGCAGATGGACACCTACGGCAGCGTCTGGCCCGACACGGGCCTCGTGACGCAGGGCGGCTACGCCTCGCACGTCCGCACCCACGAGCACTGGGTCTTCCCCATCCCCGACGCCATCCCCAGCGCCCTCGCGGCGCCCATGCTCTGCGCCGGCATCACCATGTACAGCCCGCTCGTGCGCAACGGCGCCGGGCCGGGCAAGAAGGTCGCCGTCGTCGGGCTCGGGGGCCTGGGCCACTTCGGCGTGCTCTGGGCCAAGGCCCTCGGCGCCGAGACCTGGGTCGTCTCGCGCACGCACGCCAAGGAGGCCGACGCCCGCGCCATGGGCGCCGACGGCTTCCTGGCCACCTCGGACGGGGGCTGGAACGAGCCGCACCGCATGACGTTCGACCTGGTCATCAGCACGGCCAACGACTTCGGCCCCGGCTTCGACCTCGCCGGCTACCTGTCGCTGCTCGACGTGCACGGCAAGTTTATCAGCGCGGGCGTGCCCGAGGACTCCAAGCTCGAGATCACGACGCCCATGCTCATCGCCAGCGGGTGCTTCATCGGCTCGTCGCACCTCGGCAGCCGCAGGGAGATGCTCGAGATGCTGCAGCTCGCCGCCGACAATGGCATCAAGGCGTGGGTCGAGGAGGTGCCCATCAGCGCCGAGAGCCTGTCCAGCACTGTCAAGCGGCTGGAGAAGAACGACGTCCGGTACCGGTTTACCATGGTGGACTATGACAAGGCCTTTGGTGCTTAGAGTGGAGGCTGTGGACTTGTTGATTAGTACTATTTAGTTACCAGATAGAGAATGGATGGTCAGAGTGCGGCTTATTCAACCCTTTTGTTGCCTCGAGTTGGCATTTTTAAATCACTGGTGGTGTCTGATTCACCCCTGCAACTGTTGGTATAGCTCAGAATGTAAGAAGAACTACAAGCTCACATTGGTCCCGAGAGATCGCGAGGCGTTGCCGTCTCTCTGCGCAAACAACACATTTCCAAGCGCAAGCAATCATGGTCGGCATATATGGGATAGCACAGTCTATTTTGCTTTCTAGAGATCTCGCTTCTAGAACTGAAAGAGTCTATTGCAGAAGAGGACTGTCATTCAGCTTCTTCTCGTCCTCCATCAACGGCTTCACGGTGGCCGCGATCCGTTCCTTCTTGCCGGCGTCCGTGAACTTGGGGTACGGTCTCCGGCAGTGGCGCTTCTCCTCCGGGTATCCGAGGAACTTGCCCGTCACCCACTTGGTGCCGTTGATGCCGCCCCAGGTCAGCCCCCACTCCATCTGCGCCAGCTTGAGCTGCATAGCCTCTGCCTCCTTGATCTTGCCGGCCTGGTAGAGGTCATACAGCTTAACACAGAACTACCGAGCGAGATGTCAGTCATAGGCCCTATATGACATTGCACACTCATGTGTGTGTGTGTGTGTGTGTGTGTGTCCGTGGGGAAAACGGGTCATTTGCTTACCTTGGGGTACAGATTGCTCACGCCGGTGACGGCCCCGGTGCCCCCGACCGTGAGGGCCGGCAGCAGCCAGTCGCTCTGGCCGGCGACGGCGCTGAACTCGGACGGCCGGTGGGCGGCGGCGATGCGCGCGACCTTGGCGATGCCGCCGCACGTCAGCTTGACGCCGACGATGTTGGGGTGCGCGCCGAGCTCGATGAGCATGTCCGAGTCGAGGTCGAGCCCCGCGGCGACGGTGGGGAAGTTGTAGATAACGATGGGCACGGGGCTGGCGTCGGCGAGCTCCCGGAAGAAGGCGACGATGGCGGCGGCGTCCATGGCGAAGTGGAAGTAGCTCGGGACCAGGACGAGGGCGAACTCGGCGCCGGCCTCCGCGGCCAGGCGCGTCTCGTGGACGACGGCGCGCGTGCTCTGGCCGCCGCAGCCCATGGTGACGGTCAGGTCCGGGCGGCCGAGCTCCTTGGCTGCTTCGACGGTGGTCCGGACGAGCCTGGACTTTTCCTCATCTGTGAGGGTGACGGCCTCTCCGTTCGTTCCGGCTAAGATTACTGTGTGCGGACGTCGCATCAAGTCAGTATGGGTCGATTGGGCTGATATGTGACTTCTACTACTCACCACCATGAACTCCTGAACGGATGAGGAACTTGATGTGCTCGGTCTGGAGGTCCCAGTCGATCTCCTGGGTGTCATTGTCGGTGAACCATGTCAGGCATGGCGAGTGGATTCCAGGAGGGAAAGGCTTTCCCTGTGCAGGCATGGTGGCGATGTGTTGAGAAAAGGGTTGGTTGGGAAGTGGTTTGACACGATTACGAATGGCGATGCCAGCTGGACAAGATATCGGTCCAAGCGGTAACGAAAACGGGCTGTCGCTGTCTTTCACCGGATCAGAGCTTTTACCTGGAATGCTGCGTGATCGGGAAGGCCATTGCCTGGCACCCGACCGGCCGACGGTAACTGATCCCCTCCATGCCAATGTGGTGCAGTGCGGGGTGTTCGGTTCTACGCGTGCATCATCAGCAGACTCTCCTCATCCTGACAACGTGCTTTGCAGCAGGATCTGTCTTGCTTGGTTGGTGAAGAGGTGGAGGAGGGGATCATTTGGAGAACACGGCGTGTGGAGTTAGAGCGTTGGGCAAGCGACTCCATCCGTCGCATCGCATCCGATCGGATAGCGGTGGGGATTCATTCGATGGCTTCAATGTTCTACGTAGTGTAATGAAGATGAAAGCAACCGTGCACACAGCCCATCTCCATCTGTCACTCCAGATCTCCAGACTTTTAGCCACGTTTGACTCGTTCCCCGCTCGAGTTGGGGTATGTTGGAGCTAGCCGATAACCGACCTTGCCTCTCCCTCTTCTCGATATCACGAGATTCTTGTTGCGGTCCCGACTCTGCGGCTGCTATTTGTATCGGCGTCAATCTTCCCCTGGTTTAGTCTTATCAATGTAGTGTTGGCTCGTCAAAGCTGTCTGTAACATCGAAACAAGACAAACTCTGGTGTCTTCGTCTGCAACTTCTTTCTAGCCCCTTCGCTGCCACACCCCCCGCCTCAGTCCAGCATGCCGTCCAAGACAGACGCTCCCGTTGTCATTCGCCTCTCAGACGAGGAGCGGGACTCGGGCTCCCTCACCGACCACCACCTATACGATGCCGTCGAGGCCTTCTTCAACGACGGCTTCGTCGTACTAGAGAACGCAGTCCACGATGACCTGATCGACAAGCTCAACGACCGCATGCTTCAGGACACACAAAAGCTTCTGGCTGGGCACGGCCTGTCACACTATGCGTGAGCATCATGTTTAAAGAGAGACTGGAAGATCATACAGTCGCTAACTTGACCTCGTGCCTGGTAATTAGCCCCTTGAACAACAAGGTAGCAGAGAAGGGCGCCGCAGCTGGCGGGAACCTCTCACAAGTGCCTCCTCTAGAGAAGGGTAAGTTCACCACCACGGCTCCCGGATGGTCACACTATCAGATGCGGCACATCCAGGGCACTTTACTGACCGACTTGTCGCAGAGTGGCTCTTCCCCGAGGTCTTCGCCAACAAGCACGCCGCCCAGGTCATCTCGTACATCCTGGGGCCCAGGCCCGAGGTCCACTTCCTCCGCTCAAACACCCTCCTCAAGAACGACGACCGGCAGCGCGTCCACTCGGACATGCGCTTCGAGCACCCCACCCACCCCTTCGCCATCACCCAGAACGTCTGCCTGTGCGACTGCGGGCCCGAGAACGGCATGACCGAGCTGTGGCTCGGCACGCAGAACACGGGCGTCGAGATCCGCCCGCAGCTCGGCGAGCCCTTCATCGAGGAGACGGTCGTGGAGGAGAGGAGAAAGGTCCGCCCTCCTCTGTACCCGCGCGTCAAGAAGGGCTCCATCCTCGTCCGTGACCTTCGCCTATGGTACGTGGTTATTTGAGCCCCCCTTGCTCCCATCTCTGTCTTTGGAGGACTCATCTTCTGACATTTGCTCCTTTTACACTAGGCACGCCGGCATGCCCAACCCCTCGGACCAGGTCCGGATTCTCCTCACCATCAACTACTACGCCGGATGGTTCAAGAACGGCGCCCTGGTCTCCTTTCCCGAGTCGCTGCGGCCCCACGTCGAGGAGCTGGAGAGGTACGCAAACATCAAGATCGCGGCAAACTATGAGCCAGACGAGGGCTACGACTACCTCAACTCCAAGTTCAGCAACAACTTCAGCTCCGTACTTCATCCCGAGGCCTGGGAGAAGATTGCCCATGTCAAGACTGCCAAGGGCTACTAAAAGAGACGGAAGGCGATGTGGATGAGAAGGAATTGGCTCAAGCGGCTTGCCTTCGCTTGCTCCATGCACATTATAGCAGCATCAGATGAACGTTACACCCGAAGATTCCCCTCAGCAGTTTCCTCCTGTGCAAAAGTAGAACGGTCCGAGACATGTTTATACCGCAACTCGATCAGTGCGGTTTTAGCTTTCTTACCCATGCAAAGTAGAAATAGTCTACAATTTCAGATTTGAAATGGTCTCTAAAATTATCAGCTCCACCACACCTGGCGCAGTCAGAATCCCTAAGTTGATTGATTTGTTTCACAGGACTGTCAAAACTGAGCTGTTATTGAGTTTGTGCAAGTATGTATTGAGAATGAAAATTGAATCAAGAAAGACCTTAAATCTTAACATGAAGCGTCAAAGGCGCTGAACCAGGAATGCTGACGAGCCTCGTCGGCATTCATCCTACGTTCTTGCTCCTCGCAGAGAAGACATTGCAAGAAATTCACATCCAGCTTAGTCACATCTCCCCGCTTGCATGTGATTGATTTGAGTGACTCGACCTTGGAGCCGTGGTTTCGCCTTACATCATCCAAGTTCGTGAATAGTCGTTCGCCCATGAGCATTCTGTACACGATGCAGCCCAAAGACCAAATATCCACTTTCGGTGAGTAGGTCTGGAGTGGAGAAGCTTCAGCCTTGATGATCTCAGGGGCCGAGTATCCCCATATCTCGGGCACGTCGATTATCTTAGTCTTTAGTCCATCGATGACATGCTTTGAGATGCCGAAGTCTCCGATCTTGAGGGACCCATCGCCATCAAGCAGAATATTCTGGCGTGTCCCATTCAGTTAGTAAAAGCATAAGCATCATTTGATTAAGGGGACATACTTTGGGCCTTAAGTCACGATGAGTGAATCCTGCCTTGTGAAGAGCACTCAGGCCGGCAATGAGCTGTGCTATTGGTTTTTGTAGTGGCTCATATGGTTGGCGATGGGCCCAGGTAACCTCCCTGGCGTAGCATCCGCTGTCTTCTTGTAGATAGGTCTCCAGGTCACACTGCATTAATTGCATAGTGATAAAGAAGTGGCCGTGCAAGAACATCCACCCATAGAAGTGGGCGAAGTTATCCCTGACTGACGGGCGCTGGGGCATGTGAGCTACTCGCTCCTCGGGTGTGTTATGAAGGGAGGATCAGACGCGACGAACCTCTGCTAGTTGTCCCAGTATGGTCAGTTCTTTGAGCATCCGCAGATAACGGAGTCGGAATTTCAGTCCGGATACGACCTTAACTGCAAACCTAGCAGGCAGCAGATTCCTGGAATCTGTCTTCTGGGCAGCGAAGACCGCCACGCTCTGGCCACCATCCCCCAAATGCTTCTGCAACTCGAACTGCAGACTGGGTTCTGGTAATCGTCTCTCTATCAGCCAAAATAATTAATCCATGAAGCCATACTTTCATCCACTGGAGTCTTAGATACCTTGCATACGCTGGGACGAGGCCACCACAAAAGCCACCTTCTCGATGTCAAGAACAGTGACTCGAAAGTGGCCTGACGGCGAGCTTTGTACGAGCCTCCTTACAGTATTGACGCCTTCCAAGAGTCTACTGTACCCCTTAATATCTTTCCTATTATATTCGACCTCCATCCAATTGCAGAGAGCGTCGGAAAAGAACGGCAAGTCGTCGGAGTATGCTGTGGACAGGATCAACGTTGCGGTCCCCAGCCCCACCCCCTGCAGGAACGTCAGACGATGGATGGCTCGTTGATAGTCTTTGTCCTTGGCATAGATCCGAAAGGCTTCACGTGTAACAGTTACCACTTTGCTCGCCCTGTTCCGCTTCAGTCTTTTGATATTAGACGCTGCTGCCACGGGGATGCGAAAGTGGGGTCGATTCACGAGCCTGTGGCCGGCCAAACTGCAAATATGTGAGAATGGAAACCGCGCAAGTCCAGAAACAACACGACCTACTACACCCAATTGACCAGGCGAATTAATTCACTTTGCTTGAGATACATGGGGTTGCGACCCTGGCATGCTTCGGGTATCGTCTCGAAGCGGGACTTGTCTAAGTCCTGCATCGGATTCGAAACATGCTGCCCGTATGCTTCAAGAAATGCCTGAAAGTCCTCACCGGTGATCTTGTCAAATTCAGGTCGTCTGCTCAACAGCTCCAGATATCTACAGACTTCCAATTTTGACATCTTCAATAGTATCGCAGATCTTCTATAGAAGACCTAGGATACAGGGTTGAATCCTGGCAAAACGCAGAGTGACAACGAAATTTGCAATGGGGAGTGCGCGCAAAAAAACATGGTGCGGGGCGAGAGCCTTGTCTGTATTTTCGGAGGAGGACGGGCTTAGCAATTTACCGAACTGTATCCATGGATCCATACACTCGGAGTGGAATCCAGCTGAAGGTGTATGTGACATGATTGTAAGTCCTTGCAGCGTGGCGCACGCCGGGCCAATCACTTCTCGTGGTCGACATTTTCCGCCTTTCCGCCTACATTCGAGACGGAGCCTTCTTTCATTTGGTGCCTCGCTTAGAACCTTGGCCATTGTCTGTCACATGAGCTGCGAGTAGAATAACTCGGCCGATGTACCTTGAAATCACTAGCTTCTTGATCTGCCCCTACACTGCCTTCGCATAGTAAATATATTGAAATATGCTCTCATTGGCTTTTCAAGAAATCCTTCAATTTGTGTACTAGATCACTGACACATTTCGCGGTTAACAATCAGTCAATTTATTATCGCCACAATACGGCCTTTCATGGACCTTTGGGCAACTCTGCTGTGCAGGCAGCTGAAATCTCACTTCTTATACGACTTTTGATAGATTTCCAGTGCCTCCGTGGCGGTTGGCCTCTTGTCCGGATCGATGCGAAGCAGCTTTTTCACCAACTTTGCTTCCCGCCTGAACCCTCTCCAGTTAGTACAAGCCAAACCTCTGACTTTGCTTCCAGCTCTATTTTTCGTGTCAAGATCATGGTCCAGGAATTTACGTCCCTTGATCATCCTATAAACGACACACCCCAGCGACCAAAGGTCCGCGCTCGAGGTATAGTTGCCGAGGAATATGGTTCTGACTTTGAGAACCTCAGGCGCTGTGTATCCAGTTGTGCCTGTCTGTGTAGCCATTGTAGTTTGCTCGCGATTGCGTGCCTGTTTAGAAACTCCGAAATCCGCGATCTTGATATTGCGGTCTTTGTCAAGCAGTATATTCTTAGCGACGATTCAGTCTAGTGTGTTAGCCTGTTTACAAAGTAACGGGTTTGTTTCTCATAACAACATCTTACTCACAGACGGTTTGAGATCTCGGTGCGTGATCCCCTCGCTATGTAAGTCTCTTAAACCTTCCAGTAACTGACACACTGGGCGCTGGATTTCCACCTCGGAAGCTCCTGCCCAGGTTATAAGAGTTTCGCCTCCCTCCCCTGAGGTTGTTAGTAGGCTCTCTAGATCCATGCACATCCGTTCCATTGCAATGTGGAAATGGCCGTGGGAGAAAGACCACCCATAAAATTTAACAAGATGCCTCTGGGGTATGAGAGGAGTTAGAACATGGGATGTTGGTAGCAGAAGTCGGCGGATATTACCGTTTCTAGTTCTTGGCTAGCATGGATTTGAATCTCGTTGAGATATCTGCCGATATTGCGTTTATACGTCGAGATGCTTTTCACTGCAAAAGTGTCGGGGAGCAACTTATGATACGATTTTTTCGACCCCTTTGATATTTTCGTATCGTTGCCGCGGGCTGTCCCCACTTCCTCTCTTTCGTCAATATCAATGACTTCGGGATCAATGTGGGTAGCTGTGTGTATTAATAAACCATTTCAAGATCTCATGTCGGCTCTGCCTACCTCTCAGGGTATTCCAGCGGTCCAACACATACGCCAATTTCTCGATCTCTTGGGCAGTAGGTCTTTTGTCTTCGGTTGTTTTCATGTTGTCCATTACTTGATCACAATGATGCTCGAACAGGGCATAATCCTCGGCGTAAGTATCATTTCCCCACTTGTTTCTATTGTTCACTTCGTGACTCAATGCGTCTCTACCGACGTTGATGCAATTCCGCAGCTCCGGTGAGCAAAATGGCACCTGGTCTGGATACTTTGCGGATAGTATCAAAATGGCCAAATCAAACTTTGTAGGGACCATCTCTTCGTCCTGTTTAAGTAGTACTTGGAGCTTCGATACCGCGCAAGCATGCTCGTTATTGTCGAAAAGTGTGAAGGCTTCGTCAGCAGCCTTCTCAATTTCCGAGGATTTGGTGCTCTCCAACAATTGGTGGTGGGCTCTGCAGACATCTCGCTGTTTACCAAGACAGCGTTTGCTACAGGTTTGTCAACGAGCCATCTAGGTACAAACATTTAGCATCATATGAAGAGGGCTCGTACTATAGCCAGTGACTGAGCTCGATGATGATTTGGTATCGTTCGAGCTGACGTTGTTCTCTGTTGCTATCTTCTTGTTCGCTCTTGTTTCCATCTACTGCAGAAGCAGTTAGACCTTTGAAACGGATCTTGTCGAGTGCTTCGATTCCAATCGGAAGGAATTGCGAATATAGATAGAGGAAGTGCTGAATATTTGTTGGACTGAGATTCCAGAGGAGTGTATTATCCTTTGATACAACTTCAATCCAAGCACTCATCGCGGATTCCCCCGACATGATTACCGATGTCAGAACGTGTGTTGGCTCGTTTCAAGTTTGCGGGCACTCTTCCAGGCGAGGCTGCTGCTTCGATAACAAGAGAGAGGGACTGAGAGATGGGTAACCCGTCTTTTCGAAGCGCTGGGACTCCTTTATGACCGTGTGTCAGGGGCGCGTGAGGACTAGCAGCGTCGACTACCTGCACGTATATGCCCGTTGACCATGCCCACCTTCTCACACCACGGGCGCGCGTCTCGAGGGTTCAGCCGACTGTGGGCTTTTCCTTCTGCTCTATCTAACTTGGCGAGCTTCATGCATGCACTTCTCGGCAACGCTGATTGGATTGCTGCACGAGGTAAGCTCTGGAAGTGGCTTAGACACCTTTCCTGTATGATAGCACTGTAAAGCAGCACATCGTGCTTGATTCGATCCACGATGGACGGTCATTTTATGCCGACAGTGCTGCAAGGCGCAAGCCGAGCTGCGGCCAGAAAGTACTGAACCAATGAACATCATATGCGCAGCAGAACTTGCCCCTCCACTATACTGCATATATGGCGCTCTTGCATGGGTGCCCGATGCTTCGTACACGCGTCCTGTCCTGTTCTTCATGCGCAGAATACCGGCCTGCATGGCGACACTACGTGGGCGGTCAAGGCTCTTGTGGTCTTGGGTGTCATGAGTTAAATACCGCGCTGCATACGGACCTCTGTTGAATCACTACACGCCTCGGCTGGTGGATGTCTCCGCGCTCCAAACATCGACCCGACCTGCCCTCGATACCAAAGTACCCATCATGGATGCCGCCGGGCTGGCCTTTGCGGCGTACAAGGACGTTTATTTCCTAGCCAAAGGCATATATCGACTGGGAATGTCGGCACAGCACTACAAAGAGGAAAACCACCAGCTCCTAGTCAAATTCCGCACCCAATGTCTGTACTTGCGGATGTTCAAGCACTTCTTCATTTCTGTAATCGGAAGTGGATCTACACAGGAGCCGGCTGAAATCGCAGTACGTACTGTCCTTTGGACTACTCTGTTGCCGAGGCGCGGAACACGCGGTCTTGAGTGCGGATCTTGCCTCTGTGGACGCGAATTTGACATTCTATACATCAAAGATCCTGATAAATCAAGTGGACGGAGTCATCAACTGCCTTGGACAGGCCCTCGCGCGCTACCGTGACCTGGTTCACGCGGAAGACGAGGAATACCGTAAACAGAGTGAGTCTTTGACCCGGGACAACGCCAGTTCGGAAGGACTGCTCGCGATCACTCTGGGCGACATATTGCCCCCTCCACCTCTGCTTCAGCCCAACGCCTCAACAATATCATTCAAGGACCAGCCCATCTTCAGTGTCAGTGCCTTGAAATGGGCCTTGTTCGATCGGTCTACGCTTAAAAAGGCCGTTGACAGCTTTCGGGAGTGGAACGCCGAGCTGAAAGTTTTCGAACCATTGATCGTTGCGACCCTGTTCGTCACATACGACGCCCGGCAAACTCTGGAGGCTACGATCAAGAGTGATCCACACTCGAACCAGGACGTATTCGTGCCACATGTCCAGATCTCGCGGTTGGCGGAGAATTCCGCATTGCCTGGGTTCCAGCTGTTGGTCCCGATACGTCGCAGGCTGGCACAGCATCTACTGAGGTACCTCCTGAAACACGACTGGAGAAGAAGACTTATCCTCCGTATGGGGAGGAGAGTGCCAAGGTTAAAGAGGCTCTGAGCCAATTAGCGGCTTTGTTGGGAGCTGCCAGCGCGCACGATTTTCATACACTTCCTCTGAAGAGCTGTGTCGATAACTCGGTCGAGCACCAGTTCTTCTTCTCATTCGGGTATCCCGAAGGCGCGTCTGACCGTGCACCGGTTAGCTTACAGGCGATACTCTCGAAGAAGCCGGGCGCCCTGTCTCTGCCTCTACGTTTCCACATCGCGCTTACCATTTCCCGCGCCATCGCTGCCTTTCACGCCGACGGGTGGCTCCACAAGGAGATCAGCAGCAGCTCGATTCTATTCTTCTTTGACGAGGGTGGCCGCTGCATGTATCTCCAACCCTACCTCGTCAACTTTGAGTACTCGCGGCCAGACACGGCCGAGACCAACATGACGGCCGACGATGACCTCGCCCGGAACGTCTACCGCCACCCGGATCGCCAGGGATCGCGGCCAAATGTCCGTTTCGACAAGACGCACGACTTGTACTCCCTGGGAGTGGTTCTCCTGGAGATTGGCGTATGGCAGACCGCATTGTCGATGAGGAATGACAGGTTAAAGCAGGAGGGCATCTTCTCCAGTCGCAACGTTGGGCCGACACAGGAGATTTTTGAAACCAAAACCAAGGAATGGCTGGGACACACCATGGGACCAGCGTACCAAAAAGCCGTGGAAGCTTGCCTGAATGGGACGTTTGAAGCGTTCCTGCGCAGGGACAGCATATTCGCATTGCAATTTCAGAGCAAGGTGGTGAAGAGAGTGGACCCAGATCGGGTCAGGCAGGTGGAGGAGGAAGCAGATTAGAAGAAGTTGGAGCTATTGGCATCGGAAATTGGATCATCGCCGAAGCGGATATTACAGTGATTATAGATTGTGCTCAGATGTCTACAGTTGTGTGGAGGTTTCATCGGAGGGTCGAGTGAGTGTGGCACACGAAAGATGTAGGAGTTGGGAAGATGTAACGCGAATCAACACCCAGGCCTTGCTAGGGGCCATGATTGAAGCTAGTAAGGATGGAGGAGGTGAGGAGAGATTGGCTCATGCTGACCAAGTGTCAAATATCAAGATTGTGTCTAGAAAATGAACTTTGTGTAGCTTTAAGAGGCCTGTGAACTCTGAGAACAGGAACGTTTGTTTTATAACCCTTCCATGCCAGTCACGAGCCTGAACTTAATGGACGAGCCTGATTAATAACACTTGAATTATGCTCTATATCTGCTATCGATGAGGGAATTCCCAACTTTCAATGAATAACTTGAGTTCTCAAGAGCATGGCATGCTCGTACTTCCTACTTTAGTCTCGACCTCAGTCTATATGTCCTCAGCGGATCGGTGGTATGAAGTCAGTTGATTAAGTAAAAGGTGGAGCAATGAGGTGCGTTCCTAAAGTTTTGTCATGCATGAAATGCGTGGCTTTTACCCAAAAGGGAAAACAGCACGAGGTGTGGACCGATTTGTCAACCAGCTCTCTCATAACTCCGGATATTGTCGTGGCGTTAAGCACGACCTGCCTGACGATGCCGCATTCTATCTTGTCCATAAGTCCATACGCCCGTCATCGCCAGGAAGAGAGACTTAGGAGCTGCTGTACAACATGAGCCTCCTCCAAATATTTAAGGTGCTCGATGCGCCGCCCTCTTGTCGTACAGTCGGAGTTGAAACCAACATCTATCATTTAGAACTCCATCATCAATACTATTCCTCACTTTTTAAAGTCTCCTGATCTCCCAAGCACACTACCATGGACTTCCCCAACCCAGCACTCATTGGCGACGCCGCCAAGTTGCCCACAAGCCCCAGCGTCGGGCCCGTCATCAGCTACGACGCCGTCGTGCTCCCCTGCCCGGACCGCGCCCTCGACCTCGAGGTCAAGGTGACCTTCCCCGCCGCCGCCGCCGCCGGCGCGGAGAAGAAGCTCCCCGTCATCCTGCTGTCCCACGGCCACGGGCCCAGCAATTACCTCTCCTCGCAGCAGGGGTACGTCCCCGTCGCCCGCTTCTGGGCCTCGCGCGGCTTCGCCGTCCTCCAGCCCACGCACCTGTCCTCGCGCAACGCGGCGCTGCCCCTGGACCCGGCCACCATGCGCCACAACTGGCTCGACTCGCGCGCGCGCGACATGTCGCGCGTCCTGGACCGCCTCGGCGAGCTCGAGGCCGGCGTCCCGGCCCTCGGCAGCGGCAGGCTCGACCGCGACCGCGTCGCCGTGGCGGGCCACTCGCTCGGCGGCTTCACAGCCGCGCTGCTCCTCGGCGCCGTCAACACGGACCCGCGCGACGGCGCCGCCAGCCGCCTCGCCGACCCCCGCGTCAAGGCCGGCATCCTCATCGGCACGGGCGGCAGCGCCGGCGCCGACGGGGCCAACCTCTCCGACAGCGGCCGCCGGATGGTGCCCTTCTACGGCACCGAGTTTGCCGAGATGCGCGCCCCGGCGCTCGTGGTCTGGGGCGAGGACGACGTCAGCCAGCACCTGACGACGCGCGGCGCCGACTGGCACCGTGAGCCGTACGAGCTGGCCCCCGGCCCCAAGGACGCGTTCATGGTCAAGGGCGGGCTGCACGGGTTCGGCGGCATCAGCGGGTGGGACGCCAAGGAGTGCCAGGACGAGAGCCCCGAGCGGCTGGCAGCGTTCCAGCGGCTGACGACGGCGTGGCTGCGCAGCCAGCTGTACGAAGGGGATCAGTCGTGGAAGGAGACGGTCGAGGCGGTCAAGGGGTTTGAGTCGAGCCTGGGCAAGATCGAGAGCAAGGGGTATTGACAAGGAGCGTCTGTCTTGTAGCTGCACTGGCGCCCTGATCACTCGTATGAGAACACACAACCTTGCTTAATGACTTTTCGGTACTGCTAAACAGATACAAGATGTGAAGTGAAGATACTGTCTCCACAGCTAGATCGAAATACGACCCTCTTCAGATCCTAGAAAATGACAGTGCTGTTGATTATTCCTTCAAAGCCTCCAAGCCTTGCCAACTTCACGTACGTATTTTCCACCATTCAGTCCACAGCAAATTCGATATCTCTTTACGCCCAAGCCTCCACGTCAGCCCACGGCACGTTGACAGCGACCTCGTCACAACTGATGACCCGCCTAAACTCGGCCTCCTCCGCCGCCTCGTCCGCCGTCTGCCGCCGACCCGGCACGGTCTCCTTGGCCGTGTCGTTGCACTGCAGGGACATGGTAGTCCCCCCAGACACGCGAAAGTTGGCACTGCAAAAGGGCCAGTGAGTCAGCCAGTGGACACCAACCACCGTGGAACGCGGAATGGAGAGAGAGAGAGAGAGAGAGAGAAAAAAGGGGAAACTCACGGATATCCCTGATCATCACACACCCAAGTCTGGTTGATGTCCAGCTTCCCAGAGGGCCTGTCGTACCGAAACAGGGCCCTCGCCGGCGCCTTCTCTCCACTGCCAGCCTCGTCGTAGTCGCAAGGGTACCACTGCTCCCCGTAGAAGAAGTCCTCGGCCTTCATGCTCGACGCCGCGCAGTGCGACGACCGCCCGACGGCCGGGTTGGTCACGTTGAACGTGATGAAGGCGTAGGGCGAGCCGCCCTGGCCCTGGGCGTGCGGGTAGCGCGCGCTGTAGAGCAGCTCCGTCACGGTCCAGTTGGGCGTCGACATGGCGACCGAGGTGCAGCCGCACTTCTGGAGCGAGGTGCACGACGAGTCGGAGAGCCGAGAGAGGTCTCCTCCTCCTCCCGGACCCGAGGGGACTCCGGCCTCCGTGCCCGTCTCCATGAGAGGAGCGGCGGCGGCCGGGCCCGCGAGCGGGGAGAGGAGCGCAAGGAGGGTGACGGTGGACTTGAGCGAGGATGGCGGCTGACGCATTTCCAGAGGGAGGCACAAGGGCCTGGGCCGGTATTCAGAGTGAATAGAGAAAAGTATTGGTAAGATCTAGAAGAAGAAGAAAAGAGATAAGCCAACAGAGGAATTGTTTCCGCAGTGCGATGTTGTGCGGCTTGAAGATATCTCAGATTCCAAATAAGGCGGGTTGCGTTTTGAAACGGTCCACGATCTCGATCTCGATCCCCAAGGTCAGCTCCCTTATATAGATAGGCCCTGCGCCCGCCGAGCCCGCCGCCGAGTGGGCAATATCAAATCAAGACACTCTCATCATCCTATGTCTCTGCCCGCGAAGATCATGACGTCCAATCGTCGACCGCGGTTTCATTCGGACTGCAACCTCACTCCATTGCCGAGCGAGCGACATCAGCTGAAAAAAGAGTTACCCAAACGCATTCTTCTTGTCTTGCCACCCTAGTGCACCGTTACCATGATCCCGGTAAGCTCGATGACCTATCGCCAGGTGGGAAACACGAGTGGGCCAGGAGCCGGTGTGATAGAATGGTGCTGTCCGGCCGAGTGCACCTGGTCTTGCCTGGTGATACTACTACACAGAGAGGGCGAGGCGAGCCATACACTGCGAGCGAGTACCTCTGGTCCTCACTCCATCGGCACCAAGGAAGCACGAGATGCGGCAGGCAGGGCGAGGGAGAGTGCTCTGATGCCGATCGATCCTTCGAGAGGACAGCCGGCGCAGCTTCTCTCACGTGGAAACCATCAGGCTTTCATTTTACAAAGATATTTGAAATCTCGACCCGATCTGCAGGCTACCGATCGTGGCAAGAACGGAGGTCCTGTGTTCCTAGACGTCGTCTCCCCTCGGCAGCGAGATATTTCTGCCTTTTGTACTTTGACCGAGTAACTCGACCCTCCAGAGGACGACGAAGACGAAATACGGCCGTTCTCGGCACTTGCTCCTCAGTATCCAGAACGGGACTTCTTCAACGAATGCTCAAGATTTCATCCCCTCTGCGTCCAAGACAACCAGAACGTCATAGAGTCTCTCCCAGGCCCCCCAAAGACAGGGTCCCTCCGACGCGAGGTGATGCTGTTGTCTCAGATCATTGTAAAACGGCGGACAGAGAGAGACACTCTCTCCCCCATTCACGGAGCCGAGGAGGTCCGAAAGGAAACAAGTACCCATGTGTCACATCTTCGATGTCTCAGTCGTTCGAAGAGACTGGGATCTCAGGCTGCCAAAGGTAGAATGTTTTTGAGCGTGGAAAAACTGTCTCGAGCTCTCAATCACGAGACCAAGGATCGAGAATCGCTCGCCAGGTGGAGATGAGATTTCCCTCCTTGATGCCTTTTCCTTTCCAGACGTAAGTCAGGCCCTTGATACACTCTCTCATGAAGGTAGAGACAACACGGCAGCAAGCTATGAGGGTCCAGGGATGACATGGAATCAGCGAGCAGCAGCAAGAACAGGACAGAACACACTCCACTACTTAGAAAAGTCAAGAAGGGAAGAATGCATACATCCGATATCAAAGACCGCCGTCGTATACGGGTATATTTTCCCTCCTCCGCCTCCCCCCCGGCACCCTATTCTAAGCGGCAGCCGTCCTCCCTCCCTCTCCCACCCTTCATGACTATGTAGACCATGTAATGACAATGATAGTAAGAAACGGTAAAGACTGTCTATGTAAGCGCCAAGGCCACAAAAGGGCAAAAGGCCCCAACACCAGAAGACCTCGCCAGCCCAACCGTTGTCATAAAACGCCAAGTGTATTTTTGCCCCCCCCACCCTATCACAAAGTCAAGCGCAGGCTGCCTTACCCTTCCCTGTCCGTCCGCCCACTTTATGCGAGAGTCCAACAAATCCCACCTAGAAGCAGACCCCCCTTCAGACCTCATCCTCGTCAAGCGGCTCGACCCTGACCAGAATCTCCTCGAGCAGGCCCTCGAGGAACGTGCCGACGTCCTTGCCCATGCCCACGGGCTCCGCCTTGTCGTAGTGGTCAATCTCCTTGCACACGTGCGCGAGCTTGTACACCAGCCGCCGGATCTTCTCGTGCGCCGCCTCGGCCCTCTGCTGCCGCGGCGTCGGCGCCGGCGCCGGCCCTTGCTGCTCTTCTGTCCCGCCGCCACCGCCACCACCGAGCCGGATCTGCCGCCTCTTAAGCGCCTCCTCGAGGGCGGGGAAGATGACGTCGTTGAGGGCGTCGAGCTCGCCGTTGGGGTTCGCCGGCGCCGGCGAGGGGAACGACAGCGGCGGCGTGGATGCCGCCGCCGCCGCCGTCGCCGTAGAGCCTAGTTCGGGCGTCCCCGCGTGCGAGGAGGAGGAAGACGCAGACGACAGCGGCGGTGCCGCCGCCGGCAAGGGACCGCGGGGCACCTCTTTGGATGTGAGGGGGTTGATGTTCTGGTTCGACAACTGCTGCTGCGTCGGCACGGGCCGCTGCTGTTGTTGCTGCTGTAGCGGCTGTCGGGACTGCGGTTGCAGGGACGGGACCTGCTGGGAGCTGAGTTTCTGCAGCGGCTGCTGCTGCTGTTGCGACGGCTGGGGTCCGCGGTAGGGCGGGATCTCGGGTAGTTTCATGGCGCCCGTCCTGGACGTCGATCGCTGCTGCTGTTGTGAGCCCTGCATGCTCTGCCGCGAGCTCTTGGACACGAGCTGGTGCTGCTGCTGCTGCTGCTGCTGCTGCGGGCTAGACTGTATCGCCGGCGCCAGGTTGAGGTGGCCCATGTCCCGCTGCAGCTGCTCCTGCAGCACGCGGTCGTAGTCCGGCGACGACTGGCCGGCGGGGCTCTCGGGCACGAGCCTGTGGAACTGGGGCGGCGGCCGGGGCGTCTCTGGGTCCCTCGCCGCCGCCGCCGCCGCTGCCGCCGTGCCGTGGTTCCTGGCCGGCGAGGACGGCAGCGGCACCTTGGCGGGCGACTGCGCCGCCGCCATGCCGGGCACCGGTTTCCTCTGCGGGCTCGTCTGCCTCGAGGTGCCGGCGGCGTTGGAGGCCTTGAGCGTGTCCCTGTCCCGCTCAAAGGCCGCCGTCTTGGTCGGGCTCGTCGCGCTCGGGTCCCTCCTCGCCGCCGCCGCCGCCTCGCCCGACCTCGCGTTGGTCGCCGACTCGTCCATGGCGTTGAGCCCGGGCCGGTGCACCAGGTTGCCGCGGTCGCCGACGAGGCGCACGGTGCCAAAGTCCCACATGTCCTCGTTGACGGGCTCCCGCTCGCCGGCCAGGTGCTGCTCGTCGTCGTAGGCCTCCTCGTCCTCGCCGCCGCGGTGGGCGGCGCACCAGCGGCTGTGGCGCTCGATAAGCTCCGTCAGGTAGGTGGTCTTCTTGGCGCGGCGGACAAAGGGGTGCTTGAGCAGGTCGCGCGCCGTCGGCCGCTCCCTAGGGTCGCGCTGCAGGCAGACCTCGATGAAGTCCTTGAAGGCCTTGGTGAAGTTGCCCTCGAGGCGCGGGGGCGGGTTCTTGGGGATGAGGAAGAGCACCTTCATGGGGTGGATGTCGGCGTAGGGCGGCTCGCCGTTGGCCAGCTCGAGGGCGGTGATGCCGAGGGACCATATGTCGGCCTTGTGGTCGTAGCCCGACTGCTTGATGACTTCGGGCGCCATCCAGAAGGGGGTGCCGACAAAGGTGTTCTTCTTGGTCATGGTGGCCGACAGCTGTCCCGAGACGCCAAAGTCTGCGAGCTTGACCTGACCGTTCGAGCTCAGGAGGACGTTTGCGGCTGTGGGCGAGCGGTGTTAGCGGCCCAGGTCTGTCTCTGCAACGCCATATCTGCCCCCCTCCAGCGAAGGTCGTGTTCTCTCTCACCTTTGACATCCCTGTGCAGCTTCTTGTCCGAGTGCAGGTAGTCCAGTCCCAGCAAGAGCTCCCGCACGATGATCGCAATGTAGTCCTCGCCGATGAGGCCCGGCTTCATCAGGTCGGCGCAGCTGCCGCCCGAGCAGAACTCCATGACGATCCATAGCTCGGCGCCCTTGGCGTAGGACCCGTAGTACTTTGTGACGTAGGGCGACTGCAGCTCGGAGAGGATGGCGATCTCCTGTATGATGTCCTCGACCTCGTCCTCGGCGCTCTCGATGTCGATGATCTTTATGGCTACTGACTGGCCGCTCCGCTTGTCGACACTAGTAGGCCGAGGCAGAAAGGAAAAGAGTTAGCTTGCTGTCTTGGTCGGGAGGAGCAGGGAAAGGAAAATCTTCACGAATGGGGAGTGCGTGTTCGTACCCTTTGTAGACCTTGCCAAAGCTTCCTCCACCTGCATGTCGGCATGGGCCGTTAGCGAGCTGTGCTTGCCGGCGGCAAGACCAGCGGTGTTGTGTGCTGACGTACCGATGCAGTACTCCTTGGAGTAGAGCAGCTCCGGGTCCAGAGAGCCCTCGCCGTCGTCATGATACTCCCTGTCTGCCATGGTTTGTGCAATGTCCTCCCTCTCCCAGGTCGATCGGGGCAGTCCCTTCGAGACTAGGTTGACAGCGAGGGAGGGGCGGGGGTTTGACCGGGGGCAGTCAGTGCAGTCGTGGGCAGCGTCGGGACAGTAGGTAGCTTGGTTGTAGATCAAACAGAGACGGCCAGGCTGTTGGCGGGGAGCTCGTCCAGACTCGGCTTCGAAGACGGCGGGTCGCAGCAACGAGAGCGCGGGTAGGTGTGTGTCTTTGGTCTCGAAGGTCAGAGGTGTTTTCGAGGTCAAGATTGGCAAGTCGGGAGCAAAGTGGAAGGGAGACTGTGAACGCTGCAGCAAAAGACCAAGGTAAGCCTGGCTCCGGTTTGCGAGCGCGCGTGCGCGGAGGCGGTCCCAGCTTCAGCTGCGGTCGGAATGGTGAGAATGGCGGGGTGTGTACCAAAAGAAGACAAGGCCAGGTAGTTACGGGAACAGGATTTAACAGTAACTACCTGGGTAGGTACCTAACTTGTAGGGACGAGTTGGAATTGATCAGCGAACCGGTCCAATCCCTCGAGAGAAGAACCTGCCAGCTCCGGCCCAAGTCAGTCCAGTCAACAACAAGACAGCTGCCCTAGGATAGGATAAGAGAAAAGAGAAAAAAAGAGAAAGGACAAGATCTAGTTTTCAGACCGTCGTAAATGCGATGTTTCGCCTACCTGAGTAAAATGATTCTACCATGCTATTGTTTACTTATCCACCCACCATCCAAAGCCGGCCACCCATTCTTCCTCGCCCTGTCCTTCCCGCTGACGTACCGCGTCCCGCCATATGGATGTCTCTCGCATCGTCCCTAGCGTCCCTCAAATCTCTTCCAGCATACCTTCCAGCCCTGGAGGCGCCCGCCGTGTGGGGGGGCCGCAGCCTCTGAACCTACCTAGGTAGTGGACGCGTCGCCTCCCAAGGTTCTTTTCAGCGCATGCTACAGCACCTTACGATCCCATCTCATCCCAAGAAACATCCCACACCCCACTCAATCCAGGAACCGGTTTCATCATGCGTGGGGTGTGCTCCTCACGATTGGCTGTCGACGCCATTTGTCCCATTTCCCCATCCTGCCCTCGCATCGGACGCACGCCCGTCCTCCCCATCCTCATCCTCCCATCCTTCAGCTGAACAGAGGTGAGATGCAGCTTCAGCTCTCTGATTGGCAGCCACGCCGTCAGGCTAGGTGAAGGACCGGACCAGACTATTGGATACCTAATCTCCTCCCGGGAAACAACATGCCACGGCGATGCGATGCGATGCGATGCGACAGGGGGGCCTCGACTCTTCAGGCCAAAAGCCCTGGGGATCAACTCCAGTCACGCAGGCATCATGTCAAGGGTGTGCCTAAAACGGACGTGTGTGCATTCCTGTAGCTGCTGCTCTACGTGGATTCTATCTGACAACCAGCCACACTCCCTGAAAGCACCACCCCTCTCCTCCATCTACCTATCGATGAATGTCCGATGCCGAATCTAAAGCCAGGTGTCGTCGTTGTTGTAAATGCATAATCGCAAAGTAGTCGGTCAGTAAGACTCAGACTCTCTCTCCGTCCCTTCTTTGGAGAAACCCTTCATAGTCATGCACGCAGGACTGTAAAACAAAGAGACAGCCCACATCGCCCCCTCCTTCATGGCCACGAAAAAAAACGCCGGTCAGATAGTGATAGAACCGTAGGCAAGAACAAAAGATGCAATCCACCAGCTGCTGGAGGTCAACCGCCGCCGTTATAAGCCAGCGTGGCGGCCCAGCTCAGTAGGAAGAGAAAAAAAGGCTCAGTCCTCGATGAACTCGATCATGACGGTGCCCTGCTTCAGCCCGGCCTCCCCGATCGTCTTGCCCAGGTCCTCGAGCAGGTCCCGGCCCTGGGGCATCATCTTGAGCTCAAACGCCACGCCCTCCTTGCCCTCCAGCGGCTCCGCCTTGAGCCACTCGTAGATCCGCTCCACCGTGTCCGCCACGGCGAACCGCCGGATCACCCTGCCCTCCGGGTGCCGGAACTGGATCCGCGTCACCGTCGCGGGGTCCGGCGCCGGCTCCGCGTGCGGCCGGTCAGGCGCGATCCTGGCGAATGCGGATTCGGCCGCCGCCGCCGCCGCCTGGGACGCCGAAGGCTCTTCCTCCTGTTGCTGCTGCTGCTGCTGCTGCTGCTCCGCCGCGCCAGCAGCGCCGCCGGTGAGGTCGATGGGCTCCGCCACGGCCTTGCCCTTGCCCTTGCCGATGTCCGGGTTCGACTTGGTCAGCTCGTCCGGGTCGTAGATGTCGACCTTGGCGCCGCCGCCGCCGTTGGCCGACTCGAGGCTGTTCTGCATCGCCATGCGCAGCATCTCGTCCTCGGTCATGCGGTCCACGTCGACCGTCCGCGGCCGCGCCTGCTTGGCCACGGGGTTCTTGCTGTTGACCGCCAGGCTGTACCGGTCCAGGAACTCGACCAGCTGCGCGTGGAAGTCGGGCGCCGCGGGGAACGGCAGCCCGGACCACACCTTGACCTGCTCGCCCGTCCGCGGGTCCACGATGGCCACGTGCGGGAAGTTGTCCGGGTTCTCGTGCTGGCCCTCCCTCAGGTAGAACTGGATGTACTCGAGCGCCTGCGGGTCGTCCTTGGAGTACTGCAGGAAGATGAAGCTCTCGCGCACCAGCTGCCGGATCGCCTCGTCCTTCCAGATGTCCCGGTTCAGCACCTGGCAGTTGAAGTCGCCCATGTCCTGCAGGTTGACGAGGATCCACTTCTTCTCCTCCTTGCCCTCGCTGCGGGCCTCCTCCCAGGCGTACGGCGACATGAGGTCGTAGGGGGGTCGGAACAGCTCGGCCAGGCGGGCTGCGCGGCTGTTGGGCGCGGGGCCGCTCATGGGGCCGCCGGCCGAGGGCGGCGCTAGGGGAGCGGCGTCGGGGTCGTTCCAGATGCTCTGGGCGAAGGGGTTTCGAGGGGCTGCTGTTGATCCCATCTCACATTAGCAACGAAAACTTTGGTGTGCACCAACTCGGCCTGGCGTCTGCTTACCCTGTCGCTGCTGTCTTCGTTGTCGGAGCTGGTTCAGCAGCGCATCATGCATGTCTTCGTCGTTGCTCATGCCGTACGTCGGCGCCACCAGGGTCTCTGTAGTCCTGGCCAGCGGCGCCCTCACGTCGTCCTCTGCGCCTCGTTGGCCGCCCGCGCCTCCGCTAGAGTAGAGCTCTTCCTGCAGGCGCCGCGCCATGGCGGCATCCTCGTCCTCCTGTGCGAGACGTGCCGCCTCCGCGACGGCGGCTCTATCGTCGTCCGAGTCGTTGATCATCTCTACATCATCGTCACCCTCATCTTCACTATCGATATGGATCACCCCACTCGCGTCTTCTCTACCGGCGCGAGCTCGTCCTGTGGCGGTCTGTTGGGGCTGCGAAGCTGAAGGTGCCGGCGCAGCTTGCCTGACCGTGGAGGCAATGTCTGGGTTGTCGAAGTAGAGGGTGCATGCTTGCGAGAGGTCGCCATCTGTCATACCGAGTACCGTGCGGGCGACATTCTCATCGGCACCGGTGATGTCCATGAAACTGGCGATCGCGTCGTCGTCCATGGTGGGCGGTCGTCGAGCGGTGGACTTGCGAAAATGGGTGTCTTTAGCTTGAAATCAGGTCAAGGCGCACTGTGTTCTGGGAAGAGTTGAAGTGCCAGAGAGGTGAGGCACATCAAGTCGGCCCTCGAGCTGTATCAGGAGCTACCCAACGTGATTGTTGTTGGCCTTTGGGCGGGTGGCGGGGCAGACGAGGGGAGGTCCAGGTGAGGTGGCAGATTGTGGACGGCCACAAATGCGCAAGGCAGACGCTGTTCCTCAAAGTGAGATAAGCACCGTCTGAGGAGGAAGAAGGCGACAAGTCAAAGTAGTGATGAAGAGAAAGGGAAAGAAGTCTGAGGTCCAGGCACAGGTCCAGGTCCAAACAGAGTGCCTGCTGGTGGGAGGTATTGAGGCGGATGGATATGTGGGACCAGGCTACGCTGCCTGTGACGCAAGAGAAGTGTGCTGATGCTAATCAATTAACTACCTAGGTACCTAAACTAATGCTGAGGTAGACGGGAGTTGCAAACGCCGGGCATGTGCCTCAGGGCTATTTTGACGTGTCTCGGCATTAGTTTGCCAATTTTCTCCCCATAGTGGAGTGGTCAGCCAGTAAAAGCACACTGAAGTGCACTGACCGCCACCTCATCAACGCCACAAACCACTGGGATTTGATGTGCCTAAATTCCCATAGGCTCAGTCAAAGCAACAACGAGACCCAACATGGAGGAGGTCTTTGATGATAACCTCCAAATCCCAAAGCAGTTTCGAATAATGTACTTAATTACTCTGATAAACATTCCCAGCTTCTTATTTTGAAGCTGTTACTACTAAAAGCATTCTTTTTTCTGCTGGCAGATTCCAGAGGCCCAGACTTATTATGTACAGTAGCCACATCACTATCGCCCAAGAGAAGGCAAGGAATCACCAGCCTCAACTCTCTCAACACGAGGCCAACATGATAGCCCCAAACCACCACACCGCAAGACATGTACGACCATAGGCTGTGGAAAACTCGGCATCCCGTCCGCTCTGCCCGCGATAAGCCACAGACCGTCAGAGTAGTAGTCGGGTCGGTGACGACCGGCGAATGCCTGATGTTGTACATCTCTTTTTCTGTTTCTTTTTGTGCTTGAGCATGTAGGGCAATAGAATCAAAGCCAAATCACCATGCCAGAAACTTGATATGGCCAATCCTAATCTCTATTCGCTACAAGGCACTATGAAAGGAAGAGGAAGAAAATAAAGCACGATCGCCAGGCAACGCTCTCGCTCTGTGTAGGTGTCTAATTCATGTCGCCAAGAGCATCCCTCAACAGCCTCTGCACCTCCAGAGACCTGTCCCCCGTCAGGGCCTTCGTAGTCACCTCCCTGATCTCTTTCATAGCCTCCTCTCGAGCGCCACCGTCCCCGCCGAAAGCCCCCTTCTTGAGAGCTCGCGCCAGTGCCCCGACGGCCTTGGCCCTCGTGGACCGCTGCTCCTCCGTGCCGACATCAGGCTTGTCCACGTCCAAGCTGCGGAAGTACTCGAGAGCCAGAGCATCAGCCTTGACCGCCGCCGCTTTGGTAGAAGAGGAGGAGGAAGAAGACGCCGACTCGGCCGCCTCGTTCATGAGGTCTAAAGCCGCCTTGTACCACACGCTCCGCCTGATGGCATCAAACTGCCTGCTCGCCAGATACTGCCCCGCAGCCTTGCTTATCCGCGCCAGCACAGCCGCCGAGTCCTCCTTCATCACCGGCCTGCTGTAACCCCTGGCGATCGCCTCGAGCCCCTTGGCCGCCGTCTTGGCAACGAGGTCCTCGGAGCCCTCTTTCTTATCGACATCCATGCGGTCCTCGTCCCGAAGCTCGTCCAGGTGCGGGCCCACAATCTCGACAATCTCGTCCAGCATGTCCAGGTCCTCCCGCGCGGCCGCGACCTTCCACAGCGCCTCGAAGGCGTGCACCCGGTACGCGTCGTTGTTGCGCCTGGCCTCCCGCACCGCCACCTTGCGCAGCTGCGCCGCGACCTTGTCGTCCGCGCCCCAGAACGCCCCGCCCTTGGCCGCAAAGTCCGGCAGCGCCGCGAGCACCTTCTCCTTGCCGGGGAACGTCTTGAGGGCCAGCGCCTTGTCGAACACGGGCCAGAGCGCCCGCAGGCTCGCCACGTTGACCTGCCCCGTGAGGTCGCTCGCCGAGGTCACGGCCCTGACCGCCGCGCCGACGGCCAGCGCGCCGCCGTGCTTGAGCGCCCACTGCGGCGTGTCGAGGCACCGCTGTACGAGGGCGACGATCTCCGTCACGTACCGGCCGACGGCCCTGCTCGTGCCGGCATGCTTGTCCCAGACCTCCTCGAACTCCTTCTGCACGTACTCGTCGGTGTCGTGCTTGGCGAGGTACACAAAGGGGAGCAGCTGGGATTCGAGGGCGTTGAAGTGGTCCGGCGAGATCTTGGACAGGGCGAGCACCGCGTCGGCGACCTTCTGCCGCCTGGCCTCGTCCTCCGAGGTGAAGTAGAGGTCGGTAAACTTGACCACGAAGCGCTCCCTGGCCTCCGAGGGCGCCACACGCATGATGTAGGCCGCAGCCTTTGCATAGCTCTGGCTGACCTCGTCGTTCTTGTCCAGTGCCTGCTTCTCCATCAACTGCAGAAAACGCGCCGAGAACGGCGCAAAGTCCGTCGCATGCCTCGTCGCGAGCGTTCCCAGTACCCTACCGCAGCCTATCTTGGTGGGCATGCCGATCGCGCTCTTGATCACGCCTTCCAGCCCCGGCGCCAGATCCGCCATGGCCTGAGCATCCACGTTGCGTAGGCAGTTCTCAATCGCCTCTGATATCGGCGACTGTGATACCATGGCGCTCCTGAGCTTGTCGATCTTCTCGCGGCTGTCCTCGCCAGAGCGGAGGTAGTGATAGTTGACGGCGTCCGGCTCAATGGTACTCAACAGCCCGAGCAGTCGAATGATCATGTCGGCGGCGTATCCTTTGAGCGATTTGCCTCCGTTCTTGGCAATCTTCATGACCGTGATAGTGCAGAAGATCTTGACGTCCTCAACACCACTCTCAATGCCTTTCTCGGACATCAAGAACGGGAGCGCCTCCTTCATCATGGCCACTGCGCTAACTGAAGAGCCTCCTTCCTCCAGTTGACGGACCAATGTGTTGGACAGGTTGATACAGAGACGCAATGCGGCCTCACGCACAGACGTCTTGACATCGTCGAGAACCTTCAATGCCTTTGCCCAGATGTCCTTGTAGTACTTCTCGTACTGTACGAAGGGCCGACCTTGGATCAAGTCGGAGACTGCAGCGCAGCTGGCCTGGCGGACGCGCCATTCCTTGCCCAAGATGCTCTTCAAGAGGTCATCCATAATGTCATCAAAGTGCTTCTCCATCACAGCGTTCGAATCCTTCACCAGCGCTTTCCAAATATCGTTCATGGATCGCTGAACGTTCTCGTTGGGGTCAAATCTGTACCGGTACAGCTTGGGATACAGCTTGGGATCGACCTCGGACTCGGACAGGATGTTGCTGAGCCCAAAGCGTCCAAACGCCGATCTAGTTGACCACGTCGCCGCATTGGTTGCGAGGGACATGAACTTGTAGATGAGGGATTGGTCACCAACCTCGTTGGCCAGGTTGACAATGTCCTTGTACGAGGTGATGGACTTGCCCTCGCCAGTAGGCAGCGCACCTGCGTCGAACAGCTCGGTATCCTCGTCAACCTTGAGTCGAGGCCCAGATCCAGTGAAAGAGGCAACCAGGTCCTTTACAAGAGCGTCCTTTAGCGAAGGGTCTCCCTTTTCGTACACCAAGGCAAGACCTCGAGATGCGGTCTCCTGCACCAGCTCGTCACGCGCGCTGAGAAGTCTCATGAAGGCAACTTGCGCCTCCCGCAACTTGGCTTGGATCTCGGGCAGATGGGAGCAGTGCTGGATGAGGCAGAAGAGCCAGATGCCGGAGGCTTTGAGCAGCGATGGCTTGGTCGACTTGCAATTCTCCAGAAGCTTGTCGAGAACTTGCTCGACGTGCGCAGCCTGCTTGCCAGTCTGGAAAGACGTACTGTCGACATCAACATCGAGGGTCAGCTGAACCACATCAGAGTCCCAGCGAGCCACCGCGGCGGTAATAGCCTCACCAACCGCGAAGTGCACTTCTGCCTGCTTGATTTCTTCCAGCTGGTAGAGCTTGTCAATAATGTGTGACCTGAGGTCCTGTTCCTTCCCACTGCTGGATGCTTTGAGCGAGATTGCAAGTCTCCCGAGGGCGGAGATGGCCTTTTCGTTGGATTTCTTCGCCTTTGCTGTAAGCAAGTCAATCAGGCCCTTCTTTTCGTCCGCTTCCTGTGTCAGGATGGGCACACCTGCCGTCCACAGCTGAGCGAGGCTGTCGAACAAAGCGTCTTGAAGAGACACCGGCATCTGTTCAATCTCCTTCGCTGAAGGAAAAACCGCAGTCATCTCCTCAAGGAATGGGGATGCCGAATCTGGTGCGTAGTAGACCGATCTCGAGACCAGTCTACCCAACGCGAGAAAGGCTCCCTCCACGGCATTGAGCTCTGATCCAACGGCCGTGGCCCAGGACTGGGTGGTCTTGATGAGTTGTTGCTTTAGACGCTGGACAGACTCGGGCGGGTTGCTGGGGTGTGGAGCGAGAATACCGAGCGCTCTGGCGCCGAGGGACCGTATCTCCTTTTTGTTGGAAAATATCAGAGGCAATGTGGCGTCCGCATGACACGCCAGCTCCCCCACAACCTCCTTGGGCGCAAGAGACAGAACGTCCACAATGCACCTAACCGATTGGTCGTTGCTAACGCCATTCTCATCTTGCAGGTTCATTTGAGCCGCCTTCAAGAACGGAACCAGCCATTTGGAGTTCTCTTTAAGGTAGGATCGGACAGCCTGGCGACTCTGCTTATCGGACTGGATGGTGTTCTCCAATTGCCTCTCCCAGCTTGGCTCAATCTTGAAAGTGTCTTTGAGAGCTGTCAGGAGGAGGATCTGCTTGCAGTAGTTGAGAGCCACCGGGAATGCTTGCATGTTGCCTCGGTGGAAGTTTGGGAAGGGGAATCCCCTCGTAGGCGTCTCGCCTCGCCACTCGGCAGAAGTCACATTCTTGATGGGCTCGCAGAAGAACGTCTTCACCATAGCTTGCCAATCGGGCAGCTCGAGGTCTTTGCTGTCGTGTGCGTAGTATGTCCACGGATCAAGGCCCTTCTGGCCCTCCTCAACCACATCGCTGCGCTCGTCGCGGACGCCAGCTACCGCAAGGATATCGATCCACCTCGCGGTCACATCCGAAAAGAGGAAGCAGTTGTTGGCCCACTTCACGGCGGCGTGTCTGCCGCTTCGTTTGATCCCGATCTCTCCAACCTGCGCGTCGATGTATTTCAGGAGAACAGGCCTGAGGTATTCGTCCGAGTTCGACTCGTAGGGAGGCTGGAAAAGGGATGTCATGCTGGAGAGTGCACCGTCGATGTTGACCACAACCCCTGAGGTCATGTCCTCCGTGAGCGCTATGAACATGAACCATACGAGGGACAGCCGTGCCTGGAGGGTCATTTTGATGCCTTTGGCGAGTGCTCCTATGGTCTCGTAGGCTCTCTTTCTCAGTGAGACCTGATCCTCGTCCAAGGAAGATTTCGGGTCTGGGAATCCCTGTTCGCGGATGTATTCCTGCATATGATCGACGAGCGGCCCTGCAATTTTGAATTCGCCATTTTTCGGCCCTATCCTCGCCACCCAGTTGATGAATTCAAACAATGCTCTGTAGAGCTTCGTGAGCTCCAGCCCCTTCGAGGGTGTCGGGTGTCCTGCGGACTCTTGCACTCTTCTCGCTTCGCCCATGTCGAGTTCGACCGCAGCAAGAATCTCGCCGGTGAAAGTTGCCGCGACGGCAGACTTGCTCAGGAGGTTGAGAATGCGGGTTCGGTATGGGGTTGCAAGCACTGCGTGTGCTTCAAATAGATCTCTCACGAGACTCTTGTCTTCCAATGATACAGTGGTCCTCTTCAGGAGATCGTCGCCGATAGACGAGACACGAGAGTCGGTACTCGCAGAGGCGAACAGCGCGGGCATAATGCGCTCCTCATCGGTGAAAGCGCCACTCGCGAGGAAGTTTGCGACGCGTATACGAGTCTCCGAAAGGCTCATTCCGCCTTCCGAAGACGAGTTCCAAGTGTCCGGCTTGCCCAGGGTCAAGAATTTGACCTCGGCGTCCTTCAAGCGCGTGCCGGGCGCAGCGGCCCCTTTCGATGTGACCTTGAGCAGCAACAGGCGGCCAAACCAGTGGGCGACAAACTTGGCATCGGATGGGTCCTGAAGCCCAATCTCGTCGCGGAAAGCGACATCTTCTTTGCTGCCCCTAGGCGGAATCTTGATGTCAGGGAGCAGACGAAGGACAACGTTGAAGAGACCGGACGAGTTGGCTTTCTCCTTTGATATGCCTCTCAGAGCCTTAGGGATCAAGGCTCGCCTCTCAAGAGGCTTTAACCGTCCAATGCTGTGCTGGATAAACATCAGGTCCAGCTGCTTCAGGACTGGTGACTCGGCAGCAGAGAACTGGTCCAGGAGTGCGTCAACCGGCAAAACCACTCCTGGAGGCTGAATGAACGTCTTCAGCCTCTGACATATCGTGATGACCTTGCTCCTGACAGAGGCATGTTCGCTCCCAGCTTTGAGAAGCAACGGTGCCAAGTATCGTTGCAGGAGCTCCTGGAGCTTCTCCTCGTTGTTGGCCACGCTGAGTATTCGAAAGTCCACCTTCTCCACGAGATCCAGCTCGCGCTGCTCTGGAGAAGGGTTGGCCATCGCGGGGTTGCGAGGTCGGGCTTCTATCGCGATGTAAAGCTCAAAAGACTTGACATGGGGTGTGCTGTACCTCCTTAGGTGTGAATGGCACAGAAACTAAAAAGGAGTACCTAGTATGATCTGCGTTTATAAAAGACCTATCATCATTTTAGTCAACAAGGAGCTCACGCAAGCAGTCACCACGTACGCCTCCACGGCAGGTGCGGTGGTGGGGCTGGGGCGACCTGCTGAATAAGCCATCTTATCTCCTATCAACACGTGTATGCAAGTTCCTCGGGTTTAGGCAGTGGGAGGATTGCGCTTCCTGCTGGAGCAAGGATATGGATGCTTGTGGTTGATATTGACGTATGTCTTGATGAACTTCTGTCAACTTGTCTGGCCCGCTCTTGACCACATATCATGGATATCAGCGCCTGGATGGATCTTTATAGGACAGTGAGAATTGTCTAAAAGCTATTAATTGGGTTGCTTGGCAGTACGTTTACCACTCTGTTGAGCTGCTTGTCAAAACCGCTCGTATAAAGTTGATTTTCTGACAATGTCTTATTCATTTCCAGTTGGCATGTTGCTGGTAGCTGGTGACAGTGTGTTTCTTCCGATCTTGTCAATATTTCCATCTTAAGTTTGAGGGGGATGTTACTCGGCGAGAGGTATCCGTGATCAATGATTCCGTAACTCGCTGCTCAGGAGTAATGGATGTTGAGAGACTTTCCTGAACTAAATGCATGAAGAAGGAAGCATTGTTCCGTCTAAGGTGAAATTTCGAGTGCTCAAGAACGCGGCGAAGCAATGGTCCTTTCTTACCACGGCCCAGAATGAATAGATATCGGCATTGGTAGAAAAGACCGACGTATTCAAACGTGGATAGTCACAATAAGAACGAGCCAACGGCATGTAGCTTTGGCAGTGTTGCTTCTTCCTATTGTCGTCCCCATAACAAGGAGAACATGACCGAGAATTCGAGCTATACAAGCCTTGATAGACTGACATTATCCTGCTGGTAACGATCTCTTGCGGAACAACTGTTGAATAGATAACAAACTATACGAACTCTGAAACTCATAGTCTGGAAAGCTCGCAGCTTCTCAGATGAATGGTGGTTCAGCCGCTGTGCTGTGTTCTGGACCCAACCTGTTTCCCTCTCAGCCCTTGGTGTTGTTGACGAGATGCAAAGGAGGGGCAAGCGCAAGAAACCAATGCAAGATCAACGCCGATACATAACAAGAAAGACATTAGCTCAAGCAGCTTGCACCTCCAACTAATGTAGGCAAGTGGAACACAGGACATTATCATTTGTGGCGCCAGGGCGGCTCGCCTAATTCGACCGTGTCTGTCGAGAGCTGATCTACACTTCCTAGGTATTTGAATCAAAGGCTGCGAGCCCTACCAAAACAACCGCCCGCCTTAGATGCCAAGCCTAGCTCAATAGCTCAGCTAGCTACATGAGCCGGGGGCTTTTTAGTGCCTCCCCGAGCTGATGGGGGCCATCAACGAGGTAGGAATGTTCTCTCTCGTGGTCACTCGAGCACAGTATGGCAGAAATGCGGGAGCTGGTTTCTCGGGCTTTGTGGTGGACAATCCATCGTAAAGCCTTACAAGGCTTTGTGTAGTCATGGTATGTAGGCATGTGTGTTGCATCAAGAGGGAGACACCGGCGTCGCGTGATGCGTGAGCTGTTGCGTACGGAGTAGAGGCCCAGCGAGCACGATCCAGTCCCGGCTGTCGCTCGGCAAAGGTGAGGATGGCCCATCGCAAGACTAGCGAGCCATTCCGGGTCTTGCCTGTACTGCAACTCCACTGAGATGCCCGATCCCGATTCGCTACGACCCCAGATTACAGCCAGTGGCTGCCCAAATTTTGCAATGCCCGCCCATTCAACCGTGTCACTCGACTTTGTTGATAAGGCACATGGGGACGGGGGCAAGCTCGCCAGGCATAGGCCAATTGGCTCTGGAAAAGGTCTCTCAGTTGGCAATAACGCAGGCAGCGGGATGAGGGGGGATGGGAGGGCAGATAAGGTTGGGCGACCGATCCGTGGATCACCACAGACGTCAGGGTTACAGGCCCTTGCACCATCGGGTGGGAAATTGTGGGCTAAGTAAGTACCTACGCGCATGTGCGTAATTGGCACGAAGCCACAAGAGAAGCGGCCTGCAGACGCGACGTAGCGCGACATCGGGCACTTTGGTTTTTTTCTTTCTGTCTTGCAGGGATAGATAGATTCACGCCCAGAGCTCGCTGGGTAGGGGGTGGACATTGAAGGGAGGGAAGGGCAGGGTTGAGTTCATCCCACGATGCACTGTTAGGTAACCGTATTTCAGTTTGCCAGTGTTTGCTTCACAGCAGTGTACTGTTTGCCCCATGACTCGTATCCCGCAGTGAGACATGATGTGCCGCCGTGGGTTTCTGGATTTCTGGATTTCTGATCGCGACATCTCATTGTCCTCTGGCGTCGCGCACGCGTCCTCCAGCCAAAAACCCGGAGTTACTTCAAGCCAGCGTGGTGAGGAGCGGGAAGGGCAATCGACGACGAGGAGACAAAATGCAAAAGCGCCTGCTCTTTTCTCTCGTCCTGCTGACCTTGCAGCCAGCAACAGGACCGACTCGAGACGCGAAGCGGGCGTACACCGAAGTTGGTGAGCGATAATTGGTACCTGACGAGGGACGGTTAATGTGTGAGCAGGGGTCCCGTCGATCCACGCATTTTCTGGGTCCGCCGGGAAGACCGGCGACAATGCCTGGCAACCTGCTCCGGGGGGACACTCAGGCCATGGACGTGAGGCCAGAGATTTGAGGACGTATCCACAAGCCCAGAGCTGTCTATCCATGGTTGCGATCTTGGCAAGACAAAAGGCAGTGCGCGCAACTTCTCGAGGTTCTTGAGCTCAGTCAGACCCGGACGATGTCAGGTTCTCGGGGTGGACCTGGGGTGCCGGAAGCCTGGAATCATGCAATTTCAGAGCCAGGATCAAGGTTGCGGAAGACGAAGACACCCTGGGTCCGACAAAGAAAAGATGTCTGTCAGAAAGAATGCTGCTGCATGACACTAGCGACTGGCAGGGCCAGGGCTGCGGAGTAAAGCAACGATCTTCCTCCCGAGATTCTCCCATTTCCTGGTTCCAAGGGATGACAGCTCGCGCGGCATCGACTGCTTTAACTGCGTCGTCCATGTTGTTTTCATTGGCACTGCGACTTTCGGGGAGGGAGGGCGGCTGAGAGCCATCTTTAGGTACTCTGCGAAATACACCAAGAAAGCTGATCCTTCAGAGTGCAGGCAGGGGTCTTGACAACCCCGTAATGAGCCATGTCAATCATCAGCCATGCTCGCGCATACATAATGGAGTTACATTATGTACGTACAGACGCCCTTGGCAGTACTTGTACGTGCTACTCTGCCGGAGCCACAATCATCATCCTTGGGGCTCGCCTTCATTCACCCAGGCCTGCATCCGGTCGTTGGGACGGGCTGCTGCCACCAGTCTGTACTCCCTAAGGTACAAAAGAGGTGTGAACATGCCCACAGCCCACATGGCGGCGCAGAGAGATCTGGTCATTACTCAGATCACCCCTCCCTGGCGATCTGGGAGTCTTCCCACTCTGGTGCTACCCCGCCCTCCCTGGTTTGCCCTCGCGCTCGGGATGAGTCCAAGTTTGCTTTTTCGACTGGACAATGGCCCTGGCTCGTCTTGACTCTTTTTGACAATATGCCAGCAAGGGAGGGAAGACTGGAAAAAGGACACTGGTGGAGCACAGGCCGGCTCCCGGAGAGGCATGCCAGGTCTCAGATCTTGCCGTTGGGCATCATATCACGCTGGGCATTCATTGCCTTTGTCCGTGGTGGACGCATGTGGCAGAAGCATATGCTTCTGTATCTTCTGAGGGAGGCCAGCCTTTCAATTCCTCACAGATGCGGTGCGACGAGGCCTTCAGTGATCGCACGAAAAGGCCGTTTGCGTATGACCCCTCCTGACCTGTGGAACGCTGGCTCTGGAAGCCATTCGACGAGAGCAAAACCGTCCTGGCTTTCGACATATCCAGCGGATCACTTCTGTGTCCTGCCATCTGCCTTGGCATATTCTCTGAAGCTCTCCCCAGGTACTCGAACTAACAAGTCGCTCAGCTGCCTACTTAGTACTTACGGAGTACTGATGCTGGGCTGGGGAGAGCTCTCTTGCGCTATTCACACACCTCCCTGTGGTCCATCCAGCCGGTCCAGTCTCAAAGCTCCCTACTCCGTAACTCTGAGCTCCCGCCCCGAGCCAGTATTTCTTGTACGGAGTACAGCACTGAGTTTGTGTCTGGATGTTTTATCCCCGGCTTTCTCTCTCACGAGCTGTCAAACCACACACACACAACACACACCACACACACAACACACACCACACACACAACACACACAACACACACAACACACACATACACACACTTTGACAAACAGCACAGTGCCAATGCAGAGAATGGCCTACAGGCCACACTCGTCCGAGGATGTCTGAGTAGGGGAAAACGTTCTCACTCTCAGTCTCAGTGTGGCCCTCTCCCCTCCTTCTTTCCCTGTCGCTCCAGTGGAGGGTTAGGAGCCTCTTTTCGTAATAGTGCAGCTTGTGCGGACCAGGTACCGGGTATAGCGCCATCGCCCAGAGAGGGTACCAGCACGAGCCGGCGTCGTTAGCATGGCCCCGACTGACCAACCCAGCCCGCCTGGGATCGCCTTTTGGTGCTCGAGCTCGACACCCCCCTGCTTTGCTTTTTGGAACCATGGCCCTTAGCCTGCTGGGCTGCCGGACTCGCTGCCCTGTTCCAAGGCCTCCAGCGCATATGACTGGCTCGCGGGCAGCCTTTCTTACTTTCCCATGGTTTCCCAAGGCTTCTCTGGCTTGCTCCCAAGCTCCACCACAAGCCCACTAGACTCTTACGAAGACAAGCGCAGAGCCCACCGAGAACCCACCTCTGGTCTGCCTAGGGCCAGCTACTACTGTTTGCAAAGGTACCAACCATCACCC